CAGCCTTATTATCAAAAAAGGTAATAATAATCCAATCCTAATAATATTAGATTTTATTTTATTCCATATTAAAATATTATTCTATGATAAGATATATATCTATGAAATATCAATGTTATGGCATGTTATATAGGAAATAAATTACTGCCTTTCCTGTAAAAATGATAGAAAATATGGCATGGAATTATATTTGATATATTCCAATTATATAATATATATTTAAAAAAAATTAAAATTTATCTTTAAAGATATTATATATTTTATTTATATAATTATTTTTATTATTCTAGATTTTCTTAAAGTAACCAATAATTATTAGTAGATATATTTTATTTAGAACTTATATTAAGGAAATATCATAATATATATTATCTTATTGATTATTGATGGATATAGATACCTATTCTTATTAATTATTTATTAATATAGATAATGGAATTATCTGGGAAAAAAAATTGAAATTTCTGGTAAGATGGCCTTTTCTTTTTGGTCCAATGTTGGGTAGAATTGCCAATATTATATATAGATTATCTAGTAATGGTTTAAAAGATTTAGATATATTTTCTAATATTAATAAATTAGGTTATTTTCTTTATACATATTCATTATTATAAGGATATTAAGGATTATATCTTTATTAAACTATAAATATTAGAATATTAAGATAATTATTATCTAAGATAGCCTAGGAAGATATAATTATTCCTTATTAAAATAAAGAAAGAAGAAGAAAGATTATTAATAACCAAGGATTACCTTGGTTACTTTATAGAAATAAAAAAGAAAAGGTTAGATAAAAATTAGATATTTATTAAAAAAAAGGTTAAATAATGGATCCTTATAATAATAAATTATTATAAATAAAAAATAATATTCCCTATAGATTATATACCATATAAAGTAAATAAATAAATAATAATTTAATAAGGATTATTAATGGAATTAGATCTTAATCTATATACCCTATTATATATATTAATATTTATGGATTAGAGATTATTAATTATTATTATAATATAATATATATATATATAAATATATAGGTTTTAGGGTAAACCAATTCCTTTTTAATATTATATATTAATATCTTCTATACTAACATATCAGGCCATCTTGGTTTTATTACTTCCAACTTGTTGGAATTCTATATTAATAGTTTATATAATGATATAAGATTGGTAAGTATTTCTGTATGATTAATATTATGCTATTTTATGTAAATATCCTATTATATCAATATGGTTCTTAACATTAATTATAACTATTTTGATATATTAATAAAATCCATTATCATAAAGTTTTAAAATTATTCCTGATATTTATTTATTATTTCTTTAATTATGTAAACATATAATATATTCTTATCGATAATCTTAAAGTCTATTAGTATAAATAATATCTAAGTTACCTTCTATTCTGGGATAATTCTTTGGGGATTAATGGTTTCCTATTTTACTACTATATGATTAAAGTATTACATAAGAATCATTATTTGGTTAAAAAGGTAACTTATTAGTTCTTATAACTTATTTATATTCTTTAGCTTAACTAAGTTAATTTCTATAATATATATTTATACCTATGCTGAACTTTTCCTTTATAATATTGTAATATATATAGAAATTAAGGATGGTGAATCTAAAAGTATAAAAGATAAGGAATCTAAATTATAGTATATGAATAGAGGTTTAAAAGGGTTATGTGATAAGGTGAAATGGTATTCCGTTATAAATGGAATAATATAAAAGTGATTTAGATAGAAGTAGGTATGTTGATATTATTTATATTATTATAATAAGATCTTTTAAATTATTATAGCAATGATTTTTTTAACCTTGCTAATCTATGTTGCTAACTGTCTAATAATATTGATCAATATTGATAAATATGTATATAAATGAAGTAAAGTAAAAGTAAGGGAAAGTACAAAATAGTAGGGGTGAGACAATATATATTAAGTTATCTAAAGAAGAAAGGTCTATCTATCTGGATAGGCAAGAAGGTAATCTATTTAAAGGGAATTATAATGATTAAGTAGATCACGTGTCCTTCACCTATGCAACCATTATCTGTTCTATTCTGGAGCAAAATAGAGCATTATGTTCTGTTAGCTGATAGAACAGACTGGCTTACCATAGTTTCTCCATGATTAGGTGCCTGATGCCCTATCTGATTAGAAGGATGCGACTGTAAGTTATTGGGTTGTGACATAAGCTTAAATAATATCTCAAATTTTTATAATATAGAATGGCAATATATTACAATAAAAAGAAAATTAAAGGACCAATTCTACACAAGGGAAATAAGGTTTATCTCTTATAAGATAAGTAATATTCTACATTAAAAACACCTTAGATTTAAACCAAGAGACCAAATAAAAAGTTAGATTTTAAGAAACTGGGACCTTTTTTAATTAAGGAGGTCCTTTCAAGAACAAATTATTAATTATAATTATTAATAAATATGAAATTAAGAATTAATATATTTTATATTATTATACTTAAACTAGCATCTAAGGATATTAAATTTAAAAGAAATATCAAATTAAAAAAAAACCTAAAAGAATATAATATCAAAATCATCTATAATTCTAGGATTATTAATAATCAAATCAAATATTTTATTAAATAACTTAATTATTCCAAGGAAAATAATACCAAAGAATCATAAGAATACCTTATAAGTAATAGGATTCAAAAGTTAATTAAGGATTTCCATCATTAAAACCCTAACCAACTAAGGTTAAAAAAACCTTAATTAATGATAATATCAGATCAAAATTAAGGTTTATCCCAGACTAATTAAAGATAAGGAAAACCTTGGAAATTTCAACAAAAGGAATAATAACTGCCTATTAAGCTACCTCCATATACTCGGCATTTTCTAACTCCTCAATACTAATAAACTCCCTTTGGATCATCCTTATATCCTTCTTATTTAACAAATAATACATTTTTTAAAAACATTGTAGACAAAATAATAATTCCTAGAAACAAAGTTCCTCAACCTCCTCTTCCAATTCTAAATGACATTTTTCCTTCCCAATCCAAGCCATAGAATTTATAAGGACCTCTTTTTTATCATATAAGACATTGGCAATCTGACATTTATAATACCTATAGATACCAGAAATACTCTTATAAATCAAACCCTTATTAAAATAATAAATACATAATATTATTTCAAAGCTAGCCTCCTCAATTTCAAAAACTAAACATTTATAACAATCAATAAAGAATAATTTAGAAGAATTATTACATTTCTTCTTATTAATAAGAATAGATAATATCTTAATAAAATAATAAAAAGAAAAACTTATCAAAAAACTTTTAAAATAAAAGATTCAGGAAAGAAAAGAATAATATCATAATCTAATAACTTACAGTCATATCCTTCTAATTAGATAGGATATCAGATACCTAATCATAGGGAAACTATAATAAACTAATCTGTTTTATTAATTAACAGAACATAATACTTTATCTTACTCTAGAATAGAACAGAATAAAGGAAGTATTACTTTGGCTGACTCCAGAACAGAAGAAAGTAAGACAAAAAGGAAAGAAAAACATTAAACTATATAATCATAAGTATTTCCTCTATATCTAATTACTTCCTTTATAGTTCTTTAATTATCAATTTAAGACTATTCTTTTAAGCATAATAAGAGGACTTCAAGCCTCTCTGATAAACAGAACATACTTAACTACTTAACCTATTACTAATACTGTTACCTTCAAATCAAGAAAACCCCAGATTAGCCAATCCAACAACGACTATACCTCTCTGAGGCATAGGTTCGTCACAGAATCCTTTTAAATATTATTAATTTATAACCTTAATAGAATAATTAATTTATTTAACTTATTATCTACCTGGAATAAGATAATTTTAGCTAAAAGATTGGATATAATAAGGGATGAGATATAACTTTCTATTAGGTATGGTAGGTGGTTTGTAAGAGATATTACAAAATGTCTATTTCCCTTTTCCCTTCTTTGGTTCCTTATGTCTTATCCTGTGTAGTTACCTTCCTGGGATCTTCCGTCGGGATTGTCATATATGGGCCCCTGCCTCTGGGTAGGGAGCTGATTTAGGTTATCTCTTGGTTCTTAGAGTGTTAGTGGTATTATAAAGTATCTTTTTTTTGGTTTTAATGTTATAAAATGTCCTGGGAAATTCCCTTCTTGCCTTGTGTATAGACGATTACATCAGTAATGATTTATCAGTTAATTTCTATTCTTCCCTTCCAGGCCTTTTATACCTATGTTCCTATTCTTTTTCTATAATAAAAGATATTTAAATAAGGATAAGATATCTATTAATTAACTTTATAAGATTTTAAATCTTAATTTTAATTCTAATCTTAATCCTTATCTTTATATTTACTAATGTTCCAAAGTTTTTTTTAAAGGAATATTTCTTTATTAAGGGAATTTTATTCTATTTTAGCCTTTTAATTATTTTATATCCTAATATTTTGACCTTTATGTTTAGAATTTTTACCTAATTTATTAGATTTAAGTTTTAAATATTATTTGATGTTTAAGGTTTGTAAAGAAAAGTAGATTTTTGGCCTTTTGGCCTTTTGGTAATCTTTGGCATTTCTAAATATTGGGAGAACTGTCTTCTTGTTCTCGTTTTCTATATTAGAATATAAATTCAGAATCCTTGTTTATTATTTTTGATATATTTTTGCCTTAAAGAATTATAAATATAGTAAAACATTTCTTTATTTCTCTTTAAATGAAAATGTTAACATAATAATCTTTAAACTTTTCAGTTTTTTAATTTATAATTTTAACTTTTTCTCTTTTTTAATTAATTAACCCTAACCTTAATCTTAATCCTAACCCTAAGATATCTTAGATTAATTAATTTAATAATAACTATATTTTTTTAAGGCATAGGTTTATCACATTTACCTAGTCTATAATATGTGACCATAAGATATTAAGTTATGATAAAAAGTTATTTATATAAATTAAATATAATTAAAATAAATATAACCTGTTACATGTATTAAGGACTAGTCTAAGCTCGCTGAGATAATTAAAAATGGGTTTAAAAAAATGACATAATAACCTAAGAAATCTCAAGTATACACTGTGTTTTAACATATTAACGGTTTATATGAAACCGGCGCACGGTATTTGGCCCTTTTCGCGCTATCGTCCGCTGTTCATACGTATCTTTATCATGTTTTAAATCGGGCTCATTCGCGTTACCAATTCACAAATTGCCGCCACCGATCTTCCTCCCATTAATTCAAAGACGGCCACTTCGGCCGAAAACTCCTTAGTAATCCAGTTTTTAATTTCCATGGCTACTAACGAGTCAACTCCAAAGACGTGAAGCGGTTGACTTGAGTCAATGTCCTCTAACTCGATTGACAGCGCCCGTGCCAGCTTCTTAGCTAGAGATTCAAGCACGATGCTAGCTCGTTCCTCAGCCGATTCGGCCCGTCGGAACCGGGCGCCGTAGTTAACGTTACTTCTCGCCGTACTGCCCTCCTGCCCGCTGGAGGAGTTAACGTGAGCAGTAAATAAAGGCCTTTGCATGGCCTCTGGCAAGTTGGCGGGCGCACCGAGGCCCATGATGATGTGACTGGGGCTAGGCGGGCGCTCTGGGTCACAGCACAAATCAAGAAACGCCAATACCTCGCCCTCGCTAACTGGACGAGATTCACGAAGGCCTGATGTGAGCTTCTTTTGGAGACCCTCGGACTCAGCCACGACACCCACGTCGCGAACCACACCAAGGTCAAGAGACAATGCCTTTTGGCCATTGCGAGTCCGGTACTGGGCTACTGCGTCCTGAAAAGCGCAGCCAGCGGCGTAGTTAGACTGCCCGGGATTTCCGACGATTCCGGATATAGAGGAAAGAAGTATAAAAATGTCTAGGTCGTTAGGTAGGAGAACGTGGAGATTCCAAGAGGTCTGGACCTTGGATCGGACTGTCCTCTCCCACTGGGAATAGGTCATATTGTCGAACATGGTGTCCTAAGTATTCCACATCAGCCTTTGACACTCATTTATCATTTGCTTATCCGCGCCACGTACATTAAGAACCATGGCGGCGTTTATACATCCCTTTATACGGGGTAAGGTTTCGTTGCACTCTGTAAGGAGACGGGATAGGTCTTCTGCCGCAGATACATCGCATTGAGGCGTATACACGACTACGCCTTGCTGAGCAAGTTCCTTCACCACCTCGGCAGCGACGGACCTATGCTTGGTTCCCGATCTTGAGGGTACGATTAGGTACTTTGCTCCCTTCTGGACCATCCACTTGAGTACAGACCGCCCAATCCCGCCCAAGCCACCAGCAATAACATAGCACGCATTGCTGTCAAAGGTCCATGTCATACGGGGCGTAGAGAGATGTTTCTACGGTTATCTATGATTAGCTACCTTAAATGTTGGTCGGGGCTGAACTTAAGGCCTACCTCAACCAAGGAAGAGGGGTCAAGGTCAATAATGACTCGCCCTGTATTTTTCCCACTTTGGAAATACCTAAAGGCTTCTTCTAGGGTAGATACGTTATACGAGTGTAATGGCGTTGGCGCGTGAAAAACTCCCTCGGTTACGAGATTCATCGTTTTACGCATCAACTCGGAAGCAATATCTTGCCTATGAAGCAATATGTGGCGAATATCGACGGCGGCAAAGGTCACGTTTTTTCCGAGTTGAGCTATGGGGAGTTGGGAGTTCGAATGGATGTCAGCCTTTCCAATCTCAACGAACCGTCCGTAAGGAGCTATACACTCCCAGGAGGCGCGCAGGCCTTCGCCTACTAACGAGTTCAAGACAATGTCAACGCCATACCCATTAGTAAGGAGGCTTATGCTCTCGACAAAGCTCGTGTTCCTACTATAAAATATATGGTCCTCCGGGATCCCGTACGTTTCTACGAGAAGTTGCTTTTTGTAGTCATAACCCACGGTGGCAAAAATTTCGGCCCCGAAATGCCTTGCTATCTGCACAGCGAATTGGCCAATGCCTCCCGAAGCTGCGTGTATCAAGACCTTATCATCCTTTTGTATGCGGGCTATGTCAACTAAGGCCCTCCATGCTGTAAGGCCTGGGCTAACAGCAGCGCATGCGTGCGCGAACCCTATGTTTTTAGGTATTTTGGCGATGCTGCCCTGGTCAGCACGCGGATACATCCGCATGCATCCGATGGCAGCCATACACACTCGGTCCCCTGGTCGAAACAGGTCGCACTGCGGCCCGACTCGGGTGACAATACCAGCACAGTCTAGCCCGAAATCGTCCTCTTCCAGCCGACCTAAGGCAATAAATACATCCCGGAAACTAAGGCCCCAAACTTTCGCCTGAATTTCGACTTCTCCTGGGCTAAGATTACCATCGAAGCTGTCATCTTGTATCAGCCTAAGTGTCTCGAGCGACCCGGGGCTCTCAATTTCGACCTTTAGGGCAGGGCCGGAGGACAATTCTTCTGTTCTTACGAGTTTCGGTCCTGCGTTGCTAGATTCGTTGTTGCCATTCACGACAAGCTTCTCATCGAGGGTCGTCTCGCTGATTAGCCGACCCGTGTAGAAGACTCCATTCTTGACTACGTACTCGACTTCTGGCTTTGCTGCAGTAAAGCCCGATGTGAAAGCCTGGGTGATGTACACGGCAGCTTCCTGAGCGGAACAAACCTCGTTATCTCCTTCCAGGGAAAGGGAAACGATACGCTTGCCAGAATACTCTGTACGAATCGCGCGGAGAAAACCATTGCTGGCCCCTGAGAGAGGTATCGGCGAGTGGCCTTGCCTAGAATAGTCGGTAGACGTTATCCAAAGTATGTTAGACGCGCTTTGTATCAGTTTTCGAACAGGCGTGAAGAGACTTTCGGGAATCTGTGCCAATAATGATTTGCCCAACTCAGCGAGAAAAACGAGCGACCTTGGCAGGCTATTCTTGGCGAGTTTGGTGGCCAGCTGTGCAAGAGAAAGAAGCTCGGCTTTTTTGAAGAGCGTCGTCGTCAATAAGAATGATGCTATATTCTTTTGGTATTCATTTTGATCGTCTATAATCAGAAGACTCTCGGGCCCTTCCATCGTGGCAGGCTCTTCAACTGCATCTGAGATTATCGCGTTGCCATTTCCAAGACCTGGGACGGCCATGAAAATACTGGAAAACCCAGCAGTGTCCAACAAAACTCCCCAGTCTAGCTTCCTCGTTGCAGCTTCTCCAATTAGGGGGCTCTGTTCGTTGCAAGAGTCCCTGGGGGTGTTTGTATCTGGAACGCCGTGGATTACAAGGTAACCTCCAGGTTTCAAAGCCCGACGTATGCTGCGCATGAAAGAGGCTAGGTCTCTTGTATCTGTGTTGCATGACACATCTTCTCCAGAGAAAAAAGCGATACTGTATGCACCCTGTTCCAACCCTTGGCTATTAATATCATTTTCTTTATGAAAGGTTGCAAAACTTAGTCGGTCCGACTGGTAATTTGTTGTGTATTCCTCGCGAACATCTTTTACCGGGGCCTCCGAGGCTTCAGTATAGCAGTACTCAGAAAACGCAATACCCCCTATGCTCTCTTCGACCTCATTCAGTATTGAGAGTATGCGATCCATCGTGTCTCTGGAACCGCTGCCTATCTCGAGCAGCCTTTGACTAGGAGTCTCATGTGAGGTCAGTTGCAAGAAAGACTTGAAGTCTTTACAGTAGTTCTGCAGCTGGGACCGGTTCAATTCCGAGAGCTGCGGCTTCCATACAATGCTATGGAAGAGCTTGTTCTCGCCGACGTTCTTTGTTATGCCACCTCGCGTCCCCGCCGGCAGCATCTCGATTTTCTTAATACGGCAAAGAGGCATACCATCATCGCTTAATATAGTAAAAGAACAATCGGCGCCCATCACACCTGCCTTGAGTCTCGATCTACTTAGAACTCGTATCTGCCGTGTGTTAGGATACTGCCAGCCAGTCGGCGAGATCCAAACATCTTCCAGTTTGTGAAGTATCATGGTCGGCAGGCGTTTGGTCATGCCATGTGAGGCCGCGGTGAAAGCCACTTGGAATGCACAATCGAGGACCCCCGGATGAGCAATGCCGTCGTCAAAAGGCTCGGCCGACGCCAGATCAATATGTCCGATTCCAAGCTCACTACCATCCCAGAAGATTCCTTCGGTTAAGGAAAAAGACTGGCCATACTTGAGGCCCTGCTTAGCATGCCATTTATAAAAGTCAGACGTCTTTACCGGCTTGATACACGTTCGCTTCGCATTTTCAAAGGCTTGAACGGAAGCCTGTGCAGCAGCGTAAACTTCGCGCTCACCATTTACTTTATCGGCAATATCCTGAGCATATTCAACGCGAATGATAGCACTAGAACACTCGTTCCAATAGCTGTCTACGCAAGCGAATATGCGTACTTCAAAACGCGCATTCGATTTTTCATACCATTGCTGCAGTGGACGTAATTGCGTTATGACCTCGGTCTTGCTTTCAGGTCGCACCACGATTGGGCTTATGAATGTAATCTCTTTGACAACAAATCCAATTATTTCCTGGTGCGCCTGCGCTTTTTGCTTAACTGCTTCCAATGCCATTATCAAGATGCCAGTACCAGGGAAGTAGGGGACGTCGCCGACCACATGATGGGAAATCCATGGTATATCCTCGACACTCAGCATCAAGCGCCAACGTGGCTCGAGCGGGTTCCAGTCCGTGGTGCGGGAACCAAGAAACTTTGGTGCTGTCTCACGCAGACGCCAGTCTCGACTCAACCGGGTCTCACGCCAGTATGTTTGGGAATGGTCAAATGGGTATTCTGGTACGTCAGCCAGGAATGGTTGACTGGAGTCTTTATCTTGCTGGTTTGCTGCCGTGAGACATACGGGATAACCACGAGCAAAGAGCTGACCACCCATATTCAAGACCGCCATCAGAGGAGAATTGTCCTTTGATAGTGTAGATATGTATTCGACGTTTCTGCCCGCTATGACGGACCCTACTGTGTCGCATACAGGCTTGCGGAGGGATCCGGAGGGCCCAATTTCGAGATAGATAGATAAGGGTTTAAGGCCGTCAGCTCGGGGCGCCGCAATCTCGAGGTATTGCAGCGCATCCGAGAAGCGAACTGGTGATATTAGGTTATCCACCCAATATTGGCTGTTAGATAATTGGCTCCTCGAGACCTTCTCGCCAGTGATAGTAGATACCATGAGAATATCATAAGCCTCACCATCCTGGTTTTCCAAGGCCCCTAGACAAGAACGATACTCAGAAGCGATCTCTTGCATAGCAGGGGAATGATAAGCGACCCTCGTCGCCAACTTCCAAGCAAAAGTATTTTCTTGATCTAGGTAATGCTTTATTTTGTCGATAAGCTTTTCATCTCCAGAAAGAGTAACATTCGAAGGACTGTTGACGCAAGCCACGTGGATATGATCATTTCCTATATCATGTTTATCCAAGTAAGACTGCACGTGCCCTTCCGGCAAATTAACCGACATCATAGCCCCGGGTCGGGACGTTTCGGTAGCTAATTGTGCAGCTAGCCTACCTCTATGGTATGCTATTCTGCAGGCGGACTGGAAAGAAATAGCGCCAGCTGTATATGCTGCCGCAATTTCACCAGAGGAATGGCCGACGACTGCCGCTGGGACTACGCAGAAACTCTTGAGAAGCTCGACAAGACAAAGCTGTAAAGCTGTACCCAATGGTTGGCTAAGCTGGGGGTCGTTGATCTTGTCCTGTTCCTGCATGGCGTCTATTGTGCAGCTCAACGATCAGCAAAGCAATCTCAGATTAAGATAACGAATTCTCACCATATAATGACCAAGAGGCCCCCAAATCACGAAAAGCTGTATCTGCCCTCTCAAATGCAGACCTAAAGGCCGAGTATACAAGCAATTCCAGCCCCATTCCCGCATACTGCGCACCTTGGCCAGTAAAGACGAAAGCGAGACCTACGTCTCGGGAGGAACGGAAAAAAGGTACCTTGGGCGGAAGACTTGGCGTACCTACCTTCACAACGGCGAATGATCTCCATGTCAACCGGTTCCGCTTCTCGGAGAGAGTATAAGCAAGCTGGTTCGGGTTTGGTTTTCGTGATTCTATGTATCTGGCGTGTCGCTGAAACATTCTCTTGAGGGTCCCTTCGTCTTTTGCTGACCATACAAGAACCTTGTATATGGAGCCCGCCTCGGGCGAGGTCGATAGTGAACCATCACCGTTCGGGTGCAGCTGCAGCTGTACTTGAGTCCGGCAATTTCCTTTGAGGCCCAACTCTCGAAGGCAATGATAAGCGTCGTCAAGAATTACGTGGCCATTGGACCCGCCAAAACCGAAAGAATTGACCGAGATGCGACGAAGACCACATGATGGCCATGGAATACATGATGTCGGAACCTAGGCGAAGTCAAATTTTTATCACCGTATGCAGCAAGAATAGGGGCTCCTAACTGTACCTGAATATTTAGCGATTTTGCATTGATTTTTGGGTTCAACTTCTCAAACAAGGCGTTTGGTGGAATGACGCCTTTCTCGAGGATTACAATGCTCTTGAGCATGCCGGCGAGCCCGCTTCCACCTTCCAGGTGCCCAATATTGGCTTTGATGGACCCGCTGTCGAAAGTGGTCAGTTCAAGAGTTGAGCAGACTAAGGTACAAGACGTAACCTACATATATAACGGGCTTCCGGAAGAGCGGCTGCTTTTGAACACTCGACCTAGAGCTTTCGCCTCGCTCGAGTCACCAAGTTGTGTTCCAGTCCCTGCCGTGTGTCAGAAATATGCAAGAAGCGCGGCGCAGCGCCGAAGTCTTTTACAGCGCCCACCACCACCTCGACTGGGACGAAACTACGCAGTTCCAAATGATCTATCAGATACTTCTGCTCCATTCTAAGATTCTCACAACGAAAACTTTTCGTGTATCCTGGCTTCTTTCGTGCTAGTAGTTGGGACGTTGGTGAAGGAGTGAGTTAAGATAGGAGGGAGAGCATATTATAAAGAATCTATCCGAACCGGGGATTGCGGGTGGAAAGGTTACCTACCATGAGCTTCAACATAATGCGTCGACTCAAATCCGAGACCACAGCTTCTATAAACGGTCCTAATCAACTCCTCCTGAGACTCACTACTCGGCTGCCAGATTCCTGGCGTATGGCCGTCCTGATTCGACCCGGTAGCTCGGATCACAGCTCGGATCATGTCACCGTCTGTGACGGCGTCGGTTAGGCACTTCAGCACAAATACGATGGCACCCTCTCCTCTAGCGTAGCCGTTAGCCCGGTGGTCGAAACTATAGCATAAGCTATCCGGCGATAGGACATTCATATTTGTTAGGTAAATGGACATCTCTGGACCCAACATAACGCTAGACCCCGCGACGAGTGCCTTGGCTCCACGTTAGCATCCCCCTCTCCTACAGTATTTTATAAATATGAGCGCTCTTAGGGTCGAGGGTCTCACCAGAGAACTTTGTCCTGTCCGTAGAGACTGGCAAGCCAAATCTACGGCAATCATACTCGAGGAGCACGCCGTGTTGACCTGGACACTGGGTCCCTTTAAGTCGAAATACCAACTTATGCGATTGGCCAGCATAGCCATTGCCTGACCCGTAGCGGCGTGGACGGCCGCTTCGTCGGGGTCCTTGGATACAGTTCGCGAGTAGTCATCCGCCATAGACCCCGCAAAGACACCCGTGGACGTCCCAGCCACTTTACCCAAAGAGATTCCAGCTGTTACATATGTAAGTACTATGTCGGTAGGGTTAGAGGATATGTACACAGTTACCGTTCTCTAGTGCTCTGTACGATGTCTCTAAGAGGATTTGCTGCTGGGGATCCATTGCTGCAGCCTCCTTGGAGTTCATAGAGAAAAAGGGGGCGTCAAACTCGCCAAGTTTCCCGTTAAGGAAGTGCCCTCCCGTCGAATGAAGCTATTTCAAGAACATCTATTAACCTAGTCATCCAGTTGTACACATCGTAACGCGAGGGATAACACACCCTGTTTATCTGCGATGAATCCATGCTGTAGAAACCATCGATATTAATTCGGTCCTCAGGCCAGGGTGTCATAACGTTTTTACCACCTTCTAGAGTTTCCCAAAGGCCCGAAAGGTCCTCGATTCCCTGTGGGAGCTTGAAAGAGAATCCTACGATAGCGATGGGCTCCATGATGACGCTAGGCGATATCAACCTACCTGGATAGAAGTCAAGGCGTAAAGTGATACGCATTTGTTAAATAGTCCATGTCTGGCGTGGACCATCCCCTATGTGCAGAATGAGTTGGTGGGTATATCGCTGTAGCCAGACGGCCCAAGCGCCGATCGAAGGATTCGGCTGTCTCTGTACAACGCGAGATCCAGAATCTTACACAGTTTAGAAAATTTATTGGTAAGTACTGAACTATCTCGGAAAACGGAGTATCTGCTCCTGTTGTCTCATCGCACTGACTTGTTACCAACCAACAACATGTGGTGTGACTTGGGGGCTTAAACTACAATATGCCAGTTCAATATAATCTACACCAACCCCCACCCCTCCAGCCCTTCGCTTCGCATCCACTCATATACCTTGGCCGCCGCCTTTGATGCCTTCGCTTCCGTTGCTCCCTCCTCAATGGCCAAAATCTCCTCCACCCATGCAAACATCGAGCTCACAAAATTCTCGATCTGCGCCTCCGTATTAGCTGCATGGACAGTCATCCTGATGCGACCCTGACCCGGCGCTACGACTGGGTGCTCAATCGGCCAGGTGCAGTAACCTGAAGACAACAAGTGGAAGTACAGCCAGTAGAGGTATTTTTGACGCGTCCAGATCGGCACTATATGGGTAAGAAAGGAGCGGCTCTCCCAGCCGTCGGCTAAGGGGACCCAAAGAATACCTTCATTTCGGGCCTTTTGCCACAGAGGGTGTGTCGTTAGTGTTTTGTAGAAGAGCTGAGCGATGTGCTGCAGGCGGTCCATAGACTGCCGTCCCTCTTCGCTCTGCAGCAGATTGTACCCCGCCTTGATGGCTGCGACGAAGGGGAATGACGGCGCTGTAGTGAACGTTGTTGACCGCGCAAAGTTGAGAAGGGCGGACTTTATGGTCTTGTGTCCTAGGATGCATGCTACATAGAAGTTAGATCGACGGCTCGCAAATTCTTGCTGGTTCAGGTATTGGGTGCCTAAGGTATGATCCCGAACACTCCTCGAGTGTCATAATAAAATGATGACTCAGATAGGTCTCGGTCGTCGTTTTGTGATGTAAGGTCATGTCAAGATGAGAAACGTACCTCCGGTCGCACCAATCGCCTTTCCAAAAGTGTGCACTCGCACGGCTACCCGGCTTTCTAGGCCGAGCTCACGAACGAGCCCGGAGCCGTTTGGACCAAAGACGCCCGTGCTGTGTGCTTCATCAACAAAAAACTTGATGTTATCCTGCCCTTGGAAAACCTCATCTGCTACATCAATGAGCTCTTGTAGCGGGCAAACATCACCATCCATGCTATACACGCTCTCGACAGCCACGAGAACGCACCGCTTTCCTTGCTTGATCAGCGGTTGCGAGTCTAGTACCGAGAGTAACACCTCCCGGAAAGATTTAGTTTCGCTGTGCAAAAATTCAACTTTCTGCATAGCTAGGCTCAGGCCCAGACCCTCATGTGTGCTCGCATGTACTAGTGAGTCGTATACAATCACATCACCCGGTCGCGGGATCGCCTTCCACACGGCTAGATTCGCTTCGAATCCCGAATTAACAATCAGGCCAGCCTCCGCGCTATGGAACTCAGCGATCTCCCTCTCTGTGGCCTCAAGGTATGAGTAAAAGCCGTCAAGGAGCCGTGAGCCTCCGGCGCCTGGGTTAAAGTTCGGGTGCTGGGCGAGTTCATCGAGGAATTTACCCCGCAAGGTACCTCTCGCGTTCCAAGAGAGTACGTCGTTGGAGGAGAAGTCTATCATGTCTAACATGGTCTGCCACTCACTCTCCACTACGCAGCGGAGGTTATAGGCGGCACGTCTTTGGTCTAGAGCTTCTTCCAAGTTGCGATAGAAAGTGTCTGCGGGCTTGCTTACGGGCTTCATGCTTCGAATTCTGAATGCCAGAGCCCCAGTAGGCATCATTTCAACATATTCTCCATTTGGCGCCATGGTGTCGGTGCTCTGCAGAAGAGCTTGTGTCTGCCAACTGAAGCAAAAAAAAAACAGGTATGCACTAAGTAGCTACCTAACCTGTACCTAGCCAGTCTATGAATTTCAGGGCTGTCGCAGGATCCAAATACATTAATCATCCCCGAGAGCCTGCTGCTCTAGCGCCCATGAGTGCAGATCGTGAACGAGTCTTACACCTCAGCTGCATTGCATGGTTGGTCTTGGCATAGGCGCCCCTTAATACAACCCTGTCCGTTTACATATACACCCCCCCCTTTTACAAGGCATCACAGATCCTACGCCGATGGTGAACATAACAACAGATACGTACCTGGGAAGGTATGCCGAGGTACGGGTACGGGTACGGGTAAGGGTAAGTTTCGCAACTACACGCCTAGTTTGTAGTTTATCGCATAAAGCACATAAAGGTTGACCGTTTGAGTAATTATGAAACAGCCATTATTATCACCATAATTAAAACCTGAACTGTAACTGTAATATCTGTACCCACCTAGCACCACAGAAACTCCAGAATCGCATCAAATAAATTACTTAGGTATCTTCAGTTTACGGGATACCCTTCTCTTCCTAAGAATCGTCGAATCTCTGCCTGCCTAGATCTTCCTTCTCTAAATCAAGTTGCTTTGTGAGTAAAGATGTTACCAAGCCCATACCTGATATCGAGGCGAGGACAATCCATACGGTACGGAATGGAATCCGATAGGCTTCTGTTAATCGACCAATGGTCTCCGTATCCAGACTTAAAGTCCTAAGCATTGGAATGAAACCAATGGCTTGGCGCGGGTCGGATAGTTGGCTGATCTCGGCCGGCAAGGGTCCGAAAGTTGCAATCTGATCAGCGAAGCCACTACTAAATACGACGGAACCAATAGCTAACCCCAGCACGCCTCCTAAGAAACGCGTTATAACCAATAGACCAACCAACCGGCCGCTATCATCGGCTTCTTCCACGCTTGCCTGCAGAGGGAAGGGTACCGTTTGGAAAACGATGCCAAGTCCGACGCCGATAAAGACGAGGAACGTATCTTTCTCTGCCTTAGACGACGTCTGGTCCACAATACACCAAAGGCCGGTGAAAAGAGTAAGGATAACCCATCCAATGTGCAGCAGAAGCGTATATCGCCTAGTGAACTCCACACATACGGGCGCAAAGAAACTGAAAGCAACAGTGGTTACGCATGCTGGAAGCATGAAAATAGCTGATTCTAGAGGCGTCTGCAAATAAACGGCCTACCATGCGTTAGTGTTCTAGAGAAATTCTAATCCATAGTTGCATATGCAGGTGTATATACGCATTTTCCAATGGCGACAAATGGGGATATTGGTAATTCGTAACATAACGAATCCCTTAGAATGTTTCTTAAACTTACCTGGAAGAAAAGGGGTAAGTACAACAGAAGAGAAAATAAAAGAAGCCCGTGTATGGATCCTCCTATTATTGACACAATGGCGGTTCTGTTTTTAAACAGGCGATAGGGTAGCATAGGTTGGATTGGGCGGGCCTCATAGAAACCGAAAGCGATGAACGCAACTATCCCAAGAATCAGAGGTAGGATAGTTCTCCAAGAGGACCACGGGTACAGCGTGTCTGCCCAGCTAACTGGCAATGAAACGCACGTTGCGCCCACGGTAAACAGGAACATGCCGCCCCAGTCGAGCCGGCGAAGTTTCGTTTTTAGGTCCAGGCTGATGGGCCGAAGGTGCATAAACACGAGCGCCAGGGGTATAGCTAGGCCAACGAAGGGTAGATTGATCCTATATATTATTAATTAGATCATTTTGTTAAAAGCCACTTCGAATTCTTTCCGCACCAACCAAGCCAGCGCCATGTCACAAATTGGCAAAACAGCGCACCTATAATTGGACCCATGACAGAACCGACCGCAATAGGTAACGCCATTAGCGCAAGATACATAGGTCGTTCTTTCAAGGTCGTCATATCGACGATGATGATCTCTTGAAGAATATCAAGGCCCCCGCTGTCAGAATCTAGAGTTAGTCCTCCCTCTTTCGCTGCGAGAGAATGGCAGATGTAAGCATACCCACCAAGACCCTGTACAAGACGCCCAACAATAACTACTGTGATACTCCGGGCAACGGCGAAGAGAATAGAGCCCACAGTGAAAAGTACCATGGCAATGTAGAGTGGGACCTTCCGACCCACAACGTCCGAAATACTGAGGTAGAGTGGTTGAGAAATAGCAACGGCGAGCGTGAAGGCGATGCTTGCAAAGAGAGACTCCAATGTCGTAGCCCGCAGTTGCTCGGCTATGACCGGAATTGCCACAGATAAAGCGACAGTATCCCATGCAACAATCAGTGCAAGGAGCCCAAGGCAGAGCAAGGACGCATAAAAGGAGATAGGCTTCCCGCCCCCCTTGCCGTGAAGGGCCGTGGCGACATGTTGATCTCCTTCCGACGTGTCGGCGGGTTGAACATTAGTTTTTTGGTCTTGGATTCGTTGACCTTCTATTCCTGCAATTGCTCTCCCAGATTCCTCACCGAGCCCTGCATCAGCTGAAATATTCTGATGGTGCTCCATTATTACCTACGTACGTCATGCACACGAGTATGGCTTTGAGAGAATGCCGAACGGCCGCGCGCGAAAAAAGGGGGGAGAGCAAAGGGTTCAGAAACTTGATTATCTCGAGTTTATAAAGAGATTGTTTCATGTAAATAAGTGGCCAAAGGTACCTAAAGGCTAAGTACGAATGGCGTTTATCGTGCTGCTTAAACTGACGCTAATGGTTTAAGTCTAGGTGAGGCTGATATAACTACCTAAGTGCTGTAAAGAAGAGAATGATGTAGTTTCTAAATTTTTATCCCAGTCAGAGGCCCGAGTAGGTACCTGTTATAAGGGTTTAGGTGAAGCCTCTAGCGCGTCTTGGCATTGAAACGAACCAATGAATGTAAATTTAAGTTTTTATGGTGTTCACTAATTTTAGAAAGGCCCCTGCAAAGCAAACTGTGAACAGCGCAGCCCTTCATAAATAAACCAATTAATCCCGTGACTCTTCAATCTTTTTCTTATTACCCCATTTTGAGACTTGACTATTCATATCCCACATAACGAATGCCATGATAAAAGGCAGGATCCACGCCATCAACGTGTCTACAAACCAGTTATTCCGCGGTGAGTTACTCATAGCGCCCCATCGCATCAAGTCGCCCATGAACGACGTCGTGACAAAGTAACGGCCCTTCTCGATACCGGCGATGGATAAGCGGGCGACAGTGTCCGGGTCCTGGGGTTTATCGGTGCCTTCAAGCTGGACGGTGATTTCCGGTTTGGTCTCATTCTCGCGATCATAGCCGGCCGTAGTTATAGAGTTAGGCATAACGAGGTGCACTTCAATAGGAACTTCTGGGTATAGGCGGACCTCCATGACGAGAGCGTCGGCGAGGGCGCGGAGGGCAAACTTGGAAGGGGCGTACGTTCCGTGGCCAGCTAGGGAGAGGGTGGAGAGGACAGAGCCAGTGAAGATGATATGTTTAGCGGCAGGACGAGATGTTTGCGGTCGCTCTTTTTCGTTTTCAGGGAGGAGCCAGGCACGCATGATGGCTCGAGACATTTCAGCGCTGCCGAAGTAGTTGACATCCACTGTCGCAAGAATTTGATGAGTGATCTATATTCCACTATACACTCGATTGGAAGTCGCCACTACTTACTGTTATATCGTGCAGCCTCGAGAGCCCCGTCATCCGTCCACAGCATGGGTGTAGAAAGGCCAGCCAAGCACCACACAATCTCAGGCGGATGTCCGTTGTTCCAGGCCGTTGCATCAGCAACAACGCCCTCCGCATAGTTGGATTTGGCTACATCAGCCGCAATGAAGTGGAAGCGCTGCGTCCCGGGAGACTTTGCCGCGGCCTTGATACTCTTCACTGCCTCTTCAAGCTTTAGCAGGTTCCTCGAGACAATAACAATGTTTGCTCCCCTGCTCGAAAATATGCGTGCTGCGCTGAGGCCGGTACCTTCAGACCCGCCCGTGAGGAGAATAGTCTAGGGGCTCAAGGTTAGCTGGTCCCTCTTTGGTTCTGTGCCGTTATCTATTAATTGGCAGTTGTCCCTTACCCGGCCCTCAACGGGCATATGGTTATGGCCAAACCAGCCCATCTTTTTGAAACGACAACGGGCTGGGCACCGATTAAACGTAAATGCGAAGAAATTTTAACTCCCTAGGCCGCAGATTACACTGAATAGATTTTTTCATGAAAAAAATTGAATTGAATTGGAAATTGGAAATGTGATGGGGTAAGGCTCTGGCATCCGGAAATTGGAGTTAGCTGATACAACCACACCCTCCTTTAATCCTTAAGCTCTGCAAGTTTATGTCGTACAACCAGCAATAACCTTGGAACTCATCTAATGAGATTGATTGGTCATATAGATAGGTATCTAGGTATCTAAGTAATCTATCGAAATACATACATCTGTATGTAACCCTGAAAGAAGGTACGACAGTGCTAAACTGTGTTACACCAATTTCCAAGTTTACGTAGTGAAACATGGTCCTTCAGCGAGAAGATGACAGCCTACCTACCTAAATGCGAATATAATCGACGGTTGGTTGCATGGCCCCCAAGCCAGCCTTGTCTGTCTGTACTCGGCTTGATAATATGCCTCAAAAGAGACGACGCCGCAACTGTGGTAACATCTGGGTACCCACAAGCGAGGATCAGCATTGCTTTTCTATTTCTTACACTCTTTGTGTGCAAGTCTAAAAGACCCGTCCCATAGCTTTCAAAATAGACGACGGGCGGAGTCCGATCTAGATATATGACATAGCAACCTTAGAATATATATATTTCTTAGATTCACCTAACCAATCCACGATGGGTTTCAACTCCACAAATATCCCACCAGAAGTTTTAGCTGCGCTACCCGCCGAGTTGCAAGCGCAGGCGCCTTTGTATGACCAAACGGCACAACCCAAGATTTACGCAACATTGGCAGTGTGCACGGTCATTGCCTATGTTGCGCTGGGACTGCGGCTCTACGCCAGACGGATCACGAAGCAGGCATTTGGATTAGACGACGTTTTCACGAGTTTGGCGGTGGTACGTGCATCTAAACCTGCCGAAGCCTAGATTCGGTCTTCACTAACGTACCTACAATAGGTCTTCACAACCATTAGTGTCGGCTTGTTGGCCTATCTGGCGAGTCTAGGAATGGGCCGGCATGAAATCGTCATAGTTCTCGAGCATATAGAAGACTTTGACGTTCTGAATAAGACGCTCATTGCTTCAAGTGCCATGTACCTCCCGGTTATTTTCTGCATTAAGGCCTCCGCGATCTTCCTGTATCGCCGCGTCTTTCCAAACAGACGCTTCCATATTGTCTGCTACATCATACTGACCTTCACTGCCCTCTATGCCCTCACTGCCATCCTAGTGCTCACTATCTCCTGCCTACCGGCACTTCCACCAACGGCCGAAGAGCCTGTGGCCCAGCTCAAGTGTGCCGACAACTACCTCATCAACACCCTGCTAGTAATCCTCATTACAAATGTTGTCTTAGACGCCATTATCCTGTGCCTTCCGCTTCCACTTATCTGGCAACTGCAAACGACCCTGCGAAAGAAGTTGCAACTCACCCTAGTCTTCACCCTCGGTTCATTTATCTTTATCATCTCAATAATTCGTGTCGTTGCGGTCAAGAGGCTGAATCCACTCGACGACAATTGGGACTCAACAGATGTGGAGCTTTGGTCAATTGCCGAGTCGGCTGTGGTAGGTTTTATAACTATAGAATATTATGACCCCTCCAGCTAATACCTATAAATAATTACTAACAAGAATTCTTTTTTTAAAGGCCATCATCACAGTCTCCCTTCCTGTAATGCAGCCCGTCTTGCGTCAAGTCGTCTACCGAAAAGACGGAAGCTCCCGCATAACCTTAGCTCCAAACACCAACAGCCATATCAAAATTCCGAACGGCAGCAGCAACAACAGGCCTATTGCACTTTTGACGTTTGGGCGGAGTGGGATGAAGGGTCCCAGTGGTCGTAGGCCGCAAGAGTTAGACGTAACTACCACGGCGACGATCACCGTTGTGGACACTAATTTTGATGCTAGTGCAACGAGATTGGTGGCGGAGGACTACGGCAGTAGCAACAGGGCACATATAAAGCCTTGGGAAGACCACCGGAAAAGTAACACTCAACCTTAGGTATTCGGATAGCTGCTTATGCCTATGAGGCCATATTGATGGCGGCGTTCAAAACATCTGCTTCTCTTATCACCTACATCGCCGTGGCCGGTGTAACTAACTTAAGAGAAGTATATGGCTGACGGTCACGACTTAGGTATATCGGTGGGCGAGCACAGAATTTAACTATGTATTTACCCATATTGGCTTTCTTTAAGTCTACCCGCTTCGCGTTATCGTGCTACATGCGGACGAAGAACAGAAACGACTATTTCAGCAATGATGCTTTATATATATAGAAACTCTCAACACCGATAGATCCTCCCGGTCAAAAATTCATCATAAAACCGAAGTACCTAGAGATAGCTTAGGCGTTTTTCGATACAGTGGAGCTCCATTGGAACCTAGGTATTAACATGCGCCAATCACTCCAAGCATTATCCCCCGGCGGTGTATGTCCTGTCACTTCATTCAGTACAGGGCTAGGCCTCTGGCTAAAACTTATAGACTAGCTACACTACGAATAAAGACATCTATTAGAAATCAGATTCCCCAGGCATTCCCTTCGACTTTTCAAATCCTACTATAGGCATCTCAGCTTTCTATCCTTGTTATATTCCAATGAGCAGATGATAAAATAACTTCAATAATGATTGGCGCGCTGAGCTGGTTTATAATCGCATTTGATGCATTTGGATTAAAGAACAAATGTCACACTGTCGATATAATGAAGGCCTGTTTTAAGCCATCTCTAGAAGTCCAACGCGCTTTTCTCTACTACAACGCGCGTCTCGCTGCCGCACCGGTACGTCACATTTCATCTGAAAGCTATCCAATTGGTATACCGATTGAGGTAGTTACCTTTGTAAGATGAAGTACTTCAAGTATACGGTATGATTATTGGTACTGACCCGAAAGAAAAGAATAGAAACACGAATAAAAAATTCCGTCCCGGAGTTATCAGGGAAACTGGATTAGCCAGAGGCCAGGCTCTGCAAGGGGGCGACCAAACCGTAGACAGCTTGCGATAGAAGCGCTAATATAAGATCCAACGCCAACCTTATGAAATGATATCCGGCAAATATGTCAGCCTTAAATTAATCCATCTTCATCTCGTACTTCCATATATCTTTACCCTAATCGCAAGCATTAGTTGATCTCTCGCTGAGCTAGTAGGATAAATCTATGGCAAGCCCTTAAAACCAACGGTCAGGAATAATCCCTCTTGAATCTTCTCTACTTGGGCCTTAAGTTCACCGACATCCCAATTTGCCCAAACTGAGCGAGCTCGTAGGAATTTAGCTTCAGGGCTGGCCATCCACACCACAAAGTGTGCAGGTAGTTGAACTGAACTGAAGTTGTATAATGTACGTTAGCACACCGTGCGGCGCCTAGACTAATAATACGTAAAAATCCACCTTTATTCATGGGCAATTTGTCAGATCTGCCACCAGCTCTGTGAAAGTTATCAGTTTCAACCATGCCAGGATTGACAGTAGCAACGAAGAGATTCGGATTCTCGGCCGCCAAAAATTCGTAAATTTTGACTTGGGCAAGCTTTGAAGAGGCGTAACCTGATAGACCAGGTGTATGGTCGGCCGATACAAGTGAGGTGTCTGAGGCCACGCCAATGACAGTCGCATCAGCATCTGCTGTTGGGATAAAAGTCTTAGCCGCTAGCAATGTCCCTTTAACGTTTGTCTAGCGGGTGTAAGTTTTCGGTATGTTTTCGGTATGAATACATATACAGGAAATGAAAATTACTTCGAATCCCTTCCACCAATCTTCAACTTCGGATAGAACAACAGGAGCTCGGTCAGGACAATAGCCTGAAGACAGGATAAGTAAGTGCCACTTCCCTACCGCGGCAGCGGCATCTATTAAACTTTTCGCATTTGTTAAGTCGGCGACGTGGACCGAAGAGCGCGGTACAAGTGAGGCAGTTTCCTGCAGGGAGGTTTCAGTGCGACCTAGAAGAGCTATTCGAGCTGTTCCGGCGGTTGCGAACGTGAGAGCGGTCTCTCCCCCAATCCCACTCCCCTTTAAAATCGTGTTAATGGATAAACCTAGTTAAGTAGCGAAAACTTAACAACACTCAACCGACTTACTGCTCCAACAACTACGATAGTTTTGCCGTTGACATTCTGCTCTGGGCGCGAAGGAGAAATAGAAGGGTAGGTGTCGTTGTGCCATGTGACGGTTGGACATGGAAGTGGAGGCTGCATCTTGGCCAGCCCAAGCTTGTTTCGGAACAAATAATCAAGCAAAAACCAAGTCAAGTTAGGAAATCGAGCCATTGGATCAATGTTGTTGAATAGATTAGTTTTTGTCAGATAGACTATCCCTTGCATCAATCTCCTCGTTACACAATCTCAGACTAGGGAGATATCGGCATTGTTAAAAACATATATAATACCGCCCAAATTTACACAATTCAAATCTTATCAGTACCATACAAAATATTTTACAGCAACATGCTTCAGGCTAGAGATTTCGTAGTTGCGACGTAAAGAATTAGGAATGAGAATTCGTAGGTAGTTCCCCGGGTCCCTGGAACTTGACCAGCTACGTAGGTACTGCAGATGCCTGAAACGGGAATTTAGATCGGGTTGTATATGGTCCACGCTACCAGGAAAAATGATCACACAAATGGCGACACCCTCAAAAGCAAGTGCGTTTGTCTATATATAAACAACTTCCACATTAAGTGAGTGCTTGTCATAGCACTAATAAAGATGAAGATGATGGGGTAATCGTCCGCGTGGATGCGACGGTTGATAAGGTGTGTTGGAGGGATGCGAAAAATCATCAACGAATACAGAAACGCCATGAAAAGAAATATTAATAACAGCCAACCACGTGCTGACGTCATCAGCTTAAGCTGTTGGTGTACCTAGGTATCTGGGGTAACACGCCCCACACCTACGGAATAAGTGCACGTAATTTCAGTTAGCCTTCTTTCACCTGTTAACTTAACCTTCAAATACAACAGGTATGACACTCATAACCGGCATTTATTCCAACACCAACAGCACGGGTAAAAGTGTTTGGGCCCTATTATACTATGTGCTATGATTGAAAAAGACACAATGAGCTGGGCTATGTGCATACAAGCTTAGCCCTGCCCGAGACAACGAGTCGTCTGCATGTTGGTTGCCTTTGTGTGACAGTTCAACATTGACGTTTCTTAGGTACTTAACCTATCCCTCTGTTCACGACGACCGTTGTCGGTTACTTGATTCCTCCCGGGTCTCCTTTTTCATTCATGGATTCAATAACACATTAATTCGCATGAATATGTTTGGAATACTAACCAAGAGCCAGGCCCAGATAGTGGCGTTGCTTTCAATTATCGTCCTTCTCGGGGCGATATGGAAAGCAACGTCGCAGCCTTCACTGTCCACGCAAAAGCCGCTTGAATGTCGATGTTTCCCAGGAGATGACTGCTGGCCATCGTCTGAGGAATGGAGCCGTTTCAACGAAACCGTTCGAGGTAAACTAATCGCCACAGTGCCACTTGCCAGTCCTTGTCACGATGATTTCCCTGGCGTGAGTTACGATCCAGACAAATGCTCCGACATAAAAGCGAATTGGGCTCGTCCCTCACTACATTTCAAGACGACCCATTCTCCAATGGCTTCCTTTTTCGCCAATCAGAGCTGCGACCCGTTCACACCCCGCGATGCCCAATGTATCGTCGGTACCTATATATCCTACGCTGTTAACGCATCAGACGCATCGGACTATCGCGACACCATAGCCTTCGCAAGGGAACACAATGTACGGCTGGTAATTCGAAATACAGGGCACGATTATATGGGGAAGTCGACGGGCGCTGGTGCGCTGGCTATATGGACACATCACATAAAAGATACTACTATCTTGGACTACGTTTCTTCTGGTTACACAGGGAAGACTATGAAGATCGGTGCCGGTGTACAAGCATTCGAAGCTCAAGCCGTAGCTAGAGCAAACGGCCTGGTCGTGGTGGAGGGAGATTGTCCATCAGTAGGAATCGTAGGTGGTTACACACAAGGCGGTGGAACAAGTCCTTTAGGATCTAAATTTGGACTTGCCGCTGACCAAGTGCTGGAATGGGATGTAGTCACCGGAAATGGTGAACTTCTAACCGCTACCCCTAGTCAGAATTCAGACCTCTACTGGGCTTTATCAGGTGGTGGCGGCGGGACATATGGTGTTGTTCTCTCAATGACTGTCAAGTTACATCAAGATCATCCCACGGCTGGCGCTACCCTTTCTTTTACCGAGTCTTCCGACAAATATTGGGATATAATACAGGCGTTCCTAATGAACTTACCATCTATTATAGATTCCGGCGCCAGCGTTTATTTTCAATTTCTACCTGGCAACATATTTTCTCTACCACAGTCGTATTGCCTGGGAGGGAGTGCACATGATTTCGATCATCTCTTTCAACCTACCCTCCTAACCCTTAACCGGAGCGGAATACCTTATGGTAGGTTTGCCAGTCTGCGTTCATTTTTAATTACCAGTACAGCAACTGACACGCCTGAAACAGAATGGAATTCTCGTAACTTTCCGTGTTTCCAGGACGCATTCCACACGCTGAATCCCGAAATGAACATTTCAGACGTGAATCTTGGTGGGCGACTTATACCTCGTACGCTTGTCTCGTCTGATGATTCGGCCGCTTCTCTTGTCAATGCTATCAAGTTGATCTTAACTAGAGGTGGCATTATAGCTGCCAATTCAATGGATTTCCACCGCCCGCCGACATTTCCGAATTCAGTTCACCCAGCCTGGCGTGAGACGTTATTTCTAGCTTTCCTTGGCACGTGTGTACCCTGACAACACCATCTTCCCTATCACATAACTAAGAATTAATTCATTTAAACAGGATGTATAATCAATACAACATGACGGAGAATATAAGAGATCAACAGACAATTACCCACGTTTTCGATCCAGCCCTGGAGGCGATCACGCCAGGAGGAGCTGCGTATCTCAACGAGGGTGACATCCACCAACCCAATTGGCAGGATGTCTTTTACGGCCCAAATTATCCAAGGTTGGCCTCCATTAAGAAGGCCTTCGACCCACATGGTATCTTCTGGGGCCCTACGGCAGTGGGAAGCGAAGGCTGGGAGGTTTCTACAGACAGCAGGCTTTGCAAGACTCGTAATTGAGGGTGGTACCGTATCAATGGGTCTGATCTGCCTTAATTTCTACCTGTACGGGCCAGTGCAGCCAAGTTCACCTAAAATAGTAGCACCTACTTCGTGGTTGCCAGATTATTGCAATCGGAGTCCCAGTTTATCAGCCATAAACAGGGACTAGGGCACGACGCGTGTCCACGACGCCCACCAGACAGCTGTTTTACTTTGTTCGTACCCAGGTAGCTTTTATCACTAGCCATTGCCTCTTAATTAATCTGACAAGCCCCGCGGAAAGGAGGCTAGGAATCAGTAGAATATAGGGACAACATTATTAATATTGGATCAAAATAATTTGTAGGTATGATATTTAAAGATAGACACAGGTATAGATATCTTAAAGGCCGGTATTCGGCTCAGATCTAGCCAGATGCTCGGTTAGGTAGACCGCCACTTTACATCCATTCGCGCTCTTACATGTCATCTTCAATTCTCCCTTTCAATCACGACTATCTCTACTTTCTAACTTACCTATTACTTGAGCAAGTCGCGCGAGGACGTACGACGCCTCAATCGTTGCTTTCTGCTGACCAAGGCATGCACGATTACCTCCGCCGAATCCAAGGACTTCCCATTGGGTTGGCTTAATTGAATCCCAACGTTCAGGCCTGAATGTCTCAACGTCGTCTCCGAAAACTTCAGGGTTGCGGTGGAGCGCATAATAATCCATCACAACCATTGAACCCTTCTGAATAAACATAGGATGATCGTGAGAAGGACCTCCCCCGACTGGTAAGTTAGTGTCCCGCAGCGCGATACGTCCAAGGAGAGGAAAGATTGGATGAAGACGCAAAGCTAGTATGATGATTAGCATCCATAATTTAGAAAAGATTTTAGTCCCTCACTTTCATGCAAAATGTTCGCAATTAATTTGAAACCCAAAAGATTCTCAGCTGAGAGATCATCTTCGGATTTACCAGCAAACTCAGTGCGGAGCCGGTCCCAGTACTTCGGATGACGCGCAAGACGAAACAACGCATTCGTAAGAAGTTCCGACGTAGTGTCTTGGGCCGCCATCATGGCTTGTATAACCTGACTTCGGATGAAGTCCAAATCATTAGTTTGGGCCGAAAGTGCCTGAATCAGACTTTTGTCCTTGGGTCCATCTATTTCCGAGAATGTCTGGTTAATATAATAGTCCAAAAATCCATGCGCCGCAGTACACGTATCGACGAATTTCTTTTGTGGAAATAGATCTCACAGTTTACCAAGCATAACTCTAAGCATACTATAGAAAAGCGCATCATGGAAAGACTTTACGAAACCGTCGGCCGTAAGAGGCACGCCAGATGCCTGTTTCGATGGATGCACGCCTAACACAAAATGTAAAGCTGAATTCATAAACTTCAAGGCACCCTTAGCGTGAAAAGTTCATTATATCTCGGACAACTAACCATGACATATAGAAGAGGCTGAAGATCAACGGTTGAGCCATCCCCCGGTAATTGTTTCAAGAACACGTCGACTTCTCTTCTTAGCGTATGTAGTTTGCGAACATTATTTAATTCGAAAGAGGGCTTGAGCAGTTTCCGAGCGTCTCTCCAAGTATCACCATCCGTGGTGATGAATCCACGACCACAGAAGTACTCCATCCCCGGAAGTCTCATTGGTGAGACACCAAAGTCCTTTGATAAATTAATCGCCCGAAGATTTCCTGGGGCAATTGTACAAGTTGTTGAAGTGCTGATCCAAGGAGAGACTTCATATGTATCTCCATATCGTTGATGCAGTTCATAAAGGAACGGGACGTCCATGTACATCTTCATCTGGAAGTCAAAGCCATAGAAGGGCTCCTTGGGATTTTGTCTCACGGCCTGCTTGCATCCATAGGTCCGCACGATAGCTTTTCTCCATCGCTGACGCTGGACAAGCAAAATCACCAAAAAGAATAAATCCCAGGAATGTTGTGTTGACTTTAAAACCCATCATGAAGAATTTAGAGAAGCGGATAGGTGAAGAGCGAAAAGGGGTTAGGGTATGGAAGATGCTGAGGACACATAAAGAAAAATAAAGCGTTAGCAAGGCCAGTAAAAGAGGGCACAGCCGCGTCGAATAAGTTTCGCGATAGTCCCTTGCTTGAGCGACCTAGGTACACTGCTTCAATACTATGTTAGGTACAGACCAATCGCCCTTCAGGTATCAGACCAGGATTATCTGCAGGATGGGAGTACCTCTAGCTCGCAATGCGTCGACCGCTAATCTCGGATCAAAATTTATTAAATCGTTATGGCCATGTTGGTTTGATATCCAACCAAATTCCCCATTTGGAAACTTCTTCTCCTTCCAACCCGAAGGCAGTGGCCCTAGCCTTGGATCGCGCAGAGTCTTGATATTTTGCTCATCATTTGCATACCATTACACTCCTTGTTCGTATGATGGTTCCCATCCCATAGGGAGTTTCCCTAATAAAGCCTCCCTATTCACATACTCCGAATGGTAGCACGTACCAATTATTCGATAAGCTATTCCATCCGTTCGTCTCAGTACAAGAGGAATATCGCAACCTGGAATAACGTAGATATGATCCCCATTGCAAGCCGTGCCTGGGCCTAGGATGATCGAACCATCATCTGTTAAATGGCACGATCGCCCGCGGATGTTACGATAGATACGGTTTAGGACTTGTCCTTCGGGAGATGACACGATCTGTTCGTTGCTTGGGACATCCTCCTGCCAAGATTTCAGAAATGTTTTCAATTCGGTCATGCTAGTTGTTATGCTTAGCTCATAAGGCAACAAGGCCCTAATAAACTTTTCGTACACGGCTTCCTCGCTTTGAGATGATATGTTACCTAGAATCTCAGCTAGCATGGTAGTAATTGATTCTTTAATAGTGGTGGCGGACGACGAGAAAGGCACAGAAGAGAACGAGATCTGAATTGTGCCACAGTGAACACCAGAAATCGATATCTTATCGCCTTCGAGAACCCGAAGTGTACCTGGTGTCGATCGAGTTGACCGAGATTCGAGTGGGTAAGAACTGTCTCTTAGACTTTGGAGGTCAGGTACCCAGCTAGGCCGAGATGCCATCTCACAAAACTTCAAAAAGGAAAGGTCTCTGTATAGGCGAAAGTAGTTAATGAAGAAGTCTTTATAGATTTCCTTGGGTTTCAAGCTATAATCAATTGAGACGAGAGGTTCATCACTGTATTTGGCTAGTATGCCGAGGATGCCGTATACTCGATCGCGATCGTCCATACATAATGAATCTCTAGTGAGCTCAATGACATCTTCATTCGACATCACCGCGTTCGCACGTATTAGAGAACTCAAGTTTTCCAAGTCTTTCTCATATCTTTCAAGGCATTCGTCGTCTAATTTAGGCCGAATGCGCTTCTGCGCTAGACAAATCGTAGCGTTCTTCATCAGAGTTCAGGGGATTTCTGCATTCCCGCAAATGATGATAGCTTCGCAGGCCAGGGTAATTTCTTGCCTCACCCAGAGCCTCTTAAACCACGGTCGGTCGATTAATTTTTCAATAGCTTGCCACTCTCCTGGGGAGAATGGAAATTCAACATCGGGTTTGGTGAAGCGTTCATCAGCCTTGGGGGTTATCAACCAAGTTGGTGCACCATTATCCCATCCCTCGGAGACAATCTGGCTTCCAGTAAGCGTAAGCTTCTCCGGCGCAAGATGGCTATCATCTGCTTCGGGCCCAAGCCAAGCAACCACCTTGTCGGTATGCAAATAAACATGCACCATGCGCTGTACCTCACGCTCCCTTTCAGCCAAGTCATTCTGATTGATGCAAATCGAGTCGCACCAGAGAGCTCTCTTCCTACTCTTGTGTCGAAGCTGGCGTAGCGCTGCCGCTAAATTCTTGCCAATTCGCAAGACGCCATAGTTTTTCTTTGATTTATGCCAAAACGGTCCCGAAACCGTGTAAAGAAATGATTTCCTCGGGGTCGGACTGATCTCCCCACACGTACGATAGGGCCTCAAACCGAGGGATGTGTCATGATATATCCGTGGGTCCAGGTGGCTCGAATCGACGAAGGCGAAGACATCCTTTTAAAGGAGCTGCCGGCCCAGCTCCGCCATGGGGATCAAGTTCCAATATCCTCAGTAAAGGAAAAGGACCGGTAGTTAAAGATACGTGTGAATGGTCAAAATTTGGATGTTTTGTTGCGGGATTCATTTCACAGTTGAACGGATCACTGGGGGGAGTAATCTGGACGGACTTTTAAGGTCTGGAAATGGGCAGTCAATTCGCTAACTCCCCTAAAATGAACCATGAAACCCACTACCTAGCCCTGTGTCTAGTGAACACTTGATTGGATTTTTATGACGCTCCAGGACTGTCTCTGTACCTAGGTACGCTATACCTAACTGGGTTTTCGCGACACATCTCCACAGGCTTCCTGTTAAATAGCGGGGCTGCGGGGTGAGTTCTAAAATCTGAACTTCAGCGTACCTACCTAGGTAGATATATCCTCTCTCAAATGCCATCAATTAATCTCAAAAGCAACATTCTTTATACTTTGGACGCGTGAAATTTTTGAACTCTTGCAGCGCTTTTATGAGCTTCTTGCCATGTTTCCTTAATCAGCACCTACAAGATCGCCAATTTACATATTCTCGAAAGTAATTGCGATCCAGACAATCATTGCTCTACGGAATCCCAGAAATCGTTAATCCACTGGGACCATCAAAAATCTCTGAGGTCATCTAAACACACATGCCATACATAATTCACTAATTACGACAATAACTACGACAGATAGCAATATTCAGCACCAACAGTATTTTATTGAAATAGATATTGACAATCAAACCAGGTTAACATCCAACCAGGCCAAAGTGTATGTGAGCCGCTCCAAAACAAATCATTCGCGCTTGTCAAACCACACCGGAATCTCCATCCCCTATTTATACACAACTACTCTCCCCGCAGTACTAGCCTAAGCAGAAGCCGTGCTAGAGGTTGTTGGGGGAGCAGTACCGTTAGGAGGGGCGCCACCCGGACCTCCAGGACCGGAGTTGGGGTTAGCAACACCTCCTTCCTTGTAGTAGAAGGCAGCGGGGGTAATAGACTCGGTTTGGGTGGCATTGATGCCAAACGCGATCCAGGCGAAGAGACCGCTATTAATATCGTCGTCGAGGTAGGTATACTCGAAGAATGGGTCGACACCATCAGTGGCAGCTTCCTCGGCCAAGATGCTGTCTTCGGTGTTCAAGGTCAACTCCTGAGTGTTGGTGTTGTAAGGCTCAGTCAATTCAACAGCGGAAATTAGATCCTGGTCAAAGAAAGCTTGACCAACGTGGCTGGCGCTAACATTGTTACCGAGCGTCGAGTTAGCGAGGAGAACAGCGTTCTGGTGAATCATGACGTGAATATGGGTGGCGCGGCCCGTGTAGTGGCCTGGGAAGATGGTTTCGAATTGAGCAACTCCGTCAGAATCGGTCTTCTGGATGCCGCGAAGCCATGTGTTGTTGATATTCGTATCGTCGGTGGAGTCTCCGTTGCCGCTTGCTACGATACCACCGTAGACACCTGTGGCGTTGCAGTGCCACATTTCGAGATACACATCGGTAACGGGTTCGCAGGTGTTGATATCGATGACTTGGTAGTCGAGGATCGTGTCGACACCAGGCTGTTCCTCGACGACGTTTTCTCGTACAAACTCACCGCCCACATCTTCGCGTCATGATCAGTATTGATACCCAAATGGTATTATTTCAATGGTATGTCAATACTCACAGTATGGTCCCTGAGTAACTTCGGGTGTCAAGAGGCACGAGTTGTACCCTGCGAAAAGAGTAGCGGCGTCGGTGTTAGGGGTATAGCCGAGGTCGGTAGCGTTGTGGTCGGTGGCTAAGTCGGAAGCAAGATCACGCTTCTTGGTTAAACCTCCTATAATCGATTTAGTTTTTACGTTTTACAACATATTTAGTTGTATAGGGAGAGACGCACTCTTAGCTCGCGCCTTTTCCAAAAGGGCAGCTCGACGCTGGATATTGCGCTTCTCAACACCTCGCGCCTTCAACTTCGGCGCGCAGTGATCAAGGTTGGTACGCTTGACGGAGCTGAGGAATTCACGACGCTCCTTAATCTCTTGAGTAAGATCATGGCCAGGATGAGCAACAACGGAACCGGCGAGTAGGGCCAAGCCAGATACGACAGAGCTGGCGAAACGCATTTTGCTAGTGGATCTGTTGTTGACGGACGAACGAATGGTAAGTCAAATAACGAAAGGAGTAGAACCGAAGAATTCTTGATATAAAAGAATGCGAACTGTTGGCGCTGAGGTGGTGATAGAACAAGAGAGGCGATCGACGGCCATCGCCAACTTATACAACAACTCGATTACATTTCGACGCCCGTGCGATATATCATAATCACCATGCGAAAGCCTCCTTTTGGTATCTTCAACATAGTTGTGGGTCAACATTCATCATCGTGAGCTCTTGGCAGCGGAGGATTACGTGTGCAAATAGGATTGATGTTACTGGTTACTTCTCTGATATACATGGATAATCCACCCGCGAACTCGATTAGATCTATTCTAACCCATGGTTCTGTGGAGGCTACGCTCTTCCTAAATAGGAACTTGCCCGTGGTAGGCCCGGTATTCGTGATCCTCCAACCCCAGAACTAACCAACTAGGCTAGGAACCCCGTCATGTTTCAAACAGCTACCACTTGGCTCCCACCAATGAAAGAATTGGGATATCCAAGCCAGGCATAAAATATAGATGAGATGCTTCCTAGTACCCTTGAGCAGACCAGGAACTTGGTAGAGCTGCGTAAGCCAGCTGTTGACCCGGCAAGCACACCCAGTCATGACCGTCATGTAAGTTGTGTGGGTTACAATAGTAGAAATAGAATAAGCTCCATCTCAAGTTTATGGATTCAAAAGAGATGTGGGTCTTAGGTATCATTCCACGTTCTGAGTATTAAACGCGCGTAAGTACCCCTTTTCCCTGTCACACCAATTAAAATCCTGAATGGTAACGTCGCAGCTATACCTAAGTAACTGCAATTCTACACTTCATATGAAGTATTGTGAAAATGGAATGTTCATGATGTGTAAGTAATTCTACCTTTCGTATCTGCATGCTCAATTTTTTTAATCCCTCGGTGGGCAAGACAAGTGAAGAGTCCACTCGTTTCAGCTTACAAAAAGACTTAATAGAAATGTTCAAACAATCCATACAACGCGCAACCCTATTGATGAATTTGATGTAAAGTGACAACTTGTCTTGGCACATAACAAAGCAAGTCTGAACGTAATGCGATTTGTGGACAGTTACGATACCTCATCAGCCATTTGAATTCTTGCTTTAACGATTCCATGTTCTATGTCAACATCATTCATATTCAAAGCCACATTATCTCGGACCCTTAATTCTGCCTTGATGACGACTCTAACCATACCATGGCATAAGGACTCTTGGCAATGAAGGAGCTGGAATATGATTAGTGCTACCTAATTACTTGATAATGTATCTCATATTACTAGGTAAATTTGTATCTGTATCGCCAGACTTCACAACACATAACTTACGTTGGCAAGAAAAGACTACCACTTCAAGGCCAATTGAGAAATTTATTTCTCGTAGGATACGATAGACATCCGTCAATACTTACCTAGGTAGTTAGGTAATCAAGCACAAAAGTGCACAAGGCAGCCTCGACTTAGTTTGCCACCTATCTATCATCGCGCTCATTAGTGTCACCGGTGCCTGTATATACTTGATGAAAACACTCCACTTGCGGAGAAAGGCTAGTAAAACATCCAGGGGATACCATTACTCGTCAGCTCATCAAGCTCGCATGCATTCAAGTGGTATTCAGCGATGACGTTCGGCTCATGACTGCCCAGGTACATAGCTATCTAAGGGGTAACACACGAGGGTGAGTCAGTAGGCCCCAAAGCCACTATATATTTTATTTAGTCGTAATGATGATGTACATAGACGCGAAACGGCGAATTTATACCGATACTTACCATCGCAATTATAACTTATCACAGACATCTATGTCCGAGTGAGTATGGAATTATTGGTCTAAAATAAGGTGGGCTGTACCTATTGAGACCAAACAGCTAGATTGTTTTTTGTCGAATTACGACAGCATATACGTTGTAAAATAAAAGGGGTTGGTGTTCTACATGGGTCATGGACAAAAGTCAATATTACCAAGCCAAGATTCTAAATTATCATTTCTTCTTTCAGCATCTTGCCTACTTCGGCAGGTAGGGATTGATTTGACGGCGGACTATGGCAGAAAATAATGAGAAGGGATTAACGAATAACCTTCCATGTACTAACAGGTCACTTGAAGAATGACGCATACATCTGTAGGATACACTGATACCAGAAAGGCAGTTGATAGGTTCTACCATATAACCTATGAGAAGAACAAAAAAGTGTACAACCAAGAAAACCAACACAAAACTCCAAGAAGCCCCCTTCAAATCCTTAATCAACAGTTCTCCCATACGCTTCCTGCAACAAGAAGTGGGCTGGATGTCAAACGCAATCTACCATCGGGGAGGTCTCCTAACTCGTCCAAGTACTTTTGCATCAATCTCTGCCAGCCTCAAGATCACAGTGTAATGCGATTACTGAATCTGACTGTTGTAGACGCCATTATGATTCCCACCAAACGACCCGAACACGCACTGCATTTTCGAACGACATACACACGTGCCAGCTACTGATTTGAAGATGTTGAGGGCGTATTGAGGTATCACTACGTCTGTAGGACTGCGATTTGTATTGAGAAAGACTGTGCCTACTACTTCAAGTCGAATAGCCCGGAAATCCGCTGCTGTAATCGGTATGTTCCGTGGATTGGAGGTTGGGAGGCTCACTATAGACTAAGGTCGGATCCGGTGCAGGTGGAGTTGAGATAGCATGCTGTGAGACAGCCTTTGGATTCTGCATAATGGGTGCGCCGGAGTCGGGCGGGTTCCCGACCACTTCCGCGTCGGCATCGCTCGATAATCTCGACCGCTTGGACTTACGCGGAGACTCATCGGGATCCTTCTTCGGTTGAGACCATGAAACCACGGCGCGAGTATCCGCCGCAGGATTCGGCTGACCACGGGGTAATACTAGGTTAGGTTGCATAGTTGGTAAAGGACGATTAGGATATTGAGGCTGAAGTTGAGGTTGAGGTTGAGGTTGAGGTTGTGGATGTTGCTGATATGTTTGCGGCGGTTCGCCGTAAGGCACCGTAGGACCTTGTTGTTGTAGGTATGGTACCGTCGGCCTCACTGTATATTGTTCTAAAGTACGCCACTGTGGACGCCGCAAGAGCCTTTGGAAATCTTGATAGACACGATCAATCTGATTGACAATATACTCGTCCCGCATTGCGGCCATGATGAGTAGATCTATGAGCTCCGTAGGGAACGTTCGATTGTAGTCAATGACTGAAAGTCTTTCAAAAACGTAATCCGCGATCTGCTGAGATCGCGATCGGGGTGACATCCCACCATTGTTAGACTGGTTCGGTGCAGGGGGAAGCATTATTGTAGATTTATTGTAATCATAACCTGGATTGACGATGGAAGGCTAAAGTACGACTTAAGATGAATGAAGGATGACTTTTTCGTGTACGCGCAAATTTGATGGGCATGTATCGACGATCAAAGTATAAGATATCAGAATCTTTACGCACCTGGGTTGGATTAGAGTAACATGTTTCCTAGATACATACATATAGGGTTCATCATCCTAATATGTGCATCCAGCGCTGTTCCCCATCACATCATTTTCTCCCTGCCTAGATCAACTCAATGGAAGGTGCACGATACGAAATCAGTAGCAACAACCCATCAAATTGTCAGTTGTGGTAAAACTAAAAAGAATGTATGCATGCATATGTACATTGTACATACCTACATAGGTACCTACTAGTTACGCAGGTAGCTGCTTATGTCGTTGAAGTCCTACACGGGAATCCACGGTGCGATAGCAACAAGGAACAAGTTCCTCAAAACCTGCCTAGGTAGGTATACACCAACGATTTATACGCAGTATGCGATTTAACGCTTCTATCTCAAAAAAGTGATTGCCCGACGAGGCATGGCATTTGCTCCCGGATTATCGCGTCCGTCCTCCCAATATAACCCTGCATTTTGTGAAAACCACCACAGACGTCAGTGGCTATGACAATTATACAAGTTCCTTCTGCCAAATGGTGGAAGGCACAGCAGGATAGGATTTAATCCCATGCGCGAGGTTTATGCCGTGGCTTACCTAAGGCGTATTTGGAAAGCATTGAGAGTGGTTCAGAGACAACTCCTACGTCCTTAGATATTTTAGGAGTAATTATAGCATAACAAGCACTTTAGAAGTCTGCCAGTCAGCTCACACTTGAATATTTTAACAACCTTGAACCTGGCCACCTACATATCTCAGAAGAATGTCCCGTATCCGCGTAGGTTTCACAGAATTGATTAACGGGTCTATCCGCTCTAGGGGTCTGCGATTCTCATTCGCGGCTTAGATCGTCTACGGAGTATTTTCACGGAATAACTATAAATCATTATTAGATAATCCCACTTGATTCTTTGATGCCAATGGTTAAATGGCGATTTAGTGCGTTGCTTCATCCTTTTTTCTCATTCTAACGGAAAATACCTAGATATATGAAATGAGAAAAGACGAGCGAACACCTTGCTGGCACCAACAGTGCATCACGTTGTGGTATCTGCCCGGTCCCATAGAGGGATTTTCAGAGTACTTACTATATACTAGGTAACCATGATCATGCACTTTTCTTCAGCCACCTATGAGTTCCGAAGATCCCATCATAATAAACTTGATACCTTGGTCTATTTATTTCCGCCCTCGTTCCGCTTTGTTTTGTGAGACATTGAGTGGGTCCTCCAGCCGTTGGTGCATCTACAAAGTATATTAATCAGACACCAACACAACTAATTAAACCCTCTACTAATGTCGCCCTTGCCGTCAGCCCAACATACATGTATTCATATACACATAGGTACTTAATCAGGTACGTATCTTGGAGATGTCATATACCCGTATGGGGATATCGTTTGAAGCCTCACTGTGCAACACAGTACTCAGATTTACCCCGCACCTCAAACGAGAAAGAGTAAAGGCATAGAATCTCACCAAGCAGTTATCATCTCATCACCCTGCTGCCTACTATTTGATACTTTTACTCGTCTTGAAAGGAATATCAAAAAAGAAAATACCTAGGTACTTTATACACATCATCACCTTACCCCACTTCAACACAAATCATCATGGCCGCTCCGTATGAGCTCATCTATTATACGGGAGTTCCGGGACGTGGAGAACATGTCCGTCTGATCCTAGAGGAAGCTGGCGCACCCTATACGGATACTAGACCCCTTCCGATGGATAAATGTCGGGAGATTGTCACGCATTACCTCTCCGGTGAGGAGCAAGGAAACCCACCATACTATGCTCCTCCTCTGTTCAAACATGGTGATCTTCTCATTTCTCAAACCAGCAATATCCTCATGTACCTCGGCCCTAAGCTTGGACTCGCTGGATCGAGAGAAAATGACATTTATCGAGTGAATGCTCTCGCTCTTACTGCGCTCGACGGCTTGAGCAACGAAGTTCATGACTGCCATCATCCCATTGTTTCCGAACTGTACTATGAAGACCAGAAAGAGGAAAGCCTAAGGCGCAGTAAGGAATGGGTCAAGCATCGACTACCCAAGCATCTTGGGTACTGGGAAAAGGTGCTCAAGAGCGAAGACCGCGGGCAAGGTCCCTGGTTATTGAGAAGCACGTTCACATATGCTGACCTAGTCTTATTCCAGGCAAGTTCCCCCATTACCGTATCTACTTGTCGTCCAGTAACATTCTCAATATAATCTCAAGTCTATTAGATACTCAAGATGCTAACCGACGTAATAACCCGGAATAGTGCCTTGATGGTGTCCAGTTTGCCTTTCCCAAGGCAATGAAGCAAGCAAGAGAGTCCGGTAAATATGACAGTGTCTTCCAGCTGTGGAAGGATGTCAAGGCTCGACCAAACATAGCTGCGTACCTAGATAGCGATAGACGGCAGAAGTATGATTGGGGAATCTATCGGTACTATCCCGATAATGATGTACTTCCTGAGTGAAATCGGGGGCTAGATACTTCGGCGGATATAGAGAGCTATACGTACCTAACCTAGGCAGGATCTAGTGCAATGAAATTACCTGTCCAAATCCTGTTATAGGCATTCCAGAAGATACCCGATCGTAGTTAGCAGCTTCAAGATCGGTTCATATAAGCAGCCCGCCATGTTGAGTCTACACGACGCGCGCCTAGTTACCCACCTAGGTGCCAGGGTACAAGGAAGCATTTCACTGCATCATTGTGGCCAACTGCATCCATGCGACCAGAAGCCTCCAAGTATCCCTCTCCCACCTACACGAGATACTCCGTGATGCCGGCGCATTAACACTAGTAGAAATCACCAAAATATGTTTTGGCTCGACATCGTCGTCGGGCTTTCTGAAAGATGGTGGCTATTCGAGGACGATCGATCGCATGCACTAGTTGACGAAAGGCACTGGGAGAAAACCATGAAGAAGTCGGGATTCAATGAGGTCCTTTGGTCGGATGGCGCTACGCCCGAGTCTAAAACAGTACGTGTTATTGGAGCGTTCAAGCGTGGAAAGCCGAACCAAATCAACAATGCGCCGCCGACTGAAAAGCCTAGGCAAGTATCTGTGGAAACAGTCGTGTATAAGAGGACAGGAGGGATGGAAGTCCACGCTGACATATATTACCCCGTTCGGGAGGAATATTCGAACAAGAAAGTCCCGATCGGTACGTAGTAATTAGTGCTCAGGTTAGACGGGTGCTTTGCTCATACTAATTGATTGCAGCTTTGATGATCCATGGGGGTAGCCATATGATCTTCTCCAGGAAAGATATTCGACCAGGTCTGCAAATCGACAGCGAAAGAGTTGTCGTTGTGGGATGGTCATCCGGAGGGCAGCTCGCTATGTCGCTTGCGTGGACTTCCCCGCCAAGAGGCTTACGACCCCCCGAAGCCATACTCGCGTTTTATTGTCCAACCAACTACGAAGACGAATGGTGGAGACGTCCAATCCAGCCTATCGGGGCGGAAGATAAAGGTGAAAAGTACGACATACTCGAAGCCATACAAGAAGACCCCATCAGCGATTATTGTCTAGTAGGCGCATGGGAACCGCTTTCCGATCCACGCATCCTAACGGATCCTTGGTGTCGCATCGTACTTCATATTAATTGGAAGGCCCAGACGCTCCCCATAATCCTCGGCGGACTTCCCAGTAAAAGAAGAGCAGACCAGTACCCAGATATCGAAAACTGGAATGCTCTTCCATAGCCTGACCACAGTACAACAGTGGCTGCTAACCCTCTAGTCAGCGTTGCCAGTAAGTCAAGTAATTACTTGACTTACTTAGCTTGACTTGACTAAATCGAGTCAAGCCTAAAATTCTGTCAAATTTTTTAAGTCAATTAAAAAATTTTAAAACTTGACCGACTTGTCAAGCAGATGAGGGTATCCCAAACCCACATTACGTACCTTTTCATACTATTATTAGATGAAATTTGGGTTCAAAATTGTATCAAATTTTCTGGAATTTGTCGGAATTATGTTGATCCGAGGCCGATCCGGATCAATAATTATCCATTCCGGCCCAAGTCAATCCATAAAAAGTGTCAATTAAATCATAAATCTTCATAACTTGACTTAACTTGCATAAGTCAAGCATATGTGATTACTTGACTTGCTTGACTTACTGGCAACGCTGCCTCTAGTGCAGATTCGCCGAGGCAATTATCACACACCAACCTTCCAAATCCACGGCACAGCTGATGATTTGATCCCATGGTAACAGAGTCGAGAAACATACATAAGCACGGTCGATAAAAATATCGCAGCACAACTTGTCCTGATTGAGGGTGCTCCGCATATTTGTGATTTAAGCAGCGATCCGAATTCTGAAGGCTAGAAAGCCGTCGTTCAAGGATACGAATTTCTTAGTTCGTACTTATTCTAGTGAGTCGAAGCAATATGTTTATCTTCTAAGTAGCATTTGATTACAGGTGGTCATCATAATTGCCTCCTAGGTAGAAAATATGAGGTGCTATTGAAAGAAAAGAAAAACTTGGTAAAATGGAGGGGCTGAGGGTACTTAAGTCTTAGGTACACGTACCTGGTGGCACAGACCAGGATATATAAGGTTAGGTACCGTTCAATGTACTCTCCAACGCTATTTACACTTTTCAATTCTACAATGAATAGGGGTAGGATATCGCAGTCCCAAGCCTGTCATCGTATGGTGTATTACTGTGATTCGAGAGTACTAAAATCGAATGCTATTCCACAATAACTAGGTGATTCTACAACGAGAGTTATACCCATATTATTGCCATTGCGGATGTATCTGTGAGTACTAAGTAACCAATTAATTCACAAATGTTTCGTGGCATTAATACACTCAATGCTTAAATCCGATGTTCCATTCAAGATCACTTCAAGACTTCAAGAGACTATACACCTGGAACGCGTATTTCTCCTATATTATTCATTCAACGCGCTACCTCTCGGTTCTTACTAACCCGAATATATATTACCTCCGGTGGAAAATTATGATGTCCCTTCTGCCGCCAGGGCCATGACATTCAGCCGGGTCGCCGCTTTCCTCGCTGGGTCAGGGCAATACTACTCCGTCAACATTCGGTTCTTTAATTGGGCTGCCATATATTTCTATCCAGCTAGTAGATCGGAAAATTATGTGATTTGAGTCTATGAGGTTTAACATCAAACTACCTGTCCCGCAAAATGTGACGATACTATCCCAGTTCAAGTGTTACACGACCATGGGACCAGATGGCACGCCTAAAATCTAGAGCACGCTACAGAAGGGGGCGTTTTATATATGAGCGAGCGAATATTGAAATTCGCAGTTGCCAAAGACTCTAACACCCATCATTGTGCTCAATCGCTCTATTACAATGTTCGTCACATCCGCCGTTCTCGCGGCGGCCTTCTTAAGCAGCGGTGCCCTTGCTGCTTTCGGACTCACAACTACAAGTAACAGTTACAAGGTTCGTGTCCATCGACAAGGATGTTTATCTTTATGATGCTTTGGTAATTAATCGATTTCTTGCCTTTAAACAGGTTGACACAAATGGTGGACTAGTCTTCGAAGTTAACAGGTCTGGCCACTTCTATTCGCATCATTTCCGTAATCCAACTAACCAGGAGCAGGGCAAATGGAGATGTTACAAGTCTAGTCTTCAACGGCGTCGAGTATCAAGGAAAAAGCAAGGCGTCAGGTATCAATTCCGGACTTGGAACATCGCAGCTGTCGGCTGAAACAGTCAGCAACAAGTACATAAAAATCACGGCCAAGTCCAACTCGTTGCCAGTAACCCAGTACTATGTAGCCAAACCAGACGACCCGACAATCTATATGGCGACATATATCACCGGAGAAGTTGATCCCGGTGAGTTACGATGGCTCGCCCGTCTACGCCAGGAAGGTTTACCTACCGGTGTGCACGGTGACGTTGGTAACAACATCGGCTGTACCGCATTCGAAGGAAAGGATACATTCCGATGCTCCAACGGCCAGACTCGTTGCAAGATGTACACATCTGATCGCTTTATCGATGACCAAATCCACGGTGTATCTGGATCCGTAAGTGATTTAACGATGTACATATGGCGCCAACACGAATTAACTCTTAGTCTTAGAACGCGGCTGTGTGGATGATCATGCCTGGTAACGCGTACGAGACGTCGGCCGGGGGGCCATTTATGCGTGATATCAATAGTCAGACTGGTAGCGACCAGGAGTTATACTGGTATATGAACAGTGGACACGTTCGAACAGAACCGTGGCGGTTTGGCTTGATGGGACCGTATGCTATGAAATTCACGTAAGCTTCCTCAAAACTTTTCGTGCAGCTATCCATATCTTACCTTCGAAACAGAAAGGGTGATACTCCCTCCTCAAATCTGGATACGTCTTTTTTCGGAAGCCTCGATATTCAAGGATACGTCCCTGATAATCAGCGCGGTACCGTGTCCGGCTCGGCAACAGGAGTCCCAAGTGACTTTGAGGCTGTTGTTCATTGGTACAATGACAAGGCTCAATACTGGACTAAAGCTACCAAGGAAACCTTCAAGTCTCCGCTTATGAAGTCAGGGACATATACTATGAAGCTCTATAAGGGAGAATACGAAGTAGCTAAAGATACGGTGACTGTGAAGGCCGGAAGCGATACGGCTAAAAACATCGCTTCTGCAGAGCCAAATCCCTCCGTCGTGTGGCGTATCGGGAATTTCGACGGGAGGCCGATGGAGCTGAAAAATGGAGACAAAATCGAACGAATGCATCCAAGCGACACTCGCATGGGCTCCTGGGGAGGGACCTACACTGTTGGTCAATCATCGGCGCGTGATTTTCCTATGGCGCTCTTCTCCAAAACCGGTGGCAATGTAAAGGTGAACTTTGACCTCTCCGCTAGCCAAGTCCGGGACCTCACATTGAGAGTGGGAACAACACTCTCATTCAAAGGGGGACGCCCATCAGTAGCGATCGGTAGTTGGACCGGAAAGGATCCAGGGGCTCCGGTAAGTCGACCATCCACGTAACGTACGAAGTACATAAAAGTTCGTCACGGAACTAATTAAAATACAGAAACTTATTGACTCCCGCGGTGTGACTCGTGGGGCATACCGAGGATATGGAGAGGTCTATAACTGGACTGTTCCTGCGAGCGCTTTGAAAAGTGGCCAGAATACTCTCACGCTCGGGGTATACGGTAGCGGGGACAAAGACTTTCTAAGTGCGAACTACATTATTGATGCGGTCGAGCTTCAGGGGCCAAAATCTTCATAGGACCCGCTGTAGTTGCGAGATTACTCAAATAGTCATTATTGTCTTCTCGTATAAATATATCCCGAAAATTGCTCGTACGCTCTCGTGAGGTTTTCAAAGGGTTTCGATCTTCCTAAAGTCGGAGTAACTAGCAATTCTAAATAGGTATGTGCATACGCCTCGGTAACACGACAGAGTAATCGCTCCAGATACTATGCCGCTCGTCCGTATTTTCAGCTCCAAATGTTTCAGCCACGACATCATCAACCCCGCTCAATGTTTGTGGACGGCCTTAATTGCGCGATTTACCCTACCTGGGTAGCCTCTCACCTAGTCAATATATTTTCAATGCACGTTACGATCGTATCACACAATGGCTAGCTCTGTGCCGTTTCGAGTTATTATCGCTGGAGGTGGCATTGCAGGGTTAGCTTTGGCTAACATGTTAGAGAGGGTTCATATCGATTTCATCTTACTAGAAAGAAAAGAGATTGCTCCTGAACTTGGTGCCGGACTCGCCATACAATGCAATGGGGTAAAAATACTTGAACAGCTCGGCATCTGGCAAAATATGCACCCCAGTTCTACTCCATGCAGCGGTCATCGATATTTCGACGAACGTGGGCGGCTCCTTGAAGAGACGTCTGTTCTCAATTCGGTAGGAGAGAAAACCGGTAGACCGATCGTGTTTGTGGAACGTCGTGGGTGCCTCAAGATGCTATATGAGAATATCAACGACAAGTCCCGAATTATCTCAAATACTGGTGTCGTATCGTTCTCGGAAAGCGAAGATGGTATTACCGTAATGACTAACCACGGTAAAAGCATTAGCGGTAGCATCTTAGTTGCGGCGGATGGTGTCCACAGTATGATCCGAGGCCTACTAGCAGAGGCGGTCCGCGAGAATGACCCTGAGAGATATCAATACCTCACCGAAGGTAAGCTAGCATAAAATAAACGGAGGTGTCAAACTTCCCTGACCAGTTCTCAAAGGGTTCACGTCGAGTTACCGGGCTATATTTGGTATATCGTCGTATCAGCCTAGGAATGATGTTCAAGTACCTTTGGTTCCTGATGGGATGGTTCATATTGCTCATAATGAGAATTCATCAAGCCTTGCATCAGCGACCTTAGATGCACACGTCATTTGGTTCGTAAGTATGAAAGAAGAAACGGTTTCCACGACGCCAAACTGTCCACGTTATACCGACCTTGACACTGCAGAGACTCTTGAGAAGTATGGGCACCTAAATGCCAGTCCCGGAATTACATACCGAAACCTATGGCAATCGAGGATTAAAGGAGGTATGTTTCCCATGGAAGAGGGCGTAATCCAAACGTCCTGGAATAACGGCGGCAGAGTCGTACTTGTTGGAGACGCGGCATGTAGAGTAAGTCCTGCTGCTTGTTACCAATGCCTACGTGTATCATCCATCTTACACCCCGCGCAGACAACGGTCAATCCCGGTCTAGGAGGCAACCTTACTATTGAAGGAGTCTGCGTCCTCGCCAACGAGCTAGTGGCATTATTACAGAGAACTCAAGTGCCTCAGGTACAAGATATCACAGGTGCTTTCAAGAGGTACGAGCAGGCTCACCGTCCGAGGGCCAAGATGACTATGGATATGTCGAATTACTTAACTCGTTACGAAGCAACGGACTCAACATGGATGCGTCTTCTCAGATGGTTATCTCCTTGGACCCCTCAATGGTACAAAGTTAGGCTTTTGGTTAACTATTTCGAAGGGGCCCCTATATTGGATTCTGTACCGAGTTCTGGGGTACACTAAACAATTCACTTATGATAACAACGAATCGGTGGGTGGAAGTCGGCTCGATGCATCAATTCGCTATATGCTTATATGTCCGCTCTCATTGATGCAGCTATTATCCCGGCCGCTAATGAATTCGTTGAAGATCATATGGGCGTTGCGGGTTAGGTTTCATGTGTAGCAAGCTCTGGCCATCGTCACCCCTTTCAAGCAAGCGTGCGTATACCTATGTACCATTTAATACATAGCATTGCCCTTCGAACACGATTTGTTAGCTTCAACATAGCCAAAAAGCGGCAATCCAGGTTATAACGGGTACTTACCCCAGTGGCACTAATACACTGCCCAGTGATCCAAGCACCGTCCGGCCCAGCTAAGCTTGCTACTATATTTGCGATCTCGGGGATCGTTCCTAACCGATTCCCAATTGGTGTCATAATTTTCTGAAGCCGTACGATTTCTTTTGGTATGTTATCAAGCATATCACTCTGAACCGGTCCCGGTTCAACACAGTTTACTGTGGTTCCATTGCCACCTAATTCGGTGGCCCAGACTCGAGTCAAGCCTTCAAGAGCCGCTTTAGAGGAACAATAGAGACTCAACTCCTTCAGACCTGCCCTTGCGCCGACGGAACCGATGTTGATGATGCGACCATTGTCACCGAGGTATGGAAGAACCGCCTGGGTCAATAATATTGTCCCGCGTACGTTTAGGTTGTAGACATCAGTATAGTCTTCTATCGTTAACTCCTTTAAAGACTTGACTTTTTCTGTACCCGCATTATTAACGAGTATGTCTAATTGAAATTTATTATCGCTCCATTCCAGTAGGCCGTTGATAAGCGATTGCGGCCCATCAGGTGTGCTAAGATCGACTCGGTAGGCATAAGTACGAGGCTTATGAGGGAGGGATTCGATGGTTTGGCGGATCTCTTTCACGCGAGACTCGCTACTCGGAGACACAGAAGTTAAGACTACCTACTTTCGTGTCAGTCATACTAGCCTCTATAGATAGGTTATGTACCGATTGAAAACGTACTGTTGCTCCACGACGAGCGAGTTCAACCGCGATTCCTTCGCCGATGCCCCTCGAAGCTCCGGTCACCAAGGCGGTTTTACCCGATAATGGAAGGCTATAGTTCGACATTTCTGCGATTTCTAACTACTTCGTAATATAGTATACAATCTAGGAGGATACTAACTATGATTACTTCCATTTAAATAGTCGTTTGTAAGGAGCAAATTCGTAGTTCGCAGGTTCGGCTTTGCTATACTAAACGCCGATGAAGGCATTATGTCCGATAATTTACATGTCATGGCCATCGCCCGTAAGAACAAAATGTCTACCAAGATTCAAATTGAGAGGACCGGAATATAGTCTCGGCTATCTTTCAGAAGTGTCGGTTTTTATTATTGTATTATGTCGTTGGTTAATGGCAACAATTAATAAAGGGGTATGCTGACATCAAAACATCAACCCAGAAGCTACCCAGCCCCTATTTTACCCACTTACGTCATTGTGTTACCGACTTTGCACCGAAAGATTTGCGACAAAATTTAAGCCACAACAGTCCTTATTAGTGAAGCGATCTCGCAGTTCCGGAATCGACGATCCGGAAGATCCGAGACAGATTTACCAGATTCGGTGTTAATTTGCAGCTTAGGTACATGTATGTAGCCGCTGCATCCTTAAGTCCGAAACTCCTACATGTACCTAGGTAAATAGTTGTTGATGTTCCTGTTTACGTACCTACCTAGGTAAGTAAATCTGATATACACCATACTATTAGCATCATCGAAATTAGGCGGCAAGGAATGTAATATCTCTTCGATATTTAAAATACTTCACTGGACGCCGAGTCGAGCCTTTTGCGTTGATACTTGAACTCCAGTACCTTAGGTACTTACATACAATACAGTATAAATACAACCGGGTATTGAGTACATGTGAAACAAAAAAGCAAGTAATGCGAATAATGACAAGTTAGGTAATTATATACATACATACATTCATTGCGGTGGTCTTAAGTCATCTATATACCCAAGCGTTTCCCGTTTCTCATCACACACACGTGCAAATTCCAGGAGTAGCCTCCATACGTAGAGTAGCATATCCTCCCTTCTCAGCACTTTAGCACCCCATGCTCTACCTTCCTCTGCGATGAAACGCGCCGACTTGTCACCTTTCCTATCTCGTGTAAAATAGTCTAAAATGGCGTATAAATCCTGGAAAATATTATCCATTGGGGCAAAATGAAGCCACGGCACTAGACGATCGTCATGCCATTCCGCATAGATGGTAGCTTTAATGGGCAACGACGTCGATAGCAAGAAACCTCGGAACCTAGCGCTGAAACTATTGCCATCGACATCGGGCATGAATTTATACTTGTATTGTTCCTTCATAGGAATGCCTTGTACCTCTGACAAATACGGTCTCACGTAAGCGCAGTTGGAATCTTCCGGGAAACATAAAAGATTCACAAATCCTGCGTTCGAGAACTTTTCCAACCAAGTACCAATCGTAGCTTTGCGTCTTCGCGGGAAATCGTATTTCTCCATAGGCGGCATTTCGAACGTCATGGCCCTAAAACCATTCTGCTCCATTCCAGCAACAGTTGTACCATTCAACATCTCGATAAGACGGTGGCGTTGAAAGTGCATCCAATTCTCTTTCTTGTTCCGACCACCGGATGCGACACCACGCCACACAACGCCATCAGTCTTCTGTCTCCACGGTGGACCATGTGTTTCTCCGCCGGAGTAAAAAGGGTCATCGGTGATATACATGGCGCCAGGAATAAGAATCTCGTTGTTCACGGGTAGCTTGCAGCCACCAAATAAAGGTATAAGCTCCTTACTTGTGGATTCGGTTAATGGTTCGATAAAAGTGCCGTGAAGGCCGCGGAGGTGGGGTTGCGTGCAAGGATCCATCGAGGCGGTAAAGTTACGCACGTAACCTTTGTAAGAATAATCGGGTTCCCAATTGTGCGGGAAGGTTGGAAGCGTTTCAAAGTTTTCCATCGGTGCGACGTTACGGGAAGGGGAATCGGGCGCACATGCAACTCTTGTAAGGTTCCAAAAGCTACCTCCTAACCATTGGGGATGATAAGGTTTAGCATTTTCCTCCGCGTCAACCTTACTCAAGCCGGTGTACTTGGTTACAACTTCCCCCGTAGGTTTAATCGACCGACGCGCTCGTTCTTTCTCAACAAGATTCGTAATATCCTCCCAAGGAACGATCAATCGAGATTCGTCCATATAATTAATAGGCATATCGACATCAGGCAACCACGGCGCAGCCTCCGCAACTAGATTCGTCCAAAGTTGCAACCACGGAACTTTCCCTTCTGTATTGCCCGTCCCATTCGCGATTCCATTTCGAACACGTACAACATGTTCCCACGACGAAGCTCTTGCCGCTGTAACTTGAGGATCAAGACCCCAAAAAGGCGCAATATCGTTGTATATCCGATCGAAAAATGATTCGACTACGATCGCATCGTGCTCTACCGCGTATTTAAACCAAGCGTCGAAACCTGGTGGTGGATGACGACCTCGTCGGTCGCGATACCGAGCCGCAGCTGTCGGGATATCAAAACTTTGTTGCTTGAGTAGATTCTCGTGAAAAGTATGCGCATCGCTAATTAGTTGATCGATAGGGTGGTTCGCCGTCTGATTCCAAAAATATTCAAAGTAATGCGACCCGCCATCACGAAGGAACCCCTCAGGGCGACGAAATAAAAAGACACCGGAAAATGTTATGGAGATGAGAAAAGCGATCACCGCGTATCGAAGTACGGTTTGCCATCTCAAGAAACGTATGCGACTGTCCGGTATTGGCAGCGGTAGGCTACCTAGCCAGTCGCGAGATTTACGAGTGTCCAACATGGAGCGTCGCCGATGGGGAGCGCACGAACCGCTTAGAGGAGCCTTTAATTTTCCTCACTACATTGAACAACTCTTCAAGCTATAAATTCAGCACACCTCATGATGATGATGGTAGCGACGAGGGGAGTAAGGCGCAACTTGACAGATTAGCAGGTTCAAAGAGATGGGAATTAATAATTACCAACGATTGACGGGGAAAGAAAGAGAAAAACTTGAATAGAAAGGGAATTCGAAGTGGCGGGTTAGCGACCGACACCAAAATTTAGAAAAAAAAGAGGTTCCTATTAACGCGCGATTGTTCTTATGTCGGTCACCCCCCTTGGCCGCATTACTACCATAGGTAAACCCACTATACGATGCTGGTTAGATGGACCCAAACGTCACCAATGAAGCGGAGCGTTGTAGTCTTGGCCAATTCCCTTGACGTTATAGCGCAATAGTGACGAACTTGTATCCGATACACTGCGCAGGGGCATCTCCAAAGTTGCCTGGACCTATGGACAGAGAATTAGTCAAACTATTTAGTACACAGTACCAAACCCCCCGGAACTAGACGAAAATAAGGATCGTAACCATGTCCAGCCAATCTACTAGAGATTAGCTCCCTAGTTGATTGCTGTTTTCCGCAGGGTTTCGCAAACATACCCTACACTTCCAGACTCCTTGGTCACTTAGTCCTCCCCACTCCCGAGATAGTGGGAACAGGGATCGTCATAATGCTCCCCCATCACCCATCTTGTCATTACATAAGGACATCTGTTATCTGTCACCTACGTGAGATGGTTTTCTTTTTCTCTAGATATATTGCAAACTCATAAGCTAAGTAGAAATGTAAACGAGTGTCTTTGACATATCATTTTACGCTCTCAGTGTTTGCCATCGCAGATTATGTTAGGAAAGTCGGATTCTCTCCCTGTCTCGATCTACCCAAGTAAGCAAACTTCGTTGCAACGCTACTACTACCTGCCAAATGCGTAGTGGGTCGGACTTCGAGGACCTTGAAAGAGTTGTTCACATCGGACTGAGCAGAGTCAGGATAAAAACACGGGCTTTAAAGATACCCGCGATCGCCAATCATGTAGGTATCTTAATTTAGCTTGAGCCCTATTAAACCTGGAATTATGGCTTCAAGTCACTCCTATGACATCCATTAGGTATTCACGGATTTTAAAACTATTTGCCATCTCCAGGGGTTGAAAGCCAGATGGCTTCGATCATGACGCGACCAGGACCTATATCAACTACCCAAATGCACAACAATACGCCATGTGATCCGCTGAAACTCATAATAATAATTGTTTATTGATAGAAATCATACCAACAATCAACGCTCTACGATTACGTCGCTTCCTCTTGCTTCAGCACGAGAGTAACCATACCTCTTCCGGGTACGCTGGCAGAAGCTGTTCCTCCGCTCAGCGACACAGTTGAGTCGCTCACATCGTGACTATTGTCAGTCAAGTAGGCGGCTGCAGTACTCGAGTTAAACCCACTCCCGCCGCCGACTTTGACTTGGACGTTGGCGGCCGAGCCCCCTGAATTGATGAATACAACCGCAACAGAGCTATCAACGTTTTGGAATGCTGCAGTGCGTACACCCGACGGTGCCCCCTGAACGCCTACACGAATCGCACCAGGTCGGACGAATCGACTCCATTGGCCAAAAGCCCACAGGCGCTTAGAAGGAGTGACTTTATCGCCATCAATGCGGATCAACTTTGAATTCGTCGATCCGGTCTGAGCGCCAATCCAGTATAAGTAGCCAGAAGCGTTCGCATTCACGACCGCAGTATAGATGTTGTTAGCCCAGGTTATACCGTCTCCCGCGCCACCACTGCTGTAAAATGCCCCTTGCCATTGCCCATTCAGATCGGCAGCTTCGGTCTGCCAAACGCGATGGCGCGTGTTCATCGGCGAGCTAGGGGAAGATGTATAGGAATGAGCTGTAATGGTCGATATGAAGTTATCCACTGAGCCAAGCTGGCCCAACATGCTTGCTTGACTACTCCACCCTTCTGTGTCGCAGCAGTTGATACTGACCGAGCTTAAATTGGCCTTTTCGAGAGTAGGACCGAGTACTTTAATGAAATCAGCTGCTTGTGAGCCCGAGGAGCGCATCGAAGCATAGTTAGTCCTAAATCATCCCATTGGGGGTCAGTTAGCCGTCCTATCTAACAATGCGCCTCTTATGAAAATCTTATGTACTTACGTGAGATCCGGTTCGTTAACAAATCCCAGATGCGTTATCGTTACATTAGCCTCTAGGTAATACTTGATATATTGTACCAAGTAATCAGCATACGCCTGCCTCCAGTCGCCGCTCGAACAAGAAGCGCCACCCACTCCACACAGACTTCCACCGTTTGCGTCGTTTCCATTCGTCTTCATATAGCCGGGCGCACTCCAAGCATTGGCGTAGATAGTCCTCACCCCACGCTTTACAGCTTCTTGGGAAACCCAAAGCTGTTTATTATCCGAACCATCCCAGACGTAGTTAGGCGTGCTTGATGGACCTCCTGGACTCTTAGGTTGTATCGAGACCATATGATCAGAACTCATGTCCGGTGATGAGCCAATGCCATTGCGAAGAATGGACAAGCCAGCTCCGTTTGTTTGGCTGAAGAGGAGGTCTAGAGTATACTGCTGCTGCGACTCTGATAACTTGGACATCTGAACGGCTCTCTGAAAAGCCTCCGAGCAACCGAACCCATCAATGGTCTGATATTTCTGGTCAAGGCTTACGGTGACCGCACTTCCTGACTGGCGAGTTTCCAGGTTAATGGTCCTTCCGAACACCGCCAGTGGCAAGGAGACGGCCCCTGTTATGAGTAGTAGGAGTGACATCGTAGTCAGCAGTGTGAGTTGCTTAGAACCTGACTTTCCTAAATTCGACGGGTATTAGTGAGAAGTTAAATAGAACACAGGTTTCTAAGGGTTTTACGACTTCTCGAACGAAACCGTCAAAATTTACCCGATTCCCCTCAAAAATAGTTGTCCGCAGAGCTCATATATCACGTTGCCTAGAATCTAGAATCAATCCTTAATCCCTTTTGCCGATGAAGGCAGAAAATATTGCTTGGCCATAGCGGACATGCTAAGCTTCTCAAGGATTCTCCACGATCTTGAGGTTGCATCAAATCTAGTAGGCGGCTAAACTCGAGACAAGATGTCCCATTCACGCGGCGAAAAGGCCAAGATTCATGTTGTTTCCCACTACTCTGGTCCTAATGGAACCACGCGAGAATGAAACCAATGACCAACCATTGCTACCTACCTAGGTAGTAAAAGGGGGAAATAGTGGAGTCAAGCACTGAGCGAACTATGCGAAAACTTCCACCAACCGGACTTGACTCTTCCTAGACATACGTTCTCGGAATGATTTTCGTACAGAAACACTAGCTGTTTCGTGAGTAGTTCATAATAAGGAAACTAAAGGGTGACTTACACAATCATTGAAAAATATTTCGCTTACTGGGCATTCTTACACTGAGGAGGCAGTTTTGGTGAATCTAGGTCTTGTGAAGTAGTTATATATCTCAATTGATTTTATTTTCGAACACGGGTATTTCGTTTCTTCTGTAGGAATTCGTCCTCTTTATCTTTTCGCCACTGGCAACTCTCAGCAAATTCACATGAACGGCACTTATACGTCTCTTCAATGGTGACGCCGTCAGCCTCCCTTTCTCCACGCCACCATTCTAAATATCGCCGAACGTAACCGTCTAACGCTTCGGGGTCATTAGGAAATGAATTATTTCCTAAAATACGGCCATCGTCTCTGTGGCGATACTGAACGGCGAGGAGGTCGCCAAGTGTGGCAGTTCCTTGCGGAAATGTCTCTAGTAGTTCAGACTGAAGTAATGGAAGTATTTGCGCGATGGATCGATACTTGATTAAATCTGGCGGGGGCGTTGAAGATGAGGCAGTTTGTCCAGCGGAGTCTGAACCACCTGTTGTTCCTAAGTCTGAATCTGCATCATAAAATATTTCATCATGCAGATCACCCACTTGGGCCATAAATCCATCAGAAAATAGAGCATCGGCTCTCAGGCCGTATCGATCCAGTATAACGGTGAAATCTACCAGGCCAGCGGCCATTTCGCCTAAGAGACGATGGTATAAGAATAATTGAACCCTGGCCGGTCTCAACGCTGCCCCGGTAGGTAGTCTCTCGGACCCTCGAGTTTTGACATCAGTCAAGTAAACCTTTTTGTGCTGATGTTCTAAATAATCGGTTATAGTAGCTTGTTGTCTCGGGTCTACCGTGGTAGACTCCTCAGATGATTGGGATAAATGGAGTTCTTGCTCAAAAGCGGCATTCGGACTTTCATGGCTTAATTCGTCTACGATGCCATTGACTATTTGTCCCTCGATAATTCCCCATACTTCGAGTTCCCTAGTCATTCCGGTGTCTCGAAGTGTACGAAGCCCCTGTATGAGATTCCACAGCCTCAACGCGAAGGCCTCCTCTTTACTTGATACACTAACTTGAATGGCGGTGTGTACCTGATCCTCTAGCGCCTGGTGAACGCGAGAGCCGCCTCGCATTGCGGCCGTTTTTGTCTTCTTTCCACCAGGCAGTCGTGTAAGGGTATACCAGTATTGTAGTTCGCACCAGGCGCCGGAAGCCAGGTCAGATACAGTGAGTGGCTTCTTCGGAAAGGAGCGAAGACGCTGGAGAGGGGACCGTGAGTCCTTCGTTGGTTCGGAAGATGCAAGTTCGGGAATCGTAATGGTATTTGTATCAGGAAGGACGCGACTCACTGATTGCTACCGGTTAGTTAGACATGTCTCGTCTCCGAGGTGCTCATTTACTGAAACTCACAATCCGGGTACTGTACGTCATCCAACGCCGCGGATGGTTGGGCGAGTGCAGTCGGATGGGTGGTTGGGTCGTCATGATACTCTGTGCGATTAGATGCAGACGTCTTGACTTCCCTCTGCGGAGCGTTCTCCGGAGGGCTATGCGAATCCAAGACACGATGGCGATGTTCTTTTCCAAAAAATAGCGAGGGGTTAGATAGGCCACTAGCAACTTTGGTAGCTACATCAGCGGGCAAGACGAACTGCGTGTAACTAGTATCGGTGCTCGTGGATTGGCTTGGCGAAGCAGTGGAATTCCCGAGGTCTTCGAGAAGTTGATTTACAATACCCTCTTCTCCTAATGAAAAGTCGGATCCATAATCACTCTCAGGAGAGCCGTCGCGGCCTAGTATAGGAGAAATAAAGGTAGCCATAAGCGCGTAGTTAGCGAGTTGAGCATTACGTTATGTACTGGACATGGAGTTATTCGATAGCACAGCGATTAGTATATAGTCCAGCAATTAACTAGCGTTGCTATGTGAGGAGAGAAGTGGCGGATTAAAAGGAAAAGCAATGGATATTCTCATGAGATATTGAGTCATGGTCAAATACATTTAGTACCTGCCGTTATATGGTCATGACGAATAGTTGACTGGTATATAACAATGACCCATTGCGTTGTATTATTGTTGTATGAACGAGGAAGGGAGAATGGATGGACAATGGTGGGGGTGGAGATTGACCAACGAACCTTGGAACTCTCATCGAACGCGCTAAGAACAACAGTCGCGCGATCACATGCCCCGCGATAGAACAGGCAGCCGCTGTCTAGTAGGTACTCCATAGCGGTTGCCTACGAACTATAGGTACACGTAGATAGCCTAGATTGCCTAAGCCACAGTGGTAGTCCTACCTGTAAAAACTTAGGTATACAACCTTGAAACTTAACATCCATTATTAAATTCCAACCAAACAGAATCAATTGTAACTTCAACAAATAAACTCTTCGACTTATATTATTCGTGATTCCAATCCACTCTCTCTTTAATTTCTATTGAATTTATTCGTCCTCTGATTTATGTCCTCTGATTTATCAATATTCTAAGTTTGTCTAGGGAGAATGTATCCATTTTAGGGTTGACTTCGTATTTCGTAACTCGTATCTTGCACTTGCAGCCGCCCTATCATCGAAACGCCCCCCTTGTTAGAGGGGGATTGTCGCCAACGTACCTACTTTTATACTGGTGCCTGCAGCCTATCTGCTACTTAGCTTACTTCTATAGTCGCCAATCAAGTGTAAATTCGGCCCAGAACAAGCCAGAATTCAACGACACCTAGGCAACTTATTGCAACCACATCAAGGCTCAACTCACTTCCTTCTCAGGGGCTTTCGCTGTGGGGCCAAAGACCTACATCTCTAACTAAGCCAGATTTCAGCGTGCGGCGAGGCAGATTTCCTCAAGGCAACAAGGTATTATATCTCTTGCCTTTCTCTATGGGTAATGTTTAGAATGTAGTAACCTGACTTACCCACCAACCAGATTAATCTTACAACTCGGGTAGTTGTGAGACCTTGATTAGTCGACAAGAAATCATCGTACATCTATTAAGCCTTCAGCGCACCATTAAACACTCACCTATTCTAGTAAGACAACTAGAAACTACACGGACAATGGACTTAATTCGTCGTGCCCGAGCTCCTAGAACAGCATCTACCAAGGAAGAGGAAGACACTTCTGTAACTACGCTTCATCGCCGAAAACCGCTGACTTTCAAGGATTTACCACCGGAATTACACCTACTCATCAGTCAGCAACTCACGTATCCTGATGCACTATCTCTCAAGCACACCAGCAGATATTTCTATTACCTTGTCGACACCGGACTCGAGCTCAAGGTAGATTGGTTAATCGAGCGTCGGAGCTTGCATTTGGAATGTCCGAATGACCGACGTTGTGATCTTGGAAGCGATCTAAAGTTTTGTAGAGGTAGTATCAGGTAAGAACTAGGACGCCCAGGTCTATCGCCGGGATGTTCAAATAAAACACAACTAACCCACGTAACTTTATTAGGCTACTCATGCAGCGACGCCGTGAACACATGGAATGCGAATCGCGCCCCGGCTTAGGTTGTCTCGTTTATGGAACGCAGAAATGCGCACACCAACGGAAACTCAGAGTACGAATTCAACGTTGGCTACGAGTTCGCTTGACTGTTGAATTATGGTGGATTGTAATGGCGTTAATTCCCGTATTGCTCGGATGCCTCTGGGTAGTAGACTTGACAAGATGGCAAGCGACGAGTTGATTACAACTAGCGCAATCGTTGCCTTCAGTTTTGAGTCAACTCAAACGAAAGGCACCTACACTAAGACCAGAAACGATGGCGCCACAAAAGTGATGAAGAAAAATATTCGCATGAGGTGTTCAAAGAGTCCTATAATATAAGTCCTTCTGAGAAGGGCTAACGAGTGTATATTATTTTGAGAAATACCCAGGAGGTTATAGTTCTGATTCGGAATATGAAGGAGTTAACTTCAGCTCGCAAGTTATGGAAAGGAAATAGTATTTACAGTGCGAAATCGACGGTATCCCGAAGGATTGCGCACATGGTATTCCCTCTAATTTCAAGATCTCACATAATCCGCATTTCATTTTTACTTCCATCATAAAATCATTGAACCAGATCAATGTTATCATAATAACTACCTAGGTATATTCAAATCTCATTTCAATCCTCACCCATAGGCTTAATTTTCAAAGTTGCGCAATCAATTCACGATGGCTTCTTCGACGCGTTATTACCTTGACAAGATCTACCTTGTTTACTTCATCCTTCATATACCCATCTTATTTTGTAAGTCCTAGGTACCTAATCGTGCTACCCGTGCAGTGATCAAGCATCTAACACCCCATAGGCGTCGATCTTGTCCCTCTCTACCCTGCTTCTCTCTGGGTACCTCCCTCGGCGCCTCTGCATTTCTTATACGATTTGCGGGTGTACTACATAGAGACGTACAATGACCAGTTCTTTGCGCCACCACCTGCAGCCATCCCAAGTTTCTTCCCGCTATTTGCTTTTTTGGAGCTTGTATTCCACCTGCCGGTATCGCTTTGGGCGGTACGTGCACTTCTAGGCGGTGGACGTGGTGCAAAGCAAAGCGGGCTTAGCGGTAGCGCTGAATTACTACTACTCGTGTACGGCATTGAGACGGCTTTAACCACAGGAACTTGCATGTATGAAGCATTTCTTTGGGATCCCCTCGTGGTCACTGCCCAGCAGAAGGTTGTATTGTTGGGTGGTTTGTACGGCGGGTACCTCGCAGTTGGTAAGTTTCAGCACCTTAAATTACAGGGAAATATCCATGAGCATACTGACAATAGAGCAGCAATTTTGTTGACAGCTGACATGTATGTGCGACTGCTCGGACGCCTTAATACAATCGATAATATCAAAAAGGCTCAATAATCACGGAGTCAGCGCCGGAATCAGACACCTATTATTCAAACTAGCGATTGGAAAAAAAATGATTTAATATCGTTACATAATCTATAACTACTTCATGTCCTGAGTTGGTATCATTGCCATAACCTTATGTTGATACAGCTGAGAATAATGGGATCATACCAACACATATGACCCTCATCCTCTTCGTAATATTTACAAGAACCCATCAAAATTATTGCGAGGACAATCGTTCCTAATTATTCAGTCCATTCTCTTTGAATAACCCCACCCGTTGCCGACGCCATAGCCCAACGGAGTAGCGCCGCCGAGGCCGCGACCCTTCAACCTCTTAGGCAAGATGATACCAAAGAAATAAACACCCGAAACAAGAACGCCGGCGATGAAGGATACGAGCGCATAGAATACGGTGCTAGCGTAGATATGACCTCCCATCCCTTGCCATTCGACCTTGCCCTCAGTCTTGGGTAGAGCCGGAGTCGGAAACCACCTAACGCTAAAGCTCAGGGGTAGAGGGTCACCAATGACTAACCTCTTGGTGAAGCTACCATCCATGTGGCTGAGTGGGCTTGTACTATATGCGGCGCCGCTATCTAGAACGCCGCTGTCGTGAGGGTGGATGTGGTGTTTCGGCGTGCTGTGCAGTAAGATGTTAAGGTGGGTGCTGATATGCAAATGACTTAGTTGTAAGGTGCCGGCTAGGGCAAATACTAGTGGTATATATTCTTGTTCGTACGGCTTCTCGCCAACCATCTCGATATGAGCGGGAGGTCGAGCAGGAAGGCGACAGGCAAGGGGCGCATCGTTGTGGATGTAAAACTCGAGCAGGTGAAAGAAAGGGTCGTCTATCATAGGTATGGTGCAATTCATTTCGCCTTCGACGCCGTAGCTAAACTCGAGAGGGTTCCCAGTCTCGTTGCATATAGGGAAAGGAATCCATTGGATCTCGTTCTTGGCATTCTGGATGTGTTCGCCGGTCTCTCTACAAATGTCGAAGTGGACAGGGTTAACAAACAAATATGCGCAAGGAAAAGGGGAATAGCTAGGGGGGTGCAACTCACACACTCCTATTCATGCACTCGACAGCAATAGGGGCACCAAAATGGTAGGAGGGTAGGATACCTTCCTTAAGACTGTTGCTAGCTGTCGCAAGTTGGACGAAGAGTAGCAACGCGCCCAAAACCAAGCGCGTTGCGAAAGGCATAGTCGATGACCTCGATGACCACGATGACGGATGTTATGATGGTAGTGGGAACATTTCGAGGATTTAGCGGGAAGTATTATTGTTACTACCGACGCTTGTCAAACAAGTTGAACGAGGGACAAAGGGCTGAATGACAGCCTGGTCAAGTTGTCAAGTTTGGGCTGGTTGCGATGTAACGGGAGTTGATCGTCGAAGAAGCTCAGACCCGACACTTTTTAAAAAGATTAAAGGGTACATGCTACCTATCGATAAGAGATTATTCTGTCATCCGTTTATACGCATGTATGTTTACTTATATAACCCGATACCAGCTTATCAAATGTACCTTTCCTTCGAAAGGTACAGGAGTTGAAGAAACTCCAGTCCGAAATTAATTCATCAATACTTAAACATCATAAATCCAAGGAGCGTCCTCAATATCCCACAGTTTCGTATTCCTTTCCCCAATTCATCAAGGACCGAATACCACCTCCTCTCCTTTTCTTAAGAAGAAGGCTTCTGACAAGTAGCCAGAATTACAGTCCAATCCAGATCCCAACCTTGGTTATTATGTTTCTCCTTAAGATGCTTCACGATGTGATCATCAAGCATATCTTTCGCCTTTTTCTTACTCTCCTCGCTCCAGTATGTATTGACCATCCAGTCCTTCATCATCCTATAGCTCTTGAGGTAGTCCTCGGCATCATGGATATAAACGACATGGGGCATTGCCTTAACCTGAATATTCTCAAATCCATGACTTCTCAATTCCTTCTCCACGCCTTCAGGGTTCGTCCATTGTGGCTTTCCGTTGATTGCCATAGGTACAGGGTCTGGCATTGGCGCCTCAAAGGGCAGTGCCTCGAAACATGATCTCATATCAGTAGACCAACCCTTGGTATCCTGATGCCAAGTGGTAAAGGCGAACACACCACCCGGCTTCAATATCCTCATAGTATCTACAAACTTGTCAGTACTGTTCCTGCCCAGGCTAGCGCGTATGTTATCTTTTTCATCATACCTTTCAACACGTCCTCCGGCTTTGGGATAATGTGTAAAGCGAAATTGATTGTGACATACGAGAAGGTCTGCTCTGGGAAACCCGAGTTCTACAAGGAATTGTTAGGTACTCTTGCTTCACATTATCGGTAGGGTTGCGTTCACTAACCTGAGCGTCAAGGACAGCGGTCTCGACATTTTTCCAGCCATATTTTGCCGCCCGGATTTTCAAGATGTCCACGAGGTTTGCATTGAAGTCAGCACAAACCATCTTGCTCTCCGAAAGGACATTCTTGTCGATATTGTCTTGCAAGTGTGCGACAATGGGGCCCGTTCCGCAAGCGTTGTCCAATAGTGCGAAGGGTTTGGTGGTCGATTCATCCAAGCCTGCTTGAGTGAGTAGCCACCCTGCGGGACCTCTCATGATGCGTTCCGAGTCTGCGATAGTTCGCTCTAGCTCTTCATCGCTAAGACCCCCGAAATCCCCGTAGAGTTTTTGTAACTCCTTTTGCTGAGTGGTCGTCATGGTGAATAGTTGGTTGTGGTGCTCTAGGTATTGAGTAGAAACCATGTGGGCTTTTTTTAACTTGGTATTGTAGTGATAATATCACACTAGAAAAGATATGTTTTGTTTTAATTGATATCCACTCACGGTAACTCTTTGCTCATTTATACACATCAGCGAGACGCCGACAACAGGGGTTGGATCTATTCAAAGTCCCCGGAAAGTCTCCGAGCTGGAAGACGGATGGGAAACCTTGAGGGCCACAGTTTATTCATACTCGATTGTCATTCTCATATTAAGTGCTAAGTCTATACATTCTAAGGAGCTAACCTTGCATGTCCTCGTATCCTCATTCCATATCATTCCCCTCCTCATTAGAACGCCACCCCTCCAAGTTTCTATTCGTTATGCAAGACATCCATTCCCTCCCCCTTATCCCCAACGATCAAATTTCCTCCATATCTCATGACCATCACCACGTCATATAAACCAAGTAAATGAATGTAAAATATAACGCAAGGAAATAACTCAGTGATCATTCTTCTTTTTCAACCCGAATCCCTGACATCATTTTGTATCCAAGATTGGTATAGCTAGGTGTAAAAGAATATATAGCCAATGAGGCAACTAATTATTTGATTAGAGAGGGTTTGGCGGAGAGCCTGAATCTGGGTCCGTCTTGTCGTCTTGCTGAGTTCTGGCACCCCTGGTCAACGTCTGATCCTCTTGGGAAGCTCGGTGGTCATAGGAGCGCGTTTGCCACATCCATCCGTCAAGATCGACCTGGGACAAAAGCTCAATCTCAGGCACTATAAGCTCAGATAAGCCTGGGTGTATCGGCTGGCCGTCGTAATCATCGTCATCGTCTTCAACGATGATTCCAAATAAACGGAGGAGACGCCGGCTGATGCGGTAGGTTTTGGACTCTGGCCCCCCTTTGCCGGGATAAGGGGAGCTGGGGCGTCTGAAAAAGCCGCTAGGTCTCTGTCGGTCCGTCTCTGGCAGGTCGGCAAATTGTACATGTCTTCCTCCGCATGCCCTTGATCCGCGTGTCCTTGACCGGCCCCGATCCACTTCATCATCTCCGTTTGGGGCTAAATCCGGTAGACGGCCGCATTTAAACTCGTCGATACTGCTTCGCTCCGACCTAGGATATGATACTTCAACAGGTGAAACGAAATAAGGTTGCGGCATAGTGGTGTTCCAAGGATCGCGTCCGGATTGTACATATGGATATACACATGGTGGCGGGAGCAGCAAAGATGGCATGACCTGCTCCTGGGAGGGACCGTCAAAAATCCTCCTGCGTGACGAGTTGTCGTGGGCCTTGTTGTTGTTGTTGTTGTTGTTCTTTTCGTCTCGAAGTGGTGACATGACGACTGAGTAGTTGTGTGTCTGTTGGTGGTGAGCAGTTAATCCTTTCTGGGGAAGTATGTTGACTTACAATACAAGATATATCAGGTATCTTATTCCGTACTTCTTGAAGTGTCGGTATGCTGAAGTCTAGTGGGTTTCAGATACTATAGGGCAAATGGACTTGGAATACCCTGGTGGTGGTAAATGTAGTACCGGTGAGGTGTGTCGCATTTGGTTATATGTATTTGGTTGTTTATAGATGTAGAGAGTGGTTTGGTTGATTAAGGGGAGATGTGAGAGATGTGAGACGTGAATTTGGTTACTGGAACTGGACAGGTATTTATATGCAACGCAAGAATGACAATCAGCGTTTTGGTGATCTAGGTTTAATAGAGTATTTTATAGAGTATATGCTTCAATATACTTAACTTACCTGTATGGCCATCTCGAAGACGAGTAGACCACAATATACTTGTTGACCGGACGAATTTGTTTACTTAGTCCTAACCTCCTATATAAAGCCTTGCGGTTTTTAGTCTGACTATAAAATTTTCATTCAATATAGCATTATTGGTCTATAGTCTAAAGTATATACATCACATATATCGAACGTAAATGTCTGAATAGGCGTTGGGTAGGCATTTTCAAACCTCATCTATTACTACTAGGTACGGGATTAATGGACCCACGCCGTTCCCATCTATGTTGACTTTGGTGGTGTTCATTTGTTCAGCCATTAAACTACATAGACTCTTACTGCTAGGCCATTGTCATTGGTGTTTTGACACTGAGAATATCTTATACACCTAGAGCGGGCCATTGATTTGATTTTCATGGGGGACTACATTGTGACAGGGCACTATTGAACTCTATATAATTCTAAGGTGACATTAGGTAGGAGAACAGACTGTTGGTATGGTAGGTAACGTCTAAATACTGAGTCGTGAATAAGAAACAACCGGACTAGCCGAACATCAGTGCTTAGAGCTATTGGAAGTTAAAATTCAAATATTGGTAGCAAAAGGTTATAGATGCACTAAGAATGCTTCTATACTCGAGGCTCTGCATTTGGTTGGCGTTAAATATAGACACGCCCAAAAACGCGCACACCAGGACACCCCAATCATTACACTAGTGTACATTATCTTTGATTGGTATTGCGATAGAATTACGATGCTATCTGCCAACTTGCTACCTGAGAGAATCATCACTCCGATTCTTATACACCAACTCCGTCCTCGAGAAAAAACACGCACTTAGTGTGTACCCAGTTTTGTTGGTAAACTAGGGTGCCGGGATGCTGAATGTCAACCATTTGGGTCTTCAATGCCGTTTATAGATCTTGGTATTCCAACGCCTGATGCATATAGAGTTCTCAGTCCCTTAAACCTCCTAATCAAGCCCAACGTCATGTCACCTCTTTATTATCTCTTAATAGAAGCCCATACTCCTGCTGGCCATTGGCGACACGACTAGTGGTTCGACAGCTTGTTTCATGGCCTTGACGCCTCGCGCAATATCCCTAATATCTGCCCCGCCCTCGTTAGTGATTCTCGTATTGGCTGACACCCAATTGTCGCATTCTACAACCAACTCGCCAACCCACGACTCCAGTCTCGCATCTGGGCGACTGTTTCTGCTCAAGTCGCGGACCCAGTAGCTAATAGCACAAGTGATCCATTCGATAATCCTTGCTCGACCGGCACCACGGAATGGTACCTCCTGTGCCTCGTACATTTGTTCCAGGACACGGACCACAAGATCATAGCTTACTCCTAAATTCAGGAAGACGAGCACTGGCCAGTTGATATCGGCTGCGATTCTTCTGTCCTGGGCGTTCTCAAACGCATAGCGGCATACCTCCGGTAGAAGGACGGGGACGGGGAAGATGAAGGAATCATTGGAGGAACGATGGCAGATATCTTGAATTTGGCCTACTAATACCTCATATGGTTGTGGAGGAGCATCTCCAGCTCGCGCATTGTTCTCGTGACGTTCCGCATTGTATGCTGCCCACTGCTCTGCAACATTTTCGTGGGTTTGTTGAATGAGACTGTTCCAAGTCTGCGCGATGGTGGTTGCATTTCGGAAATCGGCAACGTGATAGATAAGAAGACAGAGATCGTAGTAGCCGGCTTGGTCGGCGTAGCCATTGAATAGCTAGGTAATCGGTATTAGCATACTGTTTTGAAAAATTGGCAACTCTACAGCTTTAGAGAAGCTCACTAGGAAAGTACTTACTTCAGAGAGTGGTTGAATCTTACCATCCAGCGCTTGCTGAATTTCAGGCTGGCGCTCGGGCGGTATTCTACTGTCGATCTTCAGTCTTTCTAAAAGATCATCCTGAATATGTGCAACCTCTAAAAGCTCGGTTACTTCATGATTAAGGAGTTGCTGTTCTTGCCGGCTCACACCCGTGGTCGAGACACTAGCGTTAGTCTTCGCTTTGCTAAGCAAGATAAGGCGATCTTTAATAGAAATTGGGAAATCAGACTGCACGAGCTCGGCCTGGACCTTCGCCGCGTCGAAAAATCGCGCACGCATGGTGTAAAATCTGCAAAGGAGGTCTGCATGCTCCACATCCTTATGGCCAAGCTTAGACAGGAAAGTGGTGACGTGAGGCGAGTCGATATTGAGAAGGCGCTCGGTCCATCCTTGTTGTAAATACCATTCGTAGAGATCAAAATGGAAAATTTCGTCTGGTGCGTTGCTAATCACATCATAAGCTTCGGCGCGCTTCGTTGTGATTAATGTTGGTTTCCCGTCAACCATGCCGGGCTCCCGGTTGAAAGCGGTGTCCAGGTCTAGCATGACGCGGTGAATTAAACTGTAACAGACTTTGCGCTCATCAAAGAATTTTGCCCTTGGGTCGCCAACGGGTTTACCATCATTGACCCAAGAAAGCGCAGAATTCCCTCTATCCTTTTCGTTGGCAACCACTAGACACAGATGAATAGCACCAGCATAATATCTCAAGGCAACATATTGATCGATTGCGGACTCGAGGTTTGCTAATGTTAAACTCTTTGCGACTTTCTGGAAGAGCTTCAAACTCTCGTGTAGGAGCGTACGAGAGGTGTTGGGGTTAAGAGACGGGTCCGAAGCCCTCTTTAATTGCTCTTGAGCTTTGAAAATGACTACGTCGTCAGGACTGCAGAAACTACCACATTTCCGTCGTAGAGCATCTGCTACAGTCTCTACGTTCGATCCGTTCTCGATATTCCTATTGACAATAGCCTTCACTAGGACCTTTGCTAGTTCCTTTCCATTGTCTTGTGAAAAGAGCTGCTCGTATGTGAGATCGCGGAGTTGCTGTCGAGATGTATCGTCAAGGCGAGAAAATATGTCTGTAACTCGCTCTTCGAATAGTGTCGTAACGAAAGATATACCTTCGGTGATCCCTGTCATCAACGTTTCTAATGCGCGCATGGCTTGATGTTCACCCTGGAAACCAAGCTCTTCCTGTTTGCTTCCTGCTCTCCGTAGATCTGCGGGCCCGGAAAGGCCCTGGATAAAAGATCGATTTGTGTCGAGGAAACTTCTTAGACTTTCCACGCTTCCTTGGACATCCTTGAGTTTTTCGGTTGCGATGACGCTGGTTATAGCCAACGCGCCACCGGCGTCGGTCCCCAACCCAATGACTTGAGACTTCCATAGTTTCCGGACGAGTCGGCTGAGATATAGGGTTAAAGCGGCGTGGCGAGTTGAGGGCTGTACCATCTCGACGGTGGCTGTCTGTCCGTCTTGTTCGGGTAGTCTAGGATTTCCGCCGTAGTTAATATAAACTTGTTTTGCACGGTCCTGGGTGGCTTGGTCAATTGCACCACGACCTATCCCGGTACGACCGTTATCTCCTTGGCGGCATGCAACAGCAAGTGCAGCAGTTATGGTTTCGACATGGCCATAAGCGCTTCGGAATTTGCTAACCTCAGCCTTCACACCCTCATCTCCGGCGGCGGCTCTGATAGCGGAAGCAAAGATGTCGACTAGTCTCCTGCGCCGCACTAGATGTATTCCTGTGTTTGTAAGGATGGCGAACTCGCTGCCGTTCGGGTCGTCGAATTGTACGGCTAGTTCGTTACCAAATCCCTGGGGTTGGCCGCTTGCAGCGAATGGCTTCGTGACCAACCCAATGTCTTCAGCCCTACTGCCGATATCAATCCAATTAGCATGCTCAAAGAATCGCATGTTTTGAATCTGTCGGCCATGGTTGATCCGCCCACTGTCAGGAGCTGACAGGAACAACAGGTCACTATTGGCTTGGTCTGTCCTAATGACGAAATCCAGAAAGTAACCTGGTGCGAAGCGGATGCCCCGACGACTTCTTATTAGCGTTTGTGATTGGATGTCGGCGTCGATAGGGCCGCCGAACCGGTCGGCTCTAGGTCTTCGTTGTTCGGAGGGCGGGAATTTGATAGCTTGTAACTGCATGCTTTGCGGAGCTTGATTCGAAGAATTTAGCATGTAAGACGCGGTGCTCGTAGCGCTCATGAATAGACGACATCCCGTGTTTGTTAAAGCCATGAGATGAACCTTGAAATCTTCGACTGCGGAAATGGGGCTAATAGATACAATATCGATGCGCTCATTGAGCAAAGGGGTCCCGGTGCTGAGTACATGGGCTATATCGCGTAGGAATTCGTCCTTGGTCTTTTCAATAACTTTGGTAAGCTTGTTCGGAGGCTCCATATGGTAAGTGCGCACAGTTGACATCGTAGAAAGAGTGTAGAGCAAATTTCTACTATTATCGATGACAATCTCTGTAACGTGCTCGTTCGCGGCCTTGCCCCAGAACATCTGCGATGGGTTAGGGACTGCGGCGGTCCAAGGACGGTACGTATGGTTTATCTTCTCTGTCCTGTTCGTGAACCACTTTTCCTCCTGCTGATACTTAAGCTCGTAGATGTCAGTGTCTGAACGTCCAGCGAAGAATATGCGACCATCCGCGGAACCGGCTATAACATGCGCCTCGGTTCCCTTCAAAGCCTGTGCCATCTTCGTGCCATAAAGCTCGATAGTCTTCACGTTATTTGGCGAATCCCTAGCTGCTACCCCCAAAAGGAATATCTCCGACGTAGTAGCAACAACCAAGACGTGCGTAATAATCTTGTTGAATACGTTAGGTCGCGGGGCTACGAGCTTCACGGCCGTGATACTATGTTGGCTATCCTCGTAACCGATGAGTTCGGGGTTCGGATGCGTGTAATCCCAAAGATAAATACAGTTGTCAATGGTTACCCAGGCGTGGTTCAACTCGGCGAACAACCCCATCATTGTAGAGACTTCGGCGCGATTATATTGCTCAAGGACATTTTGGGGGATCGGATACATATTCGTTTTCTGGAAAGGAGCCCAAGCATTATCGTCGCGGGTGATATCGTAGTCGGAAGATATTTCTATAACGAAAAAATCATTTAGTATTTGTCCTTGTAGAAGCTACGAAGGTGTCGTTTACTTACGTCTGCAGTAGGAATCAAGTTGAGGGTACTCGCCATCTCTGGTAAGTGCATTGTTGATATACGAAGCTGCTTTAACTAAGGGAGGCTGAGGAGGTAGGGTTGGAGCTCGCATTCCTCGTGCCAATTGCTCCTCGGCAGTAGTAGTAGGAGCGTCGAGTCCAAGGCCATGATCTTGACCGAGCCTGGGGCCTTGGGCATCAGATAAGATCGAGTTCGTGTGTTCTTGAAATAAACGGCGACGGACGGGATCTTGCTGGGCACCGAAGCGCGATGCGATGGCGGGCGTATGTAGGAAAGCGCCGGGGAGGTTGTGAGATGGTGTCTGCGGAAAAGCCATTATGAATGCGCTCTAGTGCAGACAAACTAGGCGCGCCAATGATGGCGAGATGGTCGCGAAAGGAGTTGGCGAAGGAGATAGAGAAAAGCCAATGTAGGCAGGTGAGTTGCCCCGGTATTATCAGCTCATCAATGGCGACTTCGAGCTGTTTCTCTCTAAAATGATTAATAGACGAGGCGGGAAGGTTAGAGAAGCTCAGTATATGCTTTCCTTCCCTTTTTTTTTTTCTTCTGCCCAATTCCGAAGAAGTTTCAGTCTCACAATAGGAAAAAAAGCGATAAACGTCACAAAGTCAATTCAGCCTTTGGGTCTTGGACCTCGTCGTCGAGGTCTAGACTGGATTAAATGATGTGATGGGAAGAAAGTTTGGGAAATTGAAAATACCTTAATGCTTAGCTTATTTTTCTTGCAAGGTAGGAAGCTTTGACAGCGACACACACGCGCTTCCCAACTTTCTTTCCTACCTTTTCGCGACTTGAACGCACTAGTCTTCATTCGGAAGTTTGCTAAGTGGGTACGCAAATGCATGTGGCCACATGAATTGGTACTTATACTTCAAGTTACACATGCATACCAGCCAACTAAAGCCTGTTTTCGTCATTTGCTTGAGCTCCCATTCTCGACTTTACATACCTACATGTACATATGCAGGAACTTAATGCTTCGAAGTTGAGGAAAACAGATAATTTCCAATGTTCGACTGATTCCAGATATCTTATGTATATATCTACCTAGGCGGGCCGTGTTCGTTGGTCACTATTTGTTAAGGCTCGATCCTAACTTTGGGTGCAGTATATGTACGAATCCCCAATCACCTGTCATTTATCTACTCAAAACATGGCAGTTTTCGATCCGAGTTGCTCTCCTTCTCACATCCACTTATATTAAATATTCACCACCCGAGGGCCGATATCCTCGACTCGTCCAAGTTGAGACGACGTAATAATCGCTTATTCCTTCTTAGCGTTTCGGGCCGCCTTCTTCAATGCACGATCCCGGATGTCCATTTCCATTTTCAGATTGACCCAGATACCGAAAGAATGGCCAACTCCAATCGTATTTTCGACGACCCAGGCAAACACCGCATGGCTCCAGTACGGCGTGTAAGTATACGCAAAGCTTTGCCAGCCGCCAAGCCCTACCTTACCTAGGGCTGCACGTACGAATGGTTTCGGGCTTGGGATCAGGACACTCGCGCGCCGAACTTTGCTCATAGCCGTAGTAACTAGGTAGCTTAGGCAGAGCTGGACGTCGACGTTGCTTGGCTTGAGTTCCGCAGCGAGCGAAGATGACCAATGCTGAAGGAACGCCTTGCTACCCGAGTAGGTCGCCAAATACGGGGTCGGCATCCATCCACCGAAGCTGCCCATTGTAAGAATCAAACCACGCTTGCGAGTCTGCATACCGGGTGCGATAATTTGCGTGACCTTTAGAGTGCCGAGGCAGTTGATGGTAACAATGTTCTGCAACTCCTTCTGTTCGGTGAGGAGGAAAGGAACAGCAATGCTATGGCTCTGGCCAACATTGTTAATAAGAATTCCCACGTCAAGACCGTCGACCAATTTAGCAAGACGGGCATAATCAGCATCCTTATCGGCTGAGAAGTCCATGTCAAGCACCTTGGTCTGCAGTCCAGAGAATTTCCCCTCTAATTCCTTGGAGAGTGTCTCTAACTTAGATAGGGTCCGGGATACCAGGACAAGGTTGAAACCTTTGGCAGCCAACTGAGTAGCAAATTCTTTTCCTAGACCATCAGACGCGCCAGTCACGACGGCCCAGGTACCCTTTTTGCCATATTTCCTGAGCTGTATTTATAATTTTAAAAGCGTTAGTTATAAATATTGGGTATGGGAATCATTAAGCCCCGTATGGAAGAGCTACATGTAATGAGGCTTACGTTGGTGCCGCTGAGGATGAAGGTGCTCAGAAGAAGACGAAGAAAGCTCAATAATTTTGAGGCTACGAACAGAGCTCCAAGGCCGGCAAAGGTCAATTGCACACCCTGCGGTATAGACGCGAGGGCACTATTGAGATTATCCATCCTAAATGGAAATGGAAATAGAAATGGAATTGGTACTGATATAATCGGATACCCTTTGTTAAACTGTCGTTATGGGCTATAACGTGGGGGGTAGTATGTTCTATGAATTAGTGAAGGAAGAAAAAGTTTCGTTAAATTCCAAGGTTGTTGGGGTTTACCGTAGATCGAAATGTAGGTCCGGCCGCTTGCCAAGGTACTATGGAGATACATTGTCGACCTGGTAACTTTTGTTTGTTAGCTATGCTTTTGGGTATCTACGAAATGGCGGTCGATTTGATGCTTAGCCGCACAGAGCTAGTACGAATTTGGTATCAATAACCTACACCATGATCTTAACTCAGCCAGCTGCATAGTTTATGCATTGTTATGCATATGCCAAACTCAATATTTCTGTGGAGCATACACTAGCATAAAAGGGAAGCGCAATCCTTGGACGAACCTGATCTGCAGATGTACTAGGTACCTACAAGGCAATAATCCTTCGATTAGGTAAACTCAAATACCTTGATGGCCTCGCAAACATTGAACAGTACACCTACACATATCAACAGTGACCGCCCATATTGATCATTACCTTCAATCCCCCAAGGAAGTATTTACTTGGGTATACTTAATCCGTTACAACAATGGACGTACTCAAAGATTATCTCCCGGCCGCTAAGGGCTATCTCCCGTATTATTTGGTGGTGGTATGCGATCTCATTTTCTATAACCAACTCATTCCTCTCCCTTTTTTATTGTTTCTAATTTAGATTCTAGACCTCCATTATCGCATTTGGAAACGCGCTTCAAAACTATGTGACCTTGCATTTTTCGCGACGCCTCTACAACGGTCAATTCGTGCCAAACCCATCGCTGCCCCCCAAATCGGCGGCCTTCAACCCCGAAGACTCTACTCGGAAACTCGTACCGGCTTCTTCGGTGTCCAATCCCAAGGAAGCCCGTACACAGGACCAAGTCACTCCCCTCGCCGCGAGATTGTTCGGTACCTACACCGTCGTTTCGGCTATTGTTCGCATATATGCTGCCTATAACCTACACCTAGCGCCCATATACCATATTACTATCTGGACTTACGTTGTTGCGTTGGCACATTTTGGCACGGAGTTTGCGGTATTCAAGACCGCGTATATGGGTCCAGTCGCATCCACCTTCGCCTTTGCTACCGCTGGTATTATATGGATGACTAGCCAATACAGCTTTTACGTCGAAGCGTAAGCGAGGGGGTGAGCTGTTTGAAAAGAGACATATGGCAATATGGCCTCTTATTTCATGATATGGATGACGCGCGAGAGATGAATACGTGCTTAAGACCGCACGGTAAAGTACCGTTATATCCATATGACAATGTCTACCTAATTATATATATCTAATTTTTTTCCCTCTCTCCCCATTGACCATATCATAGCAGGTGCTGTTTATTACGATTGGAGCTTCTTGCGATATAGCTCTCCTGCACAGTCTCTTAGCTTCGCTGCGGCTTGTTCAGGTGTGATATCTCGTTGCGGTTCAGCCATTAATTCGTATCCAACCAAGAACTTTCGTACTGTAGCTGATCGGAGCAGGGGTGGATAGAAGTGCATGTGGAACCAACTGTTTTCGATTTCCTCGTCCGTCCCGTCTAGTGGAGCTTGGTGAAGTCCGGAGCTGTACGGGAAACTGGTCTCGAACAAGTTATCGTACCTTCTTGTTACCTCCTGGATGGCGTCGGCGAAATTGAATCTCTCCTGTTCGGTTAGGTCTACTAATGCCCGTACGTGCCGTTTGGCAATTATCATGACCTCGAACGGCCAGATCGCCCACCATGGACAAACCACCAAGAACGAATCGTTCTGGTATACAATACGCTCTTGCTTCTCGATCTCTAGCTTAACATAGTCACCGAGAAGATGCCGGCCACCGTGTTCAGCCCTGTATTTTGTCAATTGGATGAGTTCAGCGGCCGGTTCTTCTGGCAGTGTACTCGTTGTCCAGATCTGACAGTGCGGATGGGGGTTTGAACATCCCATTGCAGCACCCTTGTTTTCGAAGATTTGCATATATCGCAGCTGTTGTGACGGTGGGGGTACAAGAGATTCGGATGGCGCTTCGCGGTTTAGGAGGTCAAGTTTAGCAGCAACTTGAGACAAGGGATTGTTCGGGGAGAGATGAATCGCGTATATCCGTGTCCACGTCTCGACGATCGGAACTGTCTCTTCGGCGGGCATATCGGCTAGGGTGAGATGATGCTTCGGCGAGAAGGTGAGAACAAAGCATTTGCCTTTAACACCTTCAGCGCGAAGGAGCAAGGAAGATAGATCTACCCGGACTGGTTAGATCTTGCTGTATACTGCAACGGTGCGAATGGGTAGTGCCTTACCATCGCTCGAGGGTTCTGCTTCGTAATCTTGCTGTTGCTCCTTTACAGCACTGTAGTCATTTACAAACACAAAAGTTTGCTTGTAATCTGGGTTGGAATCGCCTTGCGCTCGCGAGTTTCTAGGACATAGGTAGCACTTAGAATAGTTAGTATTAGATACCCTTGACATCGCGACCGAATACGGCTTGCCTTTGGGTCATATTCAGGTAATGTGATGATTCCTGGCGCTTCTTGCTGACCCCTAATCGAATGAAGTGATGAGTACTCGTTTCCTATATGCGCCAACATCATAGCTGCATACGTACTGCCATGGTCTCTTGGTTCTGTGAGGTGATACGAGTAACCAAGAACCCCTCAATGGGTTGTAGCGTCGGTGGGAGATGTCGTCGAGGATTTTGTCAGGCATTACGATTTTTGAATTCTAGTTACTCGAATTTCGAATGGAAGTTTCCCAACTAGAAAAAAGGTTGGACGAGGTTGTAGGAGGATGACGGCTCTTCTACTTTCGTACCGCGTATACAATTAATAAAAAAAATATTTACCTCATAGCTCGGGCAAGAAGGAGATGGATCACTATGGCGTATCGGAATTATTAAGGTGCTACAGGTATACTTGATTATCCACCCATCATGATCATGCCTCCATACTACAACATACAACGTATCATGTGGTTGAGGGAAAAGCAAACGGCAACCCCGCCATTCAATTGTTAGTAGTTCCTCGGTGGTGGAATGCTATGATGTAATTGGACAGCTTTGAGGAATCTCGGTGGTTCGGTCGGCCGAATTGTAGATGGGATTACCCAAGTAACTTTACTTAAGAGCTAAGCCTAATATAGGAGAGGTCAAGGATCTTTCTTCGCGTACATGTCCTTTGTGAAACCTTATGTACATATTATGTGGGGCCATTGAAAATAGTAAGTGTGAGTATCTAAGTACCTAGGTACGCAGTGATTCCACACATTTGGATTGCCCCACGTGATTCGTGAGCCTCAGAAGGAAAGGTTGCCTTTGGTGGGTTAGGTAGAGTCATCCCCAACAGCAACGCAACACAGGAAAGCGCAGGGCTACCACCAACAATACGCTCGATCCACTTCACGTCGCGACGTCAACACCATCAATTAAATTTAAAACATCATCATCATAGTCATCAGACGCGCGACATACCGTACATTTCCGACCATATCGCCACGCTTTTCTTTGTTGTTAATATATAACCAATCATATTTGCTACCCAATCCAACTGCGGAGTCCTAGCCGACTTCGTAATTCTAATATTTCACACTGGACGACGATAATATGGGTGTCATCCGTAAAAAGACGGCCACCAGAGGCGGAGAAGGTGGCGTCAAATACGTTTGCGATGTATGCTCCGCGGATATCACATCTACCGTACGTGTATTTTACGATGTTGTCGCTACCCGTCTTCTCCCCTACTACGCATTCCCCATATCTCTATGCGCTGTAAGCCGTTTCGGCCCTCGGCTTTTCTTTAATCCACGCCCGAACATCACAATCGGGATAGTTTAGTTACTAGTTATTAGTGTAGTCGCTCATACAAACATCTTCCTATAGGTACGAATACGATGTGCTCACAGTGCATGCAACGAGTACGACCTTTGCGTCCAATGCTTCGCCAGCGGTTCCGCCAGTGGCTCCCACCAACCCGCAACTCACCCTTACAAGGTAATCGAGCAGAACTCGTTTCCTATATTTGATAGGGACTGGGGTGCGGATGAAGAACTTTTGCTTCTTGAAGGTTGTGAAATATATGGACTTGGATCATGGGCCGATATAGCAGACCATATTGGCGGTTATCGTCACAAGGACGAAGTACGGGACCATTATCTTAAGGTCTATGTCGATTCGCCATGTTTCCCACTCCCGGAACGATGCAAGCCATCTGATATGGGGCTGGCGCAAGAGATCTCCCGTGAAGAATTTCAGGCACGTAAAAAGCGTAGGATCGAAGAACGCCGGGAAGCCCAGAAGAATGCACCCCCGATGCCGCCCAAGACTAAGCCAACAGCTAGTGTACCTTCTTGCCACGAGATTCAAGGTTATATGCCCGGTCGACTAGAATTCGAAACCGAGTATGCCAACGAGGCCGAGGAGGCTGTTCAGCTCATGCAGTTTGATCCTGGCGATGGTGTAAACCCCCGCACAGGAGAACTCGAACCGGAGATGGAGCTCAAGCTTACAGTAATGGACATTTATAATTGCCGTCTGACTCAGCGTGTGGAACGGAAGAAGGTAATTTTCGAACATAACCTACTAGACTACCGAGAAAATACCAAGCAAGAGAAGAAGAGAACCAAGGAGGAGCGCGATCTACTAAACAAAGCCAAGCCCTTTGCGCGTATGATGAATCACGATGATTTTGAATCCTTCTGCCAGGGTCTAATCGACGAGTTGAACCTGCGACAGGCCATCACGCAGTTACAAGAATGGAGAAATATGAAAATTGGTGACCTCCGTAGCGGAGAGAAATATGAGCAGGAGAAAGCTCAACGTATTCAAAAGACCATTCCGATGGGTTCGATGGATCGAGAACGACTAGCCTCGGCGCAGCGATCCAAGCAGAACGTTCAACCAGAACCTCCTAGTGGTGCCGCGCTACTGGTGGCGCCTGAGCTTCCATTCCGTCCCGCCGCGAGCCCAACAATACCTGCATCACAAGGTACCCCTGACGTTCTGCCCAATGGCGAATCTAAGCCACTCACTAACGGGCATACAAATGGCGTTGCTAATGGAGCCAATGGAGTTGCAACGAATGGAGCTTCAACCCTGGGGAAACAAAAATTCGTCTCCCAGCCTATCTCAGGTGTACAACCTCTCGCGCTCACCCAAGACAATGCTCCAGATTTACACCTTCTGACGCCAGAAGAAGTCGAGTTATGTAAAGTCTGCCGGATACAACCCAAGCCATACTTGATGATCAAAGAACAGGTGTTCAAGGAGGGTCTGAAAGGCAATGGGGCGCTTAAGAAGAAGCAGGTGAAGGAGATTTCTCGACTCGACTCGCAAAAAGGGAGCAGAATATTTGATTTCTTCATCAATTCTGGTTGGATTGCTAAGGCCTAACCAATTTCGTGGATATGATTTCACCCATCCTCTCTGCTGCCATTACTGTTTATCTACGTTCTGTTGTTTTTCTGCTCTGCTGTTATGTTAGAGTACGAGTCAACCCTAAGAAAACCAAGACAGCTTATGAAATCCAAGGTATCATCAGCTAATCTTATTTTGAATTTGAATTGTATGAGATCGCATAACGACATTATTTCCCTGTGTCTCGAGGCATGATAGTTCAATCCATCGAGTTGAACAGGTTGCTTAATTGTTGGGGATTCTACGCGAGTAGTGCAAGTCTCGCCGGTGCAGCGTTTTGATGTGCTACGTGATGATGACAAAAATTTGAATTGCAACGGTGTACGTGATTCTGCCAATTCCCGTCACATCGAGATGAACCGTGCAACCGTAGCAGCATGAATTAGATATATCTGCCGTGTCTTGAAATAGCGTCGTAGTGTAGTTCGATGCAGTACTTCTTAGGTGAAACGAATGGCCGTAGATCGTCATATATCATATACAAACTTCAGTTATCTACGCTACTTGAGCATCCATAGAGCATAGATGGATACCTAGGTAAGCATTAGGTATTTATGAAAAGGCGTTCTCAGTCGAATCCCTTGGTGAAGCTACTTAGATATTATAAGGAAAGGGCTGGATTTGGCGGTGCGACCAACCATTTCGAAGTTTACAAGTACAAATCACAGTTGTACAACGGTAGGTACAAGATTTGGACCGACTTAGTGACTTAGTGACTTAGTGGGATAATCCATTCTTAGGAAACGGGTACCTACCTCCTATTTCCTTACGTGTTCTTACGAATAACTTAGGGAAGGTATAGAATTTGAAAATAACCTTCCTTTCTCCCTACATGTAGCTATTATCTCTTTCCATTTCTATTTCTATTTGCATCAACTTAATGTCGCTAGTAAACCATAAAATAGCAGCCGACGTAGAAGTTGGGAAGGAATAAGGGATTAAGGATTGGAGCTGTATTTCTCCACTATCTCCACTAAACAAACACCCCTACAAGTCTCCCCTTTAGCGCGTAAACGGCGTAAACGGCACACCCCCGGACCATTCCCATTTCTACCAGTCGGCGGCATCTGGTGCGACCCTTCTCTTCTTATGATGGCCATTGGCTATCAAATAATTCTAGGCTTCATGCCGCGTCGAAATATCTTCCTCCCGACCATCTGCATTGTCCTTCTCATCGCAGCATGGACTTTCCGTGCCCCTCGGCCGTCTATCGACAGATGGCTTGACACCTCTTCCATACGGGGTCCTACCTCGTCGTCGCCGTCCTCTCCCCTCGCTCCCCCGAACCCATCCCATAACAACATCGACCTATCAACACCCGATGCTCCCTTCGTCGGCTGGCCCCTACAAAGAGTATGCAAGGAAGCCACATGGGTAGAGGGGCTAGTGTACATATGCGATAACAACTCTGGAGGAATCGGTAATATCAGGAATTATATCCAGACCTGCATACGATATGGACTTGAAGCTGGCGCGACTGGTCTCGTCGTACCTAAAATTCGGAAGCGCAACGATACAGATCTAGCCGACCTTTTCACCGATTACCTACCGTTTGATTACATGTTTGACGAGAAGCACTTCAAAGATGCCTTTACTACCAACTGCCCTCAGATCACCCTCTACGACGATATCAAAGACATACCTAACATAGGAAATAAGCCTAACATTGAACACATCACACCAAAGAAGTTTGGAAACCGCGATGGTTGCGACTGGAGGGATCAGAATCGTCATACGGACCGTTTCGGCGAGAGATTTCGCAGATGGCTGAACGACCCTAAGAGCGGTCGACCATCACCGTCCCCGGACCGTCCACGGCTTATCCGTTTTAACTGGGGTGTGCTATGGGATTGGCAAATTTACCGCGATGGACCCGAATTCGCGAACACCTTCGGTGGTATTCTAAAATTCAACGACCAGCTACAACGTCTAGGAGAAAGAACATTGAAGAAGATGCGCTCTTACGCGCAAGCGAATGGAGTCAAGGATGGCAAGTTCCTAGGTGTCCATTTGCGAACGGAAAGCGACGCCCTGGGTTTCTGGCCGACGTATAACACCCAATCCGAGGCTTATCTCAAGCAAGCCACTAAGCGAGGCTTCGAGGCAGCCTACATAGCTACAGGGGACGCTCTAGAGGCGCAGAATTTCGCAGGTGCTGCCATCGAGATGGCACAGATGAGGGTGGTCAGCAAAACAGATCTACTCCAAGGCGAGGACCTCGAAGAGCTTGAGTCGTTGAGCTGGGATCAACAGGCTCTGATTGATTTCATCGTATTACTGGGGAGTGACTTCTTCGTGGGCACGATGCCGAGTAGCTTCTCGATCTACATGGCTATGAAACGACATTTGAAGACGGAAGGTCTATACTCAAGACCGTACAAGGTGGGGTCAGAAGGGGATGGGCTCTCGTATCTCGTAGGTAACTACGAAAAGTACTGGGAAGGCTGGCTCTTCATGTGGGACGGAATGTGGCCTTGAGACGATGTTGCTTGTTTTACAATGATATCCCTTTTAGACTTCGAGGAGTATGAAATTAGTACCACGGGTACATGTACCATTAGAGCTGTATTCTAACTGGAGCGGAATGAGTTTGCTACTTGACTTGATATATGACCCCTATTCTCGTGGGTTTCGCGTTTAAGCCCTTATACAAAAAGTTGATTGCTTTAAGCATTAGCGCGATGCAGAGCTGTGTCACTATGTATACCTAGGTATGTACTAACTATATATAGCGGGGTATGCATAAATCATCTTTCGCAGGTACTAAGCTCATAAGCGATTTCCAGCAAGCAACAACTTCAATATCAACAACTCCCAACGTATTCATCGAGATCCTAGGTCGATTCTTCATATCAGCTTTGAATGACCTAAAATAAGAAATCGATTGATCAAGTCCCAAAATGTCTATGGTAACAATATCCAACCTACAGCGCATCACTGCGCCAAAATTAGCGGAGATGCTGCTCGCTAGTTCTAACCAACCGGCTTCGGATACAACAATAGCTATCATAGACGTGCGAGATGATGGTATATAATCCCAGCACTTCATATTCCTCTTCCATATTAAAATGCTTTTGAGTATTGTTCGTCTTATGTCTCATTGTATCTCATTTGCTAATCTATCCCGACAAACGCGTAGACCATCTCGGTGGACATATCAAGTCGTCAATGCACTTCCCTAGTCGCAGCCTAGACGCCACTATGCCCACTTTACTGCGTAAACTTGCCGATAAGGACGTTGTCGTCTTCCACTGCGCCCTAAGCCAACAACGTGGGCCGGGTGCTGCCCTCAGATACCTCCGAGAAAAGGAGGCTGCGTTTGCTGCTGCCGCTGCTGTGAAGAAGGCCGAAGACGGAAGTAAGCCCGGCAAGCAACAACAAGTCTATGTTCTAGACAAGGGTTTCGTTGGTTGGCAGGAGGTCTACGGCCCCGATGAGAGACTTACGGAGAGCTATAGAAAGGAATTGTGGGAGGACGGGTATTAACCTCATCACCAGCAGCGAAAATATCACTAGGACGACGATTAGGGCCAATTTTGAGTTGATAAACGCTAGTTTCACATACGTGACAATGATGTGTATCTGGTAAGACGACCGCTAACGACGAATGGCAACTGGAAGCTTACGAAAATTAGTTTACCACCACATGGAAAAACAAAATAAAAATTCTTCTTAGAATTGAACAAGTATCTCTGTGAATATTATTGAGGAACTCGATACTAATCGAAATTTGCACTACCGTCATAAGTGTTGTCTATTGGGATGTTTGTCTCCATACCTACCTAGCCACAGCTAATTATAACGAATGTCCAGTCAGATAATGACCGTTTTTGAAGTTCACTAGACCACATTGACTACCTTCGCACAGATCTTTTTTCACTCGATCGATCTAGATTCACTGATGAAGCAGAATCTTTGGCATGGAAGAGAGTTAAACTGTATTCAACACTCGCTCAGGCATATCTTCAACTCAAGACAATGACTCAGGCAATGAGTCCTTCCTCCACGCCTTCTCCAAGCTAATATAAATCGTATGAAGCTCGATAGGTTCCTGGGGAGTTCCTATCAAGCTTCTATCGCTCACCTAGACAATAGCATTAATTACGACCCTCCCAGAAACCCTTCAACAATGGCTATTTCCCGAAAACACCGTGTCAAGCCTACTACCATAGAATAAAAATGCCCAGACACCAGAGAACGTCTTCGCCGGGTATCTATCAGCACACTACCGGAGATGAGTCGCCCAGGTATGTGGGGATACGAGAACGAGTTGTCTATAGAAGAGCTCCGTTGTCAAGCGAGGGAGTTTGGACAAGTTCTCAAGAGAATGGCTAGGGCCATTGGCAAAATCCTAAAGTGTCTTGTATTTTTCCCGTTCTTGCTTGTTGTTGGTATCTTCATCCTCGTGAATAAAGCCCAAATGGCCATGCGACGACAGGACCCGGATGGTCAACACCAATGAATATTTTCGACTCATACGGACCTACGTACTAGAAAATTTGCCGAACGGCGGAGCAAGAATTAAAGCGAGGGAGATAGGGCGCGAGAAACAATCACGTTCATCTTAGGGAATGGCACTTTACCTTGTATCAGGGGCGCATAAATGGAGAATTCCGGGTATCAAGACGACCGATGCAATATATGTATGTGAAACCGATGGTTCAATCTGATGGGTAGTATAATATATTTGCACGGTTTCAGAGCCTACTGGTCAATGTCCTAAATCGAAGCGAGAGCGTCGAAAATAACTAAGCTAGGCAAACTAATTGAATCCTCAAAAATACTAAAGCAGTATTCATTGGTGACATCGCATCTCTAATAATTCATTCCTCGACGAGAAAACTAGATAGGAATTCCCCGGCTTGGTCGCTCGCAAGCTACGTAGAATAAAGGAGGAAAATGTAGGCAGTTCGGGAAAACGGCACAACGATGGGTATTGGGATATATGATAGTGTCTCCTAACAAGAGACATAGGGATCCAAGCTACCCAATTACGAGAGAAATTTGTGTTGTCAATCTCCACTTGGCTGATGATTCGAATGACAATTGGATACTCATCGGCAGCCACTCCGAAGATAGAAGCTCATCGATTGGGACGATGTAGATAAAAAGGTAATTAATTCAGCCACCCGAATCTCGAGCCGTTAAGAATATTACCTGGGTACTTGGTCGGCCTAGTCTAATGTAGCGGCGGCACGGTCCGCTCTAGGATCAATATTCGATCTTTAAAGGGGTGTAGCACAACACATGTATCTCTGTACGATGACAACTCGATATGAGACATGGCTGAAAATAACAAATCCAATTCGAAGGGTAAGCGCCCCTCTTAAGCAGCCACCGGAAGAGGGAATGGGGGATACCCTAGTAGACAGAGAGGACCAACTCCCACACGATAGAAACATTTGCACAATGTAATGATATAAGTGCATTAATTACGAATCAAAGTATAGAGAACTCAAGTATGTCCAAATCCCAAGACAGTCTTGTCAATTCCCGTTATGAAGTTGCCTCGATCTCGGTATATCTCGTATAACACCACTTACGACCACTTAAGGGGCGCTGACCTGCAACTCAGTCTGGACGCACTTACCCGGGAGGTTAGCCGCCTCGGGGTTCAAGCCATAGAAGAGCTCGTACACTCCATTGATAGAGCAAGCGTAGAAACCTACAGCAATGTTAATTTCTTTAGCACGCTCGATAATTTTAACAGTTAGGTTTCTTACCTTGAGTGTTAGAGTTGTAGGTAAGGAGCAAGCTCGGGTTGACAGCAAATCCAACGCTCATCTCTCCGGGTTTAGAGAAGACCTGACCGACAGTACCCTTGGTCAAACCAGGCATGGCGACACCGTACGGGGTAGGAGCACCGGGTAGATCTAGATGCATAGCCGCTATTAGCATTGTACCCTTCGTCGCCTTTTTACTGGGCATTAGATTAGGTTCTTACCAAAGTAGAGGTTGGTGCCGTTCACGTAAGCAATATCCGAGACATAAGCAGTGGGGCGCTGGATTTGGATGGTGTTGGTGCCGGCAGCGGTGTGGGAGTTGACGATAGCCCATCCTGCAAGTTCGCCTGTCGCGTGGAGGCGGAAGTGGGCGGGTTGCTCTTGGAGGGCTGCTGGGGCGGCAACGGCAGCGCCTACAAGAGTGAGAGCGGCAGTGATGAGAGCGTACATTTTGATTGTAAATGGTTATATCGTAAAGATTTTCTAGTAATAGAACGAGTGACTAGTATTATAACGAAAGTGAAGCAATGTTGTGCTAAGGTGAATGAGGGTGGCTCTTCTAAAATCACAGCTCCTTGGCAGAAGGTGATGCATCTTTATATACTTCTTTCAAGTCACATTGACTATTTCTGGCTGTCGCCAGCAATGCATACATTCCCAGGTTGAAAATTACATAATTAGGACAGCTGAGGCGGTGTTGCGCATTTCTGCTACGCTGGGAGATCACAGGCTATCAGCAATACGAGCACGCTCCCCAAATCCGGCATCGTAATTAGGGGGCATGAGATTCCATAAGCAATCTCCTTGCTAGGGAGCGACATAAAAGATCTATCACATAATCATATGGGCTATAATTAGGTAAATAGATTTTACGTGCAATTCTACGAATGTTCGCACTACTTTGCTACCTAAGGCATCAATCACTAATCAAGATCGCATCTATTTCCACGTTTCGCATTACTCGACTTAATAAAGGAGACAGATGTTCAGCCTCTACTAGGCTATTGAGAGTGGGCTACTTAGTAACCGCATATCCGATCCATAGTAAATTATCATCTTAATTATTACCCAAAATGGTGTCTCAACGCGACGTGCATCGAAGATGAGGCTATAGCTGATATTATTCTTAGGTATACAGCATTACAGAATATTTGTGATATATGATAGGCTTCCTTAAGCATACACGACGTTGACCGTCACTCCTCTACAGTTTGATCCCTGATCTGGTGCGCTTCCTGTCAAGTATAGCACACCATTGCTGCCTAGACTTGTACCCGAGCTTCCATAGCAGATCGAAAATTGATTCATAACCCCGATGCTGCAGGTAAGAGTGGAATCGACGTTAACCTGGCAAGTCGGCGGTGCCCAACCGCCGCCGGTCGGGTTTGCATCCCAATACAATTGATTGGATTTGGCGGATTCGTACGTGTTTAAGATGAATCCATCTGCAGCGTTAACCAGGTGCGACTCGTCGTCTAGGTAGAACAAAGTAGCGGGAGGTGCAGGGTCCGTGTCGGCGAAGGTGAGGATTTCTGAACCCGCTGAGTTACCCGTAGAATACAGTTCGGCATACTTATCATTGGATCGGATGAGAAGGATTTTCTGGCTTCCTGTTCCCTTGACTACTCCACTGGCTTTTAGGTAAAACGTTGGTGTTGGTGTTGGTGTGGGCGCAGGTGTAGGTGTAGGTGTAGGAACCAAAATTGACTCTGTGGATGACGATGAACTGAAAGTTGATGTACTTGATGAGGTTTCGGTCGAGGACGTTGCTTCCGGGGATGATGTGTCTGACGGTGTTGTACTGGTTTCAATACTAGTGGATGTGGAGCTGGTTGAAGAAGCAGTGGTAAAAGTGCTATCAGTTAAAGTTGACGAATATGATGATGTCGTGGATGTACTCTCGGTAGATGATGCTGTCTCTGACACTGTCGCCGTAGGTGTACTGCTTGCCGACGAGGATGTTTCAGTGGTTGAAGTAGAGGATATAGTACTGCTTAGAGTTATGTATTCTGGGCTTGTTGTAATGGTTGAACTAGAAGTCGATGACGAGGACGTGTCGATAGACGAAATGGAGGATATAGTATTACTTAGAACCGGATAATTTGCGCTTGTCGCAAGGACTGGGGTAGGAGTCGATGATGAAGTATTCAAAATTTGGTATGAGGTGCTTTGGGTTTCTGAATTGGTAACTGAGGGCGTAGTAACATAGAGGCTAATAGGACTTGTCAGGTGATATCCTGTGCTTCCCGAGTAAGACGATGTGCTCGCGGAATGAGTCTCGGAATTCGGAGACTGGGACGAGTACGTTGGATATACTGCACCGCCTGATTCCGTGCTCGTCGTTGCGATAGTCGTAGTCGAGTTGTTCAGAAACGGCAGGGAGGTTGTCCCCTGAACGGAACTGGTATTCACGATATTCGACAGAGTAGTTGTAGCAGTGACCCGTCCGCATCGAGGCTTCTCCTTTCTTGGGGCGGCCGATGCAAACGTAGCTAGAAGAACCAAACCTTTTAGCTGCATGATGAAGAATCCGAAGTCTCCCCTTAGCGGTTGTGTATAGGTAGGTACCTAACGTTGAACGAGCGACTGGCGAAAGGAGCAAGAGGGTCACTTAGAGATGCATAGGGAATTTACCTAGGGTTATCTTATTTATAAGACTATAAGTACTATTGAATATCTTGTCAAGCTTACCTCGTATCCCCAAGATCAACGCGCCGAAACAAAAATATTCAAGAGACGCCGTTCAGCTACTAATTCGATCAGCTAGTCAGCCAGATCTAAATAAGTAGCTGAAATAACTAACTAAGCGTATCTAGGCCGAATATGGTGAAAATAGCCCTGAACTATTCAGGTACTAGTCTTAGTATTGTATTCTAGACCTATCGACTTTTAGTAAGCGCAGGTATATCATAGCCAATCACTTGATATACACGAGAACGGTAAGAGGGTCTTTGATCATAACTTCGGCAGGGCCGCCGACTCGTCCGGAGCGATGTGAAGAATGTTCGGGTAGGCTGAAACTTCGTGTATCGTGGGTACTAATTACCTACCTAAGGCAGGTACCCATTGCTAGGAGGATCTACACGACGTTTGGATTATGTAGTTTGCCTCACCATAGCAATGGTCCTATATAACTCATGAGTAGCCCCTCAGATACCTGCTTAGGTATCTGGGTAGAAATATAAGATCTAGATCCTCGATGAATTGATTCTTATATCTTACCACGGAGGCTACATCATCAATTAATAAACTTCCCACCACAGCTACCACAAAGCTCGGCCGAGATACTGTCGGTAACTATATCTCTTAACTCAGGAGCTATGGCAATGAGATCCTCTTGTTTCAGGGACTTAGAACCGCATACGCTACAGGTCCTAGATAGACCTGGAGCTAGTATAGGGAGATTTGTAGTTGCGCATGTATCTGAGAAATTTGTTAGATACCCGCGGCGAGGCTTGTGTATGAGACCTAAGGAAACTTACCGAAGAGGTGCCCGTTGCTGCATCGCGATGACTTGCCCACAGGCTTCAGCGGAAGGTCGCAGAAGGAACAAACTTGCTTTCGCCTGACTAGCGCAAAGTGATCCTTCAACGCGCTCTGCTCCTCGTTTTCTTCCATTATTAAAGTGTTGATTCCTGTGATAGGGGGTCCGCCTCCATACATCCACTCCCACATCCTTGCTTCGGTGCTAAGTTTCTTCATAACTAGGGAGAATCCGGTCTCCTCGCTTTGATCTCCACCGCGGTCAAGCTTGCCAAATAAAACACGACACTTCACCCCTGCATAGGTATCTCGACCATACGAAGTCGCGTTGTATTGACTCGCGAAGGCAGCGGTGACTCCTCCGCCAGGACTAGCAGTCATTCCCCATATACGCACCCTATTGATATGGACTTGGTCTTCAGTATCTAGACCAGCGAAATTCTCCTCGGGGTCATATTCGGATTCCTCTGCTAATTCGAAGTCCATTTCTTCGTCCTCGTCTAAGCCCTCCTCCGACCCGATACTACTAGTATCTAAATCGGGGCGGTACGCCATTACTCGAGGAAGCTGATGCTCAACAATCTGGTTGATTTCGGTCGCCCATCGTGGTCCTACAGTTCCATCTTCGGGGTTTGGAGGGAGGGGAAGATTAGTTTGATACCAGCCGTCGTTTTCGTGAGTTGCCGAAAGTCGGACAAGTGAATATGATGGTGTTGTAGTAGTATGCGAGAGCGAAGGTGGATGGATCACGAGTCCTATAACTGGTAAGCTAAGTAGTTAGGACACTAGAATTTTAGCACGCACCGGTAATAGGGTTTTGTGTAAGCCCATCATCTCCTGGCTCCGGATAGGTAGTACCGCATTCGTCCGTGGTATGTGTAGCAACTCCAGCATATTGTTCTGCATCAAATGGCACTTGGAATGCCTTAACTCGTGAAGGAGTAGCGATGATACCGCGGCAAATTTTCGACTCTCCGATGGTCCATATCTATACCGAGTTAGCGCAGTGCTTGATAATTATAATGAGGATTTGAAGGTTTACGAGGTCCTCCCAGGTTACGAATGCATCTGGGGCGAGAGAAACACAAACTCCATTGGAGTCAGCCGGTTTGACTTCTACATCAGGGGTCGCCATGTGTTGATGTGATGTACTGGTAGTGATTTGTCTGAATCCTACGTAATTATTTGATACGTAGGACAAAATGCTAGTCTTTGAGTCGCCTCTTTTCAGCCATGGACTCCAACTTAGCGAGAACGACGAGCCAGATGGTGAGTAGTCCGGATCGGTAGGCTAAAATAAACATTAGCACGAGGAATAGACAACTAGTAAATAAAGCGGCGACGTACGTCGAGCCTTGGATGTGGTCCTTCGGCTACGAATCTTCCAACTTCCTCTACCCTCCACTGGCCACAATCCCCTGGAGAGGCGTTGGAATCATGCTTGGATTGAACAGAAAGGATAGCAATCTCATCATCATCATTGGAATAGGCTAGTAACGCGCCATGGCTGTCTATATCCCTAGCCCAAGCGAATGCCGTGATACATTCCTTAGTATACTGAGTCTCGTGTCCTTCGGCAAAAGGTACCAGTAAACCAGCGCCTACGCCCCATGCAGCAACCCATGGCCGCAAGGATCTAGCGTTGCGACCACGGACTTTGAAGGCATTCATCCCATCAGACGCGCCCTCGCAATACATAATAATCGTGCCGGCACCCGTGAGAACAGCGAGAATAGACCGGTTCATTCGACCTAGACCACTGGGGGACCATTCTAGAGCAACAAGATGGTTCATGGAGCTGCCTTGGCTGGTGACGATACCCGAACCGCCACCGCCGGGAACATAATCAAAACCCGGAAACTCTTGTTTTATGAGGTCGAATAAGGGTCGATTTATTTCCGGGTTTCTATGCTCGACGGTAGGAAACCGAAGAGCTACATCATTATATTGCCGAGGTGCTATACCATTGATAGCATTGGAGGGCGGATGTGTGGTGAATTCCGGGATAAAAAGGAAGACGCAGTCATCGCAACCAATAGCTAACTCGGCATCGGGAGACCATACGATGTTATGTGTGCTCGCTGGAACGGCTGTGAGGGTGAATGACTCCAGAGGTAAAATATTATTTTGTTCATTTTCGGGGGCCATCTTGTGAATGACTTTGTTTCCGATCGTATTTTCGGGTCATCATTCTCAGTTTTCATTGAAAGTGGAATAAACGTACGTAAATATTGAATATTGTTGTAGAAAGGAAAAAAAGAGGGTTCAGCGTATTTTCGCACTCTACACGGAGGATAAAGGCACCTACCCGCGCATGCTAATTCCATACTGATGCCCAGAAAGCGCGACTCCATCAATTCTTTTTTAGTTTATAGTTCATACCTATGTACATATGTAGGTAATTTATATACATTATATGATAGAGAAGGACATTAGCAGGATATAGTAATTTCTTTTTTATCTGCCTCTCGCATAGTGTTGTATGATGCCAGCACATGATACATGTAAATATGCACCTGGTATCAATCTTACAAACTCGATCGTTAAAAACAGTCGTTTGCACAATGCTCTTATTATATTAAATATATATTCCTATTTTTATCGTATTTTAACCTGGTATCAAGTTACTAAATGCCCTTAATTCTCGGGTGTTTCTAGGTACGACCCGAGAGCCCATAAAGCGGCGCAGCTAGCTAATGCTGTTGCTCCCACAAGCTTCTTAGTGTACCAATTCTCATCTGTCAGGGGTTTGGCCATCTGTACTCTCTTTGACGGCCGAGACTCAGCTTTGCTCGAATCTGTGATATCGCTCTTGTTGTTTGCGGCAGCCTCTTCCTCTTGGTCTGCCATTTCTCGTAGCTTCGCTATCGTCTTGCTGAGTGCTAGCATCTCTTCATCAACTGTCATGTTTCTAGCCCCATCCACCTCAACATTTTGTATATTGCCGAAGAAATCTGTCAACAAACGACCCCTAGCAGCCTCCGCGCCGCCTCGGAATAGGTCGTATCGGACACCTGCGTTGGAATGAATCTTTTCGTAGTTATAGCTGTCGAAGAGGTCGCCGACCGTCTTCTTACTGCTTAGGTCTTTGACTTCCGACTCGAGGAATTCGAGGTTATAATACGTATATCGGTCAATCACGGCGACTCCGACGTCGTTATCGGCGTGGTGAGAATATGAAGACTGGTCTAATTCGGAAGACCCTGTAGCGATAATATTCGGGGAGTAGAGTTTGCTGTACATGGTGTTTGCTTGACATGTGTCAATCATGAAAAGAATCTCGTGGTACCTATTGAGTAGCAACGTTAGTTTGGATGCCGTTACCAAGAAGTTGGAATATTTGTACCTTCTCTTTTCCCACATCTGTTCAAACGCATCCGCCAAATCAAATGCGCCTATTTCTTCTGCGTCCTGAAATTTCAAAAATTCATTTCCTCCATGTCCTGTCATGTATACGAATATGTTGCTTCGGTCATCAGTCAGCAATCGTTTACTCCTGGGCATCTCGTCTCCAACGCGATCGGTAAGTAATCGAATGAAGTTTTCAACAGTGACCTCGTATCCTCGGTAGTCGACTTCGATATTGTCTCCGTATAGGTCGACAGCGCGGTCTGCGTTACTATACACGGTCCCGGGGAAGGCATTCCGAGGATTGCATGCCATATCATCAGGAAGCATGAGGATAATTTGCGAATCGGGGATACCTAGTCGCTTGACGGTTCGATACATGGACAAGACATTGGCAAGATGGCGATAGTTGAACCAGAATCGCGAGGTGCCTACCAGCACGGCCCAATTGCTGGTATGCTCAGCGGCCACAGGTGGTAAAGGAGCCAACAGCGATGCGGCAAGCAACGCGGGCAGATTCAATATACTGGAAAGTTTCATGATGGGCGACTTGCTGATTAGGTACCTTGCGTCGGTATCATAGGGTTCTTTTGTTCAATATTATTGTATTTGCCATTAATCGTTATTGATGGAATACAAATGTTCGCGTTGAATTACCTATGATATTGTATTGAATTGTACTGATTGATGATTGATGTCTTAGGGGAAATGAAACATTGAATTGAGAATTGATTTGTCATCGGATCGAGACTCGAATTAAATTCAACAAGGGGCTTTCTTAGGTAATTCCCCTATTGCCTTAGTGCCTTCGTAGGTACAAGTACGGACGATTTAGCGCATAAACTCGGCGAGTAGACCTGAGAGATCTCCGTCCTGCCCACTTATTAGGGATGTGCTCAAGCATTATAGCGTCATCGGGCCGGGCTACCTACGCTAAATATGTGCCTGGCTGCGCTAGAGCAATAGAAGGTGCAGGGACTTCACGATGAGGAACCAATCGTCCCAAGCTAAAGCTTCCACATGCCCCAATTCGATGATTGAGTTCAATCCAATGCCCGCCCACCTCTGACGCACCTGCAGTTACAGTTTACAGTTACGTTGCAGCGAGCTATAGTGATATGTATACAACATAACATGCTAATATCCACTAAAACAATAAAATTGTAGTAGGTTCCTTTGTGCCTTATCGTCATGCGCCTTCTCTTTCCCCTTGCATCTGCGACAGCTATATTGTAAGAATACAGTTCGACTATATATGCCTAAGTAAGGTAAGTACAGTCAGTCATTAGCGCGTACTCACCTACCTGGTATATATAGCGCTGTATGATGTACTGCATACGCTAAAAGATGCGCCAACTACGCAAGTACTTACCCTAAATTGAATCTTTTTAAGCATTCCATTTATTCTATTTATTTTCCCTCACGATAATCCTCTAATCCTCGCCAAGCTTGGTCACAACTCCGCACCTTTCATATCGCTTACTCGGCTTGTTTTGAGGAATATACAAGCTCGATATTGTACATGTGCGGCGGGAAAATTGTTTTAATTCCAAACTAGCGACTCGCCTACGACATTGTAACGAAATACCGAGACCTGCGTCATACAAGGTGACACTCCAAGGATAGCTACCCAAGGCTGATTTAGCAAAGTCGCATATGCTTGACTAAGGCTACGCTATTACCTACCTAGGTAGTTTAATAATTTGTTTTTAAAAGACAGCCTGCGACTCTTTTAAATACGGATATTCCCTAGCGGCTTCTGGAATTCACTCCCATCCTCTTTAACACATAGCGAGCGAGAACCAACTCATTAACTACCAAGCTACGGAGCTCCTTGAGCTTCCAAGAAAGCCAAGCCGAGCCGAGCCTAACCGGTAGCAGCTATGGGTCGACCTCCAGCTTTCATATTCATAGTCAGGTTTGTATTTTTGTAATATATTATCCTTTTTGGTACTGAGCTTGAAACTAACCTATTGTACTTCCTAATTCTAGACACGGGAAACGTCTCGATGCCGCAGACAAGCAGTGGCACATTTCCTCACCTACGCCCTACGACCCACCCTTAACATACGGTGGATGGCTACAATCCAAAGCTGTTGGAGCGAGGATAGCTTCTATCTTACAAGAAAGCGAGAATGAGAATGAGAACGAGGCGGTTATCACAAATCAAGGATCCAACACGATACCTACGAAGCAAAAGAAGCGCCGCTACAAGATCGTAATACATAGCTCGCCATTCCTTCGATGTGTCCAGACGTCTGTTTCTATAGCTGCTGGGCTAGCCTCGAACCCTTCTATACCTTCTGTCGATGGATCGCCATCTTCGCGAAATATACCGATATCTTCTCCCCCGAGTTCGATCGGTCCTTTTCGAGCTCACTCGACCGTCCATACAAATTCGATTTTGCCTCATGATTTGTCCATCCCGAGCGTCGCAGAGAAGTCTATCCTGCGACTCGATCCTTTCCTCGGGGAATGGCTCTCTCCCGACTACTTTGAACACATTACGCCACCCCCAAGGTCGAGCCTGATGTTAATGACTGCGAAAGCCGAATTGTTACGACGAGAGAATTACAATGACTATCCTCATTTCCATTCCAGACATGCTTCAAATGCCTCGTCCCAGTTGTGGAGCGCCTCGCCTAGCAGGGGAAGTCCTTTAGCTTCTTCTATGACACCGGATTCTAGCATTCACTCCGGTCTCGATAATATTTCTAGTCTGAGAGGCGATTTACCAAGGTACAGGAGTGATTCGCTTGGAAACCTAGATCCGAGAACAGGGCATAGGGTATCCTCTCCCACCCCACCTTGGAACCCTAGATACGTTGCCCCTGTTCCTTCATACGCTCTTTCTACCTCTGAACCTATACCACAAGGTTACGTTGCTCATGCTCGTGATGCTTGTGTCGAAGTTGATTATCAATGGGATTCTAGTCGCGAGGATTTTGGCTGGGGAGACGGTGGCGTCTTACCAGAAGAGTGGGCGGCAATGCACCAGAGGTTCAGGAAAGGGCTGAGACGATTAGTTGAATGGTACACTGTCACGGAGAAGCCTGCAGAGATGGTAACCAAAACATCGAGTCCGATGTCCACAAAATCTCCACAAAAGGAAACCAATTCTAACGAGTCCCCCGTTGATGACGATGATCAAACCGAGGTTGAAAATGTCGTTGTTCTCGTTTCGCATGGTGCTGGCTGCAACGCCCTTATCGGCGCCATTACACAGCAACCTGTCCTTATCGACGTTGGCATGTCGTCTATCACGATGGCACAGCGTAAATTGGATTTTGACGAGGGTTTCAAAACCAATGTTCATGGGAGCTTTGCTTCTTCGCTTGAAGAACCTCTGATCACAAAGCAGACCGCCATGTCAGAGATATTCGAACTAAAGTTGTTTGCTAACACAGAGCACCTTCACTCCACGATGAGCCCACCATCCATCAGCCGTTCTTCTTCAGCTGCCGGTCGTAATTCGGCTAGTCGGTATAATAATGGGTTCCCTTCCGTCTTAAAAGACATGAACCTTAGTGCCTCATTATATGGAGCCCCAACACCAGGAGCCCGAAACAGTTCTACAAATGCCTCACTAGGTAGCATGCGAAGAGGGTCGCCAGTATTGGCGTCGTCTTTTCGACCTCCACAACCCGCAGGTGCGGGTACAGGAGGTTCACAACTTCTACCAACACGGCCAAATCGATCTGGTTCCATGGGTTTATGGTCACCACCAAACCAGGATGAAATCGTGCCAGAGAAACAACCAGAGACGCCGCCGACTTCAAGCCTTGACAAAGAATACGTGGTAGAAAAGAAGAATTACGAGGCCTTACCAGAAACAAAGGAACATGATTCCTTTACTAACAACGTTGAAAGCCAAGAACTGGCAAGAGTAAGCGTGCAAAAATCGGGATCCCGGTCGTCACACGGAGAAGAGCGCGATACGTTTGATGAGGGCGCCATTCCACGGCTCTGGTCTGGCACAAGCAACGCAGGTCTCTGGGGTAACCCCCGACCTCCAGGCGAGGCCGAGAGGATTCGAGATTTCAGCGCGACGAAACGACGTTGGACCGTAACTGAGCGATAAATTCCCACGACAGGTTCCCTACGAAACCGAGCGAATTTAATGAATAATCCACTTGCAATACTTCTCATAGCATATCGACTTCACCGACGGCTTTTAAGCCAGTCTCACAAATTTGGCATTGGCGTTTACAAATACCCAAAGGGAATATGTTATATCTCCACTCATATATCAGTCATTTATTTAATATATGATACCAGGCCATAGCAGCTATTAAAAACTGACACATTTAGGCCATTCTTATTTTCCCCACGGGGTTATCAGTGCTCTTTTAGCATGGGGATATTCCATTTGAAAATGCACGCTATGGGAGTAGGAAAAGCATCCAAGGATCGCCGTACAAATTGCGGTGATATCACTAATTAGGGTTAGATGGACGACTGCTTAATCTCTATCTACTAATGAATGCATGAATACAATATCAGTACCAGAATATGATTTTTCTAGTAAATCAAAAGGAATGTCAGTGACTCCTATGGTCAATTCGAGAGTTATCCCTGTGAGAATAGAACCGATCAGAACGGTCTTCGTAGTCTATTAGCAAGTAATAGCAACGTGAATACCTTAAGTATCTAAATACAAGTTACCAACAGGCAGGTTAAAAATACCACGGAAATAACGATAGCCCAAGAAGCAAGTTTGGTACTTTCATGGCTCTGCAAGATTCCGGGTGGTTTTCGACCTGCATATAATCTGTGACACAATTCTAGTGCTCCAACTTGCATATCATCCCATAGATACGCGTCTCGCCATTGCCCGCGGCTTTACTCGCCGACGTGGCGTATGTGAGTAAGCACATAACTACTCTATACGAGACGGCATAGAGCGGGGTCGCGAGCCAGTACAACGATAATAAAGCAGAGAGAATTACCTAGTTAATCAGGAAAGTTGACATGTAAAATAGCTTTCTCATAAATCAGTAGTTCCCATTTCTAGCCATAGGGGCAAGACTTCTAGTTCAAATCATCAACAATGTTGAATCAGCATATGACCTCACCCCTTTATAAACGCCTAGGATATGCAATTCCACCACACTCCTGCGCCCTCATGTTCCAATTGCCATATATACTTTAGAAGATAGGCTCATTCCATCCCTATCTATTGAATGACGCTCTTCCATCCCAACGCGACCTTATATTTTCCTAGATGTGAAGGAAGCCGACACCTCTCGAGTACTCCCTAACGATCTAGGGAAATCAACCAAATACCTTTTTTAACGCCTGATGCGCCAACTCCACACCCAAAAACGTCGCCGCGTTCGCCGGCACCGCTCTCGCCAATGCTGGTCCGAAACCAGGGAAAAACGCCTTGACACCACCTTTACCATATAGCTCCCTAACCACACTTCCGATGCTCACATTGCCCTCAGCGGTCTGCAATCGGCTCTTAACAGTGTCGACAGGGAACACGGGAATCCACATAGCGACACCAGCCGCACCACCAGCTGCCGTGATAGCTAGTAGACTCAGATCGCCCTTCGGTTTACCCGTAACTGGATCGAGCGGTGTCAGACGTCGCTTGATATACTCGTACGCCGCAAAATACGCAGCAGAACCGGGGCCATCACGAGCTAACGTAGCAGCGCTGCCACGGAATACAGAGCGAATGCCGCCTTCGCGATATAACTGGCGCACGACATCAAGACCACCCTTATACTTCGGTTCTTCACCAGGTTTCAGAAGTTGGCCCTGAACTTGTAAGATGACTTTAACTCGCTCGAAGGGGGCTGTAATAGCCGTCATCGGAATGGCGCTGAAAAAACCGGCGGCGCTGATCTGACCGATGGATAGAGCGCCTGTGGGGCTGGGAGGGGAGAAGCTGGTTACGATTTGCTTGCCGAGGTCGTAGCCCCAGAACGATACGGCGACTGCGTTTGCATTATGGTCAGTTTTGAATCACAAGGGTAAAGGCGCGAAGAGAATGGGGTGAACGTACACATAGGCGTAACTCCAACCAACGGCGCACTAACACCCGCATAGAGACCCCTCCTCAGTCCATCCCTTGAGACGCTTTTCCGTACGACATCGATAGCAGAAGAATATACGCCCTTATCCGCGGTCTGCAAGCGTACCTTAACCAAATCGAATGGATGACCGACGATTACAGCGCAGACACCACCAAAGCCTCCAGCGGCAAACGATCGCAGTTGTGAAGACACGCTAGAAGCGGCGGCTTGGGCCTCGGCTTTTATCTCAGCTTTCAGCTCATCTTTTGACTCGGGGATATGTGGTATGTGGTTTGCGACGGGGGAAGGTAGCGAGGAGTGTAGTTTCTCGTTAATACCGCTGTGTTGTTGGTCTGAAGACATGGTGGCGGTGACGGTGGCGCTTCGTCCGAATCACCACGCTTTTTGAATTTCCTACTCCGCGAAGAATCGAGAAACAGTTTTGAATCGCTCAGCCGGGTATAGTCTAGGATGTGAGAATACCGAAAGGATCCGAGTAGTCTCTTTGCGCAAATTCACAAGCAACACAGAAGACGGCCAAATCCAACTATGTTTCAGTGTTGGGATATTTTGTGTTAAACAAACAAACGTAACGGATGTCCGATGAAGAATGGACGACAACGCGAGGGGCTTAACTTTTTTTTTCTCTCTTTTCTTTTTCGGACGGGAGCAACAAATCGGTCTTTCGTTGAATTATTTTCGGTAATGGAGAGCCGAGCGACGTCAGAAGTATCAAGCCTCGGCAGAGTTGAAGAAAAAGGTTTAAAGAAGTACCGGTACAGTACCCGCTTTCGGTACCTCTAAAAGTATTGTACTTTGTTTGTTTGTATATGTACCTGATCTATCCGTAGATCTGATAAAAATATGCGATCTTGAAATACGTTACGAATCTCCTTTTCTATACCAAATTACTTCTAAAACGTACAAAATTTAGTTTTATCACGATCCGATTTCCCTCACATTTCACCAATTCATCGAGGAACCTAACTACCTCACAATTATGTGTATTGGTAAAAGGCGAATGCTCATGCCGGGGTACTGAGGCATATTTGTGCCTCGGTCGAGTCGGCTTAATGGAATAAGCTCTCCTTACGTAAATCATGTACTGTACACGTATCGTCAAGTGTTAGAGCTCTAAAAACTACCCCGCCAACCCGAGAGACACTTGGAGATACATGAACATAAAATTAATATATTTTGAACGAAGATGGTTAATCTAGCCCGTCTACCTGCAAATGCATCTGCCAAAGAGATGTTCGAAACGGTGTTAAGAATAGCGATTTTTATACCTACACAATTGATAGCATGTGCCTCCTAAACTTTATACCTTACTAGCTCGGCGTGTCAAGCTTGAATGATGCCGGCACAAGCCGCTGTACCTGACTATGCTTACCTAAATCTACGTCATAATCATATGCCAAATCTCTACACACGCAGTAAGATCTATGATACACATAAATATACACAAGTGGTTAATTTTTACTGGATTCACTTCGATACGCCATATACGTTTTCTTATCCGAAAGGTATATACAGAACTTCGAAATATGTATATCATGGGTATAGTCCGTTGCTCATCTTCCACCGTACCGCCTTTATTCGACATCCCCATCCACCATGTTTCTCCAACCGATACATACCTAGCACCTTGTCCAATTAAAACACCATTGTTTTTCGAGTATTGCAAAGCCTCGTAGCCTTTCTGATAAGGATTTGCTCGCCCGCGATGCTTCTTTCTTCCAATACTACCTAGCTCGAGGGGATTCTAATGAAATCGACGAAGCTAATTCATCCAATTCTTCGTCTCAATACCCGCCTAGCCCCTTGGCTGTAACTGCATTAAGCCGACCCATCCCGCACCAACATGTCGTGTCACCTTCTCTTTCTATCTGTACAGTGAGCTCGATCCCATGTTTGCCCAAATAGTTCTGGACCCTATCCCGAACCTCCTCCAAGTCCGCACCTCGAATCGCAGCAACGTGAATCACGCCTAAGAGTTTACCCCCGGTCCCGCTACCGGCGCTGTCGTCTACCCAGAACTTAGGCACTGAGTACGAAGCAACCCCTCGCTGGCTTGTGATCTCGGATAGCGTATTACGAAGATTATATTCCGTGTCTGCTGGAATAGTTAATAGCAATCTCTCTGCTGACGATTTTACTAGAGGTATCGCTGTGATGAGGATTAGGTATGCAATTAAAAAGGAGGCCAGTGGATCCCAGCCAGCCCATGGGAAGATGTAGGTCAACACCGTTGACACGATAACCGAAGCACTTCCTAGGGTATCTGCAAGGATATGCAAATAAATTCCGTGCATATTTTCGTTGCCGTGGTCGTGGTGAGAATGGGCATGGCCGTGACTATGCCCATGGTCATGATCGTGGTGCGAATCGCAATCATGACCATGGTCTTTCGCATGTTCATGGCTGTGATCATGAGTGTGTCCGTGGCCATGCGAGTGGTCATGGCCATGACTATGACCATGGTGGTGGCCGTGAGAACCGAAAGCGAAAATTCCTAAGAGATTCACCACCAGCCCTAGGGTACTGACGATAAAAAGCTCTCGGAGTCTTTTGGTTTCTCGTCCCTCTAATAATCTTTCAAACCCCTCAAACATGATTTCAAGACTGATGAGCCTATGTACGGTTAGTAGGCGATCTCAATTGGCGAGGGAATAAGGACGTACACTAAGAAGATACCATTCGCGAATCCACTTAGTGTCTCAATCTTTCCGAAGCCATAGGGGAATCTTTCGCTTGGCGGCCATTTACTCATAACCGATGCGAAGAGGCCCACAGCTAAAGCCACACAATCAAAGAACATATGTATACTATCGCTAAGGAGGCCTAATGAATCGGTCACATAGCCGTAAAAGGCCTGGACTGCCATAAAGGAAAAATTGACCCTATCAAGATTGTATTAGTATACCGCCAAGGAGTACAGCATAATTAGTTTGGGTCGTACCCCATGAAATAAAATATACGGCGCGAGTCCTTCTCCGTCATGATAGCATGGATTAGAGGCCATTTCGCAGTATAGGGAAGCATAAATGCTGTAAATTTCGAAGAGGTCGCTTTATGTGAATGGTTATGGCCATCGTTGCCATGTACGTGACCGTCATGCATAGCGGTAGCAGAACCCTCAAAGTCTGGTGCCTTCGGTGCATCTCTTGTGTCGGGTTTCTGCGGACTAGGCAATTCCTCGGTGTTCTGTCTTAGGGGCGATGGTCGGTTTTCTCGTCTTTGTAGAGGTAGAAACGAATTTGCCCGATATTGTGTCAAGTTTTGTCGGGCTTGCGCCTGGGTGTTATGGTCGATATGATCATGTTCGTGGTCGTGGTCATGGTCGTGATCATGGTTATGATCATGGTCATGATCGTGGTCATAGGTGAAGCTGGGTATCTGGCCCTGAGGGTAACTTTGTAAGGAACGGGTCGATCTTGAGTGACCGAAGGACGGGGGCGAATGGGAGTGCGAGTGTGAGTGTGAATGCGAATGACTGTGGTTGTGTGGTAACGGAGGTTGCGGTAGGGCGTACGAAGACGCCATGACGTCGTCCCAATTGTTCATCTATTCGGCTCGGGTATCTGTTTGTCTATGTAGCGGACAACGGACAACAACAATATTTTGATATTTCTAATACGCTTTCCCTCTTCCGGCTTTATCGCAAACGAATATTATTCTGGTGAACAGGTCTATGATTATCAATTGATAGTTTCTATCAAGTCGACTCGGGCTGAATTGCCTTGTTCGCAACGGTGGAGAGATATCTAGATATCTAAGTATACGGTCGTCAAACCGGATACGGCAAGGGGTTTGATCGTGTTCGTGCGCGTTGGTAACGAGTAAACCCGGAGTAGATAATTAATCTAAATATCTAACTTGACAACAACAACGAGAGACAATAGTAAACATGACGATCTGTTTAAAAAGAAAGATTGAAAAGCAGACCAAAGAGAAGAACCAATCGTGGCATTTTGTAAATGATAAGAAAGAATGGAAGAGAAAAAAAAGGCGAGAGCGGCAGCAAGGGTCACCAAAGAAGAAGGAAGCTGGAAGTCGGCTCTAGTGGACAGTGGACGGTGGTAGTGCCATCCCCAGCTACCTAGATACCCTGTCTTTTACCTTATCCCCTGAATGCGGGTTCCTAAAATCTTTCTCTTTCCGATCTAGTGCAAGGCCGGGACCCAATCTAATGATGCAGCTTGCAGCGGGTCCTCCGCATTACTAGTACACCTGGGTCCTGAAGAAAGAATGTCTTCCAGGGCCGTTAGGTAATATCAAAGGTTGATTTCCAGGGCTCTTTGCTTGTGTCCAGGCGGTTTTAGTGTGCTATTTAGTAAGATTACTAGGCTTACCAGGTGCAACGAGTACCCCAACTTTTTAAGTTAACGTGTCTATTATGTAGGCGAGCATCAAAGGTTAAATCAAGTCCCTGTTTCATTGTAACCTAGAAACCTAGAAGGGTACGTGTACATAGTAGTGAGTGGGGTTAATCGGAATGAACCAGGCCTATCAGTACCCTTGATTACCTAGGTTGGTTGTCAATCGCCCAATTATCAAAAGATCTCACCTCTCATCTGAACCTTCGCCCTTAAGGCTTGAATTTCCATACTTGGCACTATAACCTTACGTCAACGCCATCTCAATCCACGTTATCAAGTGTCAACTTTATAGAGTTAAGGTCGATCGCCTAATGCATCTTCACAAATCTACCCGAGATAATACAATATAGTGAAATGCGTTTTACCAACGTCATTCACCAAGTTGTTAGTCAAGTGGTGGAGGATTCAAACATATAACAAGCTTACAATAAGTTGCTATTTGCCGTATAGCTTCTAGGCTTCCCCATTTTCTTAGTAAGCCTATCTTGCATTAAATAACCAAATATCGCCGAAAATCTAACCTATTACTATCTTCAAGGGTACAACGTCTTACTATTCTAATATGTCGCACCTTACCATTGTCCTAGCTTTTACAGGACTGGGAATGTTAGCTGGCCTCATCGTGGTTCTAACGATGCTTCCTTCACGCTACGTAAAGCATTCTCCGGCCTCTAAGGAATCAGTCTCCGTCCAAGTCTTAGTCCTCGGCGATATTGGGCGAAGCCCCCGTATGCAGTACCATGCGCTAAGTGTTGCAAGACATGGCGGAAGGGTTGATCTTATTGGCTATCTCGGTATTTTCGTTTCCCTTTCAGGCTTAACAAAGGAATCGTGCTAAACTATTACGCAGAATCACCACCTCATCCCGATATTCTTGCCAGCCCAAGGATTAAGATCTATCCATTGGCATCGCCGCCAGGTGTATTGAAATCCGGCTCAATTCCATTCATAATCTCTGGGCCATCGAAAGTGCTATGGCAAATTTGGACCCTTATTTATGTTTTGGGCTACCAAACACCTCCCGCAAGATGGCTATTAGTCCAAGTACGATATATCTTTACCATCATCGTGTTGCATACGGTGGACATTGATTGACGCATTACAGAATCCCCCATCTATCCCAACCTTAGCTATTGCTCTCATCATATCCGTCCTGCGTAACACCCATCTCATGATTGATTGGCATAATTATGGCTGGACGATCCTTGCTGGAACAAAGGGGCGAGATCACCCTTTCGTGGGACTCTCGAAAGCATACGAGTGCGCGTTAGGTCAGGCAGCGCCAACTGCCAACATCACCGTTACCCATGCGATGAAGCGACAACTCGAACGAGAGCCTTATAATATCAAGGCACCGATTCTCACCCTTCACGATCGGCCAGCTACTATATTTCAACCGCTCAAGTCATTACCGGACCGCAGAGATTTTCTCGAAAAATTACCCCAGACGAAAGATTTTGCTTCCAACATTGTAGCAGGACAGACCAAACTCATAGTTAGTAGCACATCCTGGACGCCCGATGAAGATTTCTCGCTCCTGCTCGACGCATTGGTTACCTATGCCAAAGAAGAAAGTGTTTATCCAATTATTGCAATTATTACCGGGCGTGGACCCCAGAAGACATTTTACGAGGAGCGTATCAAGGACCTACAGAGCGAGGGAAAGCTTCCCAACATCCGTATTTTAACGGCATGGCTTACGATAGAAGACTACGCCAAACTTCTAAGCTACGCAGACCTTGGTATATGCCTTCACATGTCTAGCTCGGGTGTTGATCTACCTATGAAGGTGGTGGATATGTTTGGATCCGGCTTACCAGTAGCTGCTTATTCAGGATACGAGAGCTTTGACGAGCTGGTCAAAGAAGGGGTAAATGGATGTGGATTTGAGATGGCAGATGAACTAGCTGTCATCTTAAAGCGGTTATTCAGCGAAGAGGGATCGGCCGAGCTCCGCACTTTACGTAAGGGGGCTGAGAAGGAGAGTGAATTACGATGGGATGAAGAATGGGATCGAGTTCTAGGCCGAGTCCTAGGAGTCATAGATTGAAGAGGTAGTTATCCTCGGAATTGAATCGCTGATTAAATTGAATAATGGTCAACGAACTGAATACCTAACCTCTAAACGCCTCCCCATATGCTCAGAAAACAATTATGCTGACATCGAAATGAACGCGATCTCCGCCGAAGGATGCTCCTAGAATTGCCTCCCCTTTGCTCCTGGATGGAAATCACTCGCTCTAATGCGCCAGGTGTAGGTATGCGCCATGGATGTTGATTCAGTCCCTCGTCGAGTCTATTTAGTTTTCGCCTAGACTCTCCCTGACACACTGTCGGACTCGCTTCCTAAACTCCTTCGGCCCCCCTTCTTTCTCGGCCCGTAACAACTTGGCGGCGTCTAAATTGGCGGCACTCTCATCGTTGGGCTCGTTAAAGAGGCTAAGGACACTCAGAAGTATCGTCTCTGGTGTTTGTACAGGACTCCAACGTTCGGCGGCGCTCTCGTATCCGTACATATCGTCACCCGGGGCATGCAAGATCGATATGCAGAGGTCGCCGCTTGGGTAGATGTTGGGATGGAATGGTACCGGGTTCTGGAAGACGATCCTGGGAGGTAGGTGAGGATATTCGGGTGGGAAGTACATGATAGCTCGGAAATAAGCGCCTAGTATTTCCCTTGTGTTAGCTGAGTTGGAATTAAAAGCTACTTCCCGCTCTTTGTATTGGAAGCTGGGTAAGGCGTTGGTGAAGAGGGGTCTATATTGCGACATACCGCCGTAGTATTTACAGTCGTCATTGATCATAAGAATTACTTCCCATTCGAAAACATTGCTTTCCCTGACCAAGCCTACCGAGATGCCTGTCAGATCTTGGGATGTACGCATTTCTTTGAGTTGCCTCTGTAAGAGACGGGCGGCCGCCGAGGAATGCGGCGAGGATGTCGATGCAAAAGCGTGTCCGGTTGACATGATGTAGGTTTGTGCTACGCTTGTACGATATGAACAAAGAATATTTGTACGACGAATAAATGTACTTATTATTAATGGGTAATCGTAAAGGTGGGATTATGGAGTTGGTCACGTCTCAAGGGAGAGGAAGGATGGAAAAGAATTAGCTGTTGGTACGAAATGTTAGTACGACCGATAGATTCTAACGTTATCTTACGTACTTACATTAGGAAACTACTAGGTACGGTTAGCGATAGCAACGGGAACGGAAGGATGGGGAAAAAAGGTAACTACAACGGAATTCGCCATTACTACATATGTAGTAATGGTGGGGTAGCGACAGGGATATTGATAGGTAAATGTACCCTACGACACAAACATACCCTAAGGTGCTACCGGTAATCTTTTCAATCCATATTAAAGCTACGTCGAATTGAATTAACTCCTGCAAGAGCGGGTAGATGCAGATGGACTTGGTTTGTATAACTGAAGTATATGTAGTTACTCCGAAGCAAAAGGGCGTTCCGTTGGTATTAATTAACCTCTGCACTATTGCTACCCCTCGTGTTCGTATATATACCTAGGTATTAAGGCATAACTCACAATGATAAGTCATTCGCATAAACCGAGGTGTATGACTGTATATGTTCTCTTTGCCTGCTATATCATCATTGTTAGGTATCGTATGTCAGGAAAAAGCAATTGGTATACACGCCTAGGAAGAGAGTAGATCATTTAACCTTGGAAGCTTACCAGACCGGACGCCGATCCAAATGCATCACGAACGCCACCATCTGTGACCTGTACCCTGATACGTGGATATCATGCCTTAATAATACTCTGATGCTGCCAACGTTTTTTGCTTATTTCTTCTTGGACGTACCGAAACCGGTAATTCCCATTGCAGCCATCATGTCATCCTCATCGTGCTCGCCCTCGATCCGTACGTCTTCACCGTATTCAACTTTGACTTTCTCAGCAGCCTCCTTTTCAGCCTTCTTCCGCATTAGCTCCTCTTGTCTCTTGAGCCGCCTGGCTTCCCTTTCCTTAGTCGCCTCTTCCTCTCGCATCTCCAACCGTTCCTTTAATGTTGTTGTGCTCGCCTTCTTCTGTTCCTGTAAACGTTCCCATACCTCAGCGATACGTCGATGTACATCCTCAGCAGTCGCCTTCTTTACTTCACCCGTCTCACCAATATTCCGCAAATGCTGCATGCTATTGACGTGCTCGACCCATTGCATATTGTCCTTGAACGTGAGGTCACAAGCAGCACAGTAGAACCCAGCACCACGTCCACGTTTGCCCTGGCCCGCGCCCGCCGGTACCAGTGTCGTCTTGCCTACATTAGCCTCGAGGTCGATGATTTCGCGTCGCGCTCGTGTGTGTGTCTCGTCGCCCGTCATAGGTTTGTAGTATTTCTTCCCTGCCAGCTTGGCTTCGTATCGCGCTTTTGCCTCCTCCTTTTCGGCGGCCTCGCGTACCTTCGCCTTTTGCGCATACTCGTCTAAATCGTAGTCGCGCCGAAAGGACGTATCAGACGCCGGCGTACCGTACGCCGATCCTTTTTTGTCGGCCATCTCGGTAGAATTTGAGGTCGTCTATTGTATATGGATAGATTTTCGGCGAATTATGGCGTCGGTCGAGACTGGGTATAATGCTGAATAGACACTTGAACGGATTTAGTGATTGTGGTAGATGGACTTTTAATGAGGTAACGCGCGGCGAGATGGAATTTAGTGGATAGGAAGCTAGACAGGGGTACAGAGCTAATCCCTGAAACGATCTGGACTTTAGTGGGATACCCCGCCAAACTTTTTCAAAATACAGCCCTGGAGCTTCTCTTCTCTATAGACTATTGTTAACCCCACTTGACTTCAAAATTCTTAAACAAAAAATCCAAGTATTATCCTACGAGACAGAGCTACATAGCTAATTTGAACACTACGATGCTTTATCTCGTAGGGCTAGGTCTGTCCGATGAGACAGACATTACTGTTAAAGGCCTCGAAATCGTGAAGAAGGCTTCGCGCGTCTACCTCGAGGCTTATACAAGTATCCTCTTAGTAGATCAATCTATATTGGTATGCCTGTCCTTATATCTCGGTAACACATGTGTTTTGATATCAAGTGGCTAACGCTAATGGTATAGTAGGAGAGTTACTACGGTAGATCTATAGTAGTTGCCGACCGTGAAATGGTCGAGTCGAACAGTGATGAAATTCTACAAAACGCCCAAACGGAGGATGTCGCATTTCTAGTCGTTGGCGATCCTTTTGGGTATGACACAGAAACCCAAGGGTCTTGAGATTGTGCTAACCCGCTCGATATAGCGCAACCACTCATACAGATCTTGTTCTCCGCGCGCGCGAGCTCTCGATTCCCGTCCAAACAGTTCCCAATGCGTCCATTATGTCCAGTATTGGTGCTACTGGGCTTCAGCTCTACAACTTTGGCCAAACCGTGTCTATGGTATTCTTCCTCGATAATTGGCGCCCAGCGTCCTTCTACGATCGCATAAAGGAGAACCGAGAAATAGGACTCCATACTCTTGTGCTATTGGATATTAAAGTCAAAGAGCAGAGCTTAGAAAACATGGCTCGGGGAAGAAGGATCTACGAGCCTCCAAGATACATGACTGTTGGTCAATGTGCGCAACAGATGCTGGAGATTGAAGAAGAAAAGAAAGAGGGTGTCTACGGACCAGACAGTTTAGCCGTTGGGGCTGCTAGGGTAGGCGGCAAAACAGAAAAGTTCGTCGCTGGAACGTTAAAACAACTGCGTGATACCGACGATGCTCTAGGTCCGCCATTACACAGCCTAGTATTGCTTGGGAGAAGAGCGCATGAATTAGAGAGGGATTACACGCGGGAATTTGCAGTTGACAAGGAACTGTGGCAAACCATTTGGAATAAGGATTATGGCAAGCAATGAAGAAAGATACCGCTAACTACCTAGGTACTTATTCAACCATTTACTCCCATTCTGATACACCTAGAGTGCTACCAAGTACAGGCTAATGATGGCCGTCAATTGTCTTTCTCAGTTAATGAGACACCCTCCAAGACTGGATCTCGCTCTCGCTAATCTCACGAAGCTTGTTGACATTCGCTGTCTGGCCCGTTACGGTCCCCTTTGCAACCTCCGCTGCGAAACCAACAAAGGTCTTATCGCTTACGGAGTATGTAGCTGTCGTGATCTTGACCCGTATGATGCCAATACGAGGGTCATTCTCTGACCCGTCATGAATTCCATCTCCCAAATCACCCATCCATGCCTTTAATGTTGGTTTATAGTACTTCTTGATAAGGCTACGGTCTGTCTCGATGGATGTTGTCCCCGAGATAGAAGCCCACTGACCGGAACTATCTAAGAAGGACACGTTGACGTGGGGATCTGTCTCTAGCTCGTCTGTCTTCTTCGATTCTGTGTTGGTGAAGAAGAGTTGGTCGGCACCCCCATTCTCCTAAAGCCAATGTTAGACCAATGCGACTCGACATTACTATAAGGTGTTTACCTTTGCAGCCAGTGCCATGCATCGAGATACGAGCTTTCCAGTGGTACCGTCCCGCGTGGTCATCATACCATATTTGCATGAGTTGACGAACTTGTCGAGAGTTTCGATTTTCTCGCTGACAGGGAGGTCGCCTTCTTTGTTGGTGGCGGTATATGGGTCAGCCGGCTTGCTGCCTGTGTTTGTGTTCGAAAATGTAGACATGTTGGTATATCTCACTGTAGTTCTTTTAAAAATGATGGATATAACAAATTAGAAGGAAAACAAACGAGGAGAATAGATCGGTATTTGAAAGAATGGCTTAGCCATAGCTTCGGCAAAGACGCGTCACGAAATGTAGGCGAAGAAACCTTGATCGTCCTGTTAATACATACGATCGATCTCGGTAGTCCTGCGGTGTATGGTGAGGCGCATTGAATTTCATCATAGATATCTTTGTATTTGCGGGAGAGCTTCAGAGCGTATTTAGTTATGACGTCAGGTTTGAGGAAACACTGCATAACCCCGTAAGCCGACGCCAGGGATGAACTACAAGCGGTATTATTCTCCAAGCTATTGGAATAAGGTCTTTTCTTTGTTCTTTATGACTATGTATTGAAATAAAACGTTTTAAGTAACTAATAAATAAATGTTGATCTTGTTGAATTAGGTTATATTCATATCATCGTGTCCTTACCATCAAAAACAGAAGAGTCGGTCGTTTATAACATACCAGGTAGGGAAGTAAGATTGACCATCTGAGAATAAGCATCACATACTGATATATCTCATCAGTGTTAATAGATGAGGCTCTCACGTGTCCCCTTCTAGATCAATACGACAGTAAAGTTGATAAGATAACACTGGCCCAACATGAACCGACAGGTATTTGCATGAAGTATAAATAGAAACATCGAACCAATCCTCCGATCCCAACTTGTGGTACATAACCGAAGCAGGTACAGGGGTTTGGCAAAAGTTTATTTCACGATCAGGTACGACACCCATGGCCGATAATATCTAAAATGGGTAATGAAGGAAAGTGGTAGTATTCGAACTTTTTAAATGCGAACACTTTAAGTAGGTACAAAGTTTATGCATGCAGTTGGGAAGTAAGAGGATCAAATGTAGAAGTACATTTTAACATTTACATTATCATGCCACCATGCCCCTCCTTTAAACGCTTCCAGGGAAGTAGGTACCTAAGTAATACCCGCTAATGTAGAAGCTGATAGCACCAATATGAGCCCTGGAGGTATTCTACATTCTGTACCCATTGCAGCTGCCTACTTCTTTCTCACCCACCCGAGCACTTTACATAATGAACTTGGAAAGTGTACCTAGGTATGAACCATCGGACACACCAAATGCAAATGTCCTCATGTTCATCCATCCATCCATCCATCCTTCCCTCTCTCACTCCCTCAGCTGATTGACTGAAGAGCCAGCGGTAGAGCGGACCCGCCCCCTCCATTCCATTTTAGCAAGTTGGTTGGTTTTGATTTGGCGGACATCGATCCATCTCTCAACCTCAAATCAAAATTCATTTCAACCTACTTGACATGCACCACAATCAAACCCTTAGATGTCAATCGCCAATCGCCAATCACCAATTATCTATGTACATGTAAAATATCTAAGACGTTTCAATCGGCCTGAGGGTCATCACCTGACTTCGCGGCATTCTGCCTCAGTAAAAATTCCCCGAACAGCTATCTCAAAACCCATTGAACCACCAGCAGATCTACCCTTGAGCACTGATACGTTCTTTTCTTAGGCGTTCCCGAAGGAACGCCCTTCAGTGTCGGATCTTGTCCGTCCATTGATCAACGTCGTCTTCCCGCCACGGGCATTTGATTCAGTTCAATCTTTGAGACTTGATTGTTTATCTTCTTAATTTCTCTTGATAATACCCTTCATTTCGACGCCTTTATTACACTCCTGCCTTGGCTTCCATTTTCCATCAATTTAAAACCCCAATCTCTAAAACCGCGACTTGCAAATAATTATTCTCGAACAAACCGTACATCGCATACACTCAACAGACAGACGGTCAAACCCAGGTCTGGATCCGAATATCGCTTACCTTGAATCTCCCACGACCTTTCACCTCTATGGTCATAAGTTACATGAGACGTTGTACCTAATCTTCTGCATCATTCAACATGGTATGACCTCCCAGTACATAGCTAGTATCTTGTCCCTCAAGTTTTTTACTTTACTAATCTGTCTCGCTAGAGCATTGCTTGGGAGTGCCGTGATCAGGCTGACCAGGCCGAGATCTACTATAATCAACCTCTCCGCACCAAGGTTAGACGCCTCGAGGATGAAAATCTTACCTTGAAGCGATTACTCCGCGAGAATGGCATTTCGTGGCAGACTCGATCCAAACCTGCTCGGATATCGTCTGCTGGCCGCATCACCCGTTCTTCCAGCAGGGCACCTCTGCCGCATATTCCCGTAGAGATTCAGCTTCGGATCTTGTCGTTCGCCCTCACGAGCTCGCATCCCATCATCGATCCATTATGCAAACTCAAGCAAGAACATCTTCTAATTAAAGAGAGGCACAAGTCTCACCAGCTCGCAATCCACTTTTTGGCGACTTGCAGAGCATACTACGCTGAGGGCACTAAATTCCTGTGGAATAATAATTCCTTTGTCTTCACCAATCCGGAAACCCTTAGGAACTTTGCCGACGTACCTTTGCACTTCCGCCAGAACATCAAGGAAGTCAATCTACGCATAACTGCAAAATTCTATGATGACGAGGAGCGAACGCACAAAATTGGTCGCCATCACCACCCTGATCTCAAGAAGAACATCCCTTTGAACGTTCACAGGCGCCCAAAGGAGAACACTCTGGCCCGCCGAGGTTTCCGTACCTATGGTTGGTACCAGCTTGTAGACTTCCTGAATGCCATGCTGCCTCCATTCGACCCGTCTCGAGTTTCGCATTCTAACGGGCCGGCTATGACGCCTATGACTCCTTTGCCGAGGTTACTCCCATCTCTCGAAAAGATTCGTATGGATTTCGTCAATTTTGGTGAGGATCTATTCAACAATCCGCCACCCCAATTACACGAGCTTGCTTCTCACCAGCTTGGGTGCATCCTGAACGAACTCGTTCTTACTGGATTGCCGAGCGACGAGACAGGCCACCGGGTTAGCAACGAGTTAGCTGGCCTTCTAAAGGATGAAGGTCTTCTCATTGACCATGCCCCCACTATGGTGGCTTTGAAAAATTCCATGCGCGCTCTCCATTGCGACGCGAGCGAGTGCCATTACTCTTCCAAGGTCGTGAGAGCAATGCGAGCAATTTACGGCGGCCACCACCACGATCACACAGACACTCATGCGCATATCTTTGGAATCGACTTCCCTCCTGCACCCGCGGACGAGGGCGAGCCTCCTTACTCATATTTTCATTCCTGCCGTACCATATGGAAGAAAGTACCGGTTAGACTCGACGGAACTGAGGAACGCAAGTGGCTACTCTTTGACAGGATGAGCGGACTACCATGGGATGAGGTTGAGGAGGAAGCGACAATGTTTGACATCTTCCCAACTTCAGACGATGATGATGATGTCTCCGAGGAGTCAGAAAGAGAAATGGTATGTGATAATTGCGGCAAGATACATCCAGGAGCGATCCCTCCGGCGGAAATGATGGAGTGGTACGAGGATCTTTGAACGGACAACATTGAAGACAGTTCGGCTTTTTCTACGACGATTACGAAGATATGCATATGATACCAGGTTTGCTTTGCTTTTGGCATTGGGAACGGCAGGAGCTCTGAAAATGGAGGGAGGCAGGCATGTGAAAATTACATAGAGGAGAATCTCGACTTCGGTGTGTGTGATAGGCGGCTGGACCTTGCTATGTAATAATGTATGGACTAGTTAAATGTCTCGAGCTTACGAAGTGTAGCTATTACTTGCTTGTCGGAAATAGATTGATATGTATGATTTTGTCGGTCATTGAAGGTATTTTAGTTTATCCATGCCTATGTGTTTACGGCTTTCGTGATGTGACATAGTAACATTATCAACACGAGTGGTTATATGCAACATGTTCTTCATATTTCATTATTTACCTAGGTACCTCTTAAGCTACCACGCGACCTTGGACTTCTCCGTATCCACAGAGAGAGCATTTTTCTTTTGGATGCAACCGGGACTGTCTGTTCAACTTTTGCTGATTTCATCCCTCCAACTCCATTAAGAGTATCTAGTTAATGGCCATAGAAACAAAACAAAAGCCTCATCTCGTCATCATCCTATCTAAGGTGAACTCATAACCATTAACATGGCGAGACCAGACAAGCGCACTACTCCTCGTCCTCCTCTTCATCATCATCCTCAGCCTCAGATTCAGCTTCGTCGTCCTCGGCTTCTTCAGCTTCGCCGTTAACGTCCCCATTGGCGACACCGCCTTCGTTTTCTATCCGTAGCCACTCGTCCCACTCTGGGAAGAGCTCATCGTCTTCGGTGGGAAGGCCAATCATTTTTGCTACGCGACCCTTTTTGTTCTTTTCTAAGCTCTCTTTCCATGCTTTCACGGCCTCTACTGTCAAACTCGGCTTATATGTTTGTGAAAATAGAACGGCTTCAGCCAGCCTATTCGTCTTCGTAAGCACTTCTACGCACCCTGCTGAATCACCAAGTAGCCATTTAGCTGTAAATGCGACATTGTGAGCGCCGGATTCTTCGGCTTGCGTGGCTAGAGACTCGAGACCTGCCTGGTCAGCTGTGCTCGAGTAGATAAGGAGTAATGACCCAAAATCTCGCGCATGTGTGAAGCACTCGGTCGCAAGCGGGACATCCCACGCGGTAAGAGCCGCGTCACCGACTGTCTTCCACTTGTGGTCATTCTCGGCTTTCCGTGCGAGGTCGAGGGCGATATCGAGCTGATTGAGAGCTAATGATAAGTCGAACTTGTGCTCGGGATCAGTGGCAACTTCAAGGGCAAGCTCCTTGTGACCTTGTCCCTCGAGGAATCGAGCAATCTTGTTAAGTTGGTCTGCAGGGATGCTGGGAAGTAGCTCGGCAGCCGTTTCCATATCATCACGGAGAACTAATGTTTGGTATTCCAACACCGGGAGCGAGAGGGCAAAACTTGTGACGTTTACGTCTTTGTCCGCGAGGTATATTCGCGAGTCTCTCTGGATGTAGCCAAGGACATACATCGGCTGGTCGAAATGGGAGATTGTGTAAGTCTGGTCGCCAACCAAATAGTTTAATCGGTTCGTGCTGTTAGTGTAGATGAAGCAATCCCCAACCCATTGACCTGTTCGTACGCTATAGAACGGTTAATAAAAGAGCAAGAGTCCGCTTTGCGAATGTACTTACTTCTCGGCAATATCAGTAATAACCTCGAAAGCTGCCTCAACACCATCCTCATCTACTTGGCCAGCCTGGGTTGCTTCAATGTAACTTTCACGAGAGAATCTCAAGACATAGAAGGTATCTTCACAAGCCAAAGTGACAAGCTCACCACTGTCAGACCAGTAGACCTCCTTGGGCTCGACTTCGATTCGTCTGACAAGACCACCGGTAGCCCAGTCGTAGAAAGAGACACCTCCTTGGCCCTTTACACCCAGTAATACACCACCCGTCAGACCTTCGGCTTGGAAAGGAATGTCAAGGCCACCAGTTTTCTCTACAAAGTTCTTATAGACCTTGACGCTGGTTGCTGACTCGCGAATAGCGAAATCGTTACTGTTGTCTTTCGACGCCCAGACGAAATCCAGCGCAGAACCAAACGCCTTGTTACGCCACGCCAAAGCTGTGTAAATGATGTATTCGCCGTCACCACAAACCGCAACAAATCGTCCGTTGGGGGAATGGATAAGTGTCTGCGGGTAGACTTCGCATGTGCCGAGCTCTTTTGTGGGAAGAGTGATCGCCTCGTTGTCCTTGATCGAAGCGTCTGTTATATACATTAGCATTTGAAGGAATTATAGCAAAAATAGAAACATACCGCCGCCCTTGATGATAGAAGAAACCACTTCGTTATGTCGGGCCCAAATCAACTTGCCAGAGCTGTCCATAGAAACAGCAGGCTCTTCGCGTCCCAACTTGACTACGACAGCGCCGTCATCGAATCCGACTGCCACACCCTGCTTGCCACGTTGGTAAGAAATACACCAAGCACGTTCTAGGCCGTAGTTGAGAGATTGTTCGAAGCGGTAGGTATTCGCATGCCATATTCTAATAGTGCCATCCTCGGAACCAGATATGATGACAGGTAGCTCGGGGTGGTAGCAAGCGAAGGATACATTGTTTGTATGGCCCTCAAGGCTCGCTATTAAACTCTTGGTAGTGTAATCCCAAACTTTGACTGTCCTGTCGTCGGATGTCGTGAGGAGGTAGGGCTTGTCGGAATGAGGGTAGTAGTCAACGTGGTTCACGCCCTTAGTTTCGTGAGCCTCAAGTGTGAAGTTGGCGGTGGAAGAACCCAAGCTCCAGATTTTGACGGTTCTGTCTAAACACGCCGAGGCGAATGTGTTGGTATCTTTAGGATTGATAGCTAATCCCATCACATAGTGGCTGTGACCCTCGAATACTTGTACGCACTTCCACCCTTTCTCCCAATCCCATAGCTTGATCGTCATGTCATCGGAGGCGGTCAGGACGAAGGGTTGCGTAGGGTGAATAGCAATAGCACGTATATAATCGGGATGCGCCTCGAATGAGGTAATCTTTTCTGAGGTGTTGTAGTTATATACTCTAAGTTGGAAGTCATCAGAACCGCAAACAATCCAGTTCTTCCTCGCAACGAATCGACCGGCTCGGACAGGGACGTCGGTAAGTTCAAAAGTCTTGACGATTTGCTGGGTTTCGTACGACCAGATATAGACATGGCCTAGCGCAATTAACTATTAGTGGAAGATCCAGAGGTCGCAAATGCATTCTAAGGATGGACTCACCGCTGTATAAGGTAGTTAGAATCCATGGTTCTTGCGGGTGGCAGTCGATGCCCTTCACTCGTTCGCTACGCGCGAAGAGTTGTCGCTGTGCATCAAAAGCCATGTCAGCGCATCCAACCACCACTAAATCAACGTATGGGTTATATTAAAGACATAGGAGCTAATTCGCAAAGGACAATGGTAGTATATGCGAGCTCGGTTGGTCCAACAGACGTAGTTTCGGTCGTATAGAAAGGCCAGGTCTCAGTGTACCAGTGGAATGGGGTCGAACTGGAGATTGAACCAAAAGGGAATCGGAGGTAACGGAGACATTGTACACACCTTCACGTCCAGCCTCATTTTGCCGACAGCTCCAATACCGTAGAATGAATGGCTCGGGAATACAATGATTCGTTCGAGGCGGGGTGGTGGTGGAGGATGATCGCAGCCAGATCGGTATTTATTTATTACATGGAAAGGGGAAGCATCTAGATTGAGATTGATTGATTGATATTCGGTTCGAAGAGCGTTGTTACGTCGTTATCGTCGTTTCGTAGTTGAGGCCAATTGAGATCGTTGTAATTTGTAGGTAGAGAGAGAAAAGATAGTGATATTTAGATCTACCCAAGATAGTAGAAATCTAAATTGTTATACTTTATGCTTCGTAGCTTCGTTCTTTCTTTCATAGCCTGACGGACCAAGTATAACAAAACTATAACAATTTACCCTATTTTCAGGTTCAACGGTGGTCACTTCTCTCAGCCAATCAACCCGCTTATCTAATGTGGAAATGTGGCACAAGCTTTAGCCCCGCCAGCCGTAATGATGTAGCACGAGCCACAATTCATCCTACTCGCCGCCTCGTGAATTATCCGACAGTTTTTGTACCCAGGTACTTCTAGTACCCACAAACCTGGAGATGAAAATATAGATAATGCAATTCTTAGGATATAAAGACATCACATCGACAAAGAAATCTATAACCCTAGAATATCAAGATACGTACTTGGTCCTAAGAGAATCAGATATCACGTAGGAAAGGGGTACAAATCACTTTTGTAAAACACTGTAAAGTTGCTTCATGATTTTTTTCATTTATTGAGAATCAATCTTCCTCTATAATCGCCTCGCGAGTTTAACTCGGGTGATTCTAAACGTGAACGCAGCGCAACGCATGAGATGCCATCAGTATGTAGCATCGACTTGATCTAAGTCATCGTAAAGCGTTCCCGTTTCCTTTCCCCTCCGGTATCATACAGTAAAACGCCATGGCCCCATTTCCATATGCCCAGCAGTCGCTCCGATGCCGTGAAATTCAGTAGAAATGCAGATGCAGAAATAGAAAACAAGGGGAAACCCATCAGCTTCTCTAGTCTTGGCTATCCGCCTGTACCTTCTGCACAATCTGTAGCACCTTCGGGTACAGCTTCTCTGACTTTTGCAGACCGCAAACCTTGGCGACGACATCCTCAGCATTGTTCTCTGCCATGATCTTGGCAAGCTCCTTGCTCTCATCGTCACCCTCTACGTTCTGGAAGCGGAAAGCCATCTCGGCAGCAGCAAGCAGGGCCGGGGTGTCGTGGCCTAGTTCGGCCAGCTCGGCGGCAGGGGCAATGAATCGCTCCTTGCGGCCAAGCTTCCTCAGAGGAGCACGACCGACACGCTCGACGGCGTCAGCAAGGTGGGGGTTGCTGATGCGGTCAATGATCTTCTGCTTGTACGCATCTTGCTCTTCCGGTGCGATGCCGTGCTTGTTGACGATGAGCTTGGCAGTCTCGTTGATAGCAGCGGCAACTTGGTTCTTGATGTCCTTGTCCCGCATAGCGTCGTCGACGGTCTGCTTTTGTCTGTTGTAACCGAAGTAGGCAGCGGTAGCATGGGATGTGTTGACAGTGAAGAGCTTGCGCTCAATGAAGGGAAGTAGGTTGTCTACCCACTTGATACCCTCGATCGACGGTCTCTCGACATTGGTGGATGTGTTCTCACTAGGCTTGAAGGGGGTCTCCTCAACAACCCACTCGTAGAACTTTTCTAGGGTGACGTCTAGGCCAGCGTTGGGATCTTGAGCAGGGACAATTCGGTCGATCGCAGAGTTAGCGTAGGCGGCTCTCTCATGGTGATCGTCGAGACGGTGCTCGGGAGTGTTCTTGGGGTCCTTGATGTGGGTGGCAAGAGCGTCTGTAGCACCGATCATGTTCTCGCAGGCAATGACAGCCAGGGGCTTGGCGTCATTTGAGCGCTTGTCAATACCCTTGGCGATGACTGGGGCGATGAACTTGAGGATGTTGGGTCCGACGGAGCAGGTGACGACGTCGGCAGTCGCAATCTCGTCAACTAGTTCGGCCTCGTTGTACTTGGAGTTGATGGCACGGTAGTTGGTGATCGTCTTGGTAACTGTACCCTCAACACCACGCTCGATGACGTTGTACGACGGTGTAGAGTTAAGAGAGTCGACGAGCTTGTCAACAACATCGGCGAAGACGACCTCATAACCTGACTCGTGTAGGAAGCAAGCTACGAAGCCACGGCCAATGTTGCCGGAACCGAAATGAATTGCCTTCTTGCCCATTGTGAATGATTGTAGGCGATGAGGAAGAGAAGTATCAAAAGGATTGTAGATGGAATTTAGGTGTGTGAAGTAGTTCGTAGGTTGATGGTGGATTGAATAAACACTAATGTAGTGCAAATAGGCTTGTGGAAAAAAGAAATAAAAAATGAAAATCAAGAAGTGAGAAAAAAATGGGAAACTTGGAGGTTCTTATGTATTACGCAAGGAAGTAGAGAAGTTGGCAATGGCGAAGGAGAGTGCAAGTGTAAGTGCAAGTGCAGTGCGGTGACTGGTAGAAACCACGAGGCCCACGAGCCCCGAACAATTCGACCGGAAGTGGAGGGGTACCGTAGCGTTGCGGCAGGAATGATGGCCGCAGACACTCGACTCAGGTAAGGTTGCCAAGTATACTGTACTGTACTGTGTAACGTTTGGTTGGTGGTGCAGTCCAATGCATCCAATAAATGCAAGAATGGATCTAAAGTATGACCCACCGTTTCATCAACGACAGCCCAGCCAGCCCTAGAGATTCCGTATTTGTACACCCGATGGGGAAATTCTCCAGTAAATTACCGGTTCCACCTCACGTATCGTATCTCCAACCCACTGTACGTACCTACAATAGGCACATAAAATGGTATCATCAACTTGGCCATGCAAAAGTTGGGGTATAATTGACGGTATAAATGACTCCATTCATGTGCATATGAAGAAGGATAAATTCTAACTACATGTCCTGAGTATGAATATTAAACATTATTCTATTTCTCTTGGTACTCTGGATTGTGATTGCTGTCTGTTATGTACCGCATTTACGTAGGTCTATTACGATTAAATAGAAAAAGCCTCACTCAAAATGGATGGATAAGGCAACATGTTTGTCAATCAACTCAACATCAGTACTAGCCATGATATAATATTTGTGGTTTCTATGAACATAATGAGTATCTACTGCCGAAATGGTTGCTTGTGCTCGACAAGAACACTTCCTCTTAGGATTCCAATTCGCCATCCGTGTTATACCCCTTGTCACACTGCAGAATTTATTCTATTGAATAATTCGAGGTGTATGAGTCGAATTCATCCAGAAAATTTTATATCTCGCAGTACCTAGATATTGGGTGGTTTGAGGACATCAATCATATTCTCGTTGCCATCGTATGATTTGGCTGCCACTAGATATCCGTCTGTAAATGAAACCGTATCGAGTAGTGCAAGCATGTGTTTCTCTTACGCCGTGTCTGTCTTGAGCCATACTGTAGATCCCGATTCGTTCCTTAGGTGCTGCTGCACTAGTCCATTTTAATACCGTCATTGGCTTTCTCCATCACATCCCTGAAGCTCTCTATGTTTAACATTAATCCGGCAATCCTCGACACCAACCTTGAACCCAAGGATCGCCAGGAGGCTGCGAGTTAAGCGTTAAGAGTGGCCCATAGGACATATCCACGACCCACCATAAGCGCTAGATGGTAAAGTTGATTCCATCTACTAGACGCGAGAATTGATGAATTCATGTCGACAAGGCGAATAGATATAAAAAAAACTCATATACGAGGACCCTTAATAACAAGAAGGTACATGCAACGTGCTAAAATCTGGGGGAGCCGCGGCTTTACCTGCTTTTTTCTAGTTTTCCCCGCTCGATATCTCCAGATCTAAATTGATATCTGCTGAATGCTTGGCATATAGTGTAGTCACAAGTTCAAGTGTAGTAGTAAAATAGGAACTAGATTTGGTTGAGTACATACAGCAGTCCCTGCAGCTTTATCACGGCTTGTCGCCACCAATGGGATAGGAGTTGACACCGCAAGAAGATGCCGAGCAGATTCCAGTAATACTAACGCCAGGATGGCTGGTTAAAATGTGGTGTGGCCCTCGGCGCTTCATTTAATTATCGTGATACCGTAAGCTCCACACACACATTTTCTCTCTACCCCTAGGCTGCTGTATGACTAACTGTCTAGTTGCGCAACGAGATAGGCGGAACGCATTTGAGTTCGTATGTGAAGCACCACCATTGAGGATTACCCATGCGAAACTCTACGGGGATGAATTAATCATACCAACAATATGCTTATTGGAATCGAGAACTTTCGATCAAAGTACGTCTTATGCGTCTAGCCCAAGCCCACGGCCCTTCTCGCGTTACAATCCCTTACCTAGGACGCGGACTTCCTAAAATGGAAAACCAATACGGATTCTTTAACGGTTTGGAAAGTTTAAACGTAAAAACAGGGCCTTTACCCGGACAAACGAACGAACACATACGAGGATGGCCCCGATCAAACCCGACCAACCAAAGATGTTCCTCTCCTCCAAGTTTAGAAGCCAAAAGCCCCTCCTAATCCTTGTCGATGATCTCATCGAGCGTCACCCACTCACCATCCCATAGCCCCGTAGCGCAGACGATTCCACTAGTACAATTTAATGAGCAAATAGGGGCCACGCTAAAAAGAAACCACTCAAAAATCCGGGAGAAAGATTGGGAGGACCGTTTTACCATCATCCATCATCGCCAATACAAATATGCATTTCTTGCCGGGGTTCAGGGGCCTTGGGGTTACATTCGATCGAGTGTTGGGTCATTGCCTTGTGTGATTACGTACCCTGTCAGTTCTATCCCTTCTTTTCTTGTGAATGGCTTTTTTCGATGAAGCCGATTGTTTGTTGGTCGTATTCAGTTTGTGTTGAATTCCGCCTTTTTATTCTATCCATTCAAAACCAATAATGGTTTGCACGATATTGGACTTGTATGCTTCATTAAATCATAGATATTGCGGGGATCGATCCACGAAGAAACTCCGCCTCTCCGCCCTCTCCACCTCATCATAGGTCTTCTAGGCCTCTAGCGCAAGCCGTCTTGCTCGTACGTTTAGTATCAACACGGTCTCTCATGTCCACTTAATAAGAATACCCCCATTCATTCGGAGGGATGGCACATTAGCCAATCAGTGTGTCGATTCTCCTGTCGCTCAGTGGCCTCCTGTTCAGGCTTGACGTGTCGATCTCTACTCTTCCTAACTCGGATCAACCCAGTAGTACAGAGGTTGGGAAATCCATCGAGTGCTTCCCCAGGTTTTAACGTCGCAATCTAATTGATGTTGCATAATAAACTTAAGCCTCAGTATTCCACAAGGTTATCGATACTTCGGGTACATAACGCATTCGCCGCCGCGTATAAGAGAGTTCTTAGAAGTCGCGTTGCGATACTTGGCAACGTTGCCGCCGTTTCGCCCGGGCCACCTAGATATCCACCTATCACATAAAATGGGTAGTTGCGAACTCAGTTCTCAACACTTCCTTGTGGAGATCGATATAACGCATGTATGCGATCACGTCTTAATCGCAACGTGACTCGAAATCGATTATTCCAGGACAACAAGGTCGTGGTTAAACGGCTAACCCCTTGAGGAGTTCCTCCACTTTCTTACATGCCCTGAAGTCCAAAGTCGATCCTCGACCCTCCGGAGCCAAACATAGATCCACTCTCATACAGATGTCTGTTCAAGGGGCTACTTACGACTCCATTCTTTAGATAAGGCCGAATTCGAGTTAGCTCATTGGGCAGGCTGGGGAGTCTCGGCATAAGCAAGGCTATGTATTTTCACGAGATTCGTTGCCGTTCATAGTCGGGTACGGGATGGTCCACAACCATCGGGGTGAAATCTTACGATGTTCCTGGACACTGTATCAAGTTTTGTAATAAGCCTAGAGAGTTCATACCTAGGTACTGCATACCCTAAAATTCCACTTTCATCTAACCAGGGGGAGATAGGTAACGAGGCCTCCGGCTCAACGCCCAATTTGGATCGTGAGTCTTCCTGTTCCTCTTGGGCAACAATCTCGATTCTTCCGGCTTTAGCGGGCCGATTATACAGCGGCCGGAATTATTTTTTCTGGGGCTTCCTATCTAATGCTAACTCGCTACATTATACTCCGACATAAGCGGTAAGTTGTAAGTTTTGACCTTGTTACTTCATGAAAAGGACCGAAGAAATTTTTTCATTTTTTATTTGTCTTGGAACAACGCCACGATCCTTTTTACCCTTCAATCTCAAAAAGCTAGGGATACAATAAGGCAACGTGCCAAAACGCACCATTTCTGCTGCTCGAGAGAAGAAAAAAAAGTTGGGTGCTAACTTCCATCCGCTTATCAGATAGCCGTCGGCGTGATCTCCCGATTTCATTATCTATTATGTGGGGCCGACTTATCCCGAAGCCTTTGATAACGATTGGCTAAAAATGGATTTCAGCAAGTCACGATGCCGGTCAAAACGTGGCCATGTTATCTAAGGCAAAGCAAAGGGGAAAAATACAATGAAAGTTTGTTGAGTGGTTGATGTAAGCAAGGAGGATTATAGGGAGAAAATCACATACCGACCATTTTTTATTGGAACCGGAAGCTTACTTAATAAGGGAAAAGCATTCATTTGTTGTCTAAGGGGTATGGGTATCTAACTGTCGTCACAAGCCACGAGGCCCTCCCGATGTCACAACCCGCGCAGGTACTAAGTACCTCACTGCGCCATCCATATTTACCACCTCATTAACTATCGTATGGCCCTGATAGGGCGCATATATCATGAAAAACATCGAAAAAGCAGGCCTCATATCTCCCCATGCAGCATAATCATCTCTCATTCGTAAACCGGTTGCTGTACCGATCGCAGGGGTATGTCGAGTAAAGACAAACGAAGGCAAAGGAAAAGGAAAAAGAAATGACGAAATGTCGTAACGGCGGCATGTCGATCTTATCGAGTAGTGGCTATGGGAAGTGTTAGGCTTCTACGTCGTACTCTTCCTCAATTAGCGCGCGTTGCTGACGGTAGTCCTTGAGAAGGCGCTTCGTGCTAGAGATAAAATCCTGGTGTAGAGTCTCAAGCTGAAATAGCTTCTCCTCTAGCATGCTTATACGCTTGGTGAGCCTTTCTTCATGCTCTTCGTCGGATATGCGCTTTCGCTTGCTACTGGTGGCGGCGGGCCGACCGTAGATCTCCTCGGGAAATTCATCAGCATCGAAACGCGAGGCTTCGTTGGAGCGGTAGCCTGACAAGGCGTTCTGCTGGACCCCTTCCTGGAACACGGCGGGGTGCATGCTCGATGGCTCGCTGCGCTGGCGGTCCTGGTCTTGGTCTTGGTCTTGGTCGCCTAATGAATCGTCTTGGCCACCGCCATAGAAATCTTCATATTCTTGATCAAGACTTTCGTCCATGTCTTGTTCTAACTCACGAATACCCTCGGTGCTCTTGGGGAAGAAGTCAGCGGTAATCTTGGCCCTATTCTCCTCGTACACCCGTAAATCGTGGACGCCGTCAGCTCGGAGCGTATCGTCAACGTTAGCGTCGGTGACGATTTCTGGCCAATTGTACTGTTTCAGAACCATATCCATGATGAGGACAATGGCGGTGGAAGCAGTGCGCTTCTTAGCGATGGAGTATTCCAAAGACTGGGATGTCTCTCGAATCTTATAATGGGCGCGGCAAATTTCGTAGTCGATTCGATTGAATCCGTTAGGACGAAGCGCGTGAATGGTATAGTTGGCTTTGAAGTTTGAGCCAAGAGGGGGGAGCTCGCTATCATGCTTTTGCGTCACACGACGATAGTACAGTTGGCGAGAGAAGGTCTTGTCCGGGAGGTAGATTCGACGGAGATGTCGTTCGACATACCAACGGTACTTGGCGCAATGACGACTATCGATGCCGCTGGCGATTAAGTCGAGCTCGTAGTTTTTGCCCGGGGCGTTGATATCATCGCCTACAGTCGCCATCTTTGCCGGCGTCTGAATTGCTACCGGTAATTGGTGGCTAGCGACCTAGTTGCCTGAAAGATCGAGTGGGGTTAGTATCCTTCATTAAAGGGTAGCGGTCAGGTTATATTAAGCAGGCGTACCTTTACGGAAGGACTTAATTGGATGCCCAATAGGTGAGAAGGACTCGCCTGATTTAAAGAGAGGCGCCTCGGGTCGAATGGTAAGGAAGGAAGGTAACGGCGATGAGGGCGATGAAGGCGACGAAGGCGATAAGTGTATTGGTAATACACTCGAGTGTGTGAAATGCAGTGGTGAGGTGATCTCCTCTACAATCGAAAAAGAGTCGCGAGGAATTACTCAAGGAACCGATCTTGGGAGAGCTAGGTCTTATTTCGGTGTGGATGAGAATGATTTAGATGGTGAGGAGGGATTAGGGATTGGGGATTAGGGTGGAAGTATGGGGTGAGAAGGAAAGTTAAAAAATATTTTCTTCGAGGGTTTGCATTGTCTTCTCGCCTTCCTTTTGCATTTGAGAAGTTGTCTTCGTTCTTGCTGACTGGGTGTGTTGTGGGAAACAATTACGTCGTTCTATCCTATCTTGTAGGATAGAAGTAGCGAGTAGGCAAAACGGTTACTGTAATCCACAGTGCATGTGTACCTAAAGGACCAGTAAACGTTAGACACCAGAGGCCTAATGGCCCCCCAAACAGTTCTAATTGCAGTTTCGCTCTTTCCTTGAGAATATTACCAGCAAACGATTAGAATCCTAGACCTGGAGCTCTGGAGGTGACTTCCTCTTGATATAACGCACGGGCCTCAATATAACCCGACCACTCAGTTCGTCGGTAGTTACGAAGGACTCTAGGGGAATGGCGAAGCTCCTTTGCTACGTACCTACCCAAGCATGCAAAACATATGTTTTTCAGTCGCTACTCATTCCAAATACAGTGCCATCGTCACCTACAACTTTGGAATTACATGAGTGAAGGTAGCCCTACCTCCCTAAAAGTTATTATCACGGTTATGCATCGTTACGCGCAATTGTTAACGACTACATGCTAACGACTACATACTAACAATAGAAATATCAGCATTGAATCCTTTCAAAAATATGTCTTGGGGAGATTGATATTTTTTTAGTACATCCATTATTAGAGATTGCGGATAGACCACCATAATACTAGAATTCTCACCAGAATCCTAGGTCTACTATACACTGGATACGATAGACGGGCATTTAAGGTTGGATATTTACCGGATTGCCTAGGTATCGTCCTGTCGGATACCTCAATAAACTTCAGCACATGGCGTTGACTGGGGATATCGTTTCTGTCCGCAACCTAGATTCCTACCCGTCCACGTGTGCGTTAGCGTCTGCATACTTAAGTTTGTATGCACGTTCAAGGTGGCTGCATGTGCAGTTCGCATTTATTAAGATTTCCAGCAGGTCGTAACAGAAAATTGTAATTGAGAATACACACGTAGAAACTAAAGGAAGATTGAAGAAATACCTAGGTGCATTTCTATCAATCAAGGTAGATGATAGAAATGTGGATAGATACCTAGGTATGTTATTATGGTGGATGTCGTTGCTCTAGGTGTGCATGGTGGATGAGCTACCGGATAGATATTATTGATCATTTTCAGGGTCGAAGTTGGAATCAATTGTTACGTGCATGCATTCATGGGATTTCTCCGGGCCGTGGTCAATTACGTGGTTGATTTTATCGTAAGGTGTATTGTGGGTGTATCGTAGGAGCGAAATGATCATAGGGAGAGCACGATGTGTAGATTTGTAGATCGCGAATAATGCACATATCCCGAATGCGTTAGTAAGCTCGGTTAAAGTCTTATCGAACACTAGCGTTAAACCTTATCTCTTGAGTCACGTGTAGCTTTTAAGCTTTATGGCCCTAAACGTTACTGTCGACTAAGATAACGACTCGGTTAAGTTCTTATCGTTAGCTCTTTGAAAGTCTTATCGATTAAAGTGTGGCGTTTAAGCCTCATAAATTTAAAGGTAGTTACCTACTAGCTTCGTTCCTTCCTTCCTTCCAGACAACGTCTATAGAGATCCGTGCACAAAAGTCAGTTACTTGCTTATCGTTAGCACATTAAACCTTATCTCTTAGAAATGTCAACTTCACGATTTTAAACTTTACATTCATACCAGGTAGGTAGGTACCTGCATTAACTGGTTAGCTATAGATTTATCGGTAGCTCTTTACGAACGTTATATCTCAAAACCGTGCACCTGCATACTTCATGAATTCAAACATCATTGACTAGGTAACTTCTCGGCCTATTTCCCCTTTTTCAATTTAGAGGAAGGAGGTTACATAAATCGGAAGCCGTATTTCCGATTTATGTCGTACAACATCTCGCCTATCCACCTTAAGATTATGTCGTCACCTACAAGGTACCCAAGTATCGCATCTTGATTTTCTTTTTATTTTTGCTTATTCCTCTCTATTTCCCCTCTTTCGAAATTCTGCGAGGCGCCCTAATAAACCTCTAGAATTTCTAGCTAGAAGGTACTTATTAGTACCGTAGAATACTCATGTTCATAGGTATTTGTGGTCCTCTTTTTTTTCAGCTGCAACCAAAATGCCGGGTTCCGAGAGACTGGGCCCTCGGCCAGATCCGCGCCTAGGAGGATCGACATCAACCTATAATCGCCAGGATGTCATCTCCCAACTGGAGTCCTTCTACACATTTCTTCCCCATATACCCGCTGCTGCTGTTCATAAGCCTCCCGCTGACGGCTGGCCATCCATCACAGCTGAGACGCTCGGTTTTCAGAATAAATCTCCTGAAGTTATCGAGTTGCTACGTCGGCTGCCGTATATCGATATTAATAGCGACCCTGATACTCACCCCTGGATTGCACCTGAAGCTTTCCCATGCGACTATCGCGTCGTGGCACGCAAGGATCTGAGTTCACGTGATACTCCAGGCTGGGTCCTAAATGTGCGACATGATGCGGGATTCCTTGCTCATAATGCTTCGGACGATGATCGTGGCATCGGTTCGCGGTTCGAGATAAGGGAAGAGACGTGGCCGCCATGGGTAGTACAATTGACGACGGGTACCGACCGCGAGGGTGCGTGTTATATGCTCGACACTACAGATGGCACTGTGACGATGTACTGCGTAAGTAAGTATTTGTATGACCCCACCTACGCAAAGGACGACCCGCGGGCGTGGCGCGACCGGATGTGTGATTTTGAGACACGGACACTAGCAAATCAGCTCAACGAATGGCGTCGTCAATATTGCGACATGATCTTACTAGGATTACCGAATGTGGATAGAGGTGATTACCCGAGTTTATTCGTTCGGAGGGAAGGGGATGGTTCGGAAAGTTTTGAATGGCAAGAAACCGAGGTGAGTTAGTGTGGCAGCCTACCTTATTAGGCGTCTATTTTGACTGATGATTTGTTCTTAGGAGTTACGGAGTATCTATCGTGAGCATGGCTGGCCGGATAATTACGACAAGGAGCGCTGTCATAGGGCACTCGAAAAATGGTGGCGTAAGTGAAATTATTGTGTCATCTTAACGCATGTCAAAGCGTCACGGACATCATGATCCCAGTTCTTCTCATTTCTTTACGAGACGATTATCGAAATAACCTTCAACTCGTCCCCCATCGCTATATTAATCCTATGGGTGATTGTGGCTGTATGGACATCCCACTCTACATATTAGATATAAGGCTTAGTTACCTCTATCCGCACGACCAGTTCTAGCAGGAAATGCAGGTCCCACAAAATCGGACCCAGGTCGACTCGGCGATTCAACACCATCCGCGTCTGCCGCAGCTGTGGTCGCAGATGCAGTAGCGGCAGCTTCTACTTCTAGAGGTGCGGTTGGGAATGCCCTCTCTCTCACTGTGGCTACTATAGCTCTTAGAGCTTCTAGTTCCCGCGAACACGTTTCGTCAGCACAATCTTCAAAGCCAAATTCGTCTCGCAGCTCGGCCGGCGTGGCCGCGCGCGTTGAGTTGGAGTCAACGATAACCAGTTTATCCAGAGCCTCAACCCAGTCGCGCTTCTTACGGCTAGGAGGACTCGCCCAGCCGGCTCTCGATGCTGCTTCGGCCGGATGAGCGTTAAACCACTGGTCTTCATTGAGCAGCACGAAACCGGGATGAGAGGTACCGTCAATTTCGGGTTGGCACTCGTTATCTTGCAGGCCGTCATCTGCTAAATTTGGAAGGTTCACAAAGTCCATAGTGAAGCGGCGGCGGTTATAAACAGCGCGCATTCGATGGAGGGTTGTTTCTACAGCCCGACGACCTGGGCCTTTTGTGATTATGGCGTTATCTCTGTCTAGGTCATATTCCGCGACTCGTTTACAGCCGGCGAAGAGATTTCCCGCATTCTTATTGTCTTGGGCGTCCAGGAGACGGATTTTCTGGCCCCGGTCGGCTAGTGGGCGTGCATCCAGCGCTGGAACCTTGGAAGGTATCGCTGCCCAGCCGTCGTTAAAGTCGCATATAGCTGCCGGTGGATACTCATCGGGCGAACAGTCTTGCTGTTCCATAAAGGGCTTATATCCTTTCAAATTGCGCTGTTGCGTCCATCTTTTACTCACGGGGCGGCCTTTGCCGTCTGGCTTTGGGTAGTATGGACAGGTTAACGTGGCATAACCTGGATTATGTTGTATGATTGAACGGTAGTTTAAGCACGCCTGTGGATGAGAGAGGGGCAAGCTATCATCACCATCACAGATGATTGGGTCTGGGGGTTGCCTGAAATTATCGACGATTTCTGTTATCGTGGTCTTATGGAGTGGCTTGATACAGTCTGCTCTCTTCATATTTTTAGGACAGCTGTCGCTGCTCGTTTTGGCACGGGTCTAGTATACCGGTCAGTCACTAACGCCTTCGCACCGCGGTGTTCAACTTGGGAGGGATAAAATGGATGTTGCAACTTACGTGGCTTGATTCTGGGGGTCGAGATTCCCGAGTCGCGGATGGCTTATCCAGGGTGAGGGTGTGCTTTTTCCCAAATACTTTGAAGACAGCTTTCCCCTCCTTCTCTACCCCCTTCACGCACAGTTGGATTAGAGCTGGGGTAGCAGCAATCTCAGCAATATCGGCAATCTCGCCTGTGGAAAGGACGGTCCTAGTTAGCTCCAGTTTTCTGTCAAGTTCTTGTGGGTGGGAAAGATCCTACCGAAAATAGGTATGGCAGCTTCTATCAGCTCCAATGGCGCCAGAAGAGCAGGTACTGCTAGGCGACAGAAAGCTTTGGCTGCTATGTCTAGAGCAGCCTGCTCGGCCGCGGCTTCGGCTGCCTCCTTAGCTGCATCAACGGCCTTGTCCTTTAAGTCGCTCACGGAAGGAGATGGCTTGAAGTCTTTGCAACAGAAACTTTGTATGCCTCCGGTGCAAGTACGATCCCCTGATTTCTGGTGGCTGTTGGTGTCTTGGACTACCTCGGTTTCGCCATCGTCACAACCGCCCATGCAAGATAATCCAACTCCACGATATCCACGCCATTGGCATGTTCCCATACGTGTACCGTCCGCGCAGCAAAGCGAGCGATATTGGTTCGCCTTACAACGATCGTTAGTGGATAGCTTGCCAGGTTGGCCGTTCACTAGAACGCTGAAGTTAGTCTGTGATGGTGAATGCTCTCGATTCGGGCTACATACTCTGCGCGACCTCGTTGGTCCCCTTCTTGCAACTTTCGTTACAGTCAGTCGTATAGCATGTGATACCGGCGGCAATATCATCACTGCTCTGTTTCGCATCGGCTTGGTCTTGCGTAGTGATTCCTGGTGCCGGGGCTAGCCCATTATCGGAATTCTGATCAACTTGATCCATCGCCCAGATCTGCGGTATATTGTTAGTCATCGCTTGGGATCCTTGGAGCCGGGGCCGGATCAAAGAGGATTTCTGAGGTCATTACCATAGTACCTCCAAGACAGCGCGAGTTCGCGAACTTTCGCTTCTGGTCAAATGTATCGTCATCATCATATGATACCCACTGATTGCTATCCCAAGTAATCCACTTGACCTCGGCGGTTTTATCCCATACGGGGTTTAACTTGTTAGTCGATATGACATCCTTGATTTCTTGCAACGTCAAGATTCCGCTAGCATCGGAGCATGGTCCTATTAGAAATCGCGGATTAGATCCCCTGGAACTTCGGAAGGCAAAGCGCAAGAAGGTATCGTCTAACCTGCGTTGGCACCCCCTGAAAATTCGCAAACACCATTCGGTGTGTTGCAAGAAGGGTCAGATAAAGTGAAACTCCTTCCATACTATATCGAGGTGTCAGCTATCGCTTCGTTATCATTTATTATGACTTGTTGGTGCTCTTACCCATCCAAGCCCCAGCACAACTTTTGCTGGCGGGACGCCGGCGCGCCACAACAGGTCAAGACCCATATCAATTTCAGTAACGTTCGTGTGCGGCGCAATATGCGGACCGAGAGCTTTGGATTGGGCGTCCCAAACCCCATGTACTTTGAAGTACGAGTCAACAAAGTAATCCCTAAAAATCGAGTATATACTATATATACGTACGGTCATAAGTCATAAAGTTGAACCAATCAACGTTAGCATGGATGGAGCCTAAATCGAAATGCTGAAGATACCAGTAAGATGTTGGAAGGGTTAAAGATATGCCATATCTGTCGCCTATACGAAATCAATTAGTTTCCCGACGAAGACAATTGTCTACAAATGTGGGAATGGGAGTACAAACCGAAGGCGGACCTCAGCTCCTTGACTAAGCTGACATAGTTTGCTTTATCGGCCGTAATGCCACCGCGATCATCGGCCTGAGGGTATTCCCAATCCAGGTCAACCCCATCAAAGCCATAATGGTCCATGAAGCTAATTAATCCGCCGATGAATTTCTTTCGATTCCCTGCGGAACTGGTCATTTCGCTGAAAGCGGAGCGGGTTGGACCCGGGTCGGTAAACGACCAACCACCCACGGAAACCCAAGTCTCAAGTCCAGTATGCTTGTCTTTGAGCGCCGTGAACCGACCCAGGAGCACCCCAGTGCTGCTGTCCATAGGTGCAATCTCGAACGACTTTGGATCAAAGAAGGCAAAGGCAAAATTTATGTGCGTGAATCCATTCAGGTTGAGATCTTCAGGGGTGGCGGCCTGGCATTTACGGGTAGCGGACCACGCCTCGTAATAACCTATCGTCCTCTTCGCTATAGAGTTACCACCGCATGATGGCCGGTTGACATCTCCGCAGCCGCCAAAGCCTTTTTGACAGCCAGTGCCACAAAAGTCGGATGTAGACCCGCAGAAACTGAATGACTCTAGAGTTAGCATTTTGAGCATGCTCCCGTCGACTCCTATATACCTGGCTAGGTATTGTGGGTGTTTTATTGATGATGGCTATATAAACTCACCCGAACTTAGAGCAGCACACGTTTAGAGGGCAATTCTGCTGGCCTGATTTACCGTATTGACCGCATTCAGCCTTTGCGTCACAATTGGACGTACAATTACCTTGAGATTGTCGTTAATATTGTGCTTATGCTTTCCATCACGAGGCGGGAGCTTAATTGCATACCAGTACCGCATTCGCCGGGCGAATATCCACATAGGTTATTGTTCTTCCCGCCACAACAGGCAGCATTATCGCAAGGTGTATCGGCATTGCAAGTTCCTACGGGAAGAGCTCGACTGTCTAGAAGAGACGAGGAGAGTAAAGTGGCCGACTCGAAATGATTTAATTTGACGCCAGCAATATCAATGCCCTTATAAGGGACTGAGCTGACCCCAATCGCATAAAGAAGCACCAGGAAGAAGAACATCTTGGGAAACCATGCGGTTCAAAAAACCACAACCCTCTTGATGCTTGGGGGATCCAGCTGTGTGCTATCTATTCATTTTCTAACACACGTTGCCCTTCCTTACCCCACCAAATGAAGCCACGGCCCCTTTTTACATATCACTTGTCACAGATAAGGTGATCGTACCTGAATGTAAGATCATGAGGGATTAGTGGCGCGATCTAGACGCTGACAGATGCTTCACCCGCCCGCCTAGATCGTTCGTTGAGGGTCGAATTGAGACGGTATTACCAACGTGATATTAATTGACATGCCTAATATCGTCTGTTGGCTCTCTAGCGAACTATATGGGCTTCAATAGCTTGTGACTAGTGGGTAACATTCTGCATACCGGTGTGTAGAAACACACCACGTGGTGGCATCGTGTCACCATAAGCTTACCATTGCCATATATTTGCTTTTATCTCTTGAAAATATTAGATATGACAGTCCAGAATTGGTAACGGAGTGGGAGCTTGCTTGAGGTTCTAATGGATATGTCTTCTCAGATATCCCGATCTTCTCCCTTGAGATGGTCGGTATTCTGTAGCTCTACAGGACACTTTGACATCGTATTCCGACGTTCTTAGACGTAAACATGATGAATCCTGCGGCCGCCAGCCTTGTGCTATTGCTTCTAGCGCAATTTGTTTGGTCATTCAACATGTATCCAAACATAGACCCAGACAAGCTTGCTAGAGCTCTGAATATTTCCAGCGACTGCGTCGTTGCCTTGTGAGTGTGCACTCAGCATCAACAGTCTCAAGGCCCCTATTATAAGCGAATCTAACTATCTTCGTAGAAATCGAACCCTCCCAGAATGTGACCAAGACCTTTTCCAAATGGTTGGTGATTTCGAAAACTTCTGGTGGGAAGATGACAATATCACGACGCTATGTTTGGGCAATTGCCAAAAGAATACTTCAGACTGGATGTTTGATCTCTATTCAGAATGCAATGGAGATTATATCTCGGCGTATGGCAAGCAGCTTGCGGCGAGTTCTATTGGGGAGCGTTACAATGATGGCATGAATCTCGTATGCCAGCCCTCAAAGTAAGTAGCTACGCATAGGAAGACATAAATCAGAAAGGAACCAAAGCTGAGAGACGGGGAATATAGCTCCGCAAATTTTACCTGGTGTCTTACCGAGTCGCAAGAATGGGTAGGCTCTGATATAGTTCGGGTGGATTGCTCTGTGAACCCCGGAGACCCTACGTGTGGTGGTGATGCTTCGGAAATACCTGCCGCAAATATGCGCATGGCAAATATCTATAGCGATGATATCGTAAGTCTCACCTACAGCTATAAACCAGGCCTAATTAGGTAGGCTGACAACAGGGGTCCGGCAAGCTATGCAATGAATGCTTCATTGCGTTGCTCTACGAGCGTGTAACGTCTAGTCTTTTAACCAATGAGGACTATTCCGACTACCTCGTTGACCAGCTCCAGGACATAGGAGATATATGTAGTACTAGCATTCGCCCACTCACCTTACGCGCTATTACCACATATGATCCCGCACCCCCAATAACTTCAATCTCTCTCAATAATGGTTCTACGCCGACGACATCAATACCACCGGCCGCAATCACTTGCGCAGGCCAGACAGTATCAAGTGGCTCCGGGTGCGACGGTCTATCTACTCAATATGGTATTGCTACTGGGGATTTACAGGTCGCAACTAATAGCAGCACCTGTCAAGTCACCGCCGCCGTATGTCTTCCAGCGGCCTGTACTGTACAGCAAGTTGCAAACGGACAGACATGGTAAGTCTTGACTGTGAGAAGGCGCACGCAAATGGACATTGTTTCTAATGCTAAATCTTTATAGTGACACTCTTGCTTCGAGCTTCAAGATAACAGCGGTCCAGTTCCTTAGCTGGAACCGAAATATTTTGGGACTGTGTGATAATCCCACGTTGGGCCAATATGTCTGCGCTAGGTAAGAAAACATCCTGAGCCGACGAGAAACTGGAAAACCCCCTAACTACAGTTTCTTCATCTAGCGCGCCCGGAACTAACAGCAGCTACGTACTACCACCGCCGCCACTTGGTACCGACGCCGATGCTGGAAATCAACAGAGGGGCGGTCCGGGAGGCGTCGTAACACCAACTTCTACCGTTTCAACAACCATAACGGATCCCGCATCTCAAGGGTCAGCCTCAGCGCCATCACCAACACAAGACGGCCTCGTAAGCAACTGCAACAATTACGCCATCGTGAAAACCGGCGATACCTGTTTTGACTTTGCGAAAGACCATGGCGTAACTACGGACCAACTCTACGCATGTAAGCACGTCCGAGCTCTACACTCAAAAAAAAAAAAACAAGACCAAAGCTTTTTTTATGAAGACTAATAACTTTGCTAGGGAACCCTGTGCTCGGCCTCAACGGTGCCAACTGCTCGACCAACTTCTGGGCAAGCGAATACTATTGCATCGGAGTCTGGGCAACAGCTACTACGTCCGTGACTGCCCCCGGACCGACGCAATCGGGCATCGTCGCCAACTGCGATAAATACGCTCAGACGCAGCAAGGCGACGGTTGCGACACATTCGCGTCGCGGAATAGTATTTCCAATGCGCAGCTGTACGCGTGGAACGCGGTGTTAGGGAGCAAGGGAGAGAACTGCGGATCGTCGCTTTGGGCCAATGAGTGGTATTGTGTGGGTATATCGGCACCGCCGGCTTCTCCTACCACTAGTACCCGTAGTAGTAGTACGACGAAGGTGACAGCTCCAGGTCCGACGCAGACTGGTATTGCGGACAATTGCAACAAGTACGCCGAGGCGGCTGTAGGCGACACATGTAGTGGTTTCGCGACGAAGAATGGTATTACTACCACACAGCTGTACGCTTGGAATACGGTATTAGGCGCCAATGGGGAGAATTGTGCCTCGTCGTTTTGGGGGAATGAGTATTACTGCGTGGGTACCTCTTGATAACGGAGATGTCGAATTAGCTCCACAGAAATTCTCAAGTTATGATAATTAGAATAACGCCGTGCCCATCCCATGATGTCGATCCCAATGGTCGTATAAGTACCAAGGAGACTCACGAAGCCATAAACATATCTCATCCCTTCCATTTTTCAGGTAACCTTGAACCCATCCTAAGCTCCCAGAGTTTCCTGTCAAATCTTTGCTCCCTCAAAGCCACAGCATCACCCGCGTACTTAAAAGTCTTCCCGGACACCTGAACTGGAGCCCTCCCGTCCGTAAAATATATAAGACAAGGCGCAAGCTTATATGCATTTGTCTCATAGTATGCCAGTTTAAATTCGTGTTCAGGCGATTGTACTTCGTAAGCCATTCCAACGACTTCTTCTCCAGTCTCACCATCAATGAGTGCATTGTAATCTCCCCATTTCGTAAGTGAGTAGCCAATGATCTTGGCGGGACGCATAACGAGTTCGTAGTCTAGGTCAAGAACTCGCTTCAGAGTGGCGGGTTGTGTTAGAGTACCGTAGAAAAAGTAGAAAATAGGGGAATATTCCCGAGGGGGTTCTGGTGCTATCATAGTAGTCTCCCAGACATCCTCGCCAGCCGCTGCTAGACTGGCAAGATATTGAGAGGGTCTAGCAGCCATGGGTTTACGCTGCGTTTTAGGTTGCGGTGGAGGTTTTGTAGAAGTAAAGTTCATCATGTATGTAATATTAATTATGTACACTTAAACTGGTAGTAGGTATCTAAAGTTGAGTTATAATATTACATGAATATAAATATTCAAATGCTCATCATTGTGTGAACGGCGGAAGTTTACTTATATGCATCGATACAATGGCCTTGGAACACATGTAGCAAACAAGTATGCACTGACAATCCAATAAATCAATTCAACGCTCCACAGGACTTTTTCGCAGTGGCTTTGCAATGGCATGGACCCATCAGAGGTATTTACGCTTACCTAGGTAGTTATAGTGTCATCCCTTTCAGGGGTTACATACATTGCCCACTTGTCATAAGCAACAGATCGTCCCTTCAATTTAGCCTCATGAGATACTAGGTGGCATAGCCCATATATAAATATGGTAATCATAAAATGAACGGTGCAATTTCATATGACTAGGTACACACTATCGAGGTATTCCGTGTTGGACTGTAAGCACTTAGTTACTTATTTGGAGATTTCCCACCAACATTTTTGAAGATGCTCCTCCATATCCATTATCCTCCTTGTGTTCGAAGTATTTGTTACGGTAGAATAGAATACCTCGCCTGGTAAAAGCGCCACTGCCACAATGAACATAATCGACATCCACTTGTATCTATTACTTGTCCTAATCTTTCACGTATCGAGAGTGCAGTCTTGGACCCGTCTTTGCATATTACGTAAGCCCGATATGCGTTTACCGTATTAACCTAGTAACGACCTAGAGCCTTGAATATTTCCCAGGCTTCCGAGTCGTTTCTGACCTTCACTTGCTCGCAAACTTCTTGAAAGCGCCGATGAGGCTGCCCGTGCTAGCATCGTGGCCCTCACCATTACCGGGTTCGTCCAATTCCTTGAGAATCTTCTTGGCGAGCACCTTACCTAATTCGACGCCCCATTGGTCGAATGAGTTGATGTCCCAAATCGCGCCCTCGGTGAAAGTTAGGTGCTCGTAGTAGACGATTAAGGCACCTAGTTCGGCAGGTCCGATAACGTCACTAACGAGGACGCTGGTGGTCGGTCGGTTACCGAGGAAGACCTTGTGGGGGACTAGCTCGTCCGGTGTACCCTCGCTCTTAACTTGGTCTGGCGTCTTACCGATCATGAGAGCTTCAGCCTGGGCGAAATAGTTTGATGCCAGCATCTTTTGGTGTAGGTTGTTGGAGATGGGGTTGTGAGACTTGGCGGCGAGAATGAAGTCAGTGGGAATTAGCTTTGTACCTTGGTGGACAAGCTGGAAGAATGAGTGCTGGGCGTTGGTGCAGGGTTCACCGAATAGGATAGGGCCAGTAGTGTATTTTGCAGCAGAACCATCGGAGGTGATAGTCTTGCCGTTGGATTCCATGGAAAGTTGTTGTAAGTAGGCGGGGAATCGGTGTAAGTATTGGTCGAAGCTACATAAATCGTCAGTGCGGTTTCAAAATATTGTCCGAATTGGGGAACTTACGGTGCAACCAAGTGTGTTTGCGCGGCGAAAAAGTCGCTGTACCAAACACTCAAGAGACCACCAAGAACGGGGATGTTGTCCTTTAAAGGTGTTTCACGGAAGTGCTTATCCATAGCATGCGCACCAGCTAAGAACTTGTGGAAGTTATCGTAACCGATGTACAGAGCAACACTGAGGCCAATAGCACTCCAAACGGAGTATCGGCCACCAACCCAGCTCTCAAAGCCAAACATGTTCTTGCTGTCAATACCAAACTTAGTGACCTCGGACTCGTTGGTAGATAGGGCAACGAAATGCTTGGCGATTTCTCCCTTGCCACCGGTCTTCTCGAGGAACCATGACTTCGCGGTGTTTGCGTTTGTGGTAGTCTCGGCGGTGGTGAAGGTTTTAGAGGCAACGAGGAAGAGAGTTGTCTCAGGGTCGGAGTTAGCGAGGGCTTCAGCCATGTGAGTGCCGTCGATGTTGGAGACAAAGTGTAGAGTCATGTCCTTAGCACCGTAGTGTTTTAGGGCTTCGGTAACCATCACAGGTCCCCTATTATCTTGTTAGAAATCTGATTTACTTTTTACTTTGCATCGAAAATCTATTGTAGCTGTAAGTGTAGAGGGGCACTTACAAGTCGGAACCACCAATACCAATGTTGACAATGGTGGTTAGCTTCTTCCCCGTAAATCCCTTCCACTCTCCGCTTCTTACTTGTTCGGAGAACTCCTTCATGTGTTGTAGAACCTCGTTAACGCCACCCTTGTTGTTCATGACGTCCTGACCCTCAACCTTCATCTCCCAGCCGCCCACGTTGCGCAACGCGGTGTGGTAGACTGCTCGTTGTTCGGTGAAGTTGATCTTCTCTCCCGCGAACATAGCATCTCGCTTCTTCTCGAGGCCGGCCTCTTCTGCGAGCTTAACTAATAGGTTGATGGTCTCTTCGGTGACAAGGTTTTTGCTGAAATCGAATAGGATATCGGTACCAGAGGCATCGTTATGGAATGTTTTGCTGAACTTGTCGAAGCGGGATGGGTCGGAAGCAAAAGCTTCCTTCAAGACGAAGGTCTTGCCAACGGTCTTGTAGTGGTCCTCTAGGGAGGCCCATGTGGGCAACGAAACTGCTTGAGGCATCTTGTCTCTCGGGTGTTTGTTGGAGAAGTGTGAAGTACTGAAGCTGTAATTCTGCGTCAAGCAGTTCTTCAATTAGTAAATTATTTTGATTTTTCGTATATGTAAAATCGAAGGAAGAAAATAGACTTAATTTCTCAAAGGATTATGAGGCAAAAAGAAAAAGTGATTGCATGATATGCGTTTATTATAGTATCGTGGTAGTGGGACATCAACATGGGGGGCGACGCAATGCGGGCGGAGGATAGCGGGGCAACCCGAGCTGCCAATGTCACAACCACGTTTCACTTACCTCAACGAAGCTGAAGAAATCTTATGCAGCTCAATGATGCCTGTGAAGGTTTAGGTAAACTAGAAGAGGAAGACAGAATGAGGCTGAATATATATCTGTTATACCGGGACATATACAGGTATATTTATTGTCCGGTAAAGAAAGAAATTACAGGTGGGGTGATGGTTTAGTTTATGATGATGGTGGATGAGTGAGCGACATTTCTTCCCTAAGCCGTTAAGCTTCCAAGGTTATAGCTGATTAAACCCCTTAGCTGCTTTCCACTGAAAGTTTGCTAAGCTCGCTAAGCTACTTAGGCCATTCATTCATCCCACCTGCCCACCTGCTTCCATGTCTCTCTCTTTCTACCCCGCGCTAGTGACGTGATGCTTACATATGTACCTATATGAACCGGGAACCACGGCCAGGTTGAGTACCTATACGCATCCGAGTATACATGTATATACATGTAGCTTTTAGTTTACTTCCAACCAGGTAGCCGCGTTGTACATGTGTATGCATGCAAGACGGAATCCCGGATGCCATCGGATGTAACTTTCTATTCTATTTATGTACAAAAGTACTTGTACGGCGCCGACATTTACTAGCAGTGTACGCTTTTCCGGTAGGCGATATGGCCGGACATACAATTATATCACTCAATCACCACCATCGCCACCCCTAGATAGAAATAAAACCTCAAAAAATAATAGTAAGCTTCGGATCAAAAAGAAGAGACCGATCATTTTGGAAAATACAATCTCCCATGTATAGAGCCTTACTCATTCAATGAATAGCTAAGAGCACAATGAAAAGATATAGAATATTGGTAAAGGCAGCTTTCTTTTCCCAGCCTCGATCTTCTCTATCTACAGAGTTGCTATTGTCTCTTTTTGAGATCCCTAGAAAAGTGTAAGCTCGGAGGCATCATCAACACAATTCATGCCAAACTCCGATATGAAAGTGCTTCCAGCGTGGTTCAGCATCCCTTGTAAACATTTCGCCAACCACAGCACGACACAACAACACAGCACATCATCACAATCCATCATGATCGTGCTTTGCAATGAGTTCTAGTAACCACACTTTCCGCCTTAGCGCAAGCTCTACTAAAGCAATCTAGCCTCTCGGGCATCTTTATGTCTCAATCTTTGCTAGTGCCTCTTTCAACTCATACCCGTACTAGCTAGTCCTCTCCTAACGAGATGGATGTTATATCTATCCCGCCTCACCTCACCATAGTATCATAACCGAATGAAGGTTCGACATTTTATCGTCGATCTTGGATGCTGCCTACGAACGAAGGGTCCTTAACACTGCCGCCGGCATCACCAAGCCCAGCGATTGGTCGATTGTAACTGAATCCCTGGAACACCTCTTGCGCTGTCTGCGATAATACTGGTCCCTCAACGTACGAGTCTTGTGGTACTTCCGACGTAAACTCCTGGTCGAAATTGCCCGTATCAAGTGCGTCGATCTGGAAAGCGGTTAGGAAACAAGGATACTACTAATATGAATTCGAATATACTTACAACATTAGGCTTGAACGTCGGCTCATATTTGCGCTGTAACAATTTACGCCAGTCGATGGCGTGGAAGAAAGGATGCGCCTTAATCTCAGCGCTGCCTGCAGCTCCTAATCGCTCCTCGGGGTTACGGCTGAGTAATTTGGACAGTAGATCTTTGGCCGCTGGGGGAACGATATCGGCGCTGGGGAAATGAAGGGGTTCCGATAGAATCTTGCGGTACATCTCATTGGTGTTCTCGTCGTAGAATGGTGGGAGACCTGTAAGCATTTCATAAAGAAGAACTCCTAGGGTCCACCAATCCACGGTCTTGTTGTAGCCTTTGCCCATAAGTAGTTCCGGTGCTAGATACTCGGGTGTACCGCAAAACGTGTTAGTTCGGTCCTCATCCTTCATATCCAGTTTACAGAGACCGAAATCGCAAAGGGCGATATGACCTTGGTAATCGAGGAGGATATTCTCGGGCTTGAGATCTCGATAGATGACGTTGAACCCGTGTAGACATTCCAGGGCGCAGAGGAGCTCGGCCGTGTAAAATCGTGCTCGGTTAACATCGAATCGCTGCTCCTTCTGGAGATGGTGGAACAATTCTCCGCCGTTGACGAAAGCCAACACGAAGTACAGCTTCTCTGGGGATTGGAAGGTAAACTTCAAGGGTACAATGAAGGGATTGTTAATCTGCGCCAGCACAGATCTTTCGGCCAAGGTATGGGCGACCTCAGATCTCGAAATAATATGCGCCTTGCGAATAGTCTTAAGCGCATAGATTCGGCTAGTATCCTTCTTTCGTACCTGCATGACCTTGCCGAAACTGCCCTTGCCGACTACCTTGAGAAGCTCAAAGTCCTCAATCTTTAGCTTGCCCGCGCGGTTCTCGACGTATTCCACACCAATCTTGAGCTTGCCAGCACCGTATTGGACGTCAACCCATTCAACTCCGCTGTGCCCAAGCTCACGCTCCCGATTGTGGAATTCAGCCGCGGCCTTCTCGCGATCCTTCTTGCTGGCCTTAGGGTCCTCCACGAAAGTTCGCTTTTCCTCGAACCTGGGGGAGATTCGAACCACTCCTAGGAAGATATCTTGGCTTCGTCCCGAGCCTGGGGGTGCGGTGGGATTTCGCATGTATAGGTGGACGTTAAGATCCGTGACTCGAGACACATCGAACTTGTACTGGGTGTTATCACCGGCCCAGAAGGGATTCTCCGGGTTGCCGGAGACCGAGTTCACAAAAACTTGGACCTTATCAAAATCCAATAGAGCGTACGGTAGATATTTGCTAGAAATCCGACCGTGGTTAGAAGGTATACCGGTGAAGCCGCCTGCTGATGTTTGAGGTCTGCCGTTCGCAAATGATCCCGCCACTGTTCTCTGAGAGGATCCCGGTCGTACAGAGCCGACGTTCAGGGCGTTCCCTGTCGACATGGAGCCTTGGCCATGTTGGGAGAAGGCGTTACGATGTTGTTCGGGGAGGGCGAAATTCTGACCCTCGTGTAGCGTGACTACAAGAATACCGGGTTTGGGAGGCTTGACGACGGGTTCCTGTACCATATGTTCTGAAGCAGCTGCACGACAAAGTGTAAATAAGCATTCGGTATGATATTATACGGGTATTCAAGTACGAACCGATTGCATGATCGCTGGGAGTAGGAGTGGCAGAGGTCGGGATGGGGCTCTTCTCATCCTTCTCTGTGATGGTGGAAGTGGAGGGATTTCGAGAGAAGGTGCTCGTAAGGGGACCCAGATGGGTATCTTTTAATTCTAATAAATCAACATGTTAGTAGAATGGCCTATGGTGCTGTAGCGTCTGAGGAGTAGTCGCTTCAGGTGGGGATGAGCTAGCACGCGAGAGCAACTACACGATAATAGGACATTCAAATTGAAGACGTACTCTTGGTAAGTTTCCACGACATTTTCCAACGATTCCCTGATCTCGGATGGTAAAATGAAGTTTATTATAGGAAGTCGGTGAAGGTCGCAAAGACCCAAAAGTAGGAAGAAATACAAGGAATTGGTTGTAAAAGAGGAGACGGCGATATCTCAGAACCAAAGACAACCGGCGTCCCTTATCGACTCGTCGCAATGCACCAAGGGAGGAAGGAATAAAGATGGAAAAGATGGGGAAGAAATGGAAAAGAGAAGAAAAAAGGGAAGGAAGTGTTTTTTATGAGGAGGTGGCTGAGGAAGTAGAAGCAATGAATGTCAAATTTCTACTTTAGGATGGATGTGGTTATGGTTTGAGTTGGGTTGATCATGAATCAATTGGAAAAGGTCAAAGACCTGAAGTTGACAAGGTCAATGTTTCGGTTCATGGGCGGTTCATGGGCGCTGAAGGGTGGGCGCGGACTAGTAAGGTATGGGTTAAGGTATGGGGGGGTTGATCATCGGGCGTATCACAGGCGGTCGATACGGCTTGGAACCTTTGGAAATTCAAAGTAGGGGGGAAAGTAGGGGGAAGTTTTAGGGGGGTTTGGTTTTGTCTTACTGCTGTAGATTAAAAGATTAGGAGGGTTTTAGCGTGATACCTGACCTCCAGGGCTATGAGGACCACCGCTTATGAACGATAAGAGGTAACCCAGCACGTAAGTCCAGTACTTGTAAAATAAGGCGGGGTAGCACGGTAGCACATGAGTAGGAGCAAAGACCATGAGCGGTTTCTAGAATTAATAAGATTAATAAGATATCCTTCCCGCCCCTTCTTCAATGTACCCGTCCCGCTGTGTCGGTATCTTCCTATCCGTACAATATACCTCGCAATCCACCAGACTTATGTAAGTCAGCAAATAAATACGAACTCGGATGCATATCCAATCCAACACTGCGCCACCAGAAATTTATATATACATATACCATCACGATCTAAGATGGGAAAATACGAATAGAAATGCAAATTAGCTATGATACCCCCTACGGATACACACATACAGATAGTGATTATTGTATCTAATTTACGCAATCAAAAGTACGCCGCTTTAAAAGGAGATCGTGGCGGAGTAATTCAGGGGCTGGTACAAAATAAATTATCTCAGACCGGGCTACTTTTCAATCATTTGAAATTTGAGACTCTTTGTGATTATGAGCCAAGTAAGGCAAGTAAAAATAGACCAACAAAGGGCTAGAACATTTAAATCCAAATCAAGCATAACCTCGGATTTTGTTTGGTCTTATGTCAAAGCAAATTAGTGACTCGCGATATACATCATATCAGATTTGATCTATGAGTTACGTTGACTCGTCACATAGAACTTTACCATAATTGTAGTTACGATATAATTATACCACATTTTGAGGCATCATATAGAAAATGCAAATATAGATTATCAGATATTCTCTTCTTTACTTACGTAGGTAGATGGTTACTTAGAAGCTATCATCGGGTTTCACTTGTACACAAGGACTATGCGGGTGGAGTAGAAGCCCTGAATTGGTAAGCTTTAATAAGTAACTAAACGTACGCGCAAGCCTTAACTCTAGAATGCAAGCCACGTGCTCATGGTGGCGCCCAAACTCTAGGACTTGCTTAGGTAATCAAAATTCTTGAACTAACTGTATGTACCTATTAGGTAACCCCAACCTTTCCTCCATCTTCAATTATCGATCAGAAGAATTCGAATAAAAAAAAGAGTTCAAATAAACAACTATCGACGCGTTATCATATCATGAATATAATTTGAGCCTTATACTTCATCGAATCTATAATAATTACGTTCTTACTCCGGGACCCTTGTGAGTTTCGCAGCGAGGAGGTAGGATTCAAATGCGGCGAGTCAATCCTCGCCTTCATAATCGTTCTTCCTACTCTATCCTATAGCGCCCGACGACACCGGTACACTTGTTATGAGAATTTTGGAAAATAATCTTCATGTAGAACTCAGTCTAGTATTTGAAAGAGAATCATAATAATCAGAACGAGGTATAACTATTTCCAATCAACAAGTAGCTAGATAGATGGTGTATTTTGTATGTGAAGCATGGGTCCAGCTACCCCTGCCCCACTGACTAGCTCATCGCGTCGCAAATCTCGTATACGCCAAACTGTCCTTTCTTCATGTCCTTCGTTATCTCTAGACACCACGTCTTTGTGGTAGTTATTAACTTCTCCATCTATCGAAGCCGGCAAGGATGGCCCCAACTCCTGAAATTCAAGAAGATGGAAATACCCCTACAAATAGGGACAATGGCCATGCCGAGGATGGGGGTATTATACTTGGTCCGACAGGAGATTTGAAAGAGCCTCAAGAGGGTAACATTCAACATGACAACCAACACGTACTTGCAGAACCACGAAAATATTTGAAAGGATGGAGATTATATACTCTTGCCTTTGGGTATTGCCTCTAATTATAGTCACGTTTAACAGTCCTGGTCTAATTTCTGCGCAGATTGTGCCTGTCCTTATTTCTATCCACTTTAGAAACTACAATTGTTAGCACATCTTTGATATCCATCACCAATGCTCTAGGAGACTTTGAGCAAAGAGATTGGGTTGTTACCGCCTATCTTATTACTTATACAGGTAACTTCAATTGTATAAAAACGCTTTAGGATGTTTTGTTGACCACTTCTTAGGCTTTCTAGTCGTGTATGCTAAGTTTAGTGATATTCTGGGACGCAAGTTGTTAATCTTGGTCGCCTTAGCTTTCTTCACGGTCTTCTCAATTGTCTGCGGTTCGATATCGAATATGATACAATTGTACGCAACTTATTGCCGCGTGATATTTTTGTATGCTCACTAACCGTCGTCTAGGATCGTGTTTCGGTCGTTACAGGGCGTTGGGGCTTCCGGGATTTATGCAATGGTGACAGTTATACAAGTTAGTTCCTTACCAGTCGAATGTCTCGATATGTATTCTAATAAAACGTCAGCCCGAAATGGTTCCTCCTGAGAAATGGGGTAATTATATTGCAGTTATCTCGCTAGTTTCCATCTTGAGTTCCGTCCTCGGTCCTATACTCGGCGGTGCCATCAACGACCATTCCTCCTGGCGATGGGTCTTCCTCTTAAAGTTGTTTTCACCCTACGAATACTCTACTATCAAATCAACTAACCTTTATCATAGTGCTCCTGCCGGAGCTGTAGCAACCGCTTTGATCGCGTTTGTTATGCCTACCCACTTTCCAAATCTCGACAACCCGACAGTGCGGATGAATTTCCATACGAAGATATCAAGATCATCTCTTCGTCGGCTGGATATCATTGGAGCCGTCCTGTTGCTCTTTTCTTCCGCTCTGATCGTTTTTGCTTTCGAAGAAGCAGGTTCTCGATATAGTTGGATAAGTCCAGCTATTCTCAGTACGATAATTATCGGTGGAGTTCTCTTCATCGGTTTTCTCGTTTGGGAAAAGCTCGTGGATCGACCAAGATCGCCTCAGGAACCTATATTCCCTCTTCGATTGATGAAGAGCCGCCTATTCAGCTCGTTAATTATGTAAGTGGTTTTATGGAACCTATAAAATTGACCTGCTAACATAAAGTAGGATCGCACTCTGCACCGGTCCTCCTTTTATGACGGTTTTAATCAACCTCCCGCAACGTTTTCAGGCGGTCGATGGAGCCAGTGCGTTTCAAGCCGGCATCCATCTTCTTCCGCTCCTGCTCTCATCCCCTGTAGCCACTGCCGTAGCCGGACAGCTTGCGGCAAGGTTCAAAATACCCCCTTTTTACTTGCTACTCTTCGGAGCATCTATGCAGTTGCTGGGGATTGGCCTTGCAAGTTCGATACCCTTTACTAGCGGCAGCGCTATGTACTGGTATGAAGTCATAATGGGGTTCGCCTTTGGGATGAGCCTTGTGTCACTATTGATATTCACACCAATGGTCGTTGACCGAGCTGATATGGGTAAGCTATCTCGCTTTCTTGATACGCCTAATGTCGTAGGCTAACTCACCCCACAACAGCTGTCGCTATGGGGGCCATAACCCAAATACGAGTATTAGGGGGGACAATAGGGTTAGCTATCAGGTAAGTTGAATTCCGAGAGGGTTAACAAGGCCGTCAAATAACCTATGACTAGCTCGACCGTCCTTAACAACCATTTACGGTCGAATCTTCCATCTCTGCTTAGCCCAGCAGATATTCAACAAATATCCGAATCTGTTCAATACGTAAATACCCTCCCGGACGTGACTCGTGATGAGGTACGTCAAGTTTTCGCTGACGGGTTCAATGCGCAATTGCGTGTTATGATGTATTTTAGCGCAGTTGTCTGGGCATTCGCTGTGACGCTTTGGGAGCGCAAATTAAGGAGCGCGGCCACGATCGAAGGATATTAATCCTCTCGATCTATCCTATTCACGTATAAATAAAGTATATATAAGTGTATATATACAATTAATCAAGCCGAACCTCGAACTAACCATTCCATCCTGACACACCCGCAGGGGATAGCCAAGCAGTTTCTATTTCCATTCCTAATTAGATGCTTACCCCGTGATATGTTCACCATTCCTAACCCTCTCGCACAAGCTCCTTAGGATCTCGGCTCCCCTCTTAAAATCCTCTACTTCGACGTATACCATACCGCTAATACGCCACCACCAGACATCCCTATAGAGGACGGTCTGAAAATACACACCATTCTCGCGGGAACCAGTTACCTTGAACCAGTCTGACACTTTATCTGCATGCGCTGGATCGATTTTACCATGTGCGTCTGTACCTATCTCGAGCGGCAGTTGCACATTGGCGAAGAAGCAATCTCGGATACAGGAATTCGCAGAGTCCATGATCGATGTTCCTAGAATTTCGGCGGCGATGGCGGCGCTTTCTTGCGCTACGGTGTGGCAATATTTCTGGATGGCTGCGTCGCCACCACAAACATTGGCGCGGAAGTCGAGAGCATCTGAAGAAATTATTTAGTAAATCCTGAAGTAGGTACCCAACAGATCAACTAGTAGACGCTCTAAAAAACGCATTTTTACCTTGAACACAGAGCCAAGCCGTGGTATCGGCGGTACCTGTTTAGGGGAAGCGTACGTTAGTATTCGTAGTATATATCGTCCCATCCAGGACTAAAAAAAACATACCAGTGAAATCAAACATATCTACAAACGCACTCCTCTTCTCGGTCTCTCCTAGTCCGCCCAACCTCCCCTTCGGCCTAAACCCATGACTCGTTGGTAGCGTCGTTCGAATTAAATGCTGGTGTTTCCTAGCAACATAAAACGCGGCGCAACCTCTCGGCACAAAATACCACTTATGTAGATTCGTCACAAAGAAATCTGGCTTTAACCTTGCAAGGTCAATATCGATCTGCCCGATTCCATGCGCGCCATCTACCAATACTAATGCACCCTCGGCTTGTAGCGCGGGGACTAGCCGCTCGAATGGTACCCGTATCCCGGGCATGCTGATGATGGTATCTATAATCGCGAGTCTCACCCTACGCCCAGGCTCCGCATTGATCTTCCGCGCGGCGTCGACCATGGCGTTTATGAGGTCATCGTCGGATATCGGCCACGCTACACGCACAACATGCACACCGACACCACGCGATTCTTCAATCCAAGATATGCCGTGCGCAAGGGCTTCGTAAATAAGTTCATAGCACAAGATTACGTCCCCTTCTTCCCAGACTAGATTCTTAAGAACTGTGTCTGAGCCAGTGGTAGCGTTAGGTACGAAAACCAGCTCATTAAGGTTAGGACAGTTTAAGACTTTAGCAGCGAGGGCGCGTTGTGGTGCTAGGCGATCGTGGAATTCGAGAGCGATGAAGGGATCCGGAGCAGCTTCAACTTCGGCGCGGAAGGCCTCGTGCTTGCGCAATACGGATATCGGTGCTGTTCCGTATGATCCATGATTTAGCGGGGTATAGTGCGGGCCAAAGGCGAAGTGCGCTTTGCGCATTGGTACACCAAAGGGGACCTCGGGATTGCTGAGAGAAGATATATCCGTCGTCGACATTGTCGCTTCTCCCTTCTCCTCTTCCTTGGGGTGGTATTTGATTGTCATCGTGGGCGATATATATAGCAAGGTAGTAGGGAATAAAGTGTCTTAATCTATAAATCAGAGCTGTGACTGACTACTTAGGTAGTTATTTGTCCCGATTGTGGGTTACATGGATGATTCAGATTCGAAGCTGTAAACTGGAGAGAATAGAAAGGTAGGTACCTACGTCATGGGGAGCTATCTATGCCATGTAGAAGTATATCTTTATCTTTAGTTGTCCGGGGTTGTTGGAGTAGATCCACTCACCTATATCGGCTTGCGTCGGACTTGGCTTTATCGTGACTTGCAGGCTAAAGGATAGTTTAGTCATAGTAACGCGGGACTTACTTATAGAACGTTATACGAAAATGACAAGTTTAGGTTATATGGTTACTTTAGAAATGAAGATCACGGTAAACACGATATTCCGAAAAGAAATCATCGAATTGGTGCTATGCAGTGCATGAGTGACCATGAGACTCGCGATATGTCCACATTAAAAACAAGCGCGCCGTCGTTGCTCGTGACTAGTTCCTCATATTCCCATTGCTCATGCTGCAGAGTCAGATATCCCTACCAGGTCTATCCGTGACCCGGCTAAACCACCGTAAAACGCCGTCCGATGCAAGGCTTGCTGAAATCAACGATAAATCCTCCTCCTATGGTACATTCTTCCTCGGCTTTCTTTCGCCGAAGTATCTGCTTCAACTAAACCATCTCGAGAATTCAATAGTTGTAAGATATTTACTACCAATCCACAGCCCATCCATTGTTGTCGAGGAACTCTTGGCAAGCTTCCTTGAGTTGAAGGTTAGGTCGAAGCTCGTTGGGGTGCAAAACCTCTCTCGTGAGAGGGTCGGTAGGGTGTCTACGAAGATGCTCCATGATAGATGCTCGCTCGTAAGACTTGCCGGTCTTGGTCTGTCGGTCTAGTTAGTCATCTGTCTACGCGATGCTCTGTTGTTAAAAAAAAAAAAAAGATAATAAATTTGGACTTACCATGACGGGATCGACCATGATAGCGAAGCTGATGTCGTCGATCGCCCAGTCCGGAACCTCTCGCTTTTGCTGATCCTCAGTGCGAGCCTTCTCGAAAGTCGCCTTGAACAGAGCAATCTTCTGCTCCCATTCCTGGGCGACTTCGTCCCGGTCGGCGTCGTTGGAGCACGAGTTAACCATGTCGTCACGTTCGCGCTGCATCAGCTCGGCGATTTCGTTCTCTAGCTCCCGACCCTCGCGGGTTCTCTTCTTCTCCATGTCTTCCCAGCGCTCCTTCTTGCAGCGCAGGACTTGGTTGGTGATGGGAGCCAGCGACTTCTCGTTCGTCTCGACACACAGGCGATGGGCGTGTAGGGCGCTTTGGAGGGCGGCGTCGTAGTCATGGATGGCGAGCTGGCCCTGGGAGAGGACGAAGTAGCCCTTAAGGTTGTCCTTACTCAGCTTGATGCACTCGTTACAGTCCGCAATGGCAGACTCATACAGATTGAGTCGGATTCTTGCCATAGCACGGTTAGTGTACAGAGAATAGTTCGACTCGTCGGCGATGATACTGTGATGAAGAAAAGTCGGAATAAATGTCAGCCGGCCCAGCGGGCGCACCATTAAATATATACAGACACACGCCTCCAATCACTCACGCTTTCGAGTAGAGGCTCTCAGCGCCTACATAGTCGCCGGCCTGGAAGAGACGATTTCCATCGTCCTTGAGCTTGGTAGATCTCTCTACGTCCTTCGGCATGGCGGCAGGTAGTATTTACCAGATAGCCGTACGACTAACTGGATTAACTGGATGGGAAAGGAAGGATTAGGTAGATTTGTTCCTAAGATCTGTGATACCTTAGGCAGCGTTGCAAGTAATGATTGGGTAGCAGTGGTAGAAGTGAGAGATGGAAGTGAAGGTTCCTTTGATTCTAGGTGGTAGATTAGTGGAAAGGCAATGGCTACAAAGGATTAAGTTGGACGAGACGGTCAATGCATTACTATTGACAAGGCGGGTTCATTGGATCGTGAACAACTGAGGCGAGAGGTCAGGCCGTACGGGGAGGTACAGTGAAGACAGTGAAAGAGCCAAGGCTAAGGCGGGTACGCGGGTAATAAATGATGTCGCGTAACCTGCACTTCGAACTTTTAGGTAAGATACAATTTTATAAATATAAAGGACTTGATCCCATAATTCTATCTGTTTCAAACATTTCCAGCCTTGTTTGACGCTGAGATATTGGTTTTCGTCACGAGATAATAATGCGGTTGTCCCAACGAACAATGTTAGAAGTAACTATTTGTCAGACGAAGCTTCGAGAATACCTCCAGGGCTTCGGCAACTTAGCAGCTTAAGTACAAAATACTATATATTTTTATCGATAATAGCTTTCAGATCGGCGATCGGCTTCAGCTAATGTACGTATGTACGTACATGCTAGGGGTAATAAAACAGGGGGTTGACGCCGCCTAATGGATACCTACGTGTAGATCTTAGGTGCTGGCCCGAGAGCTTTAAGCGCTATCAGGGGGTCGGGCCGCTAGGAGGTCTCTCCAATGGGCGTCCGTTCTTCCACTGGGCTACGTTTTAGGTACATATCCACCTAAATTGGTGAATCGATAGGGCGATAAGGTGCTGTAGAAGGGGATGTCCGTTGCTTTAGGTTGTCGTATTTGAGACTCGCTATCGGAAAGTCGGACGACGGTAGAAGTACCTACCTACAATATCTCCTACAGCGGAAAGAACAGCGATTGAATTCACCTAAATACCTGTCCAGTAAAATAAACGATATCCTATATACCACCTAGGTATGTATGTATAATATCAATCTGCCTCGAGAATGCTTAGATACCTAGGTAGTTTCTTTCCGGGTCTGTATCAATAGGAACAATGCCAATATGGAAATGTGCTATGATGGAGTTTTACTTCCAAGTTTTAGAGTATACACATAGATCCTTAACTTTCTTATAGTTGCTAGGTAATTGATACGCTCTACGTTGACTTATTGGACTCTATGTAACTAAATCACGTGCTTTAGTTACTTAGGTCTATCGTCTGTGAGGCAGGTACGGCGGGGTAGAACGGAAGTGCGGGAAAGCGAACAAATCGCTTTTTTAATCCCCCGTAGCAGCTGCCCTGCTTAGGTACCTACCTAGGCACCCAGTAGGTGTAGATACTTAACTAAATATTACGATGGCTCTGAACCCTTTTTGTCTTCTTCTTCTTCTTCCTCCAACGGCGATGCCAACCTTTCAGGTCCAAAATGAATCACACCAACTTGGCTGACCACAAAGTAAGCTGGAATGAGAGCAATACCCCAGAGAGCAAAGTTGACACCCAAAGCCGAAATAAGCTATGCGCATGTTAGTCGACAGAGTTCTAATGACGGGTGTGAATTGAGCGCTTTCATACCGGTGCGGATGTTGAGCTAATGCCGCTCGAAATACATTGGCCCGCTGCCTCTGCGGCTCTTGCAACGGACATATATCGAATGGTCTCTTTTGGTTCTCTAGCAAGGAAACTAATGAGCCAAAAGCCAAAGTTGTACGTGAGTGAAAAGTTGATCTGCCAGAAAATGTACAACGCCCAACCCTTTCCGAATTCACCGTCATCCCAATCGAGTGATGGTTTGTGATGCGTGTATTCGTTCTGGATTACGGTGCCCCAAATCCAACATCCGCCGATGAGCGACATCATAGCGACATATCCGAACTTTGCTCGTTTGTTGAGACTTAATCTCGTCCAGTCCAGAAATGCGCCGAATACAAGAGTTGTCACAACTTGAGCAACGGCAGAAACTAGCGATGCTAAAGCTCGAGAACGGACTGAGAAGTATAGGGAAAGATATGCGCTGATATAAGGAAGCTCCCATGCGACATAAATGAAAAACGGCAATCTAACATGGTTTTCATTAGCATGTCTCCCAATGCACTTACGTGTGAATACTCACACCAAAAGGAAGTCTTTCCGTAACAGAACGCGCACAAGGGCCTTTAATTCTTCGAAGTCGGGTATCCGCTCAGCGGGTTGAACGCGTGTTCCATTTCTTCGTACGACCTTTTCCGGTGGAGTCAATAAGAATGAACATGCTGGCCCCAAACATTCTAGAAGACAGGTTAACGAGTATTCGTTGTTAGTCCACGGATCAACAACTTACGCAGAACAACAAAGACGATGTAAGTCCTCCAGTCTAGCTTCCCAGTAGTTCTACCCTTATAATTAAAAGCAAGGTTGATAATTCCCCCGAGAATCGAGCCACTATTCCGATAACTCAGCCAGTAAGCTAAGTACCTACCACGCTTTTCAGGCTCAGGATAGCTCAGCATAATTGCGCCTTCCGTTGCCCAAAATACTCCAGCCGACAGGCCGCAAGCTGCGGAACCTAAATAGATGAACCACTCTGTTCCGTAACGATTATTCGTATATAAAGCGGCGGAATAGATCACATAACCGGTCGTTCCAACCACCAAGGAATTCCGTAGGCCGAATCGATTGGCCATCATGCTTCCGGTGAGGCAAGTAAAGACCATAACGGCGAATAAGATAGCATTGCCAGCCCTGTTTTCCCATTAGTCGACGGTTTGACCACTAAGAGAATTCGCTTCTTACATGACCAAATAAGGGGTTTGTTGGCCACCAGCACCGACGGAATTCATTGCATTCCATAACCCAGGGGCCGCAAATGCTGAAATACCGACAATAGTAGCATTGAAAAAGACTCCCCGATGCCATACATATTTTGGCACAGTCGCGTTGACTTCTACATCATCGGATGGTGACGCCTCGGCAACGTTGTGCGCCGCGAGATTCCTGTTTGAAGTCATGCGCAAATTGATAGTCTCGTAAACAGAACGTGTTCGGGACTACTATGTGTCCTCACATTGCGAAATTCTTCAAGATTATAGGGCCTATTTGAACTTTGGGGCTGTTTTCTTCCGCGCCTCTTGCCTAGACATTGCTCTATTTTACGCGAATATCTCCTAGACACGGAAGACCGAATCGGATCATTAGTCGTAATGTAATCAATTACGTGCTTCAAGCCTAGACTTTTCTTGTGCTCTTCCGTGGCTCCCCTGAAGCTAACCGGGTTCTTGGGTCGATTGTGGTCCTCTTCGGGATAACCTGCGGGGATATATAGATCACGACATCCAGGGCATCGCTGACGCCTTTCCGACTATCTCTTTGTCTAACCACCAAAATACTATACAACATACTATACCAAGCCTAAAGTCATTTCAATGGGATCCGAACTCGGATGGAATTAAACCTATTGCCGAGTTTTATAATAACATTAAATCAATAGAACGTCCTAGGACTAGCCTGGCAGAAAAGATGGAATTGGAGAATTCGCACAATTCTCAAAATGTCGGAACACCAACATTTAGAAGCTTTCACCTTCGCGGGACAACAAGACACGATTAATCTTGGACTTGATACGAGCGCACCATTTCCGCTAGCACTAAAGCCCGCCGATGGATGGAGTCCGACTCTAGAGGAATCCATACAAACTATCAAGAAGTTGTCGGAATCTGGAGAATTATTTGAAAAGGTTAAAAAGCATGGAGGTGCGGTCCTCATTCGAGGATTACCCATCAAAACTCCTCAAGATTATAGTGATGTAGCCCATGCATTTGGTTTTGCGGCCCACGAAGAGGTTGGCCGGCCACCATTACGAACCGTGCTAGCGAAGAATGTCAAGACTGCGAATGAAGGGTGATATGCCATCAATCACTAGTCATAACAAGATAACTGATTCCCCGAAGACCACCAGAACTTCCCATCTGGCCCCATAATGAGTATGGGTGGTCGACGATAAACCCTTCATGGTTAACTTTTGCTTGCTTGCATACCCCCGACTCTGGTAAGCAGCTTCTAGTACATAGGTAAATTTGATGTATTGAGTTCTGACATGGTTCTTAGGCGGCGAAACCCCAATCACTTCTAGCATTGGCCTGGCAACTGCGTTGAAGAAGAAAGCCCCTGCCTTCGTTGAGAAGTTACTTCAAAAGGGTGTGAAATACGTATATAGGTATGGACTGGAGGATGTTAAGTCCAATACGGGTACAAGTGTCATCGGCGCATACGGGCAACACGTTCAACCGGATGACGGCGAAGAGACGAGAAGGAAGAAGATCGAACAAGAAGTAAAGCGGCATAGCGATCGATTCGAGTGGCACGATGACGGATCTCTAAGTGTGACGCACATAGTCCCTAGTAAGCAACTCAACCATGTCAGACTGGCCAGGAAGCTAATGCACATGGAAGTTATCAGGAAGCACGACGATACTGGCTTGACTACGTGGTTTGGCAACGTCACAAGTGCATGGGGCCGGAGTAAGTTCCACGGAGCAACAGAAAGTCCTTATCGAGGTGATGACGATTCATACCACCCACCACCCGAGTACGGAGACGGGACGCCGATAGAGAAGGAATATCTGGACTTGGCGCTTGAATTGGCGGAATCACTCCAGGTATTGGTTAAGTGGGAAGTTGGCGATATTGTATTACTTGATGTAAGATGACAGACATCATTTTTGGCTCTAAATGTGATATCTCATGGACAAATGCTGACTTTGGTGCAGAACTATGCTGTGATGCATTCGCGCTCTCCTTGGACTGGCAAAAGAACCGTGTTGGCGGCTTTATGGGATGACGACCGAACGCGGATCAGCGATTACTCTGCGCAGGACTAGTTTATCTATGCACTCGTGGGATTGCTTCGAGCGGTTCATAATATAATACTAAGTGGCTTAGGTATCTCATCCATGACAGTGGATGCGTTAGTGGGGCAGGTGTCTAACAGCCCTGGAGAATATACCAAGCGGGGTTATGTGCTGTGCATACGGGATCGCCTAACCCCTACGAACTACTAAACACGATCCTGAGTTGTATCTTCGATCAATACTTGCATATATAGGCAGGTAGTAGTGGGTGCCACCATCATAGGCGTGAGAATTAAATCCGCCGATGCGATGCCAATTTATGATGTGAATTGCGCCCACCTACGTACCTGGCTGAATTTAGTGGAGGTCGTCTTTGCTTGCGTAACTGTTAGGAACAGTTAGTTGGTGTGTAAAACGAATGAGCATTGACGTATTAATAAGTACTAACAGAATCAGCCAAACAGAACGATCGTAATTGCAATAAAAGCTTCCCGTGTTACTATAATCCGTTGCATTAGTTACCTAGGTAAGAAGTAAGTTGCGGTGTAGCATGTTTTGCGGGTGACCCGGCGGTATAAATACCTAGGTACCTAATAGGTAATGTTGCATTGGATAAAATAGAGGGGGTATATCCTTCCCCTTTCCCCCCTTTTTCTTCTTCAGTGGGTTTAGTGGCTCGCCAATAATATGGGGTAAACACCCTGTAAGTCAACCACCGCATCTTTCGAAACTCGCTCTATTGAGCTTGTAGTAGGAACTTTATTATTTTAAACCATTTCACTACACCTACAAACATTATACTACCTATATACCTAGGTGGAAACCAAGGCCATTTGCATCCATATCATGGCTAGAAAGGCAATAAAAACCGGCGACGGTCCGCCTAATAGCTTGGCCGACTGGTTATTAAAAAATCAGACTGGTACGTCGCAGAAATTCACCACCAGCGGACACCGTATCTTTCTAGAATCATCTTCTACCTAGGTAACTTACCAACTAACATACGCGTACATCACTTAACAACATAAAAAATCAAATCATTACTAACCGGATATCATGATCATATAGGTTTCTCATTTAATCTAATTGCCTTCCTATTCCTAACACATCTATGTGTGCCGGGGGCAAGACATTTCACATCTAAATTCTTTCTTTTATCTTACTACAACCCCGCCTCGGGGAAATACGCCTCTGGCCACGATGATGCCTACTTCATCGCATTTTGCATCTTACTTTTCACTGGAATCCGCGCCAGTTTAATGCAATATGTTCTTGGCCCCCTCGCCAGGCATTGGGGAGTCTCTAAGAAGAAAGACGTCACCAGATTTGCTGAGCAAGGGTGGATGTTGATGTACAATTCCGTATTTTGGACCACCGGCATAGTATTCCACCCTTCACCCACAGTCAACATAACCACGACTAACTAATTCAAGTACATTTACTACACGTCGCCTCATTTCCTTAATATGGAGCAGTTATGGACCGACTGGCCTCAGAGGGAACTCGATGGGCTCGTAAAAGGATATATATTGGCGCAATGGTCTTACTGGACGCAGCAACTTCTTGTTGTGAACATGGAGACCCGTCGGAAAGATTACTGGCAAATGATAGCACATCATTTTGCGACCATCATTCTGATTGCCTCAGGATATGTCTACCACCAGAGTCGAGTTTCTAACCTAATTCTAGTTCTGATGGATGCCATCGAGTTAATATTCCCTGTAAGTCACATAGTATATTATGATGGTACTTCGCTAACATGTCCGTAGCTTGCCAAATGTCTCAAGTGCCTCGGATATAATACGCTTTGCGATGTCGTGTTTGGCGTCTTCATTGTTACATGGTTTATAACGCGCCATGTGCTTTATCTCAAGACTTGTTGGAGTCTCTACTTCGACACGCCTAGGTTGATGCCTACGTCTTGCTACAAAGGCACTGCAGATAATCTCGAAGGCCCATTACCCGTGCCGGAGGGCTGGTCGTATCTACTCGAGCCTTTCCGCAACCCTGCGGGAATTGTTTGTATGGACGATGGTATTAAGATTGGCTTCTTATCATTTCTACTTATATTGCAAGTTATAATGGTAATGTGGTCGTACTTTATCGTTCTAGTGGTTATTCGCGTCTTGAAGGGAGACGGCGCCGAGGACGTGAGGAGCGATGAGGAAGAGGAGGAAGAGCAATTGGAGGATATTAAGCATGAAATACCGCAAGCTTTGGAGGAAGAAGTAGGCGTCGATGCTATTGATTTCGAAGTATGGAAACGCCGTGCAGGTGTCAAGGAGGCTACTCGCACAAGTGGTCTTAGTCTGGCTGGGCATAGTGATCGGAAGGAATTGTTGAACCGAATCGGATGCGAGAAGCAAATCGACTGAGAGATGCCAGGTATAGGCTTTGTCGGAATATATTAGAATCTTGTCAACCGGTTATCTGGTTTGATATCAATGCTGAGTATGTGCAAATCGTTGCTGGAGCAAAAAGCCTGAGATGGCAAGGGCGTTATTCTGTTGATTCTATGGCACTTTACGAGAAAACAAACTCAAATTACAGGTATCAATTACTCACTCGAGAGGAGAAATGTCCCAATACAAGAAATTATAACAAGTACCTAGTTGTGTTTACGAATTTCTTGTTGGTTAAGATATGGTTGAATGACGAAGAGTAATAGCTGTCGTTCTGTGTGGGGTTACCACCCACATAGGTACCGGAAGGCCTGTATTTTAGGCGCTATTAGTTCCGATTATAGCGGATCCATTAGCCAGTCGAGGATCTACGGGTGAAGCCGCAGCACAGAATTCAAGAAAATATTTGGCAGCATGTCCGGCCATAGAAAATACAAGCTCAATCCCACATATAACCCAATTTATATTTAATACAATGAATTATATGAAAGGGATTCCTGAAAGCCAATCTCAAATTTTGAAAATGCGTCCAAATTAAATCAAGACAACCAATAGGGATGGCTTCTATGGTAAGCGAATCTTTAGACGCCGCCCGCGGACCCCGACCGGGCCTCGATTTCGGACCCGGTTTGATTCAAGAAAATGTTATGTTACTGATAGACGGAAGGCGTCGGAAATGAAGTTTGATAGTTTTAGGGGTATGTAGAAGAATACATTGGAATATAAATGACATTGTCGTCTTAATCAACAAGATGAACATCAGGTTTTGCTGCTTTACTCTGATTTTGTGTCTCTACGGCGTTTATCATCACCATCTTCTCAGCTAGCAACTATGGCTGTTCCCGACGGGCCGACCATCGTCAACGCCCTAGACCACCAATCGCCTTCAGCAAGAAATGGAGCGTCGAAACAACACAAGAAATCCTCCAGTAACGAGACCCGATCGAAGAGGCTTTCTAAACGTCGAAAAACTCGATCTCTTCTACGACAACCATGGACCATTCCTTTCGCCCTCCTACTAGCATTTATCCTCCTGTATTCTATCAATCCGACAGAGTCCAACGTTATTCACAATTTTATATTCCTTTCGTATAAGCTCGAAAATGATGGCCCTGCGCAATATGGCAAAGGCCCTTGGGATATCGCCTTCGTTTGCTTCTATACCATAGTTTTGTCTTTCGCGCGAGAATTCATTATGCACGAATTATTACGCCCTCTCGCTCGTCTGGGCGGTATAAAATCGCAAGCTAAACAGCCACGATTTATGGAGCAGATGTATGTAGCTGTCTACATCACCTTCATGGGACCCCTGGGCATGTATTGTATGAAGAGGACGCCGGTATGGTACTTCAACACACGAGGAATGTACGAATCTTTTCCTCATAAGACACACGACGCCTGGCTTAAATTCTACTACTTATTCCAGGCTGCCTTTTGGTCGCAGCAGGCTCTTGTTATGTTATTAGGGATAGAAAAGAGGCGGAAAGATTTCAAGGAGCTTGTAGCGCATCACATTATCACTATAGCGCTCATTGCCCTGAGCTACAGGTTCCATTTTACGTACATGGGTATTGCCGTCTACGTTACACATGATATTAGTGACTTCTTCCTCGCCGTAAGTCAACTGTGACACACCTGCCCCCGCTATACTGCCCCCTGAAAAGATACTAATATGCCGGGTTTAACAGATATCCAAGTCGCTGAATTATATCGGAAGCCCCCTACAAGGACCATCATTTGGCTTCTGTATTATTATTTGGACCTACCTACGCCACTACATAAACCTCCGCATACTTTACTCGACTCTCACCGAATTTAGAACCGTCGGGCCCTATGGAATCGATTGGGAGACAGAGCAATATAAGGGCTTACTTTCCAACGTCGTCACATTCGGATTATTGGCTATGCTTCAGGCCCTTAATTTATTCTGGCTATACTGTTTGTTACGAAACGCATACCGGTTTATTTTCCATGGGATTGCGAAAGACGATCGATCGGAGGACGAGGAGCCGGAAGTCGATATAACGCAGCAGAAGGCAAGCGCAAGTAAAAACGAAGCCTTCGCGTCGGCTATGGAGAAACATAATGCTACACGGAGGCACGTGTCTTAGTATTCGGTGTTGGTCATCTTATATTGGGTTATAAATCACCGAGCCGATTATTCGTCATGCAGGGGTGTAATATGCGTTCAATTGGAAATTGATGGTATCTAAATAGGTACCTGAATAATGTGTAATGGTTAATGTATATACCTGCTATTGTGGTCACGATGGCCAGAGCTTAGCATGCTTATATGAAGGCATCGCGTTATATTGATCTGAAGGGGCGTTGCTATTGTGAAGATTGTTTATATTTCAGGATATTATCTCGGGGCTATCTTCCGTCACCATAGCAAAAATCTTGTCAGATCTGTTGAGGTTAATGGCCCATTTGACGTCCTCGAAGCCCTGTCGCGCCGTAATCTCAACGTCAATATCAGTATCCGGTTCCATAACGACTGCAGCAACATTGGTATTCGCTGTAGTCGGTAATTTCCAGTGGCCTCCTATAGGTTTCATGTCTAGTCTTGCGATAAAGACCGCAATAACGGCGAGGATTTCGTTAGTCGCAAAGTGCCGGCCGGGACAAAGAGTCTTGCCGCCACCGAACGCACGAAAGCAGACGTCGCGTGGGCGATTCTGCTTCTCCTCGGGAAGGAACCTACGGGGATTAAATTCATCGACATTAGGCCCCCAGAGCGTGGCGTCCTGATGGATAATACGACTAGGCATTTGTAACATAGCACCTTTCTTTAGCAGCCAGCTGTCGAGGTATGTATCTTCCATGACTTCACGTACAGAGGTTCCCATGGAACAATAGCGAAGGACTTCCTGGTAAGAAGATAGTAACAAAGGGCAATTCTCCTTGAGGGTGGTGATATCCAATGTTTTGACGGTAAGCCCATTCTCGATACTTGTTTCGGTACAGGCATCAATTTCTTTCCGGATATCGTCGAGTAGACCAGGGTGAGAGTGGAACAGAAGAAGAGACCAAAAAGCGGCGGGCGCCGTATTCACTAAGATCGCAATCGAACCCCCAACTTCGTAGCGGGCAATGTCTTCGAGCGGGACATTGTGGTTTATCTCTGCTTGATATCGATATCGAGCAAGAGCTGAAGCTTTTTCCAGCCCTCCAGCTTTGTAGTATGCTTCAAAGGCTTTAGCGACCTTGGTCCGAGCTGCAATCGGTTTCCGAGCCATGATAGATGGAAGAAAGCCGACCAAGATTGACATAAGCCCACTTTCAAACTCCCTAAGTCCAAACGAGGTTAGAATTGATCATAAATCATCACCCTTGAATTTACCCTGGTAGATTTATCTAAACCCCGAAGCCTAGACCCTACGTAGGTACTCACCAGAAAGCGTCGGCAATGGCCTTATCATCAAACGGGTTCATTGGACCGTACACAGACCTAGTAGTAGCTGTCGTAATGGCATCTCTCAGCCAGTTATACATGCCGACTTTCCGGGACTTTCCCTTTGCCGGTTGCAACGTATCGAGGGACTTTGCAATTTCCTGGATCATCGCGCGGTTCATGTCGTCAAGCTCTGAGCTGGGCTTGAGGCCGGCCCGCATCGCGTCATAAGACTCCATTGAAAGACCAAAATTGCCTTCATCGCCATTAACGTTTTTATTAAGAATAGCCTGTGCTTCGGGACTGGCACCGCAGACCGTGGAGGCAAACTTGGCTTCAATAGGCGGAAACGCGAGGATCTTATGCTGCTTTTGTACCGCCTGGATAAGATCTGGCTTTGTCACTACGTACATCTTCTGTCCTGGGAGGGACATAGTGAAGATAGGGAACCCCGTTTGCTTGCTGAGTTCAACATAGTAATTGAATTTGCTTTGCGATAGTCCGACTATGTGGCCAACAATGGGAATTGACTGCGGGGCCAATGGCGGCTCGCGAGGATCATGGCCAAACATCCTACGAGTGACGAAGTAGGTCAGAGTAATAGCGCCAGTAAGGATGAGGATGAAAACGGGACTGCTGCTAGAGAAAAACATGGCATTGGCGCTGAAGCAGAAACATGACGAGAGGGAAACGGGTAGTAGAGAGACATACCTAGGTACTTAACCTGAACCCTCCCCTGGCTATGTTGGTACTTCAGGTACGTATTAGGTATGTACCTGGGTGGCACAAAAGCGTTGTGGGCCAGTGTTAACCAACATGTCGGATTCTACCAACAAGCTCCCTAGGTAAGAGGCTGAGTTCATGGAACTTTTGCTTCGCTTGCTTAGAAATGCGAGGTCGTAGAGTGGACTTTTCCCGATGTCACGAACCGATGTCATCATGACCTGGGTTACACCCCGACTTTGTTATGCGCATCGAATACCTTAATGATCGCGGTTCTTCCTTCCTTATAGTACCCATCTACGCTTTGTGCCATCTGCTCTGCATTATCGCGGGCTGTCATGTGTGTCTCGTACTCTTCAAGTGTAGCATCTGCACCATGATCCAGTAACCACTCAATAGCCTCTTTAGCAGAAACCTCAGACACGGCAGCCCAGTGTAATGGCGTTCGCCCAATACTATTGCGCGCGTTGATGTCGGTTCCCGCCCGTACTAGTAGTTCTATACACTCTAGCTTGTTCCTATCGGCCGCGGAGTGGATGGGAAGACTACCGTTTGCAAGCGCGAGAGATGGGTCTGCTGAAAATTCGAATAACAACGCTCGGACAATATCGCTATTTCCTACTCTGGACGCAATATGTAAGGCACTCCAACCATCTTCAACTTGTTCATTGACTTTTGCCCCGCGTTTGATAAGAGCACGGACAGTTTCAACGCTGCCGAAGCGAGCTGCGGTAAGAAGTGGAGGCTCATAGCGACCTTCGAGATAACTGCTCGTGTACAAGTCTGCGCCAGCCTCTAGTAGTTCCTCAACCATTTCTACGCCACAGGTTATGCAAGCCCAGGTGAGACAAGTGATTTGTCCGCCATGGTATTCGCCGAGTGTATGCACATCTGCCCCTACGCCTAACAAATACTTTACCACTTCTAAGCGATTCGCCTGTATTGCTTCGTGAATCGCCGTCATGGAGTATTCAGATTTCCCCTTTCCGTTCACATCAGCTCCTGCGTCGAGAAGCCGGCGGACCATCTCAATATCTCCATTCCTTGCTGCAAGGGCCACAGGCGAGCCCAAGTTAACGTCTGCTCCATGACGTATCAACCAATTGAATATTGATATGTTACGACTTAGTACGGCGCTGTGTAGCGCGCTCGTACTGGAGTAAGCCGGTATTTGTGCGTTGACGTCAGCGCCAGCACGAACGACGAGCTCAAGTATATTTAGATGATCGCCTGTAACAGCTGCCTGAGCAGGACCAGCAAAATGGCCAGTGGTGTACGTCAGAGACGCACCGTGTTCAATTAGCATCTCGACTATAGCTTTATGTCCCAAGAGACAAGCCATATGGAGTGGTAATCCCGTCCCATAGCAACATACATTGACATCAACACCCTGCTGAATTAGCCAACTAACAACTTCGATATGACCGCCGTTAACAGCGCTCATTAAAGGATGCGACCCTTGGTAATATTTTGGTACTCGCTTATTAACGTCCGCGCCGTTTTTCACCAGGTCCATAGCAATCGATAGATGGCCCGATCCGCAAGCTTCTACTAGAGCCGTTGCAAATATATCGCCTGATTTTTCCTCTAGCTTCGCACATTTAGCCATCAGGTCTTCGATTAAATCCCTACGGCCTAGAGAAGCTGCAAAATATAAAGCTTCATCAGGGACAAATGGTATAAACAGTTCTAGAAGCTCACGGTTTGCCTCTTTAGATAAACCCACGTGCAATGCATTCAATATTGTTTCTGTCTCTGCTTCAGGGAGCATTAAGGAAACACATTCTTTATAACCGTGAGACGAGGCAACGGTTAGAGAATTCATGGTTAACTTCTTCGGGTGGATAGAGTTGGGATTGGCCCCGGCATTCATGAGTAGTTGGACGACCTTTACGTGATTCCGCTTTGAAGCCTCCATCAATGCTGACCCATGCGGCTGGAGGATACTAGCACACTCCAAATCTGCACCACGCTCTAATAGTAGTGATACTATATCGGCGTGGCCACCAGCAGCTGCAGCATATAATGAGTTACAATGCAACCCTATGCAGCCATTTGGGTTTGCGCCCGCCTCAAGCAGAGCCTTCACTATCCCGGTATGACCGCCATATGCTGCTGTCTGTAGACACGCTCGATAAATAGAATCGCCTCCGTTAGGATCCGCGCCTGACCGGAGAAGTGCAATAACTAATGACTCTATGCCTTGAGAGCAGAGATGGTATAAAGGGGGTACAGTCTCTTTACGATTAAGGTCGGGCTCTCTCCAAGGCCGAGCAGGGTCGAATAATTTGCACCAATTCCTATATGGTTCCGTGTTGCCATTTTCCCTTAATAATTGGATAGCCAATTTCTCCAGGGTTGAGTCTTGTTGCGATTCGCGGTAATAGTGAGACCATAGTTCGGCAGCGTATCGTGATAACGGTCTCTCCTCCAGTAAGTCCGGTGTAAGAATCTCCTCCAGAGACAGGAGATAGGCCAATAATGTTTTGGACGCGAAATTATGCACATCTTGTTTATCTTTGAACGGACATTTCTGAGGCTTGTTGAATTTGAAAGCTTCGGATAGCAGATATTCCCTCACGGTATGATGAGCTAGGCGAAGTTCGACGGACTTGATAAGTCGACCATCAGTGGCAACTTGGCATATCGGAGTTGCCTCAACCAATGTTGCGCACATAGTTAAAACATCTAACTCGTCTGGCATCCGAAAATCCTCGTCAAAAAACGGAACACTATCCGTCTCAAAGTCAATAGCGAGAATGTCTATGGATTCCTTGATTGTGATAGGTATTGGGGATATTGCGAGGAACATGAGAATCTTGATTGCGTAGCTCCAATAGGCCTCATCGATACCCTGGAGAGTAAACGTGTACGTCTCAGCTAGGGTTTTCGGAAGTGTTTTCAGCGTCTTCTTTACATCGCGGGTCGTTACGCACTTTCCAAGAAGAGATATTTGGCAGTCAACCCAACGGAACATACCATGGGCTTGACTGCTGAGTGTATCCCGTATCTCACCACGCAAGCTCGAAGTCCATTTCCGGAGCCTCGGGTGAGTGGACAATTGTTCTTTAATGAATATGTCGATATCGCCGCTGTTGTCCTCGCTTTGTACCTCAATTACACACTGAATTGCCGGTTCTAGAACACTGGATATGATAGGAGTAGTCCTGCTGCACAAGAAAATAATCAACCCCTCTGTGGCCCACGAAAGCATGGATCCGATATTCTCAAGTAACGTGTCTTGATCAGTGCACTCATCCAGCGCATCTATGACGAGCACGGTTCTCCGGAATTCTTTGGTAATGCCATGCAAAATGTGAACTAGCTCTTCGTTTGGCGGCTGAGATATGCCATCTGCAAAAATGTTCAAGTTACCTATCAGACCCCCGTATAAATGCGCGCGTGCACAACTCTCTAAACAAGTAGGTGACTCCCCTTTCCAAGATGAGAGTTGAGCAATCAAAGAGCGTAACATAGTATCTGGATTGCATATCATTTCATCCCCAGAATCGAAATGGTAGTAGGCGAGTGCTTCGTCTTGCTTTCGAGACTTATTATCTTGTAGAATATGGTCGACAACGACGGCACTAAGGACACTCTTGCCGCAACCTGGGATGCCATAGAGCCAAAGGGACGATCCATTTGAGTGACGCCATGTTTGGAAAGACTCGTTATTCAATAACCAAGTTCCTGTATTTTTGGCCCGTTTCCTCAGTAATTCATTATGCTTGCGTGAGAGATCTGGAGCATTGAGCCACCGGAGTATGGCTTGAAGCTTTTGCTGTTGTGATGATGGCAAACCGCGTTTTAGGTCGTGTACGTCTTCTTCCAGATGTTTCGTGCTCTTTCGAATCTCTACGACTGAGGAAGTAATATCAGTCATAAAAGTAGTCTCGAGGATACCTCTAATTCGATGAATGGCTTCCAGGTCTTTCGTGACTTCACGTTCTTTGAGCGGCCATGACAACTGGTGCCCAAGTTGTCTCCATGAGCTGACGGGGCTGCGAAGCCGGCCTTCGAGTTTCTTGAAAGTCTCCTCGTATTCTTCAAACGAATTATTGTTCTCAATTATCCTATGCAATAAAGGAAGGTAGTTGTCGCCATCCGTGTCAAGCAAATTGAGCAGTCGTTCAATAATGTCACGCAAGGATTGCACCTCGCACTGCAACGCAGCGATGCTCTTCTTCGCGTCTTGAACACTCTTCCGGTAGTCATAGCAAAGCGATATTATGCTCCCGCTTATTTGTACAAGAGCTATTAAGCTAGCAGCCGTGCTCAGAGGATCTGCCATAGCTATTGTAGTGAGAACGATATGGCTGGTTCGTAGGAGACTCGCGATAGAGTTGAATGCAAAGTCCCCTCATGCGTACCCAACCTATTAATCTTTAAATGATACATAGAGGAACATTAAGCGATTGGTTAAGATCGACGATGTCCATAATTAATTCAGGGCTTAGCAACCAGTCTTGAACCTGACTTGCTTGGGTACGTACGTCTAAGCCTTGTCACCCGCAAGTACCTAATTGGCCCCCAACTTATGTGAAATTATCATACCAGGGAAGTATCGACTGCACGTATTTATCAGACCGCTCAGCCATAGCCTATAACTCTTTACAAATAGGTGCTTGAACTTGTGGGCTGTCGCGTCGACCAACTATGTCTCTGACACATATATTTATTTGAGCGGCGGTACCATGAGCGATGGGGATTATCTCGAACTGGTATTAGAGTTCCTAGAGGCATTGATATCTCAGGGCATTGCTCGGAGCAATACCACTGTTCTGTATCTGCCTATAAATATAGGTGCTGGCGAAAGACCTCTGGATCAAGCTGAGGCCGCGGGGCACGTCTTCATCATCGACACAAGCACTTAACTTCGACTTTTGACGCAAGCTTCATTTTAACACAGGCCATTATTGATTACCTCTATACGAGATCAAAGAGTTGAGTTATACATTGGCCTATGGCGGATTTCGCGACCCTGTTGGTAGCTTAGGCTGTTGGGTTGGGCGCGAGACGTTGGGGGATCGTTGAGAAGAGGTAAAGTTTCGATGAAGGATGCGGGATAGGAATTCTAATTATATATGAATACCTAGTTGAGCGCCTACTTCTTTTTCTTGGAATTGTTAGCGGAATTCATTGAGATATTTGAGAAGGGGGTTTTATTAAACCGTTCTTACCTAGGTATACATGGGTCATCATAATTGAATTAGAGGAATGATCACAATTCGCTCACTAACGTTGGGGGTATTAGAAGTCTTGATGGGGTGTTTATGCTATATGAGAAACTACCTAGGTACGTAATATGATAGGCGTCCTTGGTGCTTGTACACCATAAGCTTCTGATTTATAGGTGTCTAGATAGGCACCTCCATAGATACTTCTGTACCTAGGTATATTGGGTGGCTGGAGTTGTACAAGCCCCTCATTCAGGCTCTGGTCGGTTTCGTCGGTCGCTACATCGCCCTCTGGCTTCCTCCCAGTCGTGCCGTAAGGGGAAGTCGAACTTGTCCCATACATCGCGTAGTCGGTAATCCGAACACCAAATCGGGAGTGGTTTTCGCTCCCATATGTCGCGATAAACGCCTGTATCTTCTATATCTTCCTCTGGATCGACTCGAAAAACGTTCTCCAAACTTGCCAAAATGGGACATGGATTTTGGGTAGGGCTATCCAATAGAAGGAAATCCAACATCTTTTGTTTCTGCCCATCCAGAAGTCTATATATTCTGTAAGTTGTCTCTTCTCTGTCCGCGTGAGAGAAGACGGCGTCTGGATCAAGTTTCCTCGTCGGGGTTCCCCGATCAAAAAGTACGACGCCACCAAGAATACGGGATTCAGCCCAATATCCAACCAAATCTGCGACACCATCTGGGTATTGTTTATAGTCCTTGTACCATTCATGTGAAAATTCCCAGAATATCGTATCATCCTTAGGAGGCGCCCACGTTGTGATTCCATCATCTTTATGTAGACTGGTATCGGGCTGAAATAGGACCACTGCAACTTGGTGGACCGCCACCGCAATCATTTCGATCAGCCGCATTCTAAATGCCCTTAATCCAGGAGAGGCCGACTAATAAGCATATATGAGCTATGAAGCATCAGTCATTAATTGTGAAGAGCCAATACGAGGGAATTCCATACTCTGGAATCGAATTGGAGCACTTTTGGGTCGAAGTTCTTGCGTATCTCCTCCGTCTGCTCCATCACACCTTCGCAAAGGTTTTCATGCATATCATATAATGGATGGAAGCCTGACAAACCACCTCCACCGTTTTCGTTTACGGTATCAATCAGAGGGAGACCATCAACAATCTCGGCGCATGTGAGCTTCGCAAGGTCGGTCGACATTACTCGGTCTAGGGCGCGGACGAATAATTCAGGATGCTGATTATCCAGCTCCTCAATCGATAACTTCTTGATTTGGGCATCATGACTGATGCTGTCGTCAAAATACTCGCCCATTGATATGGCTCTTATACCTAGGTACCCAGGTAACTGTCATAAGTTGTAATCGGAACAAGTGAATCGATCAAGGGTGGCTAGCAAAATCTGGGTTATTCATAGAGGAAGAATCGATGTTATAGTATTGGAAATCCGCGTGTTGGTAGATATAAGGAGGGGTAAGCCTTCAGGCAGCTCGGGACGTAGGGGATGATTAATGTTGGTGTGAAGTTCGGGACTTGACGAATTACATGACTTCTTCATATTCAACACCTAACATATATTGAAGCTGCCTGGGCGCACAAAGTACCTAGGTACTCTTGGACATTCCCATAAGGTATAGGATTGGCTCGTCATGCGGGATATTCGTTTCCATTGCATGAACCCAGCCAACGATGCCAAGTTTGAGGGCGAATGACTTATAGAATAGTAGTTTTAAGCGGAGGTTATATGCCTTGCCAACCCCAAAATGGGATATAATAGTATAATGATAATTATGATTTCCCTCTTATTACTCTACTTGCCTTTCGGAAAAACGCTTCTTGACCCAATAGAACCCTAGGCCAATAATCCATACGACAATGACTACGAGTGCCAATACCGGCGCGAAGAAGGCGCCCCTGATAACCACAAACCCGCTGACAAGCGCGAAAACGATAGGAACCAGAATAAATGGTTTGTATGGACGGCGTAATTCGGGTTCACGAAATCGTAGGACAATCGCACCTAAAACCGTCAAGAAGAAGAACGAGTATTCGCCTAAGCCATTAAAAGTCAGGAGCGCGCGGAAGTTCCCAAGGAGGATATAAAGAGCAGAGAGGATAGCCGACAGCGTGATAGCGTTGATTGGGGCGTCTGATCGGGCCGCGTGTGAAGAGCCCTGTGAGTCATCAGAGGAGTTCGGCTCGGCTTCGGTTCTAGGCTTCAATCCAATGAAACCAACAGATGCGAAGAGGCTAGGGAACCAATTCTTGTTAGCTGCTGCAACTGCCATTCGGCCAGCGACGAATGAATTGCCGAGAAGGGAGCCAGCAACAACTAAACAAATCAGGATCGCTGCGACGATACCGAAACCGCGGCCAAGGAGGCGGGTTATTGCAGTCTGTAATTGTAATTGTTAGTACAATTCATGTTATGCTCATGTTGTGAAGCTTACCACCGCTACACTATCTGTAGTTGAGACGACATCCCACGGGAGCAGGATATAGTAAGCCGCATTTGCTGTAATAAAGCAAAATACGATCGTAGGAACAGCAGTATTGATAGCGAGAGGGAGTTGGCGCGCGGGTGCTCGAAGTTCAGCGGAGACATAGATTGCCTATGAAGTCGTGTAAGAATCTCATGCGACCCAATTCAAGAGACATTTAAACTCACTTTATCCCATCCTGAGTAAGCCCATAATGCACCGTACAGCGCCGCAGACAAATGACCGAGAGTTTCCCATTCACTTAAATCATCCCAATCCGTTTTGGATCCGTCTGGATTGGTGACCTCCCGATTCCCGAACCATGGTTTATTGAACCAATCTCTCCCCCCGATATCTCTGTCAGGGTCGGTGGCTTGGAGTATGGCGACGACTACGCCGGCTATTACGATTGCCGCGATGCTGACGAATTTAGTAACAACAAAAAAGTTGTTTAAACGAGTACTAGCTTTAGTGCTGATAGAATTCGCGACACTAATGACGACTAGAATGAGAATGGAGAATAGTTTGTGTTCAATTCTTCCTGCTTGGTCGGTTATTCCTAAAGAGGAGTAGATGCTCTCAACGAACACGATGCTAAGAATGGCAAGGGTGGCAGGCATCACGGCCACAATCCACGTCCAAGCGGCCAAAAAGCCGAAGACATCGCCGAAAATGTATTGAAGATACGGTTGAACTCCCCCTATAATATTTGTCAGTTTATATTGATCGTAAATATTAACTCGCTGGATCAATCGATCGGCTGACCCACCTTCGCCCGGAATAGCGGTTCCGAGCTCTGTCATGGTAGAAGCACCAGTCCACGCGAGTACACCACCAATCAGCCAAACCACCAGCGCAGCACCTGGAGATGGAACATTCGTGTCTATAGATCCTGGCGAGGTGAATATTCCACTTCCAATAACTATGCTGATGACGATGGCGAATGCTTCCAGCGCGCCGAGATTCTTAGTGAATGTGCCTCCATTCGGGGCTGAAGATGATGGCGGGGTATCATCGCCATCCCCCGCTGTATTATTGTTTTGTGCTTCTCGTTGATCTGCTAGAAGGGGCCTTGAAGCTCCGTCTTCGGGTTCCGGCGTCGACGGCATCTTGTAGAGCGTATAGGTGAGTAGATTCTTCCTACCCTTAGAAATTGTTGTTAATGTGAAGTTGAGGCGGAGTCGACTCAATCACGCAATCTGTACTTCACTTGTCTAAGAGAGCGGGGCAATTTCTCACTGTCTTGACCCCTTTCCCAACCACCTTTCTAATTCCTCATCCACTTTCTCTAATATGACCAAAACAACGTATAATTTGAATTATTTTAAATACTTACAAAACCCGAGCTTGTAACTTATTCCTCTAAGTGTCCATACTTATTTTGGATGATTCAATGCCTGAAATTAGGTACATAACAAGTGTAATATTGCAAGATCAAATTTAGCCGCCAATTCCCTAGTAAGAACGAGAGAAAAATACGGCCATGTAAGTGGATTTCATAGCAAAGATCTAGCGAAGAATTTATAGCTATTAATTAAATATCTATATAGGTTATTTAACTAATAGCCTTTTGACGTTGGAAGCAAAACATATAATAGCAGTTTTTCTTTAAACAGAATTTCGATCTAAAAATTCCAACTTTGATGCCTTTTCCTTGTCCATACGCCGTCTACTTAACACCAAGGCCCTTTCGGTTTAAACGGGTTGAATATCTCGTCGCGTAGGATCCGCAGAGTGTAGGAGAACTCAAGCTGAGCCTGGCTATATCTTATATGTGGTATTCCTAAGCCGGCTGTAGCTCCTTATCATCGTTCCATCGGAAACCAGCTGGTGTAACCGGCTGCGAGCCGCCACTCTGAAACGAGAATACATCGTCCATAAGAGGAAGTGTTAAAGCCTCCTCGGCGGTCATGGAATATCTGTATATATAATCATCTAAAAAACAATATGACATCCACACGTGATACGGCACATTCTTGGGCTTCTCGGCAGGGCGACGGCCCCGGTGCTCCATCTTAGGGATCCATCGATCCTCTCTTCGAACTCGGTCCCCGTCTCTTTTCCCGTATGAATCATCCGTTCCCTCTTCCGGTTCCGATAGGAAACCATCCATAAACTTCTCTGCCGATTTCTTGTTCCTTTTTCTCTTACGTTTATTATTATTAGGCTCTAGTGGCGAGCGAGGGGTGACTCTCGGGGAGGTATGATCTGATTCAACTGTGCCACCTAGAAGTCCATGCTGTTCCGCCAGTGCAATTTCTGCACCTATCGCCGAGATCTTTTTGTCAAGGTCTTCTGTTATTCTCTTAACTGGAGATCTGCCGTATTTACCACCTCTCTTTCCTTTTCGCACCCCTGCCACCGGCGATTGGATTAAGACAGGGCTTCGTAAAATTTCGGCGGATGTTGGGCGTCTGACCCGAACAGCGCGTTGTGGTTGACGCCGGCGTGGCGGTCCCAGTTCTGGCATCATCGTATAATTACCGCAGGGAACTAAATTGTGGTCTTTGGTGTTGTTGAATGATGTCTACATCGGCTTGAAAGTTGGATTGAAGTTAAATAAATGAAGATGAGACCGTGAATATCCGCCAACAAAGGAGAGTGCCCCAAGACGCCGGGTAAATCTAGATGGAAATTGACAAAGGAACCAGCTTTATTTTTATGACATCTTGTGTCTCTTCGCGTAGCGGTGTGTTTGTCGCACCATAATCTTTGTTTGAGAATATAAAGGGTTGGATGGATGTAAGGAAGGTTGTGTTATCCAGTCGAAGAGCAATGAAATTGTGATATATCATAGATTATTCTCGAGCTATATTTGTAAGTGACGCGGCAGGGAAGTTCGCAGGCGATATCAGGAAACATGAAGGAAAATTCATTGTGATCATGAGTGATAGGTTATAGGCCTTCCACGTTGGGAGATACAACATGCATAAAAAGATTTGAAACCAGAATAATTTAACAGTGATAATTTTTTCAAAGGAAAAATGAAGCACCAGTTGTATATGTACATAGAAGATCAAAAGTCCTAACACAATCATTGGATAGGTCGAGTTTATAGAATTGGTGATGGTGCTGTTTGAGCAACGGGATTAAGCAACTTGCCCGTGGTGCTTGTGCGCGTGAGCCCTGTGGCTATGCCCATGGGGGGCATCCCCATTGGTATCCCGCTTCGAAGCTACGCTGGAAAGAGCCGGTCCTGGAATTTGGTACGATTGTAGGTTTTTCCAGATGTCAAGGTCAATCCCCGGGTCGCTGCTGTGGTACAGCTCCATAGCAGATACGCCCGCTGGCTGTTGAGTACCCGAGCCCGAGATTTCGAGATTAACACACTAACATGAGTTAGAAATTTGCCGTTAAGCGTTTACAGATTTCTTGGTCCTTACCTGTGGGTAGAATTCGGCGTTGCCTTCATAAGCCATATGTAGTCCCAGGAGTTCGTGTCGAAGGATATAAGAACCAGGCTTGATGTTCTGAGGGATGTGTACAGTATAAGTGTCTACCCAACCTTCGCCCTCCTTTTGCACACCCTTGTGAACTTCAGTGGTTGCCCATTTCTGGGTGTTCCACTGTGGATCATCCGCCATACCACCCTTAACAAGACCTTTCTCATATATCTTAAAAAAGCGAAGCTTATTCTTATCGACATTATTGCAGCCGCCGCTGCCGCAGGACGCGAGATAATGCATCTCAGGGCCTGGATGTTGGAAACCACCCCTGGTGTTGAAACGCACGACTTGTAATTGAGAACCGGCAGCCACTGGAACGGAGCCTTGCGCATTTGTCGCTCCTAGGTGGCAAATAATATCGGGTCCGTTGATACTAGATATGGGGACTGGACCTTCATCTTTTGTCGTAAAATGCCAAGTAACCACTTTACTCTGATCTTGAGTTGCCCATCGCTCATAACCCGGGTAGGTGACACCATTGACGATAACCCTCCGGATATGGCCATGCCCCAACGCAGTAGTTGCTGAGGTGGCTAGAGCCAAAAGCACAGTGCCGAATGATGGCATATTGGAAAAGAAGGGTTAATATGCCGAATGGGAAACGCAAAAAAAAAAAAAAAAAAAAAGCCTGCTCAAAAATCACTGAACCCTCAGTTCAGGATTCGCGATTGAGTAACCGGTAGAAAACGTGAGAGCGCTTAGGGCACATCAAAGGAGCGATATTTATACTTATCTAAGTATATAATACTAGCGATAGGAATTGCGATGCCGTTGAGTACTTTAAAGGCGTTAACAAGACTGTGTCTCTGACCACTCAATCTTGCTTCGATATCGCTCGGCCTGGGGATATACGACGCCGGAATACATGGTGCGGCCATCTAGAGGTAGTCAAAGGCTTCAGGCCTAAGAATAGGGGGCTGCAACTCCTTTCATATTCTCCCTAGCTTCCTAAGCATAGATGAACCAGCCGGGCAAACGTCTAAAATATAGTGCCTAGTATCGTATAATTTAACAGCCTAGGTTCCAGGCAATCGTCTCATCATTTTAGGTAGCACGCCGAAGTGCCCACAGCTTATGGAAGCCATGATCGGTTCTGAAGTCCTTACAGTCCGGTGTATAGAAATGTAGAGAATGCATAAGCTCGTGCTTACGAGTTTAGAATTTTATGAGTCTGAAATTGGTAAAAGAATGAATAGTTTTTTTTTTTTTTTTTTAAAGAAAATAAAGCATTGACGAGAGTGGAAAATAAAGGTAAACAATCATATCGATATATCGGGATAACCTTGGCGCTGATAGTAGCATAAATATTTATCTATCCATCGATAGCCCCCCAAAGACATGGACCAACAACCACCACCCTCACTGTTCTCTTGTTTGAAACCACCATCAACATCTTATTTCGTCTTTATAATACGACGACATCGGCTTTACTTGTTGCTTGTCGAGTCCCAAGTATTATAGAATATCGAGCAAGTAATATATACGAGATATAGCTTCGTACTAGTTATGGAGCCGTCGTTAGATGCTAGGGAACGATCGTTTTCATGCACCATTTGCAGGAATCGGTTCTGTCAGGCCTAGCTATATTCTGACCGGCAGGGTTTAGCACCCCTCTTACCGTTCCATCCTTGATAGAGCAAACTGCAAGTATACGAGAAAAGGGATACCTGAAGATAATTGTCTTGTCCAGCGAAGATCTCAAGCTGAGACTCGTCACTTTTTCATATACCTTAGAAGTCCGGTTATCAAATCGGAGTCGTTATGCGATAGGTTCATGTAGCAGCAACAAAAGCTAGATCCCGCCTAGGCAGGGAATACCTGCTTCGTGCCATCTTGCCTGGAGTCTCTGAGCCAACTGAGATGAAAAGGACATGATGCACGTCTCCTCGCCAAGGAAATCCGTTTGAGGCCGAGTTATTGTTGCGAGTTTCGCCTAGGTGCTAGGAGACAATTTTTGGGACCGGTTTGAAAGAAACCTATTCGATATATCGTCTATTGTTTGGGATGGTAAGACCTATAGATTCTGACAAGATTGATAATTAGCAGTTCCCAAGGTAGACGGACCTGTAACGGCCCTACAAATTAGGGTACACATCCGCCTGATGTTAACTTATCCTGCCTTATGGGATTGGGGCTTTACCCTATCTAGGTACATTGCGCACGGTCGTCAGGGCGGCGTACTTAACTCCGACTACGCAAACAAGTATATTGGTAGAAAGCCAAGTGTATTAACTGTTTCAAAAGCTGTCATGAAACAAACACTTTGGAGCTACCAGATTTATATAGAATTTATTCGATACGCATGTGAAGGGAGGTTTACATGTAGAAGACCTTACAAGATGTATAAAGTCACCATTCGTTCCTAAATCTTTAGCGCTATCTTGAATCTAGCTGACCCGCTAATAGTTGCCTTGGCGATCATTACAAGGAGGTATTGGGCTCGCTCAGTGCCCGCTGTGTGTCCGCTACCTACCTCTAAAGCTCTAAAGGATCATGAAGCTTGCGGTAAACTGCCGGTCAAGTTAGGCGACTGTTTAGCGCCCTTAGATCGTAACGAGCTACAGGCACCTAAGAGGTAGGAGGTAATCATGACTACAGGTTTACGTTTTGGAAATACCAGAACAGACATTAGAGTCTTTCCATTTTCTAGGACTTTATCGAAGTAGGTAGGACAGGAAAGGCAATGGATCGTAAACAATTGACAAAATAGGCATGCTTTTCATTTAATATCACTTATTCATCGTTCATCGTACCAATAGAAATCATTCCCTCTAGCATATGATGGATCCAATGGAATGGGCATAGGGGATAAGAGAGCACGCTATCGGCTTAATTATGAGGTCAGTATAAACGCTTATATACGGCTTGGATTTATTCGTTTAGCCAGCTAGGAAGCAGAGAATCATGTCCAAAAACAGTATAGTAGTTACATTCTTGGCGGAGTTTATGTGCCAATTCCGCTAAACTCCGTCTGGATATTTTCATTTTCAATTATCCCGTTGAGTAATTAAAAAAAGGTGAAGCTTCGGACGGTCAAAATAAATAAATAGTGAGGCCTCGCTGCTCTAAATCTCTCGACGTCAGGCTTATCTCATCCATTCTTGAAGGATCGAGTTGGGTTGGCTCACTACTATCTTCACCGCAGTACGTCCATCATCAAATTGTCAACAGAGAATCCGGGATCTCAATCCTTCAAATACAATACCAATCACGAACAATATGCCTACGAATAATAGCGTCAAGAAGGCGTTGTCGCTAATCGAAGGCGATGATAAGTCTAAAGTTCTTGGCTTGACCGTTGGCAAGCATACGAATGTACAACCCGGGCAATACATCCCGAAAGCTGGTGAGTGATGGGAAAAAAGAGGGGACGAAGGAGGGGAAAATGGCAAAGAAAAATACCTACTAAAATTCCAGCCATCTATTCTTGGACTTACTAATTCTTTTCGACTCTTCCGTAGACGCACAATCCGCTCCCGAGATAACCTTCACTTCACTACCTTCCGACAAGACGTATCTAGTAGTGGGATTAGATCTCGATGCTCCATTCCCTTCCTTCGGCGTATTGGGTCCTATTCTACACTGGATTCAGCCAGGCTTCCAGGCTACCCCAGCCGGTGAAGGAGAGACAGTCAGTCTGAAGTCTAGCGCACCATTCGTAGCTAATTACATCGGTCCTGCTCCGCCGCCTGGAAGCTCGCCGCATCGGTACACGTTCTTCTTATACGAGCAACCTGAAGGTTTCGATGGGAAGAAGTACGCCCCGCCTGATGGAAAGAATCTCGGCAACGCCAAGCGTATTCGCTATGACCTGGACGCCTGGGAGAAGGAGGCTAAGCTCGGTCCCGTACTGGCTGTGAATTATTTCAACAGCAACTAAGTAATATCTAATGGAGTGAATTAATTATGATCGAGAATTTAGGAAGAATCGATATTATTATCGTATGGCGCATGGGATACCTTCTGCCTTTCCCCAATTATTAATTTGTCTAAGCTCTTTGAGAGGTCCAACAGGAATTTGTTTGGATGGATTGTTATTAGGATTAATGTCGTTATTCACCAATACTCACATACACATATTCCTCAACAATTGATCTTCCAAAACTCTTCTTGTCCAGTAAAAGCAAAGACCCTTCGATTTTTTTTCTTCGGGCTGGGAACTCGAGATTCTTGGTTGACAGGATTTACGGGTCCCTGTTAGAGCCATGAAATTCCCTCCTGTGGTTTATCGCTGTCATTTGTTTTTGCGTCTTTTCTCCATCTTCTATTTATTTCTGGAATTTCGTTAGGCCATGATGCGAGTCCCCTATCACCAACCTCCAATATTAGTTGCTCCCAAATTTCAGATTGGAGTCTTTCTTAGGCTTATGAGCCTTCTCGCGCATAATACTTGAATTTACTAATTACTTGATGACTTACATACAAATGATCTTTAGGTAGCTAGATGAACGGGCCGCTTCCGACATCATTCATCGAGACCATTATCTCTAAAGTGCCGTCATCCTGCATGTATCCGCACCCGTCATAGTGAGTTAACAATGATAGACCAATGGTAACACTTCTTGATTTCTAGAGGGCGCAAATAACTTGACTAATAATTAACCCAGCTTACTTCCGCGCCACCTCATCAAAGTTGTCGTGGGTCCTATCAAATGCCTGGCCAGTTTTTGTGTTGTCGACTCTTGAAATTTTACCGCCAGCTGAGACGTACAACTGCTCCCCGGATTGTGACATGATATCGTTCCCGAATTTCTCTCTGCCTATTGCCATTGCGCACGTCCAAACAATTACTGACAGGCTCCAGTCTCTTTCAATATTTATAGCTTTGTACCACAATATCCTTCGATACTATTCGCTACATCCAGAAGACGGGAGCTGCAAAGCAACATGTAAGATAATGGAGCACAATAACCGTCTGCGGTTGAGGCCTAAAGCCTCAAAAATTTTAGGCAACTCCATGAAATGGTATTGAATGCCTTGAATTGTCATAACACGTGTTGCGGTTGAACCCATATTGGACCCTCATTTACTCCAAATCCTAATGTCTTCCTGTCAGGCTTGAGCATACAGCAGCAAATACGAGTATGACAATGTCTCAGGTGGACGTGATGTGGACATCACGTAAGGTGCAATCTAGATTATTGTATTCTCTTCGATGTGAATTTGCCGTGAGGCTACAGCTATTTGGGCGGCAAAGGGGACAAGTAGGTACATACCATAGCCATTTGTTAATTCACCAAAAGGGTCTGGCACAACACGGATAAATTTCTAGATATGTTAAGGCGATTACTTGCCGTTGTTGGGAAGAACAAACCGATAACTTAAGCCTTGAAACCAATATTGGACCCCAAGCACCCAAGATCTGATATATATCCCGTAGGCCCGCTTAGGCTCTGTTTCTGGCACACTTAACTTGATCTACTCCCACCAACCCACGAAGAGTTAAACCAGCTTGTCCGAGATGGCTAAGAAGAAGAAGAGTAAAGGAGCGCGTCCACCACCACCCCAAGGAATCCAGACTCCTAATACCAGACCTCCCCAAATTACACCACCTCGAGAAGCCTCACCACCCCATTCTATTTCACAACCCACACAGATTAAACCTCAACAAGCCACACCTCCCCGAAATATCACACCTCCTCGGGAGCCTACACCACCTCGAGACCCTACACCCCCGAGAGCGCCGTCGCCACCAAGAGTAGCCACACCTCCCAGAGAGGCTACGCCGGCCCCTTCTACTGTACCGGAGCTCTATCACGCGACAGAAGAACCCCTTCCTCCTTCTCCCGAACCGAGAGAATATTCGCAGGTACGTCAGCTCTTATAGAGGCCTCAGATTGGGATGCGATATGCTAATGAACATGACATAGACCGAAGATAATTATGCCAATTACAGAACCGCAGAAGAAGTCCCCGAAGACTGGGTAAGTCACGCCATTTAATGCGTTGTACCACCAGATAACTTACATATTCTATTTCTAGCATAATGGCTTCGATGACAAAGAAAGTCAAGTCGCTCTTATCGATTCGAGCCTTACGCGCTTTTCTTTCGAAGACAGTGACCACGTCACCTCCGAGGTACCAGCTGCTGATTTCAAAGCCGGCTCGACGCATTCCGCTGATGAGGGCTATGAGCATGTCAGTTCCGAGCCGCAACAATTTACTGAAGATCAACCCCAGCCTACTACTGAAGACCAAACCTTAGTCGAAGAGCAGGCTCCTATCGAAGAAGATCCAACCCAGGAGTTGCCCGCAGAGGAACTACTCCTAGAGGAACCATTTAAGGAACAGGTCTTTGACTTCCAACAATACGACCAACTACCTCGCATCTCCCCTCCTAATAAACACCTAAGGCCTCATAACGTATTCAAGTTCGACCTTGAAGCACTTGTTGGGGCTATCCAGAATGGCTACTCGGCGGCGGAGTTACGCGACTATCTAAGCTATTACCAGAAGGTCGACGATGCACTCCTTAAGGAGAACCTCAATGCAGAAGTTAGCGGGTTCCCAGCCATATTCTTCATCGCCGAGACCAACGATGCAGAGCTTCTCCGGCTTTGGATCAAATACGGCGGTGATCCGAACGCGACTCACGGACCTTTCGATTTCCCCCTATTGGCCTTCGCGATCTTGCGCGGCTCTCGATCACGTCTAGAAGCGACCAAGGTTACCGAGACATTGCTGAGGCTAGGCGCATCGGCACCTCTATCCATCCCCGTAGTATACTACCTCCCGTACAACCGCGACCTTTCGGAGTTTGGTCCTAGAGAGGAAGATATACCCGAGATTGCGGAGGGCCAGAAACTTTGGTGCACTCCAGAGATACGGTCGAAGTTGGTTACTGCGCTGAGCCTAACGCAACGATACCGACTCTGGCAAGCGACATTCCTAGAGCCAGCTTCAGGTCGTCAACGAACCTTGGCTTTGCGAAAGGACGCCGAAGAAGTTCTCGGACTCCAACAAACCATCATCGGGCAGCGACTAGCAGCATGGTCCCTAACGAAGAGTTTCCTTGTGTAAGTATTACTTCATTCCATCATTTTATCCGACGGATGACTAATATTAAATAGACACCTCGCTATGCCGAGCAAGAAGCCTCTGGTGCTCATTTTCGCAGGACCCAAAGGACACGGTGAGCGCCAACTCGCGAAGCGACTATCGAATCTTCTATCCTTGGAGCTTCAATATGTCGACTACGCTCAGTTGGAGAGTGATGACGAGCTTTTTGGTCCCAAGTCGCCGGCCGAAGGTTACGAGTTTGGTTCACCTTTGAACAACTTCCTCGCCGAAAAGACGGGACAGCGAAGCATTGTGTACATTGATGGGTTCGATAAGACGTCCGAGGAAGTTCACAAGACACTCTTGATTCCGTTCGACCGAGGTACGTTGAACATCTAATTGATTTACAAACCGTAGCTAACTGCAATAGGCGAGTACATTGACCGACGAAACGGCGAGAAAATCGATTGCTCCCAGACCATCTGGATTCTGGTAACGAGCAAATTCGACGACATCATCGACGAAAACGACAACCTACTCCGCGACTTCGACCAACGATCGCAGCACGATGTAGTCAGGCGACAGCTAAGCCGCAGCCTTCGAGGGGAATACATAGCTAGCTTCGGGGCACCGCTAGCGAGTCGGATCACCGAAACGATTCCGTTCCTAACATTTAGCGAGAACGAGCGTGCGATAATTGCCGATAGGTGCATCATGGAACTCGAAACCGTAATTGCGGCGCCAGCTGTGATTTCGGAGAACCCCGATGAGGACAAACCGGTCGGCAACGTGCAACTCCAGATCGTGAACAACGCCAGCGTCTGCTCTATTATTGCGAATGAATACTACCTACCTGAGCTCGGAGCAGACAGCATCGCTCGTGGTGTTGACGCGGCTATTGCCAACCCGGTAGTAGGCCAGTACTTAGAGGGAGACGATTTCGGCGAGGACCAAGCCGAGACCAGGTTTACAGTCGGAACGAATGAGGAGAATGAAGTGGAAGTATTACCCGTGCCTACTAACACGGATTACCCTAACGACCTAGGGTCTAGGTATTATTAATAATTGGCCTTCATACGTAAAATGGTGTCTGGTATCGTTGGTACTATGATGTATTGTTGATGGTTGTTTTATTAGAGATGGAATTGGGAGGGGAAAGTTATGGGGGATTTAGGTGGCTGTCATTCACTAAAAAATTAATTTCTTTTGTCTGTAACCCAACTGTATATAGGTATTGGTATTAATACCGAGGAATTTCAGGATCGCGATTACCATGCATCTCCCTTCCTAGACTCTCACGAATACGGTTAACTAATGCAGGCACAACGTATATAATGGTCTAAATGGCCCGTGCCTATACACAGTTAGCTTCCTTACCCCTTCACATGTCAGAAAGTTGAGTTTCCGTCATTCCCGTAATGCTGGACGTTGTTAAGTGACGTAATAGACAGGGTTACCCCGATTTTAGATCTTGACTGGATCCGGTGAAGCTTCTCGTCATTGAAGCGTCAGTGAAGAAGGTACTCTAGGTAAACCGTATTATTAAATTTGCTTCGATTGATTTATTAAAGATTTGATTCTCATGGTCTTTTCTTCTTTCGATGTTTTTTAAGCACACATCTCTTTAGCTTTATTGATAGCTTCATATACGGCGTTCAAAAGTGATCCTTCGTTCTGATGATCCGTCATGGCGTCGACATCCGAATTTCAACGTCAACTCAAGAATTTGCATAATCCGGTTGCTCATCCGTTCCAATTCATATCCGATATACTCCAATGGCAATTTCAATTTTTCTTTAACATCTTCCAATGGTTCGCCAACTTATTCTTCTCCCCAACTCCTCCGGGGCCGAGCACCCGGTTAGGAAGACCTAAAGTTGCCATCATTGGTGCTGGTATTACCGGAGTGACATCCGCAGCTCATTGTATTGGTCATGGATTTGACATTGAGATTTTCGAGGCGGGAGATAAGAACAGCCTAGGGGGTATTTGGAGCGTATGTGAACCAATTTGCACCAAATGGCAGGATACCAATGTGCTAACCGCGTTGCTGTATAATAGAAAGTCAACAACACCTCTAGCCTCCAAATCCATTCGTTTATGTACCGGTTTCACCCATCTATAAAATGGCGTCATGGGTACCCGGACCGACAGCAGATCATTAGCCAGGTTACTCAACTATGGGAGCGATACGGCCTGGACACGAGAACCAAATTCAATACCAAGGTGGACAAAGTATACCAAGATGCTAAGGGCCGCTGGGTTATTAACAATCCTGCCAACGGTAGATTCGAAGGTGTCATCGCTGCTGTAGGAACTTGTGGTGATCCCAAGATGCCTCGTATGGATGGCATGGACCAATACAAAAACCCAATCTACCACTCAAGCCAATTGACTGGGTACGTATAGCGACAATGATTGCGCAAGTATTGTTACTAACGGGAATCCAGAGTTAATGCCTCGGGCAAGTCGATGATCATCATTGGTGGTGGCGCATCAGCAGTTGAAGCTCTAGAATATGCTTCCGTATGTCTTACCCTCCCCCGCCGAGTTGTCTTAGAGAACCGATGGGTAGTTTTATGTTGCTAACTGATTATTTCAGGAAGAGGGTGCATCGAAGGTTTATATCCTATCTCGTAGTGACAAGTGGATTATTCCCCGTAACTGGATTATCGATATTATCCTCTCTTTGAATATCTGGGGGCAGGAGACAATGCTATCCGCTATTCCGGAGGCGCTGCTGAAGAAATTCTTCTACCGAGACTTGCAGGATTTGGCTCCAAATGATAAGGGCATATTTATGGATACTCCTATGGTCAATTCCGATGTCATGGACAAGCTCCGTTCCGGGCAAGCTGAGTGGATACGATGCGATATCGAGAACTTTACCGACACGGGTGTCCTTGTCAACAAGAGGGATAAAGGAGTACCTAAGGGAGGTCCTGGTAAGCCGGTGAACATTGAAGGCGACATGGTGGTTATGGCGACTGGATACAAGAGACCTTCATTAAGTTTTCTTCCCGATGATTGCTTCAAGGAGCCATATGGACCGCCAAACTGGTACCTTCAAACATTCCCTCCACAACACCCGTCTATTTCGGCCATAAATTGCACATATCTCTCGGCAATCGGCACTGTTGGTAATTGGCATATCGGCATATACACACGAATCCTTCTCATGTTCCTCGTGGACCCCTTAACCCGACCAGCCACATTCTGGATGGAGCGTTGGATCGATATGACCAAGATTTTGAAGGCGACTTCCCCAACAGGAGCTTTTGATTTCTTCACATATCTTGAGCTGCTCTGGTGGTTCTTCTTCTGCGTCACCGTCAACCCGTTCCGATGGAAGTGGGCATTGTTCGTCTTCTGCGGGTTGGGCTTCGCACTACCTAAGCAAGTGGTAGAGGCCGAAGATCATATCCGCAACGGTTTCGGAACGGCCGAAGCCGACCAGGGAGGTAGAGATGTTGGTAGAAGTTTCTAGGGGGATGGCATGAGCGCCTCTCTGTTGAGGTTCCTTGCGGTTCAACTAATTGGGGAAGACATGATGCATGATATTGAGATTGAAAGTTATTATTCGGAGTTCCAATAATTCTTTCGATGGCTGGTTTCTCGGTTTAGAAGTCGAGAAGCGCTTTAAAAAACACATATTGCGACGACGGTATGCAACAGCGAGCCCGATTCGATCAACAAAGCGAATTGCGTTTACGATTTTATGACGCCTAAAAGGAGACAAAAATATCATCTATTCGGCGATCAGTGTTAGTGTAAATACTTGTTTTGAGTATTGAAGTTGGCACTCACAAGTCAGCCAAAGGAGTACTGGATACACGATAGAGACTGGCCAGCGTATATAGCCGACTGCGAGTAAATATAAATTAGATAGAAATAAATTGGGTATGATTCCGTTAACGTTTTCCTCGGTCTCGTCGTCCACCTTCCATGACCTTGACACGCTTGTTGAATCTATCGCCTATTTCTCTAGAACCGGCCCCATAACCGCTTCCACGACCGCTGTCAGTAGTCTCCCTACCTCTCTTACGACTCCTGTCGAGTAATGCTCGAGTGCCGCCGCCGCCCTCCTTGCGCTTGGTCAATCGTTCGATTCGGTCCACACCTTCACCGAGGTCTCGCCAATCTTCACCACCGAAGTTCATCTTGTTATTGCGGCCCTCAGTCTTATTTCGCTTGGCGCGATCCTTCTTGCTCTCCTTCGGTAATCGGACGAAGTTGGTTTCTTCATATTCTCGTCTGCGATCCTCCTCTTTCCGTTCACCGGCGGTTTTGATCTTCCTGCCGCCGGATACGATTGTTGTTCCGATACTGGGTTCGGCAAGCGGCATGGTTGAAAGTTCGGTCGAAATGTATTCGTCCACAGCAGCGGACTTCATAGGTCTGCGATCGCCTCGTTCTCTTCGCTCAGCTGTAGGCATGACGGTTGGGGTGATCTTTGGTGGGCGGTATGCGCCGGTCTTATCTTGCGTTGTGGCTGCAGCGGCCATTCCGACAGGATTTGAAGGTGGTGCAAAATTGCTGAAACTAGGTGCAAATTGTTTCGCCGATATATTGGCCGCAGGCCTAGACAGACCTTCATCCCCAGAAGCTTCTTCTTCGTCGCTGTCTTCGGACCCTTCATCCGACTCTTCCTCTGACTCCGATTCAGCATCTTTCGCTACTTGCGCGGCAATGCGATCCGCGTCATCGGCTGCGCGTAGGATTTTATCGAGTTGGAATTGTAATTTTTCCTCGAGAGGTCTAACTCCCTTGTCGAGATATAATCGCAACTCGACTAACTTCTTAACCACCGTATCTGAGAGCTCTTGGTTTTCCTTGTCATTTTCTGCGCTGGTGTTTTTCGCATTTCGGATTTTGACTAGGATTAAAAAGACGAGATTTTGTAGGTAGGAGAGCAGAAGTTCATTTTTTACATCCAGGAGGGATACACCGTCTGGAGTCGGTTCGATGCCAGAAAGTTTAGGAGTGGCTTCGAATGCAGATGTTAATGAATTTGTTAAAGAATCCAACAAGACTGGTAAAGAAGCAGGGACTGCCATTGTGTGGAAAAAGTTATTTTTTCTTGCTGTATTGATTCCAAGAAATACTTCGCAATAATTCTCCAATTCAAATGAAGAATAAAAAAAAATAAATTTGGTCGAGCGATAACGATAAGATCAGTATCCTTGCTACCTATAGTAAGACCCGCTGCAGTGGTCGCTTTTTAGTCCCCACTCTCGGATCCTTACTAGGTATGTAGTGGGTCGATGATTAGAGGATACCGTAATTTCTTAGGGACAAGCTGGCTTGGAAAAGTATCCACCTCATAATCTCATAATTATGGGATGTACCTACATAAAGAAGCTCCTAAATTTTATGAAATTTGGACAGCTGTAGCAACATCAAAGATCTAATTACCTTATACCTTAGAGCTTCCTTCCAAGCTGAAACCGTCATCGAAAGTTTCCCAGCTAAGCCGCGCGCCCTTTTTTAACGTAGTAACGTAATAAATCGACGCGATATCTCCGTACACAACCTAATCACCAACGATTCTCGAAACATACGAAACATTACAACATACTTATTCATACGTAACTTCGGCAAGTCTTGACTACCTAGGTAGACTCCGTTTTCGAAAAAGACATCAACCAACTAGCCAATCGAGCCTTTGTGCTCTATTATTGGCCGCGAATCCTTTTTTCCCTCTACGGCGTTCAATGATACGTAAGTTGACAACAACAAAAATCTGTTGCCTGATTGCCAAATACACTGCCACTCTCGCTTCTACTACGACCGTATTTCCTGGTCTGGAGGAACTCCCAGCTAACTCCTTAAAATTAGACTCGATGTCATAAAAAATTCCGATCACGATGAAGTCGAGAACTTTTGCGCCGTCGTGGGCGCTTTGCTCCGCGTTGCTAGCACTCCCTCAACTTACGAGCGCTTTCTATCTCCCCGGTGTCGCGCCCGCATCATATGACTTGGGTGAAAAGGTGCCTCTTTATGTCAACAGTATCAAACCTGTCGCCGCCCAAGATGCGCTCCTTCACTCCGTCATGTCGTACGACTACTACAACGAGCAGTTCCGATTCTGCCAGCCCGAGGGCGGCCCATCCTACGTATCCGAAAGCCTAGGAAGTATTCTATTTGGCGATCGAATAATGACCTCGCCGTTCGAGCTGAACATGATGAAGAACGATACTTGCAAGCAACTATGTACTTCGAAATATGATATGCCGTCTGCACACTTCGTCAACAAGCGAATAATGCAGGGTTATGCCTTGAACTGGCTGGTGGATGGGCTACCGGCGGGCCAACACCTCCTTGATGACCTCACTGGAACCACCTTCTACAGTCCGGGATTTGCTATGGGTACTATCTCCACGACTGACCCCGATGGCCCGACCTTTTTCAACAACCACTACGACATCGTTATCGAATACCACAAGGTAAACGGGAAGGAAGACAAGTTGAGAGTGGTGGGAGTGATTGTTCAACCTTCGTCCAAGGCCTACAAAGGTGATATCCAGAACCAGTGCAAAGATGACCAAACGCCGCCTGTCGTTCTTGTTGAAGACGCCGACGCTCAAACCGAGGTTACGTTCACCTACAGCGTCTACTGGACTGAGTCACCCACCGCTTGGGCTACGCGATGGGATAAATATCTACACGTATTTGACCCTAAGATCCACTGGTTCTCACTCGTCAACTCTGCAGTCGTTGTCATCTTCTTGACCGTCACTGTCACTTCTGTTCTATTCCGAGCTTTGAAGAAGGATATTGCAAGGTACAACAGGTTGGATCAGATTAACTTGGATGATCTCTCAGGAACCTCAGCTCTCGAGGATGGTGTTCAGGAGGATTCTGGTTGGAAGCTAGTTCACGGAGATGTCTTCCGAACTCCTTCGCACCCTCTTCTCCTCTCTGTCTTCCTTGGCAATGGTGCTCAGCTGTTCGTTATGACCGGCTTCACCATTTGCTTTGCGCTATTGGGTTTCCTGTCACCATCGAACCGTGGCTCTCTTGGAACGATAATGATCTTCCTATATACCCTACTTAGCTTCGTTGGTGGTTACGTTTCTGCGAGAGCTTATAAGTCGATGAATGGCGAGAAGTGGAAGCTAAACATTGGATTGACTCCTCTTCTTGTTCCCGGTATCGTCTTCTCGACATTCTTCTTCCTAAACCTATTCTTGTGGGCTAATGGAGCTGCCGGTGCCGTTCCATTCACTACTATGCTAGTCATCATTGGAATTTGGTTCGTTATTTCGATCCCTCTTTCATTTAGTGGTTCGTGGCTTGGATTCCGCGCATCAGTTGTCGAGCCCCCGGTCCGAACCAACCAAATCCCGAGACAAATTCCTCCCTCTACAACCTACTTGAAGCCGATTCCCAGCATGCTACTTGTTGGTATCTTGCCTTTTGGCGCCATCTTCGTTGAACTCTACTTCATTATGAGCTCCATTTGGTTTAGTAAGATCTACTACATGTTCGGCTTCCTCTTCCTGTGCTATGGCCTTATGATCATCACTTGCGCTGCAGTCACAGTTCTTATGGTATACTTCCTGCTTTGCGCTGAGAACTACCACTGGCAGTGGCGATCTTTCCTAGCAGCAGGCATGAGCGCAGGTTACATCTTCGCGCACGCCTTGATTTACCTAATCAGCAAGTTGTCTCTAGGTGGCTTGTCTGGTACGGTCTTGTACATCGGATATAGTGCTCTGCTTTCCTTCCTTTTCTTTATCTTGACAGGTATGTGAAACTAACATGTGATTAATGTTTATTGTCTTTACTAACATAATATCATAGGATCTATTGGATTCTTCTCGAGTTGGTGGTTTGTGCAGAAAATTTACGGATCCATCAAAATCGACTAAGTAATTAATGGCAAGAGAGGAGGATGAAGGGAAGACCTCATACTGAGCCAAGTGACTCGAGGATGCTTCCTACTTTTGTACCATATATATGTACGACCGAGGTTATTTGTTCCATACGTACCTGCGCTGTCTCTTTCAACTTGTTGACAAGGGATAAAATGAGTATTTGATGAGTTGCATAAGTGGTCTGCAAGTTCTAAAGAGCTCGGCGTTATGGGAGGCGTCAAGTTTTCTTCCAGGTTCTTTTTGTTGGGGAGGGCTCTCGCATGAAAAACGAACAAGTGTAGAACAGAAACAAGAAAATGTCTACCACCCGGCTTTTGTGTAGCTGGTGTAGACATCGATTGAGTTACCTACTGAATACGTCTTTGAAAAGCATCAATAGAGTACCATCATTCAATGGATTTATATTCATGCTTCCTTCTATCGTTATCTATAAGCATGAACTCAGCTGGAGGTATATTTAATCAATATATTTGTGATGTCATACCGAAGATACCCAGGTAAGTAAGCTAGGTTGTCATAACGCGAGATCGATCCGGGTTTGAAGTGGAACGAGCGGCGCGTCCCGAGAAAGTGAAATCGACCACACCATTCCGATATGCTGGGTAGATGATGCGGGAGTATGTAGACTGCAACGTAAATCTACTACGATGACCCTGTTTTTAAATAGTATATGCATACCACAAACCTTTGTAAGCAACCCGGTGGACGGCCTTCGAACTCCCCTCGATAATATGATCATATATATGGTTATACGTATCAATTCATCGCGCTTATAGAGTATCTTGGCTATATCATAACGAGCATAACTCTATTTGCGCGCAATGGTAGGCTTAAGTAGAGAGCATATAGGCATACACCACCAACTTAGCCCATGTACCCTCGCTACACACCCGCTCATTCATCATCATCCTCATCATCATCGGCCATAAACTGAAACTGCACCTTCTCACCCACCGGCGACGTACTAACGGGCTGCTGTCCCGCAGCCGCCCCCGCGCCAGCCCCTCCATCAACCACACTCCCCCGTCTCCAAGCCTCTCTCTGCTCCCTCTCCCTCTCAACTCTAATCCTAACCTGTTCCTCCCTAGCCCTACGCTCACGTTCTTCCCGCTCAATCCTCTCCTTCTCCTCAGCAGCCCGCCGTTCTTCCTCCTCACGCTCCTTCCGCGCCTTCTCTTCCTCCGGGTCGTAATCTTCCGCGTCAATCCCTTGTTCCGAGATAAACGCTAACTGCGCCATGGCTCCCTTACGCACTTGCTCTTCGTTCGGCCATGGCGCGAAGTCTACGCCGCTGAGCGGGTTCACGTTCCATTGGAGATCCTCTGGTAACGCTGTTGCTGGGGGATCGGCGGCGGGGGTCTGTTGTGTGGAGTCTTGGCCGTTTGCGTTTCCTGGGGTCGGTTGTGCGCCGTTGGGGGTTGCTGCGGCGGGAGTGGCTGCGTCGGTACTGCCGATTGCTCCGTTGTCTGTGGATGTGCTGTTGAGGGCGCTGGCGGGTGGGAGGGTGGTTTTGCTTATGCGGCGGGCGTAGGCTAGGAGTTCATCGTAGTTTACGTCGTAGCTTGGGGCGTCGGAGGGGAAGACTGTGGCGGATGCTCCGACAAGCTCTTTGCGCGTGTTGGCTAAGAGGCGGAGGGTATCTTTGATTTGGGAATCGAGGCTGGTTGTCGCGGCTCGTAGGTCTTGTATGCGCTTGTAATTTGACTGGTGGGTTTGTACTATATTGTGTGGAAATTGCAGTTAGCTTCTTGTTAAGATAAATCACAAATTGAAGCAAAACGTACGCTCCTCTAAGCCCTTGTTCAGCTCAATGTCTGCGAGACCTAGCTCATTGACCTGATTTACGGACGGGTGGTATTTGGAAATTGAGTCAACTAATGTCCCAAGTGCTTTTTCGACACGGTCGAAGCATGTATCGAGTTGCTTGTCCATGTTTGTGGTGGGAAATTCGTACGTCGAGGGCGTCGAATTGTGTAAGTGGAAGGCAGAAAAGACGAAGCTCTAGCTTTCGCAATGGGGAATTTACTTCTAAGATTCAAAGGTACTTAGGTACATCCGATAGTTACACGATTGTGGGGTCTTAGCGCATGTGAAGTGTGGCTCGACTACTTGATTTTGTCCAATTAAATAAACTTCAATTCTTGTGGCTTTGTGCGTAATATGTGGCTAGTGAAGTTACCGGGATCCTCCGAAGCCAAAGAATGTCGCGCAGCTTCCATCGAAAACCGGAATTGAAGCTGTCACCAAAAGTCTCAACAAGAAACAACACATTTATTTGCCATTGAGTCTCCTTGTCGTCATACCCTCCGACAATAAGCCAAAATGGTGTTCCAGGTATGTTATTCGCAAGCTCATTTTATACGTATTCCCGATGGATTGTTGTGTCTTGTCCGTCGCAAGTTTGAGTGTGGGACGTTGCTAGGAGTTGTGCTAATTCGATAATATCGCAGACCCCCATTCGACGGGCTGTCCCCTCCTACAAGAGCCCCTACGGACCTAAGTGAGTGCGATCCGATCCTCGATTTTACCGATCCCGCCCCTTATGAAGTGTTGGACATGAGCAATCTTTGGGAACAATTGGAAGGAGCGCACAAGTGGATTGGAACTCAAGAGTCGTTTAGGCCAATGGCTGACTATGGGAACGAATAGATACCACTACCAACCGAATGTCGCCGGTATCACATTCAAGCAACTTGCAGGCTTGTAAGCGCCCTGATTTCCCTCGGACTATACCATATGGGCCGCAAGCTACTACGATAAGAACAATGGCGTGCTAATACGATTGGAATACAGCGGCTTCAAGGCTGGTGCCTTCGGAGGTGTAGCCCTCTTCGCCGTTATCTTCTACGCATCCGGTATCCCCAGAGTACAGAAGGATATCCTACAAAAGGTTCCCTTCCTCGGCAACTACTACATCAAGGAGATCCCCGCCTCGGACAACGTGAGTTACTTGTGCTATTCCCTTTTTATAACATGGCTAATCCGACTATACAGCCTTTCTAAGCTGGCCCATTTTGCTGGTTTCTCTTAGAAGTGGAATGAACGCAACGCCGACCGAAAATAGAACTTGCATGGCGAACTTCTGTACAAAATAGCATCCAAATAGATCTCATTGCGCCCTCAGAGCAATCGTCTTGTTTCGTATTTTGACACAGATCTATTCTAGGCCCTGCCTGATGGGGGCCAACTCATCTAGTCTATTATGTATGGTGATGATACAATGCGTCTTTTGATACAAATCTCATCAATGAGCCTCCCTTTTCCTTTTTTTGACCTATGCTTTCTTCTCCGTCAATTCCTCCTTCATCTCGTTCTTCATGCGTGTGATAGTTCCGGCACCCCCATAGACAAGGCTAGTGTATACCATAGCAACACTTGCGCCAGCATTTAGGATCTCTAGTGCTTTTCGTCCATTAGATATTCCACCTGTAGCGAAGATGACCTTCTGCTCAGGGGCCGGAGAAGCGGAGCTCGTCTTCGGTTCGTTCTCTGAGAATCCAGTAATAGTTCCTTCGATAGCTGTTATGCTCGCATCGACGGCCTCATCAGCCACCACTTTTTCCACCTTTTCCTCCTTCGTTTTAGGGGGTTGGAACGACTGACCATCTAGCATTTTGCGGTACCGACTGACCAGATCCACAGTACGGTCGAACATCATAGGGCCTGAATAACCACCTGTTTCCGTCATAGTGACCTGTTCCTTGGGTGTAATCTTCACACCAGGAGGGATCACTCCAATTCGGCGTTTTGTCGTGTTGCCCACGATGACTCCGTCGACGCCACTAGCCCAAACCGCCTGCACAATGCCCTCCATCTGAGCATCCTCGTCCTCGTCCGGCGAAACCTTGACCACAACCTTAGGCTTCTCCTTCCGGTCCGTCTTCCGCGCCTCATCAACCACCGCGCTCAGAAGCCGTGTCAGGGGCTCGGTAGCTTGTAAATCTCGTAGACCCGGTGTGTTAGGGCTACTGACGTTGACCACAAGCACATCAGCATACCGCGCTAGTCGATTCACGCAGTATACGTAGTCCCGACTCACGGCGTTCACATCCCGCTCGTCCGTCTCCTTATTCTTGGCAATCTGCACTAACAGTAGACGCCCAGGTAACAGACTTCCTGGGGGTACACCACCTTCGCCATTTAACACACTCTCCTCATCCAAGCCCACAGATCGTGCATATAGACGAACTCGCTCACGCAGCCGCATAGCCATATCATCAGCACCCCGTGAATTAAGTCCATACCGATTAATCAGACCATCAAGCGTAGGCACGCGAAACATGCGCGGTTTCGGATTCCCCTCCTGCGGTCTCGGCGTGCAACCACCAACTTCCACAATCGAAGCACCGAGCGCAAACAGGGCATCGGGTATATCAGCATGTTTATCCAAGCCCGCGGAAATACCAACTGGATTCGCTAACTGCGTGCCAAACACTGAGACCGAGAGATCGGGGCCGGTGGATGAAGATGAGGTGCGCTCACGTGGGTGTAGACCTAGACTGTAGAGTGTTTTCATGGATGTCACGGCTGCGTTGTGGGCTTCTTCGGCGTCGGGGAAGACGGCGCGGAGGAGAGGTGGGACGATGTATCGGTGCACGAAGGCTCGGGTGTCGGTCGTGTAGACGTAAACTACATAGCCGGATACAGCGATCGATGTCGCGTAGAGAGCTGTTTTTAATCGGGATATTGGGAGTGTATCTGTCGTGGTGGAGGTAGAGGCATAACGGGTGGCGATTCGAGGACGACGGTGATTAGGAGCTCGTCGGGAGAGGGTTGAGAGGGGGTTAGCTGGTGAAGAAAGAAACCGACGGGCTATTCGATGGGAAGAAGCCATTGTGACGGGTTTTGGATGGGCATAATAGCCCTCAATGCTTGGTGGTTGGTTGATTAAGATTGGTGTATTGGAAGTTGAGAGATAAAAACTCGTTCACATCGTTTGGTTGAAGTGAAGCTTGGAAATATTATCAATGTACCTAAGTACCTACCAATGTGCTTACCTTTTAGGCTGCTTACAGCGTCACAGCATTGAGTTATAGTGGAGTCCAGTGTGCCTTCCGACTCCATTACGCATTACGCCAGCTGTCAGTTACTAGAAGATGACCTGTAGCACCTGCTGTACTAATATTGATGCAACATCTTTCAGTATAAGCAGGAACAATCGGCGACGACGTATATTTGTTAGGGATGGTTTAATTAAACCTACGTCATCATCTACAATCTAGACACCTTCATAAACCAGATCTCATCCTTTGATAATGGCGTCATGGCGGGAACTAGACTCGTCGCTGATCATTCAAACCGCACGCTACTTATTAGTATTCACGATATTCCACATTTACACAATACGAAAAGAAGTGCCTCTCAGAATCAAGTCGGCGATATCTACATCTCTTGTGGCTATTGCATTGCTTAGTCGCCAATGGCTTTCTGTTGTCACCAAACATGTTCCGGAGCCTTACCTAGTATGCTACCCTATGTATATTCATGCCTCTCCTCTGGAGCCAATAACTAAATCGTACTAGGACGAAGTATTCCATATACCTCAAGCTCAGGTTTATTGTGAGGGAAAATACTTTCAATGGGATGACAAGATCACAACACCTCCTGGACTGTCAGTTATCTCCCGAAATGATATATTTTACTTTTAGCTGACAGTATCAAGCTATGCCTTGACCATCTTAGCAAACAAGCTGACGGGAATCCCCTGTGAAGCCTACCATCTCCGCTATTTCAACGCTGAGATTATTTCATATCTAGCTTTGGCAGCCATCATATCAAGAGCTAGGCTTGAGCAACCAGAGACGCCCAATTCACGCCGGTACTCACCCTATGCCATCTGGACGGGGATCAATGTCGCCTTATTCCCTGTACTCTTCTTCTTCTCGGGGCTGTACTACACAGACGTCATTTCCACTCTCGTTGTACTACTAGCTTACACGAATCACCAAAGTCGTGTTGGTCCGAACAAACCCTCACTGCTCAACGATGTATACTCTATTTCCCTTGGTCTTCTTACTCTATGTATGAGACAAACCAACATCTTCTGGGTTGTAGTTTATATGGGTGGCTTAGAGGCTGTTCATAGTATCAAAACCCTACGTCCGAAGCCAGTAGCTACTCCAAAATTCACAACTCTATCTCAACAAATCAAGTTTGATGTTTGGAGATATTCGCTTGGCGACATCCATGACCCGGCCCTGAATCTAACGAATCCAATTGGTATGTCCTATGTCGCAATTATTAGAACGCTCCTAATTAAGACAATAGATATTCTACTTTGTGTCATCAGTATTGGAATTTCTGCAATCTGCAATCTCGGAACTATCCTTAGGCACATATGGTCACATCTGGTAGTCCTTGGAGCCTTCGTTGGATTTGTCGCTTGGAATGGCGGCGTTGTCCTCGGTAAGTTAACATAATTAATTATTCTCACATGGATTATCACTGATATAATATAGGAGATAAATCCAACCATGTGGCGACTCTACATCTAGCTCAGATGTTGTATATCTGGCCGCTATTTGCGTTCTTTTCAGTACCCCTTTTCGTTCCACCACTGCTAAACTTAGTCGCGAACATCTTCAATGGCCTTATAGGTTCGACACCAACTTCATCTAGAAAGACTCCAGTTTCATCAAAGGATGCAAATAAATCCAACCAATCAGCGGCATTGAAAGCATTCAACTACCTCGGATCTAGCCATATAACTCACTCTGTTATAATCCTCGCTGGCGCTCTAGCAATCGCAACATTGATTGTACGGTTCAACACTATCATCCACCCGTTCACTCTAGCGGATAATAGACACTTCATGTTCTACGTATTTCGATATACCATTCTCAAAGCATGGTGGGTCAGATATGCTCTTGTCCCTGTGTACGTTGCGTGCGGTTGGCTATGCTGGACTACTCTACGAGGAAACCCCACCACGGCTCTTGGTAGCAGTCGATGGATACGTACACCATTTGGCAATGAGAACCGGGTCTTGAACCAGTCTCGGTCAGAAAAGAAAAGGCCGAATAGAGCACAAGAGGTACAAGATGTAACAGCAATACCGCCAGCAACAACTTCAGTCCTCATTCTCCTTCTCGCGTCAGCGCTCTCCCTCATCACTGCGCCGCTAGTTGAGCCACGCTATTTCATCATACCATGGGTATTCTGGCGACTCCTCGTCCCCTCTCAACTCCTCAATCTCTCAACATTTGGACTTGGACCAAAATCGTTGGTTTCGCAACGGCTAGTCCTAGTTCTCGAGACAACATGGTTCTTACTCATTAACGCTGCGACAATGTACATATTCATCACGCGGCCCTTCTACTGGAGGGCACCAGACGGCACACTTCTGGATGATGGGAAGGTGCAGAGATTTATGTGGTGATTTACAGTTACAAGTCGTGCGTTGCGATATGCACCTACAATTTAAATAATCACATACAAAGCCAGAAATGCGATATTTTATTCTCAATTTTCACTCATGGTATTCATCTTCTAATGATCTTGATAAATCTACCTAAGTAGATAGCAAAGGTAACTAAATACCGCCAGTCTTCTTCTACAGGTGCGAAACCCGCATGCTATGCAGTGAATGTAAAAATTACTCCCATTGGCCAATGTATGAATCTCGTGTAACGTCTATGTTGATATAGTGGTGGCGTGACGTCGTATGTTAATGTGAATAGAATGATGCCCAAGGGCAAACCAGCCAGCTCGAGTTCGAGACTAGGCGGGTAGAATCGAATTGCGTCCTTTCATCTTACGCTTGGTTTTTATTTTGTCTTGCTCTCTCTCTGGGATGCTTCACTCTGAAAATTCCAAAATAATTCAGAAACCACACATGCGAACGCCGTTCCAGAATGATTGCAAAACCGTAACGCCGTGCTGTGTGCCATATACAGCAGATCATCGTCCGCCCATGTCATGTCCGATAGTGTATGTATGTATATCCAAAATTCCCGTCCGTATTCCGTCTTAGTTAGGGGTAGCAAAGCATGTAGCTACCCCGTATTCCATTTACCGTTTCCCAGTTTCCACTCCAGATAAGCGAGCTGTTCGTCCGACAGTCGCCATGGCTATGTTCAGTAAGTTGTGAGATCGTCATTCATCCTTGCTATGTCAATAAAATTAATAATTTCGTCGAGGCGGTTATAGGCTTAGTCGATCCAAGCTAAGACGATCCTGGCTCCGTACCCTTTTCACGACGCCTAGTTTAAAGAAGCGCTCATCGCCGCCGGCTGTCCGACCACCGATATACCATTTATCTGCGCCTAATACATCGCGGAAACCTTCACTGCTGCTATCGCTGCCGCGCCGACGTCCAGAACCAGGTATTGGCATACCCGGGCGATGTGGCTGTGGAGACGGATGATGTCTATGTGGCGGTGATTGTAAGGGTAGTTGGTTCATGACCCCACCGGTGCGCTGTTGGGATTGTTGTGATGTTGACGATTGGCTCTGTGAGGTAGATGAGATGGACCGGGCCCCGGAAGCCGAAGGATTCGAGGTGGATTGCGATGTGTGCTTATTGGGTTGAGAGGTTGCTGACAACGCGGGTGGTGTCTGCTGGCGGAAGGCGGCTAAGAAGGAAGAAAGGAAGAAAGGGCGCTGAGAGGAAGGCATATTGGTGGTGATATCGCGTCGGTAGAATATGGGTGTTACGGATATGGGTTGTGGATGCGGAAGAGGCGGATATTTAGGACGAGCAACCCATATAATTCGGCAGAGCGGCGAGTCGGAAATAATGTCTCGAGATTATCGACGTAATCGTTCGTTCGGTGGCACAATGGAGGGGAGGAATCAAGCTCCGGGGAACCGAGGATATGTCGTGTTTGCTAGGTAATCGGGACGGGACTGGTGTTATCGTATCGTATTACACAATCCTAGCGTTAAGTAGGTATGTACTCGAAGTTCTATTTTAATTTTCTCTACTCGTGTTCCTCTAATAATCGAAGATGAAGTCGCCTTAAATGCAATGTTCGCTTTTGTATAAAAAGCGACCAGCGCGGGACGAAGTAGATGATAGTAGAATAACAACCGGTGAGGATGAAGGACGAACGCAGGTTCCCGTCCGTAATGTACGTCAGGTTTATGGAAGACGGGAGTGAGGGAGAGGGGCGGTTATCCGTCGGGAGTCAAGTTAGGATGAATAGGTAAGATAGAAGAAGAATGACAGTTAAGTAACCCTTCAATCAGGAACTAAGACAAGAACAAATCGACGATGGATTTCCATGCGTTGATATAATAGTTGGAGTTTAGTTTGAGAATTTGTGCGTGTTTATGGATGCAAGGTGAAAAAATCCTGACGTCGAGGCACATACTAACGGATCGAATGGAGTACTTCAGGTTTTCCGGGGTTGAATGGATTGGTTCAAATGTTGGACGAAGATGGTTGGATGAGTCGGAGTTGCAGCGGTTGTAGGTACCTAGGTAATAATCCCTTCGGCCAATCCCGGGTAACATTTTAAAGTCTATCCCACAGCTGTCCCACTAAGCAACTAACTAGGTAACTTTATGTTATTCGACCCGCGCAGCTGCCGCGACCGGTAAAAGGTGGGGTTGGGTCAATGTATCTCGCTTTGCAAATGGAGGGGTTATGATAGGCTGCAGTCCTTTTTTTCGTTCCCTCCTTCCCCAGGCTGCCAGGCCACCAGGGTGTTTTTTTGTCTTCGCTTCGCTTAGTTACAGAAGGTTCGTGCACCTATACTTTAATTATTTAGTTAGCTCACACCGCTGCTACTAGTGCTGCTGCAGTGTTTCCGAGGTATTCTGTACTTCCTATTAATATTTCTTAGTCTTGTTACCCACTCACCCATTTCATTCCATCCACTCACATTACTATCTACACTCTTAACCACCAAGGAAACGAAAGACAAGAAAACATTCGATCCATCGCCGATCCGAGTCTTTTTTTCTTCCTCTTCTATCCTCGGTTCTCACTAGACGCTTTTTCTTTCCCACTTTCCCCGGATTCTCATTTTTAATCTTCCCTATCCCCCGGCTCTCGTCAGCCTGGAACTAACAACTAGACATAATCGAATGTTTCCCATCTTCCCGCTGCCCCGAATGTTCGCCGAATAAACATATCTAATATTATCATTGGTAGTGCCTGCGGGGTTGTCCCCGATCCAGATCATTGGTATCCTTGTTACCTGGCTACTGTGTATGATACAAACAAGACATGGGACGATGCGAACTCCTATTATTGATGCATATTTCCAAACTTGTCAATGCCATGTCACCATACGGCAGTGACGGTATTTTAGTAAGCCTCAAAGGGCTGAAGGGTAGCATCGACCGGTACAAAAGGTCCATCAACAACACGACGAGTTGCCAACTCCGTAACATATTCCGTGTGGTGTTTACCTGCAGCTCTCTGGACTACCTAGGTATGAATAAAAGAAATTACGACGAAGGATCAAGTAACTGCTCTATCTGCGTATTGACGTTTTATCATGTCGTAAGACAAGCCACCAACCGACAGCCTGCATGAAACCACTTGCCCTAGCGATAGCATCTTTCCAGGATATATGTCGCTTTTTCGCAAGTAGTATACAAACTAGCAAGGACATTGATCGTTACACATCAACCTCGATCGACGTGTCTTCTACGTACTTAGTTGACTTGGCGGGGGGTTGTCACATGCTGTTACCCCTTTTCAAGATATCTGGATTTCTAGATTATACTATAGACGTACTACGATATACGAGTTTCGTAAGATACATACGTACTAAGACTACTCTCAAGGAATAAGAGTAAGTGCATGGATATGACTCTACCTAGTACATGACAGTCAGCAGCTATCAGGTAGCTAGAGAAGAACATGATTCCAAACTAAGACTTTTCTTATCATTATCATTCATCAATCATAACTCATATTGCTCGTCAACCTTCATAGAGATGACTGCTCGGGAGTGAGTACGGTTTGTCTCTCGAGAAACCCGGGATTGATCAATGGGTTGTGAAGTTCAGCAATGTTGCTCATGCACGCCGCAGCTGGATCACCGCTGGCATCCAGAGACCCCGCCCAATATTCGTTCCCTGGGAATGCATTGCCGTCCCACGCGTAAGATACAACAAGAAGTTGGTCAGCCTCATCTCCCGTTAATTTAGCAGCCGGATCACGTTTCGAGAACTTGATTTTCATATCTAGCGAAGGTAGGGTATCGGAGTCAACATCCCGGTACGGCCAGTCCGCATCGCCTCTCGGATCAGGAGAAACCCACGAGAAATCAAGCGTCCCTATGTTCTTTAAGCTAGCACTTAAAAAGAACATGGCAGAGTAAAAGGCCTCCACGAAAAGGCGAACTTGGGCACGATCTATCTGCCAGACGCCAAGGCCAAGCCCGACAATGTGGACGTATGCCTTCTTACCAACTTGTTTAGCTCGTTCATTGGCTTCGAGGAGCAGCATTTCAGCGGTGATGCGCATCCGCGCGACATAGGTTTTACCATCAAAACGGGCAGTTGATGTCTTCTCCGTGTCGAAAAACTTCATAAACATATTTCTAAATTGAACTCGTTCCGGATTTTGATCGCCCTTTCCCTCGATAAACATGGAATCCATGAGTCCGGGACGTTCAAAGCGCGCCCCGACAAGGCCGACAATGATACCATTCGTTTCGTACTCCCCTGGTTTTCCAAGCTGAGCCCTATTGCGACGGGAGCCACTGTTGATAAACCCACTTCGCCCGCTGACTCCTAAGAGACTGCCGAGCATGATCTCATCGTAAGTCAAAGACTCTTCTAACACATCAAAGTCCCGGCCCTCACGGCCGATATTATCCCAGAAGGTATGGTCCCTTCTTGACCCGTCGCGCATTATCGTAACGTCCTCATCAGTGTAAAACACTAAAGGCCGTTTCTCAATGAGTCTTCTGACCTGGTCGTTCCAAGTCCAATCTTTGTGATATAAGGCCTTCTCGAGACTTGTTCCATACTGGCGCTTGTGCGCTAGGAAATCATTTACGAGCTCTGGATATCGCCAGTGCATAATAATTTGCGTGCTCAAAGCGTTGGCTCGCACAGTATCGGGGTCTTGGTTTATTACACGGTTGTTCTGGGTGGGGAACTTGAGATGAGTCTCCCTCAAGCCTAACGATTCCATCGTTGCGCCTGACATGGTGATTGAATACCTATGTACTAGTACTGATGGTATTAATAATATTCGAGATCCTCCCTAGAGAAAGTCAATGGGGATATATACAAGATTCACCCAACGTGGTTTAAAATAAATAACAAATGCGTCTTTTATATGAAACAAGATGTTGTGTTGGTGCTCTCGAGCTATTGTTTATGTCAACAGTGCCACGTTTAGGCATCCACTAACCCTGCTAGAGGTACCTAACTAATCAGCACTAATAGCCTATAATAGCCTTAGAAACGAGGAATTAATATCATCAAACAAGTAGATGTTGAAATGAATTTAACGATTTCAATTCTCCCCATATGATATTGGCATATACATAAGTTCAACGATCAAAGTTAGCAAGTGACTAAATGTTGCGGTGTAAGTCAATTGTCTCTTCGAGTTGTTACGTGTCCAACTCTTGATACATCAGGGATCATACCTAAATATTCGACTCCAAACAAACAACACACTTAGATATGAATGATCCCAAATTGAAGATCACATACCTGAGATGTCAGTCCTTTGTGGGTAATGGTCACATTATAAAATTTTTCAAACTGGCAGCAGGCCACTTGACTGTTCATCTATCCTTATTATGTAAATCGGTATTTGTGAAAAGCCGTCTTGGAGTCGATCGTATCTGACAAACTACAGACAGGACCACTAGTGATTGGTGTTTGCTCTTCGGTGTTGTGTGAGCCTACCTAGGTACCAAATCAAGTAAACTGAATCGGGTATAGTACTAATCTCTTCTATTTTACAGGTCGGACGGGTAGGCATTAGGCACCTAGGTATAAACGGAGCGGCATATAGAAACGCGGGGGACGGAAGGATCCCGACGTTTGATAGCATCGCATGCAGGGACGGAGCCGGATCCGGCTCGCTGGGTTCTAGATGGATTAGGATCACGTTTTAATATGATTAAGCTAATTGGATGTTTGGGCTACATGACCTGCAGATAGTATATTTGAAACTTGACTACTAGGACCCTTAGAGAGCTACTCATGCTGTAACGCGTTGTTGGGATAGAAAATATTATCATGCAGGGTCGAAATTTTCTTAGAAAATCCTTTTGGTGTTTATGTAAGTGTTCGGCAGATACAGAGGGGATGAGGCGCAATTAATCTAATTCAATCTCACTACCGACACATCTTGTAAATCATCCCCCCTTTTGACAGATGATGACAGCTCGAGAGGTGGAATTATGCAAACATACTTAGGTAGTTAGTCCGAAGTGGGTGGAAAGTGGCTTGATACAGGAGGGGTCCGGGTGTCTGCATCTTTCTCAACTATTGGGATGGAACGAAACAGTCTCTCTTGGATGGACTTCTCGTCTTCTTTTGACTGTGGCTTGAACCCCCCACCTCGTCCCCCTCTCAAAGTACAAACTGGCGTTTCCCGAGTACTTACTTGGGTAAGTACCTAGTAGTTATACCCTACTCGTGTCTTTACGAATAAGTCAGTAAGTAAAATGTCAGCATCATGATACCTTAGACTGTGACAGAGCGGCCGGATATCTATGTGTGTCTCAAGCTAATGGACCAATGGGATTCTGAGGCGGTCAAGATTCCTCACTGTGTAACCCCCATAGATCTTCAGCGGCGCAAAGTTAGCGTCCATGGATCTAGGCTCAGTCTATATTACTCCGACGGTACCTGTCTGCATCGGAAGTATATTGAGCGTTGGGGGGTGACAAGTTGTGTACCACCCAGGTCCCTGCTTCAACTCCTATACAGGTATGAGGGACTATAGTATACTTTTGATTGGGTATCTCTAACTGCTCGAGTTAGATTGATTGGTCCTTCAAACATGAGTGAATTTGGTAAGCAAACCTCTAGTACCGGCACACGTGCCTCATGTCTACTTCGATCTGATGAGGACAGCAGGCTGCGGATGCGGAACAATGGTCGAATCACTTCGAGCAATGGGGATGATGTTTGAGTAACCATGACCGAGAAGAAGGGAATGAACTCAAGAGACAAGTGTATTTAAACATGCACGTCCTCCCCCATTCTTCCCTCACGAGAATCCTCTTCACCACCATCAACACTATTCTGAGTGCAGGCATAACCCACATCACTCCTTTCCACAACTTCATCACTTGCGCAAGCTCGCTATCACTGTCCTTATATATTTACTTTCTTGTCTCTCCTTGACAAAACACACGATTATCGACTTAATCGACTTTACCAGTACATACACCTATCTTTAGTCAAGATGTACTCCATCACCAAGGTTGTCATTGCTCTGGGCGCTCTCATTGCCCCGTCTATCGCCTTCTCCGGCGACATGACCTACTACACTCCCGGTCTCGGCTCTTGCGGCGAGACTAACAGTGAGGGTGACGCTGTCGTCGCCCTGTCTTCCAGCCAGACTGGTCACTGCAACAAGAACATCAACATTCATTACAACGGCCAGACCGCCTCCGCCAAGGTCGTCGACACATGTCCCGGCTGCGGTGGCGACGGCATTGACGTCTCCCCTACTGTCTTCAAGGAACTCGCCAACCTAGACCAGGGCCGCGTCTCCGTCACCTGGGAGTTCGCTTAAGTCTATCATTTGAGAAATGACCCGTATACTCGGCGTTGACGCTGCTGGCTATATGGGGACGACTTCTCTATTTGCGATTTGATTTTTAGGTGGTCCATGGAATGGATGGAGGGTTAGAGAAAATCGGAACGGGATATTTACATAGCTTGGGTCAGCGCGCGCGCATGTTGTCATGACTGAATGCGAAGAAAAGTACCTACATGGATATAAACCCTTCATAGAAATCAATATGGATCTGCTTATTTCTGCGTAAATTCCTTGAGAATGTTGCACATTCTAAATTCCGTGGATTTGCTGCGAGGCGAGGGGCAATTTCGCCTTATACATGGAGGGGCGTAGCGCTGATGCACTGCCCATTTTACATAAAGATGATCAAATGGTAAGGCGAATGAGACGATACATGTTGGCGATATTTAAAATGTATTTATTGGGGCCATTACATGCATATTTCCTTCTTTTTCCTTCGCCCGAGGCACCATCTTACTTCAGAAGCACAGCCGTTGCATATAGCCTTAAGCACTGCCATAACGAGTCTGATCCATTACATCTAGGGAGGTCTTGCGTCCATATACGTCGACTCTATTGACGACATCGTATCGCTTCTATTTGAAATAATTGGTTATGACATTTATGCAAAGAATGCAACGATAGGATAAAACACCATCTTCAATATATACATTGTAGCCATCCGGTCCAATACATTCCCGTTGGGTTTGGTTATATATTTTCTCCTAAACTCTCGATCCCAAGGTGGAATTTCTTGATCTATAACACTTGTATGGCTTCTTTTATCAGTCGTAAAGCTCACGACCTTGAAGCGTCTAATTATCTGGTAGACAGCATGTCTCAACCATTACGAGAGATCCTCTGCGATAGCGAAGACCATGCACACCTTCGTCAGCAAATCCAAATGATTGATGGAGACAAGGTACAAAGAGTCGCGATCCTCAGCTTCCGGGGATTACAGTTGTACCGCATTGCGAAGTTGCAAGCTGAGCTTGTGAAGAAGCAAAATACTACAATGAAACCTATTGATGGAGTACCTGAGTTTGGACAAGACGCCACCGCCATTGCCGACGCCGACAGGCGGGAGGGGAAAGAAGTGGACGAGCTACTCCAAAGATATGGTGCGTTGATGATAACTGTTCAGTCGCAAAAAAACCGACCCTGTGCTGACGAGTTTTAGCGGACGCTGTTCGAAATTACGAGACACTGTCACAAACTATCGAGTTCAATGAGGATCTTTCATATGACTTTCTTGGTGGAAACCAACAATTTAAAATCATAAAGAGGACGAACAATGCTAACTGGAAGTTACCGTCATGGTTAGCCACGACCAATCCTAGTACTGTTCTCCGATACGGCGCTGGGCCCCTTGGATTTCGTGAACTTGACAGGGGCAGACTATCGCAAAGGAATATTATGGAAAGAATTAGGTCGCGACTTCATATGGCGGCATTCGGTGGTGTGGCATTGATTGGACCTGTGTTAATCATGGCTCTTATCCCGACGCTTACGGTGAATTTAGTCGTGGCATCAGTATCTACGGCCATCTTCGCGATAATATTGGTTTTATTTGCTTCTGATTCGAGCGGGAAGGATGTGTTGGCTTCTACGGCAGCATATGCGGCGGTCATGGTTGTCTTCATAGGCACAACTCTACAGACATATAACTCTAAATAAGGGCACTCCGCGAATTACATTTCTTAGATTGCTGGCCAGTTAGCCCGCGAGTTGATATATCACCATAATCCGGCTGGAATACCACATTTCCACAGCCCGGATGTATGCCTACCCAAGTCCGCCTTAGGCAGGCGTATCTTCGCACATGTACATGAAGCCAGTCATATTTAAAGACTACCTTGCATTGCTATTCGTTCCTACTGCGTTGAAAATATTTTGCGCATATCTGCGTGTTCGTAAATATGATTTGGCAGCATAGAGTCATCTGCGATGGAGGTGCAGTGAGTAAGATGAGAATTCCATGCGCTGTAACGAAATGGTGTACCTAAACTGCAGTTTTACACAGGATAATACTTAGCCGAGAAGCAGGCTCTGGAAAGTGGCAAGTTTCTCTTTTTCAGCTAGATAAGCATTAAGGACTATGTAGGCTTCAGCGTGCGGAGCTTCGGTGAGACCTCTTACCTTTCTGCTGGCGCTTCAACTATAAAGGGGGAGTGTGTCTTCTGTAGACGAGACCATGACTTGAGATGATGAAGCTCAAGCTTCGCCACTTGAACGTATCCGCCTACAAGTCTAAACATGGAACCAGCCAAAGAGGACACCAGCCAACTAGAGCGAGGGAAAAGGTGTCCAACGAAGCGCATAATGAAATTAAGAAACGACAACTGGGTTTACGGTATAGGCGACCTCCGCGAAATTTGGAATGACTGTGGCTTTGAAGATGTGGTAGGAGATTACAACTTGCAGGACGGCGACGTCGGGTTTATAAACGATCATTTGATACGAACTATTTCATGGTTATCTTCAATACGTCATGATGAAATGTCCCGCCGCGTCGTTGACTGGATTAAAAAAAGGGAGAAATTCGACGATAAACTTCCTACCATACGAGCAGATGACAAGGATCTATCTTGGATCGGTGACGATCTCATTTCGTATATGGACTCGTTGAGGAGATTCGCGGCTCCTGTTCTAGTGGAAGGTGAAGAGATAAAATTAGAAGAAAACGAACAGATGCCCTACGACGAACAAGACGGAAAGCCAGATATATTTAAATTCCGAATAGCTAACGGGCACCTTCAGCTACGAAATAAAGAGGTAAGTTCAAAAAATTCTTTACTAAAGGATATGACATAAACTAACTTAGAGCTGCAAGGGCACGGAAAATGGGAAAGTGACAGTGATGAGGAAGAGGTTACCTACAAGTGACCAAATACATATGGAAGAGATCAGAATGCTCAACAGTCTACGGGACGCCATATATAAAGAGAAGGAAGAAATCCGAATATGCACCTGCATCTGCACGGTTTACTCCAATGATAGATCAACAGCGCAGTGTCTGTCATTCTTCGCGGAGGACGGTGATGTAGAGCGCAAACTGGCTCAAATCCCCCCAGATTGCTCTCTGCTGGAGGACTGTCTGCGTCAAATCAAAGGAATTGCCAGCGCGATTGAATTTCTACACTATAGGGTTCAATCATCAAATCCAGCGGAGGAAGATTCACGTTACTGCCACTTGGACCTCAAGCCCGAGAATATTGTAGTTTTCCCAGGGCAATCCAAAGTTGGTGTCTGGAAAGTCATAGACTTTGGTATCTCGAAAGTCAGGAAACCGACGACATTTACTACCCTAGGAACGGATCGCAAGCCTCGTATTACGCATACGGTATCGACGAGTACTTACCAACTAGGAGGGGTCTTCCAGCCCCCTGAAATCAACGAACAAAATCAGAGGGTTATGGGGCGTAGAAGTGATATATGGTCCTTGGGCTGCATCTTGACTGAGGTGCTTGCTGCGAACGTCAGAAGTTTGAGTTCGTGGCGAAACCAGATAAAATCACGCCGTTCAGAAGATGATGGCCTTTTCGGGGATACGGACCAGTTTTACTACTACTATGAGAAATCCGATCGACTATGTATGCCTGTGCAGTACAGTAAGTTGAACAAAGCCTTCCGTCATGGATTGAACGAGATTCCGAACGTCGACGATCCGAATAACTTCAAAGTCTTGTCGAAATGCACGGAACTAGTCAAAAGTATGGTTGTGGTGAAGCGTTCTCACAGGTTAAAATCCAATCTAGTCGTAAGCGAGCTCGAAAACATATTGAACTCTAAGGCTGTTTTAACTAGCTAGAAGGCGGTTCTACCGATGGGGCGCGACAATTTATATAGCATCTGGCGTTGTAGTATTCACATTTGATTTGGAGGCGTCGCGATTATAGACAAGCCTGTACCCTATCTCGTGAGCTTACGATGGGAGATTTCCAGGGTACTTATGATATAGGCATTAAGGTACTTAGGTATTTACATTTAATCTGAATTTATCATAATTCCCCTAGTTCACCCCATTTTGTGGGCGTCTCGCTCATTTCAAACCTGATTAGGCTTGCTTTAACAATGTCTCCATGGTGAAGAATCGGTCGATCGATAGGCTTCCCATCGACACTCAAGCCCTTCACATACGACTTTGACGTCGCGCCAGGTGCTTCAATGACCAGAGTTCTCTCTCCACCGCCAGCGCAACTGACTTCACCCCCTGTCGCCACCCCAGCAGGTAACCTCAGAGTAACCTTCTCGAAGAACGGCGAACCAACAACATACTCATCACCAGCCGGATTAACAGGATAAAATCCTAGCGCAGAGAAAACATACCAAGCGCTCATCTGGCCCAAATCCTCGTTTCCACTAAGTCCAGCGCTCGTAGCATTATAATTCTCGAACGCAATATCGCGAATGCGATCAGCAGCTGCGCTTGGGTGTCCGATTAAAGAGTACAGGTATGGTACATGATGCGAAGGCTCATTACTATGCATATTATGTCCACCATCGAAATGTTCATCTAGTTTCGTCTTCATACCTTGACGACCGCCGGTAAATAATCCAGCGAGTCCGTCGACATCGTGGAGTACGTCGAAGGTGTACACCCACTTATCACCTTCGGTCCAACCCCATGTTTCGTTCGCCCATGTGCCGTTTTCATTACGCGCTCGCATGAATTGGGTATCGGAGTCCCATATTTTTGCATAGTTCTTGGCTCTCTTCTTAAGAGCTGCTGCTTCGTCGTCTTGACCGACGGCTCGCGCTACTATAGCGCATGCTGCGTCGTTGAATGCGTAGTCTAGGGTTCTGGATGCGGATTCTGACCATCTGTCGTTGTCGACCCAGCCGTGATCCATGTAGCTGGTTAATCCTGCGCGCACTTCATAGGGGGTGTCTGGTTCACGGTCGTAGTACAGTAACTGAGTGTCATTTTCGGGTGGTTCATAGGCGTCCTTACGTACAGCTTCCCATGTTTTCTTAAGGTCGAATGAGCGGAAACCTCGCGAGATTGCGTTCGCTAGCACGGCGTCGGCGTTAGTGGCGATCATAATGTTCGTCTCAACCATGTTAGCCCACATCGGTAGACGTCCGGTCCAGTCAAATATTTGTAGCAGAGTGCGCATCATGCTATTTACGCGCTCAGGGGCAAAGGTTGTTAAGAGCGAGTGCTCGGCGCGGTATGTATCCCAAATGGACCATGACTGATAGTAAGAGTCATTGGACTCATGAATGCTGTCGGTGTATCCGCTATAAAACGTCCGGGACCCTTTCGGGTCCTTACTGGTGGGCTCGGAGAAATCATTTGGATACTGAAGAGCGTGGAAAAGGCCGGTGTACCAGATGGTGCGAGGATCGTGCTCTTTGTCGGTCGAATTGACGCCTTCAATTGTAATTCGGCCTAATTTCTCCAGCCAAGCAGACTTTGCATTCTCGACGGTTTCTTCAAAAGTGGTACCATCGGGGCTTTCAATATCCAAGTTTTTTCGTGCCTGTTCGACGCTGACGAAGGATACTGCAGTGCGTACCTCTACTCGCTTTGTATTTTCGTGAAATTTCACATATGCGCTGAGTAGCTCGCCTGATGCATTTTCGGATCCATCCGAAACATTGGCACCAAGCGAAGTTCCGTACGACGCAAATGGTTCGGACAATCGGGAAACAAAGTAGCCCTTAAAAGATGCGGGTTTATCGGGACCTAGCCGATAATCTTGTCGCTGCGGATTATATCCAGAAATCTCATTATTTTTCGGATCTATCCGAACCTCGCCCGTCCAGTTTTGTCGAGTTACTTGGATAGAAACATAAGGCTGCACAGACTCCGAAGATGGGTAAGTATCAGCAGATTCGAAATCAAATCGGAGAGATCCCGTATGAGCAGTTGCACTCATCGCCGCTCGAATCTGTCGGGTATAATTCCGAAAGACATAAACATTGTCTCTTTTCCTCGTACGCCCATTCGCCCCACTTCGGACTTGATCCGAAGCTGATCCAGCACCACCAGGCACCGGACCTTCTCCGGCAGCATCTTCGGTTAAGTTCAGATCATGTTCTCCTTCTGTGTCTGCGTCCAGAACAATTTCATAAACGTAAGGTGTGCTAACCTCATCCTCTTTGCGAAACGCTAGGCTTCGTTGTTCGAACAGAGGCTTCACATCTTTACTCCATCCTGGAGTTAACACTACTTGGCCTAGTTCTCCCATCCAAATTGCCGGCTGATGCGTGGCTTGGAATCCGTGGACGTAAGAATCTCCGTCGTGGTATGGGACTTGAGAGATGTAATTTTCGCGGGTCTGGGCTGTCCATCGGGTCATGCCGAAAGGCACTGATACTGATGGGATCATTCCGCCATTGTCGTCAGGCGAGGAACCGTACGTGCCTATCTTCGGATTCACATATTGAAGTACGCCGACATTATTATGATAATTTGGGACATCGTTTCTTTGAACATTCGCCGAGCTTTCCGTTCCGCTGGGATGGGCCAATGTTTGACTTGAATAGAAGCCAAGAAAGAGGCACTGGAGCAAAGTACGCATCGTCATTTGGGGCTTAATAGTTTATATACAAACAGTTCTCAACGACTGCAATGACGATTAAATCAGTCTTGACAGCATAATTAACCAGTTCCTATCCATTGGCATTTTAGTAAAATCTAAGTTAAGTCCCAACAACCCGAGCGCAGATCTCGTAGGGATATCATTAGATGAATCGAAGCCGAGGAACAAAGAGTCCTTGTGACGTCTTGATAGTGCGGGGAAAATCCATGCCAGATTTACAGACCCAGGTGGCTGGGAAATTAGGGTAGTATTGCAGATGACCAGGGTGCTAATTTCTCGAATTTGGACATGTTAGGAGAAATTTGTAGCAGTTCGTACGCTGAAGGCAGGTCTGGGAACTGCCCTGTAAGATGAAAGGGGATTGGGGATGGGCCGAGAGGCGAACTAACCCCCTGTAACGGATCAACTCCCTACCTAAATACTGAGCCTACGGTCGCTGTAAATATAGTAGATATTAACATTTATTTACAATTCGTAGACACAATAAGTATATCAACTTCGCTTCTAACTGGCGTTTAGAGAATCATTGTTTGGACTTAATATAGCCGCCTGTCGCAAGTAATACGCCGAAAAGCTATCCTTTTCGAAGTGTTGGTAAGCTTGAGATAGGCCAAACAGCGCACGAGAGTCCTTCCTATTCAGACGAGTCGCCCGTCGGTAGCATTCAATCGCAGCATGGATATTCTGCAGCCCCAGGTATTCGTGACCAAGCAAGGTCCAAGCCGACGAAAAGCTCCGATCTGAAACCAAGGCTCTCTTGAAGTATACGATTGCTTCCTCATGACGCGAAGATAAAGAATAGTAACTTCCAACGATGCAACACGTTTCTGGCCGGTGGCGATCAACTGTTGATGCTATCTGGGCAACGAATGCGAGCCGGTCACGGGAAACTAGGCTGTAGAGTACGTTTGAATAGTGATCTAGAGCATCTAGATGTAAGGGATTAGACAGGAGCATCGCCGAGAAGATCGAATTGGCTTGATCAAAATCTGAAGCAGTGTAAATATGTGCTCAATTAACGCGGGGGAAACCGAACCTTCCATGCGGTATAGTGCCAACGCTTGCTCGCTTTCTAAAAATTGACTATGAGGAAATATGGCTTTCAGCTGCGAAATTTCGTTAATAAGGGACGGGGAAGTGTGGTTCAACTCTTGGCGGCAGTGGATAGAGAAGATGAACGTCATGATGCTCGGTTTTAATTCCGATTGAACTTGCTGAAGCTTTTCCCTGGTCATTAGATACCTATTAGAACACAAAGGGGGAGTTGATCTCTTACCTGCTGTGGACTTCTCATCAAGTTGCTCAGCTCTAGCCAAGCACTCCAATTCCAGGGGTTTATAGCGACGCTCTGTAATAACCAGTGTATTGCGGGGTTCTCGATCCTATCTCTGGCAAGGACCAGCCCATATCTTATGGTGATTATAGTGAGCTTCAGCGCTATTCAGAAGAGAGATTCACTGACAAGTATTCCAACCAACCGTCGCTCATCCTAGACTGAATAGAATCGGGTTGCTGCAAAAACTTGAACCAAGACTCCAGGGTTGATTTAATGTAATTCAATTCCTTATTGACAATTGCTTCGGTGTCGTCGGGACCTAAGACTTGACCTAGTTCCTCTTCTTTCTGCTTTTCGCCTGCAATGAATAAAGCATATAGCGAAAGAAATAGTGCTTTTTGACTGATGCGTGTATTTGTGGACACCGTCAATTCACCACCGCATGTTGGGAGAAATACTTCCGCACAGCGTCGAAACTCGCGACAGTCAAAGAATGGTTTAGCTACAAGATAGTTGGAAAATCCATGTTGCTCCAATTTGAACTCAAAAGCATTAGACATAGAATTCGGGAGCTGATGCTCGGTTGGATTGGCGTTTTCCTTGTCTGGAAGTGAGTTGAGCAACTCGGCAGCCCTAGTTAAGACCAAAGAATGTGAGAAAACACCTATACATCAGGATGGGATTTGCTTTACCATTTTGAGGATTGATATAGACACCTTTCGGAGCAGTCGATTGCTGCTTTTCTTAAAAAGCCTTGTAGCTCAGAAATATGAGCCGTTGAAAGGCTCATATTCGCTTGTTTCGTAGTAGTTGTTGTGTCATTGTTTTGGTGAGAAGAGAACGTAATTAGCACATCTTCCACCGTAGGTAAATGTTGTAGGCAAGGGAGGGGTTTACAGTCGCGCTGAGCCACCCCCACCAGGGTGACAATAAACATCAGTCTTCTTGTTACCACACATCACCGGAACGAGAATGAAGTCATTAGGGGCCATATTCGAGGTATAGTTCTTCTACTTGTTCCGTAATTCATCAACACAGTGGCTTCTTAAATACAACGCCACTGGCCATACATCTTCTTTCACAATCGCCTATTGTATCAATGTTTTCATGCATGTATGACCGCCCTACGCCCTGCTACCTAGGGTAGTAAGGCTAAGAGAGTAGAACAACTTGAGTCACAGAACCCCGCCAGCTTTCTACTTTGCCATAGCCATAAGGATTCAGTATTCGTCAAACATAATAGGTACGTGCACTTCACGTAGCCGCTATGGACCTACCATACTACCGCCCCCATCATTCCACCTTCGCAGACGCAGAGGTCACGCGTTGTCTCCTACAATGCCGAGTCCCTGCTGAGCTCGCCATTTACATGGTCTCTTTAGGCCTTAGGCCATGGCTCGTGAAACGTAGAGATCATCCACGAAGATACGCCGCCAATTTCTCAAGGCCCGGTGCTGACGCCAGTATTGCAGGCCTATATCTCAGCACTCAATGCATCCCAACTACCGTTGAACGCACGATCGTTCCACGGCGCATCGTCTTCCAGACTAGGTCTGCTGACCGAGGATGGGCTACTTACAGTAGTGACGGTACATTTAACAATAGCCATACATGGTTCGAGGCCAGCATTCTGCGTCCCTTCCTCCAGAACGATGGAGGTAACGGCCAGGGCGTGGCACTTGAGGATGCCTTTGGGAGAAATACTTGGTGGGAACCTATAGACGCGAGGGAAGCCCTAAGAGAGAAAGGCTGGGACTTCGTGGAGGCGGAAGATGGATGTGTGATGTGGAGAGTCTGCAACAACATTACCGCGCTGATGGAGTGGCGGAACTATAAGGTTGAATGGGTGAGAGGCGTTGAGACCATGGTTAAGGATGAGAAGGCGCAGGGAAAAGGAGAGGGGTTTCTTGAACTATTGAAGCCTGGATGCATCGTCGTGCTCTGGGCAAGGGCAGAGGTAAGTTTATCCTAATATTTTCATAAGAATTTATGGCTAATCTGAGTTCATAGAGAGGATGTTTTAACGAAGTCACCGCGGCAACTATTGAAATCGAGTACGAGATGATTTAGAGCACCAAGTTGAGGATAGGGGTTACGCGATACCCGCTAAAGTGTTCCGGGCCGCAGTCGGATTCCCCTCTAAGTTTGCTGCCGTCGGTGTCTATGAGGAAAGATTTATAGCTTTAGCTTTAACAATAATTCATAATAACAAAGAGTGCATACCTATTATCATTAACTCCAAAAGATAATGAAAGAAACACTAAAAGATTAACATAATCAAAGTTGAAAATTGTCGCCAAGAACAGTGAACTCCCCTATAGAACTAAAAACCTTTGATAGCGCTGTGGCATCATCAGCCTTCAGATGACGTGCTCGCGGAATCGCGTAATTCGATTGCATCTCGCAGATTCAAAGTGGGTAATCTGTCTTATCATGTCAAACATATGAGATTACATATATCTTTTTAATTACACCATCTTTAAAGAAAGATGCAGAATTCATATCCTTTCTGCAATGCAACCAATTGTGTATAATTGAACCATAGTATCGCCTATTAAGCTGATAGACAGTGAAGATGGCTGCAACACCCGAGAAGGATATAGCGCCTGAAGCACCTACAGAGCAGGCCAAAGCCCCCGAAGAATTCCTCCAAAAGCCCGATCCAATCCGCGCCCACCAAACTTCCAGAATTGGCGCCGATGCTGCCCTCCAATTACTTCAAGAAACCGGTGCTTTACACCAAGATGTAGACCCAGAAGCCAGCCGAAGACTCGTTAGACGTATTGACTGGCATATAATGCCGCTTATCTGTATTGTCTGGTAAGTTGCTAATAACTCCCCAAGAAGTCCTTGCTGTCGGTTCGTTAACTAATATGATCGTAGTATGTTACAACACCTATAGCGTACCTATCCCGGTACGGGGTTTCAGACTTTTTACTGACTGACGTATGGCAGATTTTCTCCAGTACATTGATAAAACTGCAATCTCCTATGCCAGTGTGACTGGCATTACGGAATCGACAGGACTCAAAGGAAATGAATTCAATTGGGTCGCATCAATTTTCTTCTTTGGACAACTCGCGTTCGAATTTCCAACGATCCGCTTGATACAGCTATTTCCCCTTGCCAAGTATGCCTCAGTGAATGTCATTCTTTGGGGTACAACCCTAGCTTGCCTTGCAGCCTGCAAGAACTATGCCGGATTATTGGTGTGCCGCTTCTTTCTTGGAGTCTTAGAGGCCGCTATTGTACCTGCATGGGTATTGTTCACTTCGCAGTGGTACACGAAGGAGGAACAAGCCTTCCGAGTTGGCATATGGTTTTCAACTTGCGGAGCCGCGCAGATGTTCGGCGGATTTTTTGCGTACGGTGTAGCCATACATGTTGGCAAAGACCCGAACGCCCTTCTAAAGGGCTGGCAGATTATTTTCTTGTTCCTGGGTCTCTTGACTGCGGTCATAGGAATCGTATTCTGGTTCATCATGCCTGACTCCCCCGCTGTTGCAAGATTCCTTGACAAGGAACAGAAAGGACTTCACCTCGAACGCATTAGACATAACGAACAGGGAATCGGGTCGAAAACCTTCAAATGGGACCAGGTGAGAGAAGCATTGACGGATACAATGACCTGGCTATACGCATTCTGGATTTTCGCCGCCAATGTCCCCAACTCCATTGCGACATCTTTCGGAAACATCTTGGTTAGAGGCATGGGTTACTCAAACGAGGATTCCTTGCTCTTGGTAACACCTCTCGGCGCTTGGGAGATTGTTGCTTTGGTCGGACTCACATATGCGGCGATGAAAACAAAACAGCGACTTTATTTCTGCATCGCCGGCCACATTCCCGCCATCGTAGGTGCCATTTTAATGGCTACGACACAGAAGGTTCCAGCGCTGATCGGGTACTACACAAGTGGTGGCATTCCCATCGGATGGACGACAATATTAGGGCTGCAGAGCTCTAACGTAGCGGGGTCAACGAAAAAGGTCACAGTGGCTTGCATAGGGACAATTGCGTACACTGTCGGCAACATCATATCGCCCCAAACCTTTCAGGCGCGGGATGCCCCAAGATATCTTCCAGCTAAAATCTCCATTTGCATCATCTATGTTCTTATCACGCTTGACCTTGTTCTGATGCGGTGGGTGTTGGATAGACGGAATAAGCAAAGGGAGCAGGAGAAAGAGACTTTGGGAAGTAATTACAAGCCAGAGGAAAACCACGAGTTTTTGGATTTGACGGATCTTCAGAATAGGGAGTTTCGTTATGAGGTTTAGGCCTTGTTCAGGCTCCTACACTAGAAAATAGCGCCGGAAAATGGGGGAATAGCGGGTGGATACCTGGGCGGGGGTTGTCCAGTTAGCGCCAGGAGGTCTGTGATATTCATATCATTTGCGCTGAGCCGAACAAAAAAAAGAACAGAGAACGCGACGAAGCGATTGGCTAGGGAAAACTTTAAAGCTTTGGGTATTTTAGACCAGATCCAAAGAGGAGATTCCAATAATCTTTGAAGCTAAATAGGGAAAACGATTCGCCAAGAATCTCATCAGTAACAGATCAAAACGAATCAGTAAACCAGATTAGTAAGTCATGACATCTATAGCAACATTTTCGCCGCACTAGAAAGAGAGGCCAACCATGATCGGAGATAAGTCATTTGAATACGCTATAATTATAAATGATGATGAAAAGTCACTGACGCTACGAAATATATCAGTCATGATGTGATCTATAAAGATGTAGATGGGGACGAAGCTATAATGGAATCTCTTTAAACAGTACTATGCCCGCCGCACCTTTTTTCTAATAACCCGTGCTTTGTTACTTATTCCGTTCACAAGATGGTCGCCAACAAGACCCTCGTCTTCAAGAAGATTCCTACCGGAATCCCAGTAGCTGGGGAGCACCTGGCATTGGAAGAGCGTCCCTTCGATATAGACGCAATACCTGCCGGCGGTCTCATCGTCAAGGTACTAACTGTGTCATTCGATCCATACCTACGAGATCGCATGCGTGACCCTAGCATTCCCTTATACCAGCCAGCTTTTGCCCTCGACGGAGCTGTCGAGAATTTCGCCGTCGGGCGTGTCCTCAAGTCTGACAGCGACAAGTTCAGCGCTGGCGATCTCATTCACACAGTTCTCCCTTTTGCGGAGTATGCTGCAGTACCTCCAGAGTTTTTCGGCTACGTTAGCAAGATACATAACCATTATAATCTGGATTTGGATCTATTCTTGGCTCCGCTGGGCCTGCCTGGAATCACAGCTTATTCATCGGTATATGAGCTGGGACACCTTAAAAAGGGCGAGACGATATTCATTAGCTCCGCCGCAGGCGCTGTTGGATCCGTCGTTGGACAGCTCGCGAAACGTGAGGGTTTAACAGTGATTGGGTCTGTAGGCTCCGACGAGAAGTTGGATTTCATTACCAAAGAACTGGGCTTCGATGCCGGATTCAACTACAAAAAGGAGCGGGCTTGGAATGCTCTAAAGCGCCTCGCTCCGGAGGGCATCGATATCTACTACGACAATGTAGGCGGCGAGCAGCTAGAAGGATCAATAGAGAACCTCAAGGTCGGGGGACGCATTATCGTCTGCGGGATGCTTGATAACATCAACAAACCACTTGAGGAGCGATTTGGTGTGAGGAATCTACCTAGGATGTATCATAGACGGTTAACAATGACTGGGTTCGTTGTGTCGGATGATAATTTCTGGCCAAAATACGGACAGAGGCATCAGGAGGATCTTCAGAAGTGGATTGCCGAGGGAGGTTTCAAGGCCCCGTTACAGGTTACGCATGGTCTTGATCATGCTATCGAAGGATTCCTCGACATGTTTCATGGGAAGATATTCGGCAAGGCTGTCTTGAAGATAAAGGAGTAGCTGAGATGCGCAGTTTTACACAATGTTAATGCCATACGAAAATTCTATTCCGTAATGACCATATTCATTCATGTAAGCTTCAGTGACTGACCTCGTCACATTGTCCAAACAACTAATTTGTGCAACTAATAGCTCTAAAATGTATTGTAATCGTAAAGTTCCACGCCGTAGTGCCTTGGCCTGCTAAAGTCCGCTATATTTATAGCGTTTGTAGGGCGCTGAGGCGCTATAACTATAGAGCTAACCGAGCCTCGATGGAGCCCAGTAAATTCTAGTGCTATATACCTATTTCAATTAAACACATCACAACTACCTACCTAGGTAGGTATTCACACTCCAATGAGGGGCATAACATCATTTAGTTTAATAGTTCAAATCCATATGTGTATATGACCCCTAAGAACTCTATAGAGCATATCGTATGATATGCATAAATATGCGTAGTCTACTTGTGAGAGACAACCCCCAAAGATTCGCCCAGCTCCTGTCCATTAACTACAGGGGCATTGGCATCAAGCGCAACGTAGAAAACACGCGCAAATTCCGAGCTGCTAGGGTTACTCCAGGCATGCATAGTACCCCGCTGGACGGCAACATCTCCTTTCTTTACTGCGATGAGCTAGAGTTAGCAACCTCATCATAAGCGCTAGGGCTAAGAACGAGGTGACTTACGAATCCTTTTCTCGCCACTTTCAAGTTCAAGCTGGACTTGACCCTCAATAACAACAGCGAAATCGAGGGTAGTAGTTCGGTGCCACAATGGTGGAGCACTAGGGTGGTAGTCAATATAGCGCGACAAGAACCCGCCTGGGATCATAAAAGACTCGGGCTTCTTGACGCAATGTTCTTTGTACGTGTTGAGATCGGAATCGTTGGCGAGGGGAACCGGATATTTAATGCCGCTGTACACGAGGAATAGGTCACCACCCATCGGCGTGCGGTCAAAGTCAATTTCTTCCTTCACGCCCGTCTCAAATGTGGGCTTGCCATCGGCGTCATGCGTTGTGATATACCGATACACAGCTGGCAGAAGCTTTTCTGGGACAGGTGGATTCTGCGAGGCCATTTTTGTTACGACGCTGCAAATTATCGCGAGGAGCTATTTTTGATTTGAATGGCGAAGGTCAACTAGAAGCGAGAATAAGGTCTATTCGAAATATTAAAAGTCATCTTAATCTAATTATTATATCATCGAGGTCTCTTTAATGCTACTACTGGCGGCTCGAAGTTCGTCCGTTACTTGAATGTGTTTAAAATTTTTGTCGGAATTCCGGGCGAGGTCTGAAGAATGGGAACAGTTGTATAGCCCTATCCTCACTAGCTATACTGGAAGAAATTAGGCTTACTCCTGCAAAACTACAGCGAGAATATAGCGTTCCTTCTGCGCTCGGGTGCCGACGACCGAGTACTATTTCCAAAATAGGCAAGTACGCTACGGTGCGGGCCAATAGGAACAACCTATTATTTAGGTATCCCGTCGGGAAGGTCTAACCCTCACCTCGGACACGGCGGCCGATGGGGTTTCAATGTTCAATACAAGTTTGTCCGGTTATAAAAACAGTGGAACATACAAATTTAGCTATTTTAAACACGAGAAACAAGCTTTGGTTATCTAAGCATTCAAGCAGTGATAAAAGGATTGGCCTACCTTACACGTCGGTAGTCGATCAGGCTTTACCTGACAGTGACCCTTCCATAAGGCCTCAATATAGCGACAACTTCTATAATATTAACATATCTTACTTAAGTATCAATCACGATGGTAGTTATGACATATGTTTAGAACTGTAACTATCTTTGTATGTTAGGTTGGTGGGCGAGATTTGACGTGAGTCGGGTTTGTGATCTCAGGGGCTATAAGCCTAAAGTGGTTTAGATGCCGCACTACCGTGCGCCGTTTTCAATAAACTGTCAATGTGTCATAATACAGTGTATATACACAGTGTGGTTTTCTTCGCACCGTAAAGTCTAAATTTACAGGGTTATATGTGCTGTAACTACAGGGCTCTTTAGTGGAGTGCTAAAGCGTGCTATAAATGTGCTGTAAGAGTGCTGTAATTACAGCGCTCTATAGGGCTCAAGTCACTATAAGTATAGCGTCCTACAGGTACCCACTGTAGAGCGCTGTAATTACAGGGCATTTTAGTGGGGTGCTGTAATGCGCTGTAAATCCAGCCACTATAATTATAGTGCATACACCACTATAGTCCCCTGTAGTCACGGGGGACTTCAGCACATTACTCCCTGTAAATACAGGGCTACAGTACAAAGCGCCACCACACTATATTTTCGCACGGTGTTTTGGCGCATTGGCGGTTTTATGCTTATTGGACCGCCGTACGCGCACCAATTTTTAGGGGCTTACATAGGCTTCTCGATTATTGATCAGGGCGCACGTTACGGCGCCCTAGGCCTAGATCGGGGCCTATATCAGCCCTGTGTCTAAACATTTACTGGAGGGGTCATTCAAGAATTAATTCTCTCATGTTCACTTCCATGCAAAACTCCCCGCGTCACGACGCTCCGCCATCACAACCGGAACCCGATAGCGACTCAACTCCCGTCGCGCATACAGAGAGTTCCCGAAAGCGGCCCCGACCTAGCAATGATGTATCTCCTACTGCAGCTTGCGATCGATGTCGGCTCCGAAAGGTCCGCTGCGATCGTCGTCAACCCGAATGTACGAACTGCCAGAAGGCTGGGGTAGAATGCCATACCTCTAATACGGTTAAACGAGTGAACTATACGAAACAATTGTACGTGGCCCTTCATTTAGAGTACCTAGAATCATTACTGATTCCGCAACTTCCCCTCAGACGAGATGAATTCTCCGTCGTTCTAGAACATCTCAATCATGTCGACGAGGCTCTCGGCACCCTGACCGAACTTACCCGCCAGATCGCTGCGCGCCCGTGTTCCCATTACATACCCTCGAATTCTACCTATCTTCCCGGGTCTGATTCCATACCAATACCGAGTTCCGGGCCTCTTGGCCCTATCCAACCTAACACCCCGAGCGAGCTTCGCGCCTTGACCAATCCCCTAGTCGTAAACGAGCTTTTGTCCGAAACTGTTCAGTTCGACCAAGGCGGCGAACGTCTATACGGTTATCCGGCACCAATGGTCTTGATAAAATCAATATTGCACCAGGCAGCAAGCCCTCTACTTGAATCTTGTAAACATAAAGATGGCCACAATGCGGAGGCATGTATTACTCATGTGCTTGAAAACCCAACTACAAGAGCTACATTGCAACGAAAGCTAGATGACTTCCCTTTTAATTCGCAATGCCGCGAATCTGTCGTAGTTGGCGACACAAACCCTATAACCACTCCTCCACGCCTGATGGTAAATCTTTTCGTGGACGGATATCTTCGGAATATTAATACGAGGACGCCCGTTTTCGGCGAGGCCGAGCTTCATCGCGCTATAGAAGCTCATTATGGCGATGAGCAACAACGGGAAAGCAGCGCATGGGCCCTTATCATAAACAACATTGTTCTCCTCGAACTCGGTCTAGAAATTCAAGCCGCTCGCATCTCGCATTCCAACTCTCGTGGAATGAACGATGATATCTTGCCTTCGTTCTTGAAGAATTGCGATCGAGCAATAAGAAATCTTGAAGCTTTCACGACGCCCAGTTTAACCAATGTTCAAGCGCTCATGACTCTTGTATGTGCCTAAATCCGCCCTCGTTTGCTGCATCCCCTATTTTTCTTGTATAAGGATTCGAATATATACTCATCGCTTCAATGATATAGACATTAGTTGCTCGAGGGTTTTATACCAATGCGACAGCTGAGAGTGTATGTAACGTTACCTGTCAAGTTGGCCGTGCTATAGGACTTCATCGAGCAATACCTCACCGTCAAAGCGGGGAAGTCAACGCCTCCCATGATTCCATAAAAGACCGCGAACGACTTTTTCGGGTTCTTTACGCTTTGGATAAACAACGTGTCTTTATGACAGGACAGCCATGCGACCTGCATATGTTTGATTCAGATCATCAGATAGGCCCCGATCAAAGCCAAGAACAGCTTGGCCACCCACTCAATAACGCCTTCGATCACTTGATGATGATCTGGGAAGAGATATATTTGAACCTCTATACCTCAAGGGCCTCTGGCGCCGACGTAGAGACGCGCGCCCGTCATATGCAGCTTGTTACTAGTTCGCTAGGTGCATTCGCCCAGAAGTATGTCGGACTCAGGTCTGCATTCTCTATAAACGACATAACAAATATCGACCCCCTACAGATGGAATTGGTATATGCATATTGTGTCTCACAAGTCCTTATCCTCAGATGCGAACGGGGCAACGAACAAACGCGGGATAAAATGCACGAGCTCGCGCGCTCAAGTCTTAAGCTACTGATTAAGGTATGCAAAGCGCCATTAACTATTGCTCGGTTAGCTTTATTAGCAAGGATATTCCGCAATTATCCCATGGCTGCCTTCGTCGAACTCGTCAACTTCTGCCTAGAAAATCTCTTCAAGAACGGAGAATACGACTCGACAGCTCAAGCTAACGTGTCGCTATTACGTGCAGTATGCGATCAACTCCAAATTCTGCAGCACGATAATCTACCACATATATTCTACGCCCGCTTGAAACTAGGGCTTGAATGGGCTGTCGACACTCTAGAGACTCTAGGGGAGGCCCTCGCTAGACCATTGTCCCGACCTCAAACGTCAATGGAACCTTCACAGCAAGATAGAAACAGTCTCCAGACAACAGAAACACCACAAAATCCCTCAAATATTCCCAGCCCTATACTCCCTGATATATCCTATGCTTGTGCTTTTTGTACCAACAGAGAGGGACAAGGACTTTCAGACCCACCATCGTCTCATCGTAGCGGGGGGGAATTTTCTCAAAACAGACCTGGAGATGAGACAAATTTCGGCTTTTTCACTGCCAGTACGGACCATATATATCTAACCTCACGAAATAATTTACCTACCCCATGTCAGTCTGGCACACCATCTTCTAACCCCCAACCCCAAGCGGAATTAGGTTGTGCCCCGATGACAAACAACTCCAATTGGGGCGATTTTAGCATTGATTTACAAACGTTCACATAGAATACCATGCATAATTGAAGCGTTAAGAAGTCCATACACACGGAGCATAACATTAATGCGTAGAAAGCCATCGCTTCTCACTTTTCATCATTCACACCTACGTCAAGCATAAAGTCACATAACGTATGGCGACACCTAACACGTGGACTCGATAGCCCGGATCAATTCGTGCGCTGTCTTAATTTTTGGTTTGATGGAGGATATATTTGTACGTCAATGCTATAGACAAAGTAAAATTCCCAACGTTACCGAGGTATCTTTCCGCCAAGCGGCCCATCCCTTAAACAACCAAGAAATCATATACTATGTACGTAACCGATGGTATTAAAAAATGTCCCAAAAAGCCCTTTCATGTATGTACCCTCTAACCCTAAGCTGTATTTACGCTGTTCTTGGACCACGAACGAATGCGGTGGCCGAACTTATAGAAAAGAATAGGTATGGGAATCATAGCAATAGCGATGAAGGCAAGTGTGCTCGTCGCCCAGTCCACACCGAGGTTGTGGTACATGTAAGGCGCGAATAGGGGGAAGCCCGCACCGAAAAAGCTTCGAACGAATGTGTTTGCACCAACGGCACTATTAGCGATGGGCGCGTAGACATCAACGATGTAGCTAAAGCATAGCACAAAGATCATGTACATGCCCATGCCTATCGGTATGCTACCCACGACCATACCAGCCCAATGCGTATCGGGATGTGATGTCCATCCGAATATGAACAGTCCAATTGGTAGCAAAAAGCCACCCACAATCATCATCGGTAATCGCTGCTCGGGAATGACTTTGCCTCCATTAGCCCGAACCGTCGCTAGGAACTTGGTTTTGGCGTGTATTATGACAAGGACGGCGCCAAGCACGATTCCCACCAACAAACCGAGAAATGGCAACGCGCTAACACCCAATGCCCAATGCCGAACTTCTCGGAAGGCGATCGGATACGACACAAAAACGAGGTATAGAATACCGTATATAAAGGACTGGTAAATGGTCATAAGGACCAATATCGGCTCCGTAGCTAGCAACGCAAAAGGCCGCGCGAAGTATATACGCGCAACATCAGCGACGCCTAGTAATTTCTGATCGTCGAATTCGGTTCTCGCGTTCGGTTTCGCGCCGCTCTTGCGTAACTTCGCCGCTCGTTTCTGTAGGATCTTCGGCGCGAGGGTTTCGGGTAACGCGAACAGAACGAGTATGATGCAAGCACCGCCCATGATACAACTAAGCCATTGCGTCCACCGCCAACCGAGATGCGACGCAGCAATGAAGTTGCCCATGATTGGGGCTAGGATTGGTGCACCGAAAAGAGTACCGATCGCGGCGGCGACAGCCACGCCCCTTGCTTCCGCATTCCATATATCAACGATACCGCCACCAGCAAGGGATAATGGCGCAGATCCGAAGGCACCCTGGAAGAATCGTGCGACCAGGAGGGTCTGTAAGTTCTTCCCTACAGCAGCCGGAACGCAAAAAATTGTGAACAGTGTCATGGCCACGGTCATAGGCCACTTACGACCGAAGCGTTCCGACATTGGACCCCATATTGGAGGACCAACTGCGTAGCCCTATATCCAAGAATGAATTGGTTAGTTGCTGTGATTTGACTCGCCTGTCTAACAATTGACCAAAATGGAAGGAGGAAATGGAAAACACTCACCAATAGAAACAAGCTAACACCCAAAGTCACCACGACAATACTCGTATTGAACTCGACGATGACGAGGCTGGCACCGCTACTCCAAATACTACTCGCGATCGTGGTGACCAGATTGCCGTAGACCCAGACGAGTGTGATGACGACCTTGCGGGGCGTGGAGTAGTTCTGGGGGTTTTCCTTGTCGTTCGGTCCGTCCCAAGTCACCAAATCTTCATCAATCTCCTTCTCCTCCTCCGCTTGTTGACCCTCTACAAGCGTCGCTGTCGGCGGCTGTGCAGCCTCCACATCTTTTTGCGATGCAGAAGCACGGTCGGTGTCTTCAGACATGGCGACTGCTGCAGAAGCCGGGGAAAGCCAGCTAGGGAGCTATTTTTCGAGATCGATTTTCGCGTCGGGGGTTGTGTTGGTGTGGGTGCTCGCTTTAATTATATGTTTATCGCTTATAATGCGCGGTTGGGGCGCTCTCGGGGTGACGATGTAACGCAACCAGCGAATTGCTCACGTCAGAGTAAAACCACATACGACCAAGACAAGAAGGACATTAAGAAAGATAGGAGAAATTCATGCTGCCTCTCTTGGCCATCATGTTTCTATTGTAGCTCCTCTCTAGCGGCGCAGTAACTCAGCATTGGTAAATTGAATCGATCGCTCTGACTGAGATGATCCAACTCGGTGGAACAACCCAAGTGAACGGCTCAATTCTAGCTACCCAGCGCGTTCAACCAACGCGTTCCAAGGGGAATACCCGAGAGTGCGCACGGGGGTCGGCACCCGCGCTCAATACCCGCAGTCAGGGACCTCATTTGATTATCGGATCCTTCGATGCAACCGTTGGCTGTCGATTGGGAACTTTCGATGTAACCATTTTCTACTTTATCCCCACGTGGGTTAGGTGCTCTCTTCCTATGTAAAGCACGATAACTTATTTGAAAGGCCTTCACAAGCGTTCCCAGCTCTGTGGACGTGCTCGTAAAAGTAAAATAAGCCTATCATGCATCACTATATTTCTTCATGCTACAATTAAAATTGTACAAATAGCCAGCTCAAATCCATCGTTAATGTTATTCCTGCCAGACGTCGAACCATACATTTTTGTTACAGACTCATCTTGTTACAAGATTTTGCGGCGTAAATCGTGGAGTCCCTGGCATAGGTGATCACAGCACTGTTCTTGGAACCAACCTCACATCCTGTCGACCGCCAATAGACTGCACTGGTAGGTACCATGAACCAAACTATTTACGATCTAATTCACGGGTAACAACCCAAGCTAGCGCAGCAAAGGCAAAAGCAAAAGCATGTGCGCAAGATTATGAAAAGATAGTGTATCGAAGATCCGCACCAGGCGTTCCAGCACTTTGGGGATCTTGCAGAACGAACCGTGCCGATCGTTCAGGGGGGGGATAACGGTTAGCCGAACTACTAGGGTGCGAATTTCGGGCACTACCACTCTGTAGAATATCGTACGGCACAGGCACACCACCACCAAAGTTCGTAAATTCGAAACTCTTCAGCCACACAAAAACGCTATGTTGAAGAGAAGCTAGTATCAGATAACGGAAACCATGCTCAGAATCACACCTTCACTGAGCAGTCTAAATGGCTTGAACCTGTAGCGGTGGCCATCCATACAGCTACCCAAGATAACTCGTAAAAAGGGAAACCCTTACCAATCTTTCGCATCGTACAGGCTAGGAGCGCCTCTTCAGCTCATCAGACCCTAGCTCATAGGTCACCGCAATTTAATAACCCAATCAAAACCGTAGAAATATTCTCAACGATAGCGACTATCACGTCGCTAGAAAATGTCGAAATTGGAAGGTTTATTCTTGTAGGAAGCTTGGCTAGCACGTTTCTTTAAGACGCCACGGATCGAAAGAACCTTGCTTTTCAAGCAGCGTCCAGGATGTAACCGTATTGTGTTTGCTGAAGGAAGCACAGGTACCTAAGGTAGCCCCTGTAAGAGGAACCTGATGGCTTAAGCCACCGCTTGAACAGATATATATCAAGGCCCCACGGCTGCATTCAGTGGCGCAGAAAAGCCCTAGGTCAAATACATTTGCAATGGCACATAGATCTTGATTAGGTGTAACCTTGAGGAGCGGTATGAAATTTAGCAATAACTGATCTACTTAGGTAGAGTAGTAGCCAACAACCTTAAGACGACAGATCCTACGTATGATAGATAGATATAACATAGCATATAGCCTCTATTTATATAATTGAGTTACCTTAAAGGCATATGGGTTCTTGAAAGGCTATATGATATAGCAATTTTTGAATATACAATTTCTAAATCTAGGACAGAGTATCTACTTATGTACCTCCCTAGGCATATAGTATGCATGTCTCTGATATCAAACGTGACAAACAAACATATTCTAAGACACCTCCTGGATTACTACACATAACTATATATACCACCATCGTATATATAATGACAGCAATTCTTAACAACATGAGTAGGTACCCAGTACTTCACGGCTCCTTGTCGAAAACACATCTTCGTGACGATGGCAGACGCGTATTCAAGTCTTCCATCTAATCCTAATGGCCAGATGTATAACACTTCCAGCAAATATATCAAATCTATATCTCTTATATTATTGGCGTTGTAAGGCCCTAGCTGCTGTGTACCTATCAAGCCACAAAACACCATCCAATTACCCCCAGAAACTCCAAATCTTCACCTTGACACATCACATCAGGCAGCGTATGACTCTTCCCATGCTTGTTCCTGCCTCTAACAGCTTCCCTACAATATGATACGTCGCCCACAGACTCACAACGACAAATCAAGGTTATATCTAAACAAAAGCCCTTCATGTGGGGCCACGTCACTGATCACCCAGCACGACCTTGTTTGTGCTGCATATTTTGGTATCCTATCCCGTCCCCCGCCTTACCTATATGCCGTGAATTTACTCCGCTTATTTTGCTTGTTGGTTAGTGTGACAGAAGTAGGCGACCAGTCGGTTAGCTACAAGTTTTGAGTTAATTTTCCTATTCGTGCGACAATCCTGCTATGACGCAGAGTACCGGCATATAGGGCTGCGATATAGTACCACGAGTGTTGTACAAGCAAACCGGATTACCTTCTATTCGATTATCAACATCAATATAGCACGGCCACGTGATAGAAGTGAGCAGTCTAGGTGGTAAACGGATTCAGATTTCGTATCTTAGGGTATCTTCTATTAACGCAAACCTTGTTTTTTTTAACATAACCACCACTTTACATAACTTTAGAAACACAAACATAGCAAATTCCACTTGAGGCGTCCTGTAATCAGCATAAATCGACTTAGTCCCTCAACCGCAACTAATGCGACCCCCTATCATCGAACCCCTAAGCCCGGGAAATCGCCCTTCAGGCCTTTCAGGTATTAAACCAAAAAAATACGTCAATTTGTGGACCAAGTAGTCACAAGGATGTAGTATAACCCACGAATCTCAACCTATCTTCTCGTATGACTAGGATATCGAAAGAAGTACCGACCACGCGTTCAAGTTCGGAAACTTCCTGAACCGCAACACCTAACGCCAGTATCTGCGCCCATATGTATGACAGTTAATACGTATTATATGAATACAATGGAGGCGACTCGAGCATTCTAGATTTGTGGTATCAAGTAAACGAGGTCTAGAGGCCCAAACCATACAACTCCAGGAGAAACGAACTTGACCATTCCAAATATGGCACAATCTAAAATTAAAAGGCCTCTGTCCAAAATATACAAGGGGAGGAGTCAGAGACCTTCGTTTCAAAGAGGGTGGCGTTAAAAGTATGTCGAACTTATCCAGTTGAGCCCTCGGGAATCGTAGGATAAACTAGATTACTTATTAGTTTCCATACCACAGTTTCAAAGAGAAGTAACAGGTAGACTTACACCATGCGCACGTAGCAATAATCGCGTATAAGCACGTTAAAATAAGCCCCTCGAGCCAGTGACTCTTGCCATCCCCAATAAGGTAATTGACTAAGAGAACCGAAACGAAGAGAACAATGACCTGGAAAGTGTCGAAAGCTAGAGTCATCTCCTGGTTGTTCATGCCCCAGCCAATAATAACCAATAGTGGGATGAGGAGGAGGGCGACCTGCATAGACGATCCGATAGCGACACCAATAGCCAAATCCATCTTGTCCTTAATGGCAACCGTAACAGCAGTTGCGTGTTCGCAAGCGTTACCAACAATAGGGAGGAGAATGAGGCCAACAAATTCTTCGCTAACAGCGCCGGAAGCTGTAATATCTTCGATACCACTAACCATACCCTCGGCACAGAGCGCAATGATAGCGGTTGCACCGATAAGCGTTGCAAAAGCGACGGGGAAACTCAGTTGGGGTCCTTCTTCCTCCTCTTCCTCTTCTGTGTGCGCGCTGCGATTCATTTTATCGACCAGTTCACCGTTTGTGTCAGTAATGCCTGCGTAAGTAGCGGCATTGCCGGCTCTAGCGATTCCAGATGCGATGGCACCCTGGGGAAGGTCCTTCTTGAAAAGTGGTTTACTAGCGACTTTCTGGCTCTCCTCATTGAAGAGCTTGACGTGAGTCTTCATCTGGAAGAAGAGGTACGAGGCATATACGATCAATAGAATAATAGCGACTCCGTGAGATAGACTGGGAACCGCATTTGGGCTTAGCTGGATCGAGCCCTCATAGAAATCGTCGGTATGGGCGAAGACGGTGGGCACAATCAAACTTCCAACAGCTAGAGCAAGCAAACTAGCGGCGGTCTGCGCTACAGTTGTGTTGAAGTACTGTTCTCGGCGGTTGATGCCTCCACAGAAGAAGCAGAATCCGAGGACGAGAAGAAGGTTGGAGAGAATACTTCCAACCAATGATGTTTGTACGACCTTAATTTTACCCTGTGTAAGGGCAATAATAGCCACGATCAACTCCACAGCGTTGCTTGTTCTAATTAGCATTTTCGCTCTGCAAATTTTAGAGTAGCAATAAACTTACCCAAATGACGCGTTAATAAGTCCTCCGAGTACCTCTCCCGTTCGCATAGCAATTTCCTCAGTAGCATTGCTTAGCATGGCAGCGAGCGGAACGATAGCTACGAAGTTGATGGCGAAAACGACCTTGCCATCGAATTGCAGAAAATGTAGGGCGATACCGGCAGGTGCAGCTAATATTAAGATATTAATTGGGGAGCCGAAAAGGACGCGCTGGGTCTGATTCCAAGGCGTAAAAGGAGTAGCAGGTTCTATGTGTTTAAAGAAACCAGTATCCTTCCTCTTTTTTGAATGATCCTCTTCGTCGATAGGAATTTCGGCCTTGGAAGCTTCAAGATCCTGTGTACCACGCTGTCGGACGCTGCTAGTAGTATCAGGTTCGGGGAGCACAGTTGTCGCCTGGGATTCGTAGTTCTCGCCTTGTTCCGGAGGATGCTCCTGGCTATTTCGTGCCGACTGCTGGATCGGTGTTAAGAGACGGCCTGGTGCGCTTGATGATGGACCAAGATGTGTCGTGTCATCGTCACTAGTCGCCCTTCCTCGCTCAGCCGCGTCCATGGTGTTCGATCGCTTCGAGTTGTAGGCTATATGCCTAAAGGGGTTGAAGCGAGCACTACCGCCGGAATTGCGACGACTCACGGCGTGGGCCTTGGCCCTCATTTTTCTCATATTAACTATTTCGCCCATCATGTAAGTATATATCCAAAAACGTGGAATATTTGTTGACCACCAGATCAACCGGGGTCGGATGATTCGCAAAAGGATTAGAGGGGGGGAATTAGGGTAAACAAAAATAGAGTACAAGGCTAGCTGGCTAGGCTACAGGCTCCGGGACATTGTCGGCGCGCCTTGGTAATCTGAATGCTGAATTGAAATTGGTGTTGAAAGTGGCAGAGCAGTGCTTAGAGGAAGGGCGAGAATGATAGGGGCCCAAATAGTGCAATCGAGAATCGAGAGTTGATGACGATGTTTGACGCTATGATTTAGCGTCTAGAACGATGATGGAACGACTCAAGCGTCCTTCAACCAGCGAACGGTGTGGAGAGCGATGGAGTGACAAACGACCTAAATACGGTAGCCTGCCCACCCATCCCATCCCTTGATCATGTAAACCAATGTCTAGGCCATCGCTCAATTGCTTTGTGTTTTCGCCCGCCAATTTGCGTCTTTATATCGCCTTGGTCGCCTTTTCTTGTCCTTCTTTTTCACTTCGCTCTGCCGTGCTTTGTTTTGTAGCTAGGGCTGGGGATCATGTAGTACTTGTGAATTAAAATTCACATAAAGGACATCAATATTAACTTACAATCCTCCATTTTAATAGCTTGTAGTCTGATAAGGCTCTCAGCCTTGTCCTAAATATGGGGTATGCAAGCGAGCCTGCTTGCAGATGGTTGGGGGCCGTTCTGTCGGGTCGGACACGTTATAAAATGCGTCGGTAGCTGGCTGGGTTTTGATATTCTCCCCCAAATGATATCCTGGCGTCTCTCTTCGGTTGGTCGCGAACCTTTTATGACCTCTAGATTCTCGTGTGAGGCCTCGAATGAAGGAGAATTGTCAGCCTAATTAGATGCGCAGGTTTATTAATATTAGAAAGCAACGTAAACGAATGGAAAATATCTAGAAAAATGAGCGTAAGAATAGTTAAGGCAGAGCAAAAGAGGCGCTGGTTCTGGGGCACCACCAAATTAAAAAGAATGGTAGGGCAGAAACAACAGAACCATTGACCGTTCAGAAGAAAGTGTAAAAACTAGCCCTGGAGGTGAACTAACGAGAAAATAAGGAATGTGATCGTGCTGTGGCAGTGGGATATTCGCGTCCCTCCCCTGATCGAACTCTAATGTGACTTTGAGCAAGGGTCTGAAATGAAAGTACATAGGTATCTCGGTACTTGAGGAAGGTACTTAGGTACATACATTTATAGGCACTCCACACGCACGATATGTAAGTACTCAGGTATAAAAACAAAGAGGGAGGCCTCCTCAATTTGAACAGTTTGGATGAAATTCTGAATTGATATCCAGTCAATCAAATGACTGCTGATTCTATCTGATCCAAGTCGCACTGATCGATTCTCTTTGAAAACTCTATGACTCTGTTGGTTATTTATATGGTACCTGGAGGTGACGACGCACTTACCACGTATTTACAGCGATAGTTTACACTAGTTATCTGGGCACCTTAGACAGTGGGTCAGGGTGATGGGATAGGAAATTTGTAGCAAGATATCTCTCTTCCCAGCTGTGTGTTTTCTCCCGGAGCGGATGTTTTCCTTCGGGAGAGGGAGATTATATATTTCCTATTTGTTAGTTTTACCAGCAAAAATTTGTGACTCCAAAGCATTGTTGGTACTGTTAAAATCTTGATTTATCCGAAAGAATTTGACTATTATACTTACGTGGCGGTATGGGGTATTATCTTGGATACCTAACCTTATATACCTTATATATACCTAGGTATGTACCTAGTAGCTAGGTCTCTAGTTCCACAAACATAGTTTCATAGCTTGTACATGGACTCCCCCGTAAAACAAAGGATGGATGCATAATGACGCTAATCTTGAAAGCTTAAAAACAAATCAAGCAGCGCTGTAGCTTCGGATGTTTAAAACTAGCGCCTACCGTGATACCTATGAAGTCAATAACGCGCTCTGATCAGGTTTTGCGTTAAACTAAGGTATCCACCTACGTATGTGTATGTATTTAGGTACCTGAAGAGGTATATCTTTTATCCCCCAGTCCCTTTTAAGCACGATACGCCGTACCTGACAGGTCTCATTTAACTTTTAGGATTAGATCTTCTAAAGCATTTTAATTCAGCTAAAATGAGAAGTTAAAAGAGTTTAGGCGCGCGCAATCGATTCCTTATACGGCCTAATCAGGGTAAGCGAGGCCAATTTATACCCAATCAGAACAACTAATATGGATCTATATCATTCTAAGCCAACTCTTAAAACTTATTAAATTGTTAGGCTATCAGTCATCGTAAGCCTTACGTGTGCGACTGGAGAGAGAGAAAGTTCCTGGGAATAGGGCTGGGTGCTAAGGAACCAACAATGGTTTATAAATGTGAGGAGTGAATGCTACCTGTCAGACGTTTAAAATATGGCGAAAAATGTTAGGTCGCTATTTCTCCTTAGGAGGGCTGTATAACGTAGGTGGCGTTCTGTCTAGGTGTCTCCATCTGCTGTGCGACCGGAGTATGGAGTTGAATAGAGAGTGCGATCTTCAAGTATAAATTAATACCGCCAACCCTCAGAAATTTCCCATTCAAATGCAAATGTTGCCCAAGTGCAATACCGTAACCCCTCGGCGCCATATTCCAGAGCCGACAGGTATTATAGCACTTTATTAGGAAAACGCCCAAATCCTGTCTGTTCTCGTGCCGTCCATGTGCCAACCTGCAGGCATCGTCACGCGTTGGCGCAGGATTCAAAAACCTATCCTATCGCATTCGGACACGGTTGGAGTATTCCATAAAATAACGAATCATAAATGGATATATGATATCGTGGCCGGGGCTTAAGTGTCTCCGGATGGGCAGGGAATATTCCTTACACGGTGGCTGCACCGCAGATTTGCATCGTACTTGGAACTTGGCGTATCGGGCTACGCAATTCACCGCTGACTTCACCGATATTCCTAAGCCACTTCTAGAATACAGTCCTGATAGTCCTGCATATAAGTGAGATTGAAAGTAAATCCCACGCAGTCATCACTAATCATGGAAAAGTCCAAGTACAAATTGGAATTATAGTACAGTCATCAATCAATGAAAATCTCAATATGATTTTGGTGCTGACTTGCTAATATTGGAGGGACCCGCCGTTCGCAGGATGCATCTGCTTTTGCGCCGTATTGTGCGACGCTTGGAACAAAGAATTTATTGTAATCCTTCTAGAGTACTTCGTAAATTAGAGACATTTTGGACATCAAAACGTCTCACCGCTGGAAAAGAGAATGATATGTCTCAGTCTCTTTCTTTGTTGTTCATTGGAGATCTAGTCTCAAATCACGATATATCCTGATTTTGTGTTAGGCCGTAATCGTCTAATGCTGAATGCTCCCACGTCTAAAGAGCAGCGAGCCGGCCAAGTTAGGCGTAGGCACTCTAGGACTATGACTTGCACCTAACTCAGAAGTATTATTACTGCTTCCAAGTACCAAAGTCGGGATACTGGCATCAGGCACGGCCTCAGGACCCAGTGGGGCCGCTCCGGCCATAGGTGTGCCCGTAATACCTTTCTCCAACGTCTCCTTATAAAATGCTTCGAGAGCTTTTACGTCGCTACAAAATGTTTCAAGCGTTTCTTTGAGGGCTTCGGGTTCGCCCAAACCAGCAGACGCTGGTGGGCAGCTTTTCTGCCCGGTCATCCCACTAACGGATGGTTCAGGTGGCGCTCGGGATGCAGCGGATGCAAAGAGCACGGGTCTAAACATTGGCGATGATATCGGTGTAGGCTCCGCCAATCCATAATTCGTATACGCAGTTGTATTCATAAGCCGTGAAACGCGCTCATTGGGGGCGGCCTCGGACCGTGCCTGAGCCGGCTGGAAACCAGCTGCCCGATTGCTGTACAACCTGTTCGCTAAGAGGAGAAAGTCACCTTCATCCGTTATCTCCGCCAATGTCATGCCCGAACGATGGATATATTGTGAGTATTTGAAATCAGGCTTGCCCCATGAATAGCTGACATCCACGTTATTGGGAAAGTTGGAGGCCGCCTCGACGTCAAGTACGTAATCGAATTTTCTCAGTAGGGCTTTTTGATAGTAGTATTTGCCTGGCTGCACTTGTGGCCCAAAAGAATTAGGGTCGTAGTATGTTACAGGACGCTGCGCAGGAGGAGGCAGTGCAAGTCTGACGCGATAGGGCCTTCGGAACGGGTTTACATCGCTGATACGACAAGCCTCTGCAATAGGTACTTCGACAAGACGGAGTCCATGTTGTGCCGCTATCGCTGCCCAGGATTTGAGTGTGTCCTCAATGAGCTTCGCCGTAACGTTCATCCAATCGATACGAATATGGTAGCAATTGTCAGGATTATGAAGGCGGTCATAATGCAAGTTGATCCTCTCCGGCCGGTAGGATTTTTTCCGATGGTCAACATCATACTTCATCATTTTGCTCAGAATAACTTTGGGCCTTTTCCCGCTAGTCGTTGCCAATGTTGGCGTCGTACTTCCTGATATTGGAGAATTTTCTTCATGAATTGACATCGGTTTCTGCATTCCTATCTGGTTGGGTCTTGGCGAACCTTTGGGCGGATTTTCTGATAGAGGTGTAGATGGGACTGAAACATCTTTTCTCCTCGCATTGAACCAGCCAAGTGGGTGAGGTTTCGCATACTCGCTAACAATTTGATAGAAGAATTGACCATCACGGAAAGGATGTCTCCTCTCAACGTGTACGAAGATGCCACGATCACGATCTTTCTTCGCGTCTTTGCTAGCCTCCTTGTCTTTATCCTTAGATTTGTCCTCCTCTAGAACCATTAGGGAATTTCCAAGCTCGACGGCTTCTTCTCGGCTTTCGAGATCTTCAAAATTGTCGAGTAACCATGTAGTCATGTCAGATCCGATAAAACAGTGATAATGAATTCGGAAATGCCACCGCCGCGTTTGCATTCGTATTCCTCCTAATTCGACGGGTTGTTGAATTGCTTCAGCCAGAGTCGCAACATTGAAATTTGACTTGGAGAACCGCTCCTTATCCGATACTAGGCCCTTGCGATGAGATGTCTCGACACTCTCAAATATCGGAAGTGTCTCCATCTCTGCGGCAATCACCACTGAAGGGTCCTCTGTCTTGTAGGTAATATCAAGAGGGTTGGGGTCGCGCTTCTTTGCGCCAACGCTTTGAAACTGACGTTCGGAAGATGATAAGAATCGATGCCGTTGCCATAATTGGGCTAGTCTTTTGATGCCCTCAAGACGAATCTCCTCCTCATCGTCTTCATTCTTTGCTGCCGGGACTGACGACGACGTTCGTGGGTACATCGGTATAAGCACGAACCGAGCACGCCAAAACCTAAGGTTTTCGGTCATCTCATCCGTGTGTCCAGCAAGATACGAATCTATATAATTCCAATTACGTTCGGGTTTAGGGGTCATAATGTCAACATCAATACTATGATACGTATTATCGAGCAGGGTACGAATTGCTGGTCTATATGCAGATGACGGGCCTATGTGGGGTAGAGGCTCCGTTGGTTTCCGCACATAGATGTTCACTTCAACTTCTGTGCCGTTAACACACGATAGTTGGTGAATTGTATTACCAACGCTCATGAATATGCTTGTCCCATCGCCGATGGTTTTGTCTATAGAGAAGACATCGGCGATTCTTATGGCTTTTTGGTCAAACGCCTTAGCTACCGATGGGCCGATCACAACTTGGAACCCATGCGCAAAGCGAGCACTGACCAGCTCTCTAAGAAATTCAGCGCGCGATTTTGTTTGTTCAATGACTTCGTCATCTACCTCTTGCGAAATAGTGTAAGGTTGTCGTTGGTATTCGGTATTGAATTGAGCTTGTGTTGGGAAATATTCTGTTGTCAACGGAACGGCTGCAGGGCAGGATAATGATTTCCATTTCATAACTCTCATCTCGGATGGTCGTGGAAACACATGTTGCCATCGACTAAATAAGACCGAATCATCGACTTTATTTGCATTGGGATTCGATGGGTTGAGCACCACTAACCACGGCGCCATAGCAGTAGTAGGCGAGAGTGTGGACGGTAATTCTGGTACACCTCCTGCTCTCAGCTTTGAATTATATAATCTCTTCTGATCCTCTTCTCTAAGGGCGTTTGAATATCTGAGATCTCGGTCATCAGGCCGCGCACTTCTAGCAATGGGTGTAGCTGGTATTTGACCAGATCTCAGCGTGCTGATAGGATCTAGAGTTTGTATAGGGTTTCTAATTTGAATAGGACGACTGGGTGTTGACGGGCCGAAGTCTGCTGCTGATTCAGATAGCTCATTGATTTGCCGAATATTCCCTGTGCTTGCTGCCTTTGAAGATCCTGGTCGTGTCGCGGTTTTAATGGGCGTCATCGGGCTTGACCTGGGACTCGAAGTGGTATTGGTTGCCGATCCGGTGGTTTCCACCCGAGTCGCATTCTCCGCCCTCACTTCAGCTGTCGCAACTTTAGGAGCGGCAATACCAAATCCGCGATGACCCAGACTGATTTGTCTCATAAACTTAGGGGGTCTTGTTGAAGGTGGCCTCGATTGAGTAGAAGAATTGCGTCGAGAAGCCACAGTGGGTACAGATCCTTCTAGCCCGACTCTACTCGACGACGCAATGCTAGATGATAACACGGTTGGCGGCCCGCTTACTTTAAGATCCCCTACAGAAGTACCAAAAAGACTAGCATCTTCCACTAATTGTTTCCCGGCACTTTCTTCAAGTTCTCGGTAGGGGTGAGTCGATGGTAGAGGCCGGTGTGCTGGAAGCCGAGCCCTCGATTCGTCGAAATTTTGCAATTGTTTCCACAGCAATGTATCTCCGGCCTTCGCCATCTTGTCTGGGATAAACTTGGAGAAACCATAAACATGTTCGAACAAAGCTTCAGGTACCTTTCGAATGCCAATGGACGACAACTGGCGATGACCACTACCTAGTAACTTCCTTTCCTTGTGAAGATTGCCAATAGTGCTCGAGTATACTGGATCGGCATGTAATGGGGTCGTCTCGATTTCATTAGTCTCAAGTACGGATCTCATTTGCAGATCGTAAAGTCTACAGCGAATTGTAAAATCATCTTGGCAGTCATTCGGAGATTGGGCCGAAGCAGACAAGGTAATGCCCTGGAATGACAGAGCTTCTTCTGACTTCCCAGTCCAGTAAGAAATATGTAGCCACTGTGGTACTGCAAAGGCCCATTCATCAGTGAACAATGTAGAACTTGCAGATTCCAATCGACTAGACGAGTCAGCGGCCTTCGTAGGGGATACGGATTCGCCAAGCGTTGTGTAACTGCCGGCTAAGGGTGTCGGCTGTTTCGGCGTGCTCTCGCGACTCCTAACTGATCGGGCTTGTGTTCTTTGGTGCGCCTCAAGGAAGTGAGGATTTCGATAACGAAATAGGGGGACGGAATGTAACGGAATATTCGGGATACATATAAGATCAATACCGATTCCGTTCCCAACGAGAGCTTCTGTTGTTCGTCGCAGGGACTCGTATTCGACTTCGAAGACGCCGGGGCCGGGACTTATAACGACTATGGATATGCCGGTGCGCAGCAGATCTCGATCTACGTAATCATGTGCATATAGAGACGACGCTAGGTTAATAGCCTCGAGAAAGTTCCCATGCATAGCCAAAGAAGACTGTGCCTTGATCTTGCCGGTGGATGTACCTCTCGCAGAGGCATCTTCAGGGATTTCCATAGCATCATTCATAGCCTCTCGGTGGTGGAGGCTAATATCGCGTCGAAAGACGTTAAACTCCATCTTGAGTTGATGCAAAATTTTGGTCCATTCCCCGCTAGACATCTCACTCACAACAACACGATAGAAATCCTTATATGGACGCCGGTCTCCGGAGGTTTGGAAGCCAGTATAGTAATCATCATGAAGGGTAGAATTTGCCAATTCCGTTGTTAACCCAGTATCATACTCAACTCTTGCAAAGAGTACAATACTGACCAAGTGTTTAACTTGGAGCAAGGCCCATTTCTTAAATAGAGCTGGTAGGAAGCCGTTTACAACTTTGTAAAACATAATCTCGCCTGATCCATCCGAGTCAAAGTCCCACATCTCCCGTGCCATTTGTAGGAATAATACATATCTAGCCGACTCGCTTCGAAAAATAGGGCGGGTATTGCGACCGAAGAAGGCGGATTGAACTTTGCGACCTTCCACAAACACAGTACTCACGGTTGCTTTAATTGTTCCGAGGAAGTATAAGAACTGGCCCTTGTACACGGTCCTATCGGCCAAGTCGGCGACAGCGAGCCTCCACATATCCGCACGCGACAAGTACATATCCTTGAAGGAGAGCTCGACATGGGAGGCCTCGACAGCTGGAGCGAGGTGGTCGACTGGAGCTAGCACCACTTGTGTTCCTTTTCTCATATTGAATGCGATCCCAATCTGTTTTGAAACATACACCTCTATATTTGGATGCCTAGCTTTTAGTTCTTTCGAGACGTCCTTCGCCACGAAGATATACCGTCGACTGGTATCGCCGTCGAATTTGGGGAGGTCATCGATAGGAGCGGCAGCGGCAGTAGCGGCGGCAAGTCTTTGGTGATATGATGCCTGTCTCGAGGTGCTATATTGAGAACTTGGTGCTCGGTCCTGGTCTGTCTTTATGGGTGCAATAGACATCAACGCGCCAGGCCGAATTGCCACTCCAAACAGATCGAGGTTCAAGAGAACCTCATCACGAATGACGGACTCGTTAATGGTGACACTGCATACTCGTTCGTCCATTCTTTTCGAGGAAGGTAAATCTCGGGGCGCTGGGTTGCTAGGGCCGGAGTTCATCGACGTGGGCGAACCAGCGGGCAATTTGTCGAAGCTGGACTTGCTGAGATGCCGCAAATGCGAAGTCCAAGGCGAACCTCGGCGGGGTGCCGAGGGCGAGGGAGCGGCATTCCGAGACATTGCGCCTCTATTATCCTATATCAAAAATATGAATACGCATCATTATAGAAAGGACGGCCGAGTCGACTGTCTATGATATGGATTTCAGGAGCATTGTTGAGAAAGAATAATAAGAATAATAAGTTGGAAGGAGATAAAGTTATGATGCAACCTTGAAAGTTCGCCAGCGACGAAGCTGGTAGGCGGCAGGCAGGTCACTTAGGGCAGAATCCCGGCAGAATCGGCAGAAATCCACTATAAATCTTCACCGCCCTCATCTTTAGCTGCCCCTGCCCCTGCCTCCACACCCTACCTCCACTAATTCTGCCCCACTGGCTCTCTCTCTCTGTCTCTTCAATACACCAACACCTTCAACGCTAGGATATTTATTTTTGGAAACATGAACTTCACAACGGACAAATTCCTTAAGTTTTGATTACGAGTTCCGACCTGGGTATTATGAGGGATGGTGTTCATAAGATGGCCATTGTTCAAAATACTACATACTACTGAAACCGTCTGCATCGATTCACCCGACGTCCTATCAAAATGAAAACACCTAATACTAAAGAACCTGGATCACGTATATACGACCAAGGCCAACAACTCCCATATTATCCATCTAACTCATAATGAGATCATCAAGAGGACATCCCCGCTTAACCGATTCATGTTTCGTCTTCTCAGTTACCACTTTCCAAGTCAAGTCCATTAACCTATCTGCAAGCTCCTCGTCTTGTGAAAGCTTGCTTCCCGGCTCTGGGACGGCTGGTGGACAGATGTACTGTCCCGAATCTCGGGCGTATGTCGCAGCAAACATTGTCGAGACCGCACCGTCGAACTGGTTCTTTTTGAAAGGTTCCATGCCAACAGCCATTGCGTATCCGCCAAGAGGAAAGGGTTCGAAGATGTCCTCCTTGCTCATTTTCGTACTCACAAATCCTGGATGAGTTGCGTTGATGAGTACCCTGGGATGACCCGCGTTCGTCACATTCCGTGCAAGCCACCTCGAGTATAGGATGTTAGCAAGTTTACTACGTCCGTACTGGGCATTGGCTCCGAGATCGCGGTTCAGCTCCTCCAAATTCTCGAATTTCGTGTCGTTCGGCGCTGCCTGGTGTGCGTTACTCGCCTGATTGGAAATGCGCACGATATCTCCCTTTGCTGCTGTCTTTTTAATCAACGGGAGTAGGTGAGACGTGAGGACCACGTGCCCCATGTGGTTTACGGCCATGTGTCTGTCGACCCCATAATCGGTGAGCTGATAAGTCATGATTCCTCTTCCCGCGTTGTTTATCAGGATGTCGAGCCTGTCGCTATCTTTTGTGACATCATCAGCAATATCCTTCACTCTAGGCCAATCCGACATGTCGCACTGCATCCATTTCGTTCTATCTGCCGCTTCTTGGCCGAGATCTTTCGCAATGGCGCCCTTGGCACCTTTAACGACTTCTTCCGAAATAGAAAGGATGTAGACCCTAGCAATGTTATTCTTCAAAAGCGTGTAGGTGCAGCCGTAGCCGATTCCCTCGCTTCCGCCTGTGATCACGGCAACCTTGCCCGTTAGGTCAGGAACTTGGTCCAAACTGAACTTATGGGTAGCAACGCCTTGAGCTCTGCCGCCAAAGTTCTCCGCAACGGTATTCTAACTATAGTGTTAGTCTACTTGGAGATACGAACAGCTCTCATTTCCACAGGTTGAAAAGAAGGAAACTGGAAACATGCATTTATCCGCCGCCTGTACACATACCCTGATGGTCTCCATGTTTTTCGATAATTTTCCTTGTGGCAACACGTTTTGTTGAGTAGGAAACGTCGAGAATGTCGCTATCCTCAACACAGTTCTCGATTGATAGACGGAACGTGAACTTGGGAGACTAATAATCGATCGGAACGAAGACGCCAGACAGAGTATATTCCCAACCGTATGCGAAGAGGCCTGCATGTCGATGCAGATAATGGCTCATCACTAAATCTGCCATCCCCAGCCAACCTAGATTTCCGGAAGGATCCCGGTCGCATTCTATAAGAAACTCCTCATTTGTAAGTCATCATCGATGAGCTAAAATTAGGCCGTTTAGCTTCATTCATGACGCGCTGATTTAGTATTGCCGTCTTGACCACGTCAAGAGTGGTGCAGGGTTAAATCGAACTCCTTGAAGAACATGTCCTTGTCCTGATCTAATGTATTCGAAAGCCGGGGGCTACTGGTGAAATAGCGAGCCGTGATTTCTCTCAGTATTTTTGTGAAAAAAGAAAGGGAGATTTTGATTCATCTGTCGCATCGTGCTCGCCACACGTCGTCATGATACACAGATTCATCCCTTTTATGATCTGCTTGGTCGAACATGCAACTCGATCGCCGCCCTGATCTACTCGATTAGTGGGTATTTCAATGTGGCCCCTGACATGGGTCACATTTGCACCACGACACCAATATTCAAGGTCCACCACTTCACAAAGTGCTTAGGTTATTAGGTAGGTATAAGAATTAATCAAGAGATGCATGCAGTGTTACTGTACCTCGATATTTTCTAGGCTTTCCTAGCATTGGATTGATGGATCTAGATGCATCTGCAGCTGAATCTGGCAGCTCAATTTGATAAATACCCGACTTTTAGCGATCCGGTAAGTTGGATCCATCAGGGGATATTCGTGAAAGGCCACGACAACTTCCATGCTCCCCTAGTGCCGGATCCGACTCCCGATGAGATACCACAACGTATGAATACAAGAAAAGATTTGCGTTCCCGCTGTATTCTTTTGACCATTATTCGTCTAGCCTAAGGCCCAAATCCACAAGAGTGACCTAACTGCTTAGATATTAGTCGAACGTTCCCTCCTTCGCAACAATGTGTTGTTCACTTCTATCCAGGGTCTTTTTCGTCAGTGCAAAAGACCGGTCTCTATCCCTGGAGCATATCGCGTTTCGTGGTTGATTCGAAAAATACGGGGATTGTTGTATGTTTCATCGACAGTCCCCCCGGATAAAATCCCCAAAGATTATACTTAATTGATACACGAATATTTGTGTAAAGAGCCCAAGTCCTAAATGCCTCCTTCCTTACGATTCGCTCGATACCCCAAAAATTATGTGATCCAATCGTGACTCAAGGCAGACGAGAAACTCTGAAGCTGCACACACAAAAGATGGGACCACAAATCAATAAGCACTCTCAGTCACCATTATTTCCAGGCAAAATCAAAGTCAGCAAATATTAATGACATTGATATAGATATCTAGAAACTTAGATACCCACCTGGGAAGTTATTCAAAGACCTGGCCGCATAATATCTGGGGCCGTAAATTCTAACCTTGGGCGATAATCCGCCAAGTAACTCCCATCCAGCATCTCGGTACCGCATTACAATACCAACTACCGGTTATGGGTGTATTCAAGCTTTCATCGAAGCAGAAGCTTCTCGCCATTATTGGCATATCGTTCTCATTTTTCATTGCCGAATTAGTTGGTATGTAGATTCAAATTATCGCATAGTTCGAACTGGAGCTGATTATAAATCACAGTGGCATTTTATACCAAATCTCTAGCTCTATTAGCAGATGCCTTTCATTATGTATGTTTCATACGTACCCGTTTGTATATTGGGTGTCGCCTAACTGACCATTCTAGATGAATGACCTAATCGGTTTCATTGTTGCCCTTGTCGCCATTATTGTATGTTGGAACCATCGCGCATGTCTCGATAACTTGGTTGACTGATCCTACTACCAGATCTCAGAACGTGCCGTCTCTCCCCATAACTTCTCCTTTGGTTGGGCACGTGCTCAACTACTCGGCGCCTTCTTCAATGGCGTCTTCCTTCTTGCTCTCGGTATATCCATTTTCCTCCAATCAATTGAGAGGTTCATAACAATTGAACGTGAGTCATTTGATTTAAATTGCGCTGGCCTTGTCTCTGTTGCCTTGCTAACACAGAGATACAGGCGCCGATGATAAATCTGCCGTAGGCGTTGATAATCCTATACTCGTACTCATTATAGGGGGTGTCGGGTTTGCATTGAATGTTATCAGCGCAACCTTATTGCATGAACATCACGGCCACGACCATGGAGGACACAGCCATAGCCACGACCATGCGCAAGACGAAAGCCATGCCGAGGATCACGGACATGATCATACCCATAACCACGTTAATGTCGAGGCGGGTGGACAGACTAGTGACACCTCAGGTGAAGATCAAGACGAGATCCCCCTAACTGTAAGTTCTTTCTTGGACAGTTCATTACCGATGCGTCTTTAACACTTCCACAGCCTATTAGCGCCCATGCCGAGCATCGACATACCATCGTAAATCTGCAATCTTCTGGGCACGACCTCGGTATGATGGGTGTTCTACTACACGTCATCGGCGACGCATGTAACAATATTGGGGTAATCATCGCAGCCTTGATTATCTGGCTTGCACGTTCTGACGCCAGATTCTACGCCGATCCTGGTATCAGCATGGGCATTGCCCTCATGATCCTGATGACGTCGGTACCACTCGTCAAGAACAGCGGCAAAATCCTAATGCAGAGCGCTCCAACAGGCGTGAACATAGACGATGTTAGACACGATCTCGAGAAGGTAAGTAATTTGAGGAAATTCCCACCCCGGTGTCATAGAAAGGGAACAAAATTAACCGGCGGAAACCCCTAAATGAGCTGGACTAACAATAAATACTCGGTGAGCAGATCCCCGGCATCCAATCCGTTCATGAACTACATGTATGGCGACTTGACCAGAAAAAATCGATCGCAACAGCCCACGTTGTAGTATCTAATAACGAGATGACTGATTTCATGGACCGCGCACGAACCATTGGAGAGTGTCTCCATGAATATGGCATCCACTCGGCAACCCTACAGCCTGAGCTTGCGACCCCTACATCAACGTCAACCACAGGTAACGGTAGCAGTAGCAGTCGCAACAGCACCGACAACATCCGGGTTGAACCAAACCCTGCAGCCGTTACTCCTGAGACTGCATCGGCCTCGGGTGCGTCGATTAGAAGACGACGTCCCGAGATAACAGCAGTCGCGGCTCCGTGCCAGATCGCGTGCGGAAACTTATGCGAGAGCTTAACGTGTTGCAACACAACCACAATGCGTATCTAAAAATCGATTATAACAGAAGTTGAGATTTTTTTTCGGAGTTATACACTGCAAGATATAGTGCTTGCATCCAGGGGTAAGATGGCTGTACACTAGACAGATAACTGGCACAACGCGCCATATGCGCCATATACAGAACAAATAAATGCTTTCGCTATCTCCCCAGCTTATGTCCATTATCTATTGGTGATATCTTCCAAAGATTATTTCGAAATCGCATCAAAGCCAGGGAAACGACGAACACAATAATCTCGTCCATCTGTCTAAAGTAACCCAGCGCCACCAGCACATTGCCACCCTATAGTTCACAAATCCCACCCCACGGGCCGTCCTCTGCAATCTATCATCCCGTGTCTGAGAACCTTTATGGCCTCATACCACAATCTAAAAACGTCAGGCCTGAGATGTTATCTAACGACCTTGAACCCGAGCCCATGGCATCGGTTCACAAAACATACCCACACACCACGTTCATAGGTGTGAATCCATAGATCCGAGTCCACCGAGCTGACCTCAGATATAGCAAATCTTCCCCCCCACGCCATGCGGACAAAGGAGTTTCTCCCACGGACTCTTTCAACGATGTCGTCGTCGTGGGGTGTAAGCGTGGGGGGTTAAGGTGCAGGTAGCTTGCAACGTGGGGGTTCTCTTACTGGTCCGAACAGGGCTGGACTTTCTCGAAGGAAGCCGAATCTCCAAATTACCCTATTCGCGACCGAGTGAGATCGGAGTAAAAAGAAAACGAGAAAAAAGCAAAAGGAGCTAGATACCTTGTATGCAGCCACGGCAGGAAGAAGCAACTCTGCATATCCGTCCTACCACTCCATACTTCCCCGGCAGCATTGCGTATCGTGACTTTTACTGCTTCTGCGCGGGTATAGGTAACCTCTTACGTATACGAAAGATGCTATTAGCAACGACAACAACCTACGGCACTTCCAGCTGCTTCTTCTGACTAGAACTCCCGCTAACTCACTTTCCGAAGTCGGCTTCAACCTATACTATATTTGAACTAAGGGAAAAGCAAAGGGGATCTAATCTTATCCATCTATAGCTGAACGTGAAACCAACCCGCGCGTGATAGTCTTACCTGTCCGTCATCCGTCACCGTTACATGCAACATCAGCTAGCTAATACAGGTGTGGTGTGCGTGTATTTGCTTATGTAGGTATGTACGGTGTTCGTCCACCTGGTCTCGTTAGGGCAGGACCCGAGTGACGGAGCCGCGGCGCGAACCGCATTTCGTAAGTACAGCCGACTTGCGTGACCACACCTATTTTCCATCCTTCGTAACCCTTATCTTTTTACCTCTTTTTCTCGAAAGCCTTGTCCCTCTATCTCTTGTTTTTCTGCTGCTTCGGAAATCCTCCATCTTAAAAGCCGTATTCGACTCTTTCTGGCCTCCTCAGCCCTGTCACCTGTTCCCAGCCGCGGTGACATCGCGCCGGTGCTACATTACCTCTACCTACTAGCCTACCTACGGCATGCAGCGCCGCGGATGGCTAGCCTACGGATGGTATACCCTGCCCTGCAGGGACTTGCTCCCATGGTTGAAGTCAATGTTTAATAGGGAGTTTTTCGCCGGTACCGAAACCGAGCGTTTAAGTTCGTCCTTTATTATTATTATTACCTTTTTCTGAATGATACACTGCGGTGGCAGCTCGAAGATACTTGGCTAAATTAGGCGGGCGGGCCCGGCCCGTGAAGGATTTCGTTCCTCCTGTGCGACATAGTTCGCTGTTGTGTTACCTTTATGCCATCATCATGAACGACGATAGATTTGATATATGTGTTTTGCTGGGGTATAATCATGATCTATATACACCGCATGTCAAGATTCTTAGATTTGAGACATTAGGTGATGCGCATCTAGCTGTGTAATGCGTGAATCATAACTGTATATCGGCTAGTGGCCTGATCTCTTCGGCGATGATGTCTTGTTTAGCAGGATTCGTGTCAGTTCGCCGATGGCATGCTTCAGTCATCGGCGATGTTATAATAGCGCATAAAACCCGAGACTATATCCAAGGTCCTCAACCCACCTAGGTACAGCTACAGGAAACGAAACGAGATGAATATAATCAAGACAATAGAACGCTAGCGCGGAAGTCATGAGGTATCAGAAGTCATAGTAGAAGAGGTAGTCGTAGGCGTGGGTAGCGTGTAGTTTTTCTGCTTTGCGAAATATAAGAGTAGTTTTCGGTATCCACTCCTATGAGTACTGGCACAGAATAAAATTCATGTTTGCGCCAATTGAGAAATCAGCTACCTATAGATTTAATAAGCATATAAGTATGAAGTCGCGAGTTGACAGGAGCGGAGCCTCTTGTTGGCGGAAGCTAATCCGGTAGGAAGCGAAATAGGATCGGGATCCAGAAGCTGCATTCCGGTCGTGACTCGGCATAAAATAGAGGCGGTCTAGGGGTCTTCCAAGACAGCCGCCGAGAATACAATACAACATCACCAATTTTGCAGGAGTTACTCTTACTTGGATTTCATAGAGGATTCAAATTTAAAGCGTTGGGCTAGTAAGCGACGACAAAATAATGTCTCAAGGCTGACATCAAGGAAGGTGGCTCGCTTTCATCATAGCGTGATATGAGACTAGAAATCACTTCCCCTTCGGTGATCTGAAGAAAGCACCCGAAGATGAAGAACTAGTTTTTTGCACAGTTGGGGGCAATAGAACTCAATGGACCATAAACTAATACTGTTTTGTATCACGGAACACAATGCTGTTTCGATTACTATGTGGAGCTAATCTTTCTAGTGAGGCATATGGGGCGTCTGTACTGGTAAACATCATATATTCACCCATCTGGATGCAAGACTGGCGATCTCGCGGTTCTGGCCATGTCAAGATAAAATTCGCACCGCGATGGGTCTGATTTGGGTCTGCGTGATCCTCACCACTATTCGTAGTACAATGTAAGCAATAGAACTCCTCCGAACCATACACTGAATCTTTTCGGCGAGCTGCTCCCTTCATAAGATGAAGGCGGGACTCGTGTTACAAGTGGGCAGATTTGTGCGCGACCTGGTTGTCGTTATTTTGGGGGCGGTATCTAGTTGTTTTCTGTAATTGAAGTTACTCATAAATATCGCAAGAGTTGTTGGCTAGGGTATGAATGGATCAGGAGATCCACGAAAAACAGGTGCTTATTCGCTAGATGCCCAACCAATGTTTCGATTTTCATTGGCATCGGCGTCAAATTGGATCTGTGAAGGCAGCTGACGACCTAGTTTCACTCTATAACCAATGACTGCGCTTTGACAAGATGCATACTAGCTGCTATTCACTTGAATCACAACTCCCGCACCTACAGTAGCGTACCGAAATCCATCAAGAGAGGTCGGATCATTATGCGCTGTGCCACTTGACGATCTGCGGGCGCGGTTTGGGGCAGCACCAATCCCTCGAAGAAATCGGCTCCAACATTGACGATTAGATCGAACAGACGAATTAGCAAGGGAGAACGAGTTACGTCCTAGGCCACCAGTTTCGATTTTTGGCTCGAGTAATGTCCTTGATATTAATGATCGCCAGCGTTGCGCTCTGGAGGAGTTTGTATGACTTCACCTATAACTCCGCACAATCCTATTACGCACGCCCAGATGTCGGGGAGGCTGGTTCAGGAACACCGATCTCATCCCCAGATCTTCGGTTCAAATCGCCGATCATGTTTGAGGGGAAGAGAAATCCTCGAGATGGTTCAGGACCCTGCCAGCACGGTAATTTCATACTGTGTCATTGGCGCCATATTCTGTGACAATTGTGCTTTGGAGTGAATACGTCTTGAGCGAGAGGGGAGCCAGTAATGGTGATCTTGTCTGGAGGGATGACATACGTTCTGGCCCAAATTACAAGGGTACCTGGGTAGTTCTGAGATCGTCAGAAACACACGCCTAATGCGAAACTTGGTCAAAGCGCTTCGGCAAGATCAGTGCAGTAACCTAGGCTACCTAGGTAGAAAAGCTTTTTGCTAGGCTTTTCTATCTGCTCTATTCATCGATCATCTAAAAAATAGCGCATGTGATTTGCCGTTTGCTAGAGCTTAGCATATGGGATCTAAGAAGCTGCTAGTGTCAAGTCGGTAATCGAGATACGGAGCCTATGATACTGCGTAATAGGGCTTGAATAAGGGCGCTGATGAAGGGTGAAACTAATCAATGACCTTTGAGCTCCGCTTATATCCAGTTTGCAGCCTTGCCCAAGTACTTGCCTTGGGAAAACTGGCTGATGAAGATGGTCGAGGCCGTTCTACCGCGGCATCACCGTAGGCCCATAAGACTAAAAGAACCGGCGCGTACGTTTGTATGTAGCCCTTGATCATGTACCTAGGAACTTCTAATTAGCTAGAATCCTCCAAGCTTGCTGATCATTGTGAAACTGTAACGTGAAAGCTTGATACTATGGAGCTTTTTCTTATTTTTCTCTTTTCTTTCAAACAATTGAAGTGATCCGAATGCCAAGAAGATGTAAGATGAGATCGGGATACGCGTCGCTGAACGTCACTGGATAAAATACCCAGGAAGCCAAGAAAAACATTTGCCGGCGGGAAATCATCTGAATATGGGGCTACCTAGCAGCAGGTGGAGTTGGCTGCCTTTTTACCAATGATTTAACTTACCTTCACGTTGATTTTTAGTGGTAGGAAAACTAGCGACGCTATAGAGGTTACATACCTAACTACTCGGCTGAGTTACGTGTTAAATAGAATGAGTCCGTGTTCCCGTAGCGAGTATTCCGAAATAGTACGTCTTGAATAGCATTAAATCACCCATTCGAGATACTATGGTGCTAATTGAGAGGTCTAGCCCGGTTGTCAGCTAGTCTCTATTACGTTATTAGATGGAAATAGAAATTGAAGGGTGTCGTCGGATGTGACACTACGGCCTGGTCTCGGGCTTCATAGCAAGCTGAGCCTCATGACGGATCGTCCAAGGGATGCTTATTGTGCCACAGAGGGTATCACAGCCGCGTCAGCAGCGGATGTTGACAAGATGCAAGAAATCTATCCCGCCCAGCCTATCCTGCTTGCTACCCCTTCGAGGGGGTTTGGGGTCGAAGTGCTCACCGCCGGGAATTCGAAATTGTCCAAAAGTGATGCTTGTCGCGTTTATGTAGTATGTAGAGAGACGAGGGAGGAATTATAGGCGGGCAGACGGGTTGCTGTCCGCACTACCTACATAGGTAGCTAAACCAATGTGGTTCAGACCCGGCTACCCAAACGGCCCAGAACCATAAAGACGTGGCTATGGTTAAGCGTATACCATGCGTACACTAGCGAATAGTTGATTGTTGAGATGAGTACGGAATTAAGAAGCCCCGGAGATGGTGTTTCTGCTCACGGGAAGATCCATGGAGCCTGAGAGCATGGCGTACATACCGCCCCGTAGAAATCTAATGAAAACTGGCCAACTAAAATAAAAAAAACCGACGGTTTTTAATATGATCGGAAAAAGTAGCAAGGGATCGAGAATATGTATATCATCTAGGGTCCTATGTGGTACGCATGTTCGACGGCGCAGTACAGGATAAGTCGGATATGTATGTGGTGACGGTGGCATGTATGTAGGCTGTAGGCGACGACGGGTAGGTAGATGAGGTAGATGGGTACTTGGGGTAGCACCTAAGTACATGTAGGTAGGAGTTCTGCATTCTGAAAGAAACAAGAATACAGTCGCATGTGCGAGTCCCGAAACAGGGATGAGCCTGTGACCGCCTTTCCCGAATTACAGATTACCATTGCTGCCATTGCTGGAAAGGGAAATGCGTGCCATATTGCTCGAATGCTGTTGGACAGTAATAAATGATAGAAGCTAACAGCCCTGCAAGCCTCCAAAATAGAGACCCGATGAAGCCCAAGGGCATTGGTGCCTTACGGTACCATACGGGATATTTGGTACGTTTGTATGTATGTGTATGTACCTTTTCATGTTGTATGTCATTTTTGGTAATTGAGGGGTGATGTCATGGGTCTCTTGGTCTCTCCTGAGTAATAAGAATGATAATAATAACCAAACTCAATTGATTGTCATGTTTGAAATAGGAGGTGAGTAAGGATGAGACTATCATAAATAGGTAGTCAGGTATATGTAAGTCAGGAAATATTCTTATTCTTATCCTTATTTGACTTGTTTGCGACAAACCTGCAAATATGCTACCCACCGCTTACGAGGGTTAGCCGATTAGAATTTAGAAAATCATAAATCATGCTGAACTGTAATCCGTACAAACCATAAATTCAACTGGTTCAACTGGTTCGACTGGTCCCGCTGTCCAAAGTAGCTGAGCTAAGAAAATACCTAATGCAGCACTTGCATGCGTACCCGCTAGATGTGGATCCATTGGATAATCGTCTGCAGTAGATCCATTTAGACGTTTTTTTCTCCAGGGCTACGGCGTTACCAGATACGGGCAAGTACGGGCTAGGGCTACTTTCAACGCGAAGTAGTCCGGTACCTTATCCGTTCCAGCGCAGTCCAGCGCAACAGTCAAAGCTGATTGATTACCAACCCTCATTCACCGCCAGATCGCATCGAATCCTTCAGACCGACTCCGGAACCAACAGTCTGGGAAAGAGATAAATTTGTAGTCGCTTGACCCTGGTTTTCTAGTTTTATTTTCTCCAGGGCGACTTGTACTTGTATGGAGTACCTAGGTACCTAGACAAGCTGGGGGGCGGCCTGTCGGTTGGTGCTGGTGCTGTGTTAACTACATTTCAAGGGGTACGTTGGACCTTCGAGAATACCTTGACCCTAGATCTATCGAGTTATCCATAGAATGGGATTTGCGGAGATGTGACCTGTCTATTCATCTTGAATAATAATTAGATTATGTCCCTCTAATGTTCCCTTTTAGCACTTTTATGTAGATTATGTATTATTTGTATATCTGTATAGTAAAGTACTGTGTACTGTAAGATTAGACGTCATAATCGGCGAGTTATCCAATTGCTGCTGCTTCTTTCCTTCTTTTTCTTTTCGTCTTCTTTAGTCTTCACCTGCCCGCCTGCACCCTTATTATAGGAAAGAGTGCACCACCTTACATAACGTCAGGTACATGCCTCACTCTTTCCACGGATTACATTACACCTGCCCACAATATCCATTCCCTCAACTAATTTAATTCCCTATTACGTACAGGTGGTACATGAAATAATGTACTGAGCGCCGCCAAATGGTTTAACAAGTCTTATGTACCTCGAAGATTATTCGACGAGAGACCTCCATTTCTTACTCCAGATGTTCTAAGTTGCAAATCTTTTTGCCTACCTATACATACATACACACCTACATACCTACATACTGCGTGTCAACTTTTTACATTCTTCAACTTTCAACACAACCAACCAGCCCTAGTTCTTTCACCTTTTCTCAACTTCACGGTATCCAGGTTTAGTTGAGGTGAAGTTCCATTAGCTACCTAATAACGTTTCCTCGAAAGCAACTCCCTCTTGTTCGCTTGTCGTATCCAGTCATCTCCGATCACGCACGTTGTCACGCCGCCGTCACGAGTCTTCAGATTAAACGCGTGCACCTTGTACTCGTCCTATTAATTCACGATCACAGAGGGAAAAAAAGAAGTACACACAGCAAACAACACGATACAGACTACAGACCACCTAAATGATATTTGCATTTATTCCTTGCTTGTAATTTTTTAAGACTTTCGCAAAAATACCAACGATTTATCCTCCTTTCTCCGACGATCTCCCACCAACTGTTCGCCCACCGCCATATCTGCATCATTTGACTCTCATTATTGCGTTGTCTTGCATTGCCCAGAAACCAACAGCTCCTCATTCAATTCAATGTCTTTCCACGCCATGGTCAACGCCGCGGAGGGCCCTCACTATTCCATGAGAGCCTGCTAAGAAACAAAAAGGTCTGGTGGTTTCCACGGCTTTGGAATTGCTGATTAGATATATCTCTATACCAGTATCAGCATACTGGGCTTTTAAACTACCGGAACCACCATGCTGGGCAAGCTTTTTAACCTCACCGCGGGAACGGCCGGGGGATCAAATTCGCAAGAGGGTACACCTCCAATTAGGCCATCGCCAGAATCAGTGCAGGAAGAAATCCATACCCGGAGCCTCCTGTTTCCAGATACCCAGGCACTTTACTATCGCCAGGACCAGGTGTTTCCATTACCGTCTGCTCCCGGTGTCCAGTCCGGCGCTTCCGCAAACCCTTTCGATTATGATGGCGATATCGATATTGATGTGCGCGACGTTCGCGTTATAATTATGCAGGATACCTTGGGTTCTGTCAGTCCCTCTTTATTATTTGATAGTCAACCCGCTCCATCGGCTGGTTCACCAGTTGATCGGCCACAACCACCGAGTGCAACTTCATCCTCGCAGTCGCTTATGCAGGATCTCCGACGAGTCCCCACGTCACCAAGGAAAGGTAGTCTTGGACAATCCTCCTCCTCCAGGCCATTGGTAATTCAACCGGGAAGTCCTCAGCCACGACATGGTGCATTTGATCGACGAGGGTCTATCCAGTCCCGCACTTACAGTGCAGTGGAAACCGAATCCCAAAAGGCTACTCGGGAATATCGTGAAGAGCTCGCTAGTTTTTCGAGCTGCATCTTTGCCAACTCCGAAGTCATGTCCTACAAGGGAACATCCACCAAGGTCCACATTATCCCAAGCGAACCGCGACCCCCTGCTGTTTCCAGCTCCTATATGGGTGATGGTCGAGGCTCAATGGGCAGGTCAAGTATGCGGTCAAGCCGGCTTGCACAGTCTTTTACCTCCGAGTCGGCAAACACACAATTTCAATCCTTTTCCGCGCCTCCTCGACAACAAGACCGTAACAAGATTCTTGTCACTCGTTTATTCCCGGTCAATCTACCGAATGATGACCCTGACTCGCCTAATCAAACCTCGACTCCTGGTGGCCGCTTTTCCGAGGACAGTGGCGGATTCCCATTTCCCTACTCTCCAGATGATTCGAAGCCAACCAAGAAAAAGTCGAAACCCGTACAGAAGAGGACGCCAATGTACGCTGTTGCATTGGTACTTCAACTCCCTCCATGCGCATCCAGCGTCGCACCAGCAACAATGCCAAAGCCCGTGTTTCGAGGCCCCAGCTCTTATACCGAGCAAGATCCCTTTCCTTCCTCTTATGGATCCGCACGTCGTTCAGGTTGGACGATGATAGGGGCCGGTTTTGGTTCCGAGTCGTTTGAATCGACGTACAGTAACGACGTCGAGGACCGTATGGATGCGATAACCCAACACTGGGACATCATTATGAGAACGCTCACTCATCTCCAATCTGTCGTCGCCACCACATTAACCCCGATGCTTAGGCAGGCGGATTTATCGGCCCCGGATCCGTACCCCTCCAGTATATCTGCTCATATGGCCCGAAATTCATCTGTAAAGGGCCGAAGAGGTTCGGATGCCTCTCAGATGAAGCCCTCTAAAACGAACGCAAAGCTAGTGGCGCTTCCACCGAGCTGCTTAGCCCAAGATCAACGTATAAGCCAAGAGATAGAGGATGCAACAATACGGATCGTCTCAGGGCTTCGAGCCTCGAGGGTTGTTACCGGACAGGGTCGCTGGGGGCCGTGGAGGGAAGAAGCACGATGGGTGGCGAAATGGGCCGGAAGTAAGGAGCAAGGATTCTTCTTTTTTAACTTGATGACAGCTTTCCTTGCGACACACACCGAATGGCTCCAAGCACTGAGCCCAGTCTGGTATCGAAGAAAGCGATATCAACAACAGAAAGTGAAAAACGAAGAGGATACTTCCCTACCTTCGCGCACAATCATAGTTGCAAAGGACAAGATGGCTGCTAGGAGACTAGTTTTTCTCCTTTCAGCCTTCCTACCTGCTAACCAACAATTACCAACGGTTCGTGCTCAACGCCCGGCAACCTCTGCCTCAGTTGCTGCCTTCGGCCATTCACCGCCATCGTACATAGTACCCATTAACAAAGAAGAGTCTCTGCGTCGTAAAATAAACCGGCGACAAGGGCCTAGAGGTGCTTCCCACACTCGAAGTTTCAGTATTCAATCACAAGCTACGACAAGGTCGGCAACGGGCATCCCCGCACAGCTCGCACACCTTAGTATGGAGTCGTCTAACCACGAGCGTCGATCGTCCGACTTCATCAAGCCCGCAAATTTGCCTATTGCTGGAAATGATATAAATACTCGAAAGAGTAGCGCCGCAACAGCTAATACTGTAGTTCCCGATTCGGCGGTTCCTCACTTTTCTACGATGCACCGAAATGGCACGAGCCGCGGCGCTAGGCCCAACAGTAGTAGTAGTTTCGCCGCAGACGACTTAAAGCGATCGCTTAAGAGAGGCGACAGTATCAGCCACGCGAGCCACGCGAGCACAGACTCCCGCCAAAGTTCGCGATGGGGTAGTGTAATTAGCGGTCTGTGGAGTACCAGGCGCCGAGATTCGACCGCTACTACGTCACAAACTCTAGATATGCCCGGTCATAACGACAGCCCGCTCTCATCACCCACAAAAGTGGTGGCTGGTGGGAGAGATAAACTGGCAGAAATGGTTCGCGAAGTTGAGCCTCTTGATACGTCTGCAGGCCAACAAGTGGATGGCAACCGCGCATCCCTTCAACAGCCCGATACTCCGCGAAGGTTAGAAAACAGGCAGTTTGAGCCTCAACCGAGGACCCCGGATCCTCTAGGCGCCTACGAATCCCCAGTGAAAACGTCCATCAATAATGACGATGGGGTGATCGATGTCGACGTTCAATTTCCGGATTACCTTACATCCTTTGAGACTGCAGTTAGTTCTCCGTCTAGTAGCGGCTACCTGTCAACCCCCGGCCTGGGCAGTGGACTTGACGGCTTCGAACAGTTTTCTAGGCTAGCTATTGATGGCGATGTCCCCTTGAATGTTGCTGGATGGCTGAAGCGTTTTCACCCCGACTTCACTCTGCAGGCAATCCCGCCACAGAAGAGCCTTCTAGATGAGGTGCGGGAATCATTGGCAGCGGAACCAACGCCCATAGTTCATCTTAGCTCCATTCCGGAAGAATGGCCCACCGAACACTGGGTTGACGTCAGTACCGCTATCATTGCCGATACGACTAACTTCAGTATCAAGCGACTTCGATACCGCCGCCTAGTGAAGCCTAAGATGCCGGTAGATAAAAATAATGGCAGTTATTTGACGCCATATGGTTCATCGTTGATGACACCAGCAATATCACCCTACGAGCAGCCTATCAAAGACAAGATCGAGGAAGAGGATTTATTCACCTTTGACGAAGCTCTCGTCGACGCTGTGGAGAGAGTCATTGCTCATGATAGTAGTGCAAGCAAAGGAAGCTCAACTGCGTCTTCCCGATCCGCTAGTAAGCTTAGAGGGAGGCGAGATAGTGAAGTTTCTCAAATGACCGAGCAAGAGACACAAGCGTGTCAAATAGACTTCCACGAAGTACCTCGCTCGGAGTGTAAGACAGTTGTTCTGTCTGCATTATCGAGTATCGTACAGGAAGTAGTAGACGAACGTGAAAGGGAAAACCATGAGGCAAACCCGAATACACCCTACAAAATAATCCGCGAGAGAGAAAGCATACTACGCACAGCCGCTCGAACATGGCTCGAGAGCGTAGAGCTTACCGATCGGTAACCACCGAGTCTCTGAAGTTCAGCCTCCGCAAGGACACCTATCTTCTGTGTCCTATGGATGGGTTTTAATGACGAATGACATATAACGACTAATTTCTATTAAGTTTCGTGTTTTATTTGCCTGGGAGGCAACATAGCAGAGCATGGCGTTGCGATGGAGAAAGCACCATTATGTAACACCACGAATGTTTTCAATTATAAGGGGCGTGGAGATTAGAGGAGATTTTCGCCAAGAGATACCCCAATAAGCATGCATATCATATTTCGAGGAAGGATTAGTTTTACGGCTGCATCATTCTATTCTAGTTCGAACACATAGCCTTTCATCGGTGGGGGGATGTAGTGTTGATAACTTGAAAGTCTTTTCTTCGTTGACGGGTTTATTAGTGAGTGATGCGGGCTAGATACGACAAGGGAGAGATGTGGAAATGACCTGTTCAACATGGAAGTGTCTTTTCATAGCTTAACACTGGGTGTTCGGAACCGAGAGTTAGAGTGTTACCATAGAACCCGCAATAGTATGCTACTTAGGTAGCCAGAATATGCTAATCAATACATTTTATGATGTAAACTATAGTCATTCGCTGCCAATTGTGTCCTGTAGGTGCTTAACCGTATTACTTCGCAGCAGGTAAGACTCTGCCCGATATGATGCTTCGTGAAAATAATCGAATGAATTATCTATATCCCATGGGTATATGCGTGATTGATCATCAAGCCTCTTTTCTATACCTCCATCGTCCTCGCTTTTATAACCCCGTCGCCTTTTAAGTCCCACGAATGCCCACTTAGAAAAAGATTGATTGAATATCACACATTTCCCTCATTTTCTTCTCAGATTGATCTACGCCCATTTACTTACAACCTCCCTGATGCCCTCAAGCGGCACCTCTACCTCTACCAGACGAGCCTTCTTCCCCTCGGCAAGTGGACCTGGATGCGGCTCCCGCCGTAACGTCCACACACTGGAAACATCCAGACTAGCGAGGAAATCAAGTGCGCGTGCGTAGTTTGTCCCAACCTGCGCAATGCCATGGCTATCATCCGATAACGTAAACCGCCCACCGAGTTTTAACCACCCCTCCGCGATCTGCCGGCTGGGATACGGTTCTGCGAGGCCTTTGCGGAGGGCACTGCTATTGCATTCTAACCACCCGCCGTACTCCGCGACGGCTTTTAAGTTTCGCTGTATGCGCTCCCATACCTGCGGCCACGCAGCACGGACATCACGGCCCGGATCCGAGCTCAGGAGGCGGACGAGATCGAAATGGCCTACGACGCGTGGTTTTAGGGTTGTTAGCATGGAGAACTGTTGGTCGTAATACCGAGCGTAGGCCTGTTCCTCAGTTCCTCCCGCCGAGGCGACGGCTTTGGCGTAGTATGAAGAGTCGTAGTCGATGGGTACGCTGTTCACGTGGTGTAGACTCCCTATGAAGTAGTCTATGCTAGGGTGTGAGGAGAGACGTTTGATTAGCCCGTCGTATTCCTCGGGTCGTAGCCATTCTCCTTCGAAGCCGATTAGGATGTGGATTTGTGAGGCGTATTTTGTTTGCAGATGTTGGGCTTCTAGGAGGTAGGCCTCGTGACGGGGGAATAGGACGGCTAGGGAGGCTTGGGGTTCGTCGAGCTAGGCGGTTGTTAGTTTGGTTATGGAAACGTATATATGATGAAATCAAATAAGATAAAATGAGTGTAAAAGCATACTTCCTCAGGATATAGATCTTCAAGACCTGTCCGGGGCATATGTTCAGTAAGACCGATAGTGGTGTAACCCAGACCAATAGCATGTTTGATGATATCTTCAAGTTGGTCTTTTGCGTGACCCGGGCAGAATTCTCCCGAGTGGGAGTGCATTGTGAAGGCCATTGTGACTTGACCCGTTTGTGGTTGAGTGTAAGCCCAATATCGATATTAAAAAAGACTTGAGTTCCTGGCAAACGAGTCAGTAAAATTGGAAGATCTTTTTTTAAAAATTTAGAAACTTTGTACTTATGTCTGTGCGAAGGTCCTGGCACTTCTACCTACTGCCTACTGGGCTAGATAGCTCCAACTTGATATACTTGTATTCAAGTTGGGTGATATTTGGGTAGAGAGAGTGAGTTACTGTTGGTATAGTTGAACTATTGTACCGAGAGAGAGACCCACTTCTAGTCAATACGTGCATGTACATGCTTCTCAGTACCGATACATGTATTATTTTATACCCCAGATCCCGGTTTTGAGGTATCTAAGTCTGCATGTACCAGGTCGGAACTCATTGCGGGTCTCACCGCCTGAACATATAACCGATGCATATGTAGGTAGTTACTAATATATATGCGCGATATCCTTCAACTAAATTCCTTTTTAACGGTTTACATTTCGCCGTGATCCAGAGATATATACCCTGTAAATCTGATTTATGATGGCGGCGGTTTAAATAATTAAGCATGTGGGAGCTATGACCTTTTAGGATTCAAGATTTCAAGGTTCGGAAGCTTGAACCATATTTATGTACCTAGATACAGCGAGGTAGCTCTCGGCAAAGTGGGATAACCCCGTAAAAACAAGCTCGTCCCACCCAATCAGATTGATTCTATCTACTTATGACATCCAGCATCGTGGAACTTTTCTGGAACTACCAAGGTACTTAGGTATCCACATCTCTTCAGCCTTGTACCTTCCGGTATCTAAAGAAGAGGAAGAGAGCTACATATGTAGCTTAGCTAAAACGGCGATTGCGAACAACTAGCCGCCATCAACTTTTCCCTAACATTTTTCTTTTACCGGGTACAACTTCGCCGACGCGTGCGATTCGCGATCTTCATTCTTTTCCTTTGCTAGGAACATATTCTTTCGATGCATGATTAAGGTCTATCGCGATCCAATTGTCAATTGACAATGTTGTTTTCCGAAAGCGACGCGCCTCTTCTGAGGGCGTGGATAATTCGGCGCCTCGCAAATACGTGAGTTTACATCCGCCTCGGTTTTCAGCTTTTTTCCCTTGCGATTCGCTTTCGCTAACCTTTGATTGTCTCTCTTTCTTATCTCTAGATCCGACGCAGATGCCGATGTACTTGCCGACTATGTCTTAGCTCTTCTGCGACATGATGGCGATGCCGATTCCATTCGCAAGATTTTCGAGGAAGAGATTCCTGATTTCCTCAGAGAGGGTATGTCGCTTCACCTCATGAAGCTATAAATATACATTGCTTACCTACTTATCACCTGATAGATGCCGCATCCTTCACGAATGACGTATTCCAGGCCATCAAATATCATTCCTACATACCGGGAGCTGCTCCCCCACCTCCTCTTCCTCTTGCTCCCCGTCACACTCTTCCTCCACCCCCGGTTCCGGCAAGCGTTCCAGGACTACCGCCCCAATATCAGCCCCAATTACCTTTTCCTCCCGCGCAAGCATTGCCAACAGCACCGAGCTTAGGTCAAGGTGGATCACGAAAGCGCTCGTATAATGACCGAGACGATAAGGATGTTGACATCATCTTGACGAGCCGGGATCCTTACCCAGGACACCACCCTTACAAGCAAGCCCGAAGAGGAGGTGGGTTCTCGCAGCGCGGTGGGAGATTTGACGAATCGTATAGGCCAAGAGATCACCGTGGATTCCCAAATGCCCCCTATCAACCGCCTCCTAGCAACAGTCCCTTTGGGCAGCTACCGCCGCCACCACCTTTCCCATCTCAGCATGACCAAGGGATGTCACAGCTAGACCCAACCAGCCTCATAGAAAACATCCAGAGACTACAGCAGCTCGGCATTCCGATTCCACAGATAAACGATCTGCCCAAGCCCGTCTATTCGGGGACTATTCCTCCCCCACGACGACGAAAGCAACGATGTCGGGACTACGAGGCGAGGGGCTACTGTCCAAGGGGTAATAACTGCAAATTTGAGCATAGTGTTGATTCTCTGATGGTGCCCCCGCTTGGCCCCCCTGGGAATGATGGTGAGTAAAATCCTCGAGCGGTAGCCGCGAGGTACTTGGCTAACACACTAACCACGTCGCAGAATATGATCCGAACAATGCAGTTTTCTCCATGCCGGTTATGTCTAACCAACCACAGCCGCAAGGATTTCCGCCTTTAAACCTACCCTCCTTTTCAATGCCGTCGCCTAATAATCGCCGCGAACATAACAAGTCGAGACGAACTAAAGGACGGCCGGCTTTTGCTGCGAGTGGACCGGTTCACGATAAATCTAAGACTAGCATTGTAGTCCAAAATATCCCCAACGAGAACTTTAGCGAGGATAAGATCCGTGGCTATTTTACTCAGTTTGGTAGTATTGCGGAGGTTTCGTTGCAAGGTCATGATAAACTTGCGATAATCAAATTTGATACATGGGATGCTGCTAATGCGGCTTGGAGTTCACCGAAAGTGATTTTCGACAATCGCTTTGTGAAGGTGTTTTGGTACAAGGACGAATCTGAGGCACGATCATCCCCGACAAATGGAAGAGCTGGGAATGGCGTTAAGAACGGGATTACCAACGGCGATGCATCCGCTGGCGAGGGGACTCCTGTAGAACCGTTCGATATGGAGGAGTTTACGCGCAAACAGGAAGAGGCTCAAAAAGCCCACGACGAGAAGATGAAGAAACGAGAAGAACTCGATCGCCAACGCCAAGAATTAGAGGAGCGCCAAAAGGAACTTCGCGAGCGACAGCTTGAGGAGAAGCGCAAACTTCAAGCTAGGTTGTCTCAAAGTGGAAAGACCACACCCTCGGACGGAACAGATGGCGCCGCAAAGAAATTTACATCACAGACGGAAGCTCTTCGGGCCAAGTTAGCCGAACTAGAGCAAGAGGCGGATGTTTTAGGAATCGATCCGGACGCTGCTCAGGATGAATATTCGTCCTGGAACCCTAGAGGTGGTAGGGGTAGCCGAGGTTATCGTGGTCGCGGTCGGTATGCCCCGAGGGCGAGAGGCATTCGAGGCGGCTACGGTTACCAAGCTAAAGGTGGCTTGGAGGCTAGACATGCAGCATATGCCGCGTACTCCTTAGATAACAGGCCGAAGATTATTGCGTTGACTGGAGTGGATTTCACGAACCCGGAGAAAGACGAGCCTCTCCGACAGTACCTTTTTGTGAGTAACATAACATTTCTCGGTGTGGCATGGTCGTGACTAATCTATCATAGGGTATTGGCGAGTTCAAGGAAATCCATACCGACCCTACGACGACGCATATTACCTTCAACGATCGCAAGACGGCAGAACAGTTCATGTTTGGCGTTTCTGCGAATAATAGTATTCCTGGTATCGAGGACAAGATTGAGATCATGTGGGCTACGTCTGCGCCTCAAACAGAGAACAAGGCTACTGCCGACGGCGATGTCCCTATGTCTAGCGGAATAGAGGACGAACAAACCGCTAAGGATAAGGTCAATACCGAGGATAGCAGTGCGACAGCCGGACTAGAGGAAGGTGAGGTCGAGAGCTCACACGTTCGCGACCAACGCGACATGGATTATGAAGCCGGGGAAGATTGGGGTATATCTTGAATGTGGCTATGCTAATAGGTTTATGTCAAATATGTACATTAATATTAGGGAACGCCATGACCTTGTGGCGATAGTCTGTATCCTGAAAAGATGCTGCGCTTTGTGGCTCGACGGTTGATGAACTGTCCAATGCTGAATACCTTCCAGACTGCCTAGCTCGATATGCCGTGTGTGCTGAATTTGCGATTAAATGAAGAGTCCGACAACTTTGAGGAATACAGCACATGTCTGTATCGCATTTTGATATTCTATTTAAATTACAGGTCTTTGCATTAACTTTTTTTTCTCGACTGATACTAAATTAGGTGCTTATAAGCGAAGCCAGTATATCTTGTCCGCTCTAACAAACCGTCACAGTTTGCCCCTTAAATAGGCGCAACTCGCCTTTACCACCCTGCGTCGTCAATCTTCTACATCATCCTCAGCTTGTAGCGCATGCGCCAAACCAGCTGCTACGAAACTACCCATGGCAGTCGCCATCGGCACGCTCTTCATCATTGTCGCGCAATCACCTGCTGCATATACACCTGGTACATTCGTCGTGTAAAATGGCGGCTGTGCGTCAATATGGCCTTGTGGTGCTAGGGTTAGACCTAGGTCTTTGGCGAATGGTCCGTTTAACTCTACGGCTGGGGCGTGGGCCTGTTTTGATGAGTTAGTTGAGGAAACGTTTGTCGGTGGAATATGGGTAAATATTGCTGGGGTTAACTTACCAAGAATCCTTCTTTATTTACACTTCCGTCTTCCAGCGTGACCAATACACCGGCGTCGCCCTGAACTTCTAGATCCTTAGCTAAGCGTAGGACACGGCGGTTCTCAACATGAAATTTTGATGCGCTCTTGAGCTGTTCACGGATTTTCGCTCCGAGTTCTTCGTTACCATCTGTGTATACGGTGACATGGCCCGCAAGTCGATTAGCCATACGCGCAATAACGGGTGACATTAGCGGTAGACCATTGCCGCCGGCAGATCCGAGCATAGGGCCCATGGCTAGAACACCTGCTGAAGCGGCACCTCGCTCTTCGAAGCCATGGCAGAAGAGACAGTGGAAGCTAATATGCTTATTAGCTTATGATCTATAAATTGCCTTCAAGCACCGAAAGGAAAGGAAAGGAAAAAGGAGGAACTTACATCCCATACCCCCACAACTCCTCATACCCCTCCAACGTCGCGGGCATAACATCCCTCACCCCCGTAGCCAGCACAACTTTCCTCCCAACAAACCTCTCACCTTGCTCATCAATAACCTCAAACCTATTCCTCCCCCGTTCATCATCATCCAACTTCCTCACCTTCTCCACGCCTACATCACGGAATCGTATATCAGCGGCTGGTGGGTAACGTCCTAATAAATCAGAGCGCGCTTTTTCTCGAAATGAAGAGGGATCTGCGTGGTCCCATCCCACGACGTTGTGCATGTGTCGCGCGCGCGCGTTGCGGTATGTGTTGGTGCTGAAGACTACTGCGCTGTGTAGTTGTCGTGCTAACCCGCCGGCGCAGGCTAGGCCCGCTGGGCCGCTGCCTAGGATTAGGACGTCGAAGATTGGGGTTGTTGCCATTTTGGTTATGAGTCTTAAGTTCTTAGGGCAGAATGTGGTGGTTTTAAGTACGATTAATGTGTGGATGTGAAGTGTTTTGTTAGTTTACTCGAGAATACGAGGCTTGTGCCGCACTTTATATCGAAATGGGGACATGCAAAAGGTTCGATTTAAGTCCAACACGCATATGTCCTCAGCAATAGGGTCGGAGACATGTCTCGGAGACTTTTTTGCCCCTATTTTTGGATACTAAGCAGAGGGTGACGCAACACATGTAAATATACCTCTTAATTTTGTTAATGTGTATAATCGTTACATACCGGTTTCCCTGGGCTTGTTTCCCGGGCTTACTAGCCGCTTTTCATAGCCTTGGTCAGCCGGAATATCCGGCTATCGTGACTTACTCCCGGTGCGGATCGCCGAAAAGTTACCGGCGCCAAATATTAAGTTTCCGGCAAAGGGACCCACTAACCCGGGCCAGCCTCTATCCCTGATCTTCGAGCTAGGCTAACCCATTGAATCAATGTGGTAGGTTAGAATATAGGTGCGATCCCATAAATTCAAGTTTTTGACCTATTGGTCGTCGGTAGGTGAGTAATAGAGCGGAGGCACTTCACGAACTCTTATCACCCGTACCAGAAAACGGGAAGTCCTCCTGATGGCGCCACCATCCATTATCATATCTCCATAAACTCAATCCCAGCGCCGTCCCTGGACAGCCGTTTGGCTCCATCTCACGGCTTACCTCTTCAAAGCATCGTGCGACTACTTCGGGGTCGTCAACCTTATTCATCAGAGTATAGTGGCCACGAAATGCGGCACGATCTTGTCGGCTTAGGGTATCCTGCCACTTATTCTGAAAATCCTTAACGAGTTTCTCCACCGGTTCTAAGCCTGATACTGAGACCCCTACGCCGCCGCGTCCAAGCCGGACCGGCGGACCTACCGCGCGAATGTCAAAGGGTGCCGTTTGGGCCGCCGCAGCCGCAATGTCCGTTTTTATTACTGGAAGCATGGAGCCCGGTAACGCGCGGAATAGAGATATATGTGCGCTAACTCGAAGAAGCGAAGGTGGATAGTAACGTTCGCGGAGGGCGCACATGGTTCGGCGGTGTATTGGGTCGGTTTGTATGGTGAGAACATGGTACGTTTCTTTGTCCTCGGGGACTGTGGTCCGTGGCTTATGCCCTTCTCGCCTTTTACGTGGTGTTTCTTTATCGGATTGTAGGGTGGAAGAAGTCTTTACAGAGAATACAGGAACCCACGATATGTTCGTGTGGTTCATTCTTACGGTTCTGAGGGCACGATTTGGAATAGTCATCTGCTAGTATTGTTAAAAAATTAATTTGTTCTGTCTGACTCTAATCCCCATTACAGCTTCGTCTTCTGGTTAGGCGCCGATTTTGTGATACAGCTACATGAGTCGTCATGACGTCAATGGATTTTGAAAAGCAAATTATCATAAGGGTCCTGTGTAACTCTAGGGATAAACGGGTGATCATTGCTCTATCTTTACAGTGGAGGACCCAAACTGCCTGACTGCATGAACGTACCGTGTGCCCGGTTTAGTATCTACACAGGTAGTGTGTGTGGGATCTCCAAGAAAATTACCTAGTAATTACTACCTCCTACATTACGGACTTCCCCACTTCAGCGACGCCTTGCTGTACTACCTATGGGAAGTCTCCATGACTAATAAGATTTAGGTGGATTTTTATAGTCTCATATTTGTAACCTCAATTCTCAGAGAATATAACATCATTTACTCCATTACGGTATGGATGTTTTTACATTACAACGTAATATGGATATATCGACGAGACGAAGACCACAGGAGATATCGCCGTTAGTGATCTACGTAGGAATTTCTTACGAATGAAATCACTACCCCGCCTAACAATAATACCCGAAAGTATCTGCGGGTGGCGGGAGAGTTATGATAGGTTTATGCGTGACGAGTCCGCCTTGGACAGTTTGGGCAGTGTTACTATCATGTGCTTGAAATGGCTCCAATAGACAGTAATAAATCACAGCCTGAAGATGGAGTTTCTTTTTCCTTCCCGGTACTGGTTTCTCAAGTAGAGCTATTCAGATGGATCCCTTGTCTATCACCACTGGCATAGCTGGATTAATTTCGCTAGGCCTTCCGGTATCTAGTGGACTCATTCAATACTGCAAGGTGTACCGGTCTCAGCATAAAGACATTGATCAATTGACGTAGCATACACAAGAGCTCGAATCATTTCTCAATCTGACCAAGACTCTAAACTTCGAGCCACATATGGACGTCTTCGACTCCCTCCAAAGGTGCCGAGATGCTTGCTTACATGATTTCAAACAGCTCAAGACGAAGTATTTCAGCGAACAAGCTAACAGGAGCATCAGTGACCATGGCCGAAATATGGTTCGCAAACTAAAGTACTCTTTTAACAGAGAGGAATTTGAGAACCTGCAGCGTCGGCTTCAAGAATTCCATATTCTATTGATTGGATACTTGCAGTTAATCGGCCTGTAAGCATATCAAGTATATCTGCCACTTCGCAGCTGACATCTACTGCCTTTTAAGTGACGCTACGCGGGACATACAAAGTGTGGTGCTATCCGAATCTACCAAGGTATCCGTGGCTATCGAATCAACACGAGCACAACTTCAGTCCTCTATTTCAGACGCTGGACAGGTAGTAACCGGTGCAATACACAATGGAATGACACGGCTGGAGTCAACATTCCAAGGCAGCTTTCGAGATATCACCGATCGGCTCGAAGAGATCCAAGGACGGTATGCCTCAGAATTGATGAGCAATCTGGACCGTTGGTTTAAAGGGCAGACCGAAGACTCTTCTCTTTATCGCCAAACATTCAATAGGCTGGCTGCAAGCTACAATATGAATGCTAGTAGGATATCCATTAATACGTCGGATCGAAATATTATGGACTTAGGCCCGTTTTACGGTAGTCTTAGAGTATCACCGACAATACATCACCCAGGGGGGCCTCAATATTGGTCCACCAAACGCAAGAAGTACCAATTCTCCGTACGGTTTAAAGTTTTCAGAAGACTCCTCACAGCTTCCTTAGGAGCTGAATGTTCTTCGCTACTAAGGATGCGCATCTTGCAAATATACCATAACCTCATAGTTTGCACCACAGTACCAAATAACTCCCCCGCGTTTATGGTAGTACGCAGGATCTATATTCGCCGTGACTGCCCCGGAATACAAGACTTCAAGACTTTGTTGGATGATGGCTTAATCGAATTGCAACAAATTTTTGATAGTGGGAAAGGGTGGCCGACTGACATCAATTCGACCGGGGTGAGCTTGCTACACGTATGCCATGCTATTTCTCATACTAGACGATGATACTAATAGATACTAGCATGTTGCGAAATTCTGCACCGATTCGGGACAAAATTTATGGCATTTCTCCCGATTCGTTCGCGAATTGATAAACATGGGGCTACCACTAGTCGAGGACGTAGGCGAGTCGGGGCATACCTGGGACTGTTGGCACACCCGGGACCATCTTCTGGAACTCTTTTTACGAAGCCACTATAGGAATCGCGATTTGAATGTCAACTGTATGATCGATGACCTTTTGGGAGCGGGCGCTCATATCAACGAGATGTCTTGGTGTGTGGTTGTCTCGATACTGTCGTTGGAAAATTCCGGTCTCTACCATTGTAAGACTCTGAACGGTTCTCATGTCGCGCGAGAGCTAATTTTCGAAGTTTTATCATCCACCCAGTTCCATGACCAAGTGCTGCTTCGCTCAGAGAGCGAAGTTATTCGTCTTTTAAACCGAGACCACTCTCTACTATACCAACGCAACGAACATGGTCAAACGGCATTCCACCTAGCTACAAATTGGCCTAGAGGGCTTGAAATCCTGATTCAATTCGCGGATAAGGAAACCGACTCTTTAATTAACATTAGAGATAATCTCGGATTCTTCCTTCACACTATCGGCTACAGCGCTCTTGATTATTCTATCGAATTAAGAAATGTTGATTCCGTTAGGTTACTGCTTCGTGAAGGGGCAGGTATCAGCACAAAAACATTTCGTCGTCTGAGCAGGCCGAAACTCACGATAGAAATCGAAGAGATCGAGTCTACGGTAGCGAAAAGTCTCGTGAGTCAACGCATAAATTTGTCACAACTGGCCTTGGATGAAATCCCTGCTGGTGTGGCTGACGATCTTGGCTTGAATGGAGTTGCTCTCCTCGATGATAAGGCCTTTAACGTCGCAGAAGCTCTCAGGCACCAGGGAGTTCGGCTTCGCACTAAATCCGACGACCTCGCTCCGGTATCTGTCTACCACTGGCACGGACTTAATGCTTCGATATCTCAGAAGCTATTCGATGCAGGTTTCCGCGACCCGAATGTAGCTTATCAAGGCCACAGCCCACTGGTGGTACATGCAGCCTATTATCGTAAGTATGATGATCCTCAGCTCTTCCAACTTTATTATTGGTTCAAGGAACACGGGGCTGATATATACGCCCCTGTTCCGGTGCACAATAATCGCACCCCCGAAGTCGACGACTATCCAGAAGAAAGCCGGCCGTATTCTATCTACCCAGTGACTCATCTCATAGCCGACAACCTAGGCTATGCTTCCTTAAGGGACGTGCTTTCGAATTCACCTAATAGGATATTGTTACCACTTAGTAATCCAGCCCCTGGATTGCTAAGTTTGCTTTGGGACGAAACGCACGATCCTTGCCTCTGCTATTGTACGATTGGCGGATGTACTTCAGCCTCGAAATATGCGTATGGAGGTTTTGTCTACAGAGGTTCTCCATCTAGGTTAACCAAACTTGAGGAGAAACTTAAATGTATGACACATTGGCTAGGTGAGATGACAATGCGCGATCATGAAAGTTGTAGGGTGGCGATGGACTTGATTCGTGTGATCACGTTCGAAACGCTCAATATGACACACACTTGTTGCCATTGTGGACATGAACCTCGGGTCGACGATAATTTCGCAGAAATACCTGGAATGGTTCATTTGGAAGAGCCAGAAGAGGTTGAGGAAATACGGGAGGAAGAAAAGCACCTCGCAGAACTTCTAGGAAAGCTCATGGGGGAATTCGAATCCAAATTCCGGGAGTTGGATGTACCTTTTGGCTGTTTCGTAGAAGAATATTTCTTTCCAAGAATAAAGGAAATCGAGAAGGAGAAAGACAAGCTATCGGTGGAGACAACCAGCGCGATGCGGAAGATTGGAGTCGTGCTTCATGAAACATGAAATTTCTTGGAGAAAAGGCATACAAAATCCATTCTAATAATGCTTTAAATGCCACCTATTTTCTCAGTCGTGAAGCGGGCGGACATAATTCTAACGATACTGTTTTTATAATCTCAACTATTTAAAGTAAATTATGTACATATCCGTATGAAGATCTAATGATTAAATCTATGTCGACGTCGTCGACGTTTATTTTTAGATCCGATGTGGTATGGATATTAGGTACCGTAAGGGTACTTTCAGCGGTCCATCCCATTTTCGATTAGCCCTCACTACTACACTAAGTTGCAGCGCAGCCCTGAAATGCGTCCGAATTCGTTAACATTCTACGAGAGTAAGGCAACTACTGGAAAATGCGTGTGGGAGTTGAACTTGATTTGAAACCTGCCGCGCCCCTTCGCGACAGATACCGATAACCCATGTCTATCAACGGGCGGGGAAAGCGGCTAAAAGATCTTTCGTAGGTGGTGAATATCTCTATTCTCTCGAGCACTCTTCGATCAAATCAGCATATCAAAGCGAGCTCTAAAATGGACTATACCGCGTCGACAAGAGAGCACAGAGGCCTAGTCGGAAGGGAGGTACTACGGCCAGTCCTAAAGGATTCAAACGCGGTTGTATCCTATTTCGACAGTAGGCCTAAGTTAGCTAGAGCTCATTTGCTGGACCTCGCTGCCTTCTGCTTGTTAATAGCCACTGTAGCTCTTCTCATCGTTGTGTCGACAATTGTTCCCGCAACTGCGGGTAAAGCTTGGCTTTCCATAAGCAATGAGACCGGAATAACTTCATTCGGTACGAATGTGGCTGTTTTAAGATTTGGTGAGTCTTGAGAGATCGTCGGCGATTTAAATCACCGTTTGCCTGTGGCTGACATGACATCTTAGGAATTTCTGGATACTGCGTCTCGGAGACTCCAGCATATCCTTATGATTATTTCAGTCTTATTGAGTCTCTGGGCCAGCAGAAATGCAATAACGTGGAGCTGGTATATGACCCGATATCAGCGGTGACGGTTGGGATAATCCCGTTTCCTACAATTCTTAAGGTCTTCGAAATTGATGCTGCCGAGAGGAAGCTTTCGCCTATGAAGGTTTTGCATCCTTTCGCGGCGGCACTCACCTTTTTGGCATTGGTATTTGCAGCATTGCCTTGTTATCTACCCCCTATATCGCCCTTATTATTGGTGGTATTGGCTTTTATAGTTGAAACTGTGGGCATGGCCGGAACTTTTGTTCTATTTCGCAATATCAAGACCGTCTTGTCTGGGGAGTTCGGAATAACGGCCGAATATGGAGGAGGCTTATGGTTCTCCGCAGTAGCCACGATCTGCGTTTTTATTGCGACTATCATTTTAAGCATTCTCTGGTGGCGTAAACGTCAGGCCCCTAAGAAAATGGATGATCGCAACGTGGTATATGATGGGCAACCCGAGATCTATGAGCAATGGAAATGGGTCGGGCCGAACGAATTGGACTCACATCGCGATGTCGAGCTATCACAAGGGACATATGCTAATCGCCATGAATTAGCATATCAATGTTGGGGCTCTCCTCATGAGCTATGCACGGATGCAACAGCCGGCAGGTACGAATTGGCGGGGGGATGGCAAACAGATCGTGAGATGGGAGGCGCACGGGTAGCGAACACCGCTATGTCTAGGATATAGACACCGGAGGAGGGTTTAATCGCGTGGAAATAATTCCAACCTAGCCATTGTCAGCGGGAAATTCGTAATAATGCTTACTTCACCAAAATGCTGCGTCTGTTGAATCTTGAATAAGAATCCAAGAACTTCAAATGCGATTAAAGACTACCTAGGCGGGAAGGGAATATTATAGTATCTGAAGGGTTAAGTCTCGTCATTGGAGGTCACGATATGTGCGAAACACCGTTGTAACTCATGGGTCGAGAAGTGAACGATGCCGTGACAGGGTTGTAACCAACGATGCGGATCCTACACAGTATAGGCAGTACTAATAATAACTTACCACCTGCCAACATGCATCGGCTTCAATCTTCATCAAACGCCGGCTTGCTTTCTCTCAAAAAAACCGATAATTATCGGTCAAAATAACGGATAAAATGGTGGATAGCTCGCTTGGCTGGGAGCAGATTAAAATCAACGAATGGCTGGAGAGGGGGATGTTGACGTGGGAGTACATCTTGTCGCAGATGGACAATAACCTCCAATGCTGCCTACCATCTAAGTACGCGATTGAACCAGAAGATATACCAGCTCTCGAGGCTGCATTCGCTTTCGCATGTGTTCCGAATGCATCAGGAGATGGCGACATTCTGACCGAATTGGGCTTCATCATTCTATTACAATCTAAGGCTGGGCTTCCGCGTTGCCCGGAAGGGATCGAAGTTGGGCGGATCATCTATGGGATGGTCTCGTACTTGAGAATGATTCCGTTCGCTCGCCGGGCTTCAGATCCCCTGCCGTATGGTCTAACTATAGAGGAATTGACGCGGGGGCTGGTGTGGATGATACCGGATTCTGCACAGTATGTGATTGAAGAGAGTGGGTTTTCGCGCATGCTCACGCTGTACGATCATCAACGGAAACTCTTCCAAAGCCTAGCCACCGCCACCCCGCCTCTCACGGCACAGGATAAGATCCGAGCTCGATCTCGTTCGCTGAATTCCCGTTACTGTATGGAGGTGGATGACATGTTTGTCGATATGTGTGCCGGGAATCACGATGACGATGGGGATGAGATATATCATGACATGTTAGATGTAATCTACTCGACACAGTACAGACCTCATCCGTGGATGGCGTCTGTGCGTCGGGATAAATTCCGCACTGTCGCGAAGAATCTCAAAGTGGAGGGGCAGATACCGGAGCTTCACACATTCGCCATCCCAGTACAACGGTTCAAGAACCTCGTGAAGGTATTATTAGTGCTGACTTTTGATCCTTTCACCACCGGCAAAAGAAGAAACGAGTTAAATCCATCCGATTTCGAAGATGCAGCGCAATGTATCTGCAATCATTTCATCCTAGACGAGGACTTAGGTCAGGACCCAAGCGTGGACACCAACCAAAATGAAGAGCAGCTCATAACCTGGCCTTCATTTTCACAAGCACTTCGCGCATCAGCACCACAACTTTTCGAACCATTCTATCGCCTACTTACACTAACCTTCCTAGAAAAATCATCCTGGATTTGGGGAAACGCCGCCTTCGACAGTCTTCCAATAATACCGGAAAACTCCATCCTCACGATCCCGCGCATATGCCAACTTGTCTCATTTCTCAACTGCACCGTCTACCCGTGTGATCTACAGCGCATGGCGCACTACTCCCCTACGGACTTCCCCACTCCAACTGCGCTTATACAAGCCATGCAAGATGTCCCCCAAGAAGCCATACTCCTAATTGCCGGCCACCAAGTTGATACCATATCAAGGGAAAAGAAACCTTACATATTCGGCTTTATAAGTCCAGTCCCCAAGCGCGACGGTTCTTGTATCCAAGGACCCAAAGAAATATCCTCCTCCGAGGGCATGCAGGAAGCTACTCTATTTCAACTTGCTCCCATACAAGACTCGTTCCGCGGGCTTGTAGGAGGGCCCGGTTGGCATGTTGTAACCGATGACGACGGTGGCGAGCGTCTTATTATCGGAAGTATTCCAACTCCTGAAGATCGTTGGGGTGACACAGGGGGTGTATCGCTAGTTCTACAGAATGGGTGTAAAAACGCGGATATTCACCATAGGAGTGAGATAAAGCGCAAGAGGGTATACCTAGCGAATGAGCGCCGTGGGGAGTTCAAATTAGAGCTTGAAGTTGAGAGGATCGAGATCTGGAGTGAAATCCCCGAGGAAGACGAAGAAGACGAGGAGAATGGCGTGGGAGAAGAAGAAGAAGAGGGAGAGGAAAATGAAGATTAAGATGTCTGAACGGGTTCCTCCGAACCTAGATCAGCATAGCGAGGGCCTTTGCATGTTGTTGCTTCGCGCATGGGTTTTGAAAATTTATACCGATTTGCCCACAAATAGAAGCGACACTTATCATAACAACAATGCTAGTATTATATAGGCCCATATATCTTGATAAATCATCCGATTCAATTAAGTAGCGTTATATCCATCCGCAGAAACCTGTTGTTACCCCCAAGGTTTCCACGATATCCTCACCCCTTCCCTCCTTCCACCAACACAAACGCCCTTACCAACTAAACGCCTCATCAAACAGTTTAACATGTCTGCCCTTACGCCCGAGCTCGCACACAACCTGTCTAACCTCATCCGCCATAGTAACCGGGCCACACACAACCACAGCCGTCTCATCCTCACCTACAACTTCCGACTCTAGGATAGCGCGAACGTTTATTCGTCTACCGACTGCGATCTCGCCCACGATATTCGGAACTAGTACATCCGGGCCTAGCGACGCTTTGACCGCTTCCACGAATGCTTGACTTCTCGCGCCCCAGAAGAGGCGAGTGCGACAGCCGCGGGTACGAAGGAGTGGGCCCATAGCCGCGATACCGACACCACCCGCGATGACGATACAATTCGGAACTCGCCGCAACTCGTCTAGTGCAGTAGCAGCGTAGGAGGACTCGACGAGGACGGGAAGTGTCGTCTTCTGGCGCAGGGTGTTCGTCAGTCCCTTCTTAGTGGAGCTGATGAAGAACGTGAGACCTGGTTTAAAAGACGGACTTTGGTCCTGTGGAGTACTAGTACCGCTGAAGTCTAGAGAAGTGAGCGTAGATTCTTGAGCGGCGGGCATCTTTTCGATGTCGCTCGTAGCCCGGCTAATGTTCTCTCCGGTAGTCGTGGTGCTAGGATTAGGTGTCTTAGACGGCTCTTGGAGCATCATAGTGCCCATGACAGAAAAGGGGTGGTTTTCCCACACGCGAAAGCTCAAGGTTGGGAAGTAGAGGTATGCGTGACCTTCTGCGGTAACACCTGGAATGTCGACGCGGAGGTATTGCTCATCGACAACAGTGATCGTAGCTTTCTTGATTCCATTTCTCGCCATTCGAGCTAGGCGCATAAACCTTTCGAAACCCCATAGAGCGAAGCCGATGTATATCCACGTCTCGTATCCCCACATGTTTTCGTACCGGTAGTACACATGGTAATAACAAGCGATCAAGGCTAGGAACGCCAGTGCGAAATGAGAGGCCAAGAACAAGTTGTACAGCTTCTGTCGTAGGGGAAGTATGCTCATTGGAAGGATGAGACAAAACGATAAGGTGGCAATGGTTCCCCAAATCCAGTATTTTGACTTGCCCTCTTCAAAGAAGTCGTGGAAGTCGAGGGCTATGCGCAACTTCATCACCGAGTGTATGCATGCTTCGAGTACACATATAATTGCGATCCAGCGATGAAGGAGAAGGAACGTCGAGTATGACCAATCGGTAATGGTCAATAAAATATTATTACGACCCGCGTAGAGAATCAAGAGGGCAAAATTGGCAAAGCAAAAAACACCCAGACGGTTCGAGATGGTATTCATCCACGCGTCAATCTCGGGCTCCGGGAACGAGGTAGACGAAACGAGCCAGTAGTCGACGCATGAAAACACGACGTTGATAGTTATGAAATATGCTATTAGCAAGGCTTGGCCACGGGTGGGCACGAGGGCTAAACCATAGAATGGCTCTCGGTGTCGACGGCCAAACAGAGGCGGCTCAATAATGTATGCGTTGAACCGAACCGCTATGCTACGGGGGAAAGGTATGAACCGTAATAGGGAACATGCGATGGGTATGCAAACACCCGTAATTAGAAGGACCAGTCTTTCATACATGTTAGCGATTCACTAGAGGACGAAGGTTTGAAAAGGGGGAGGGCCAACAAACCCGAAGTCAGTCTGCTTGGTTTCCGTATACTCGGAACTTGAGTCGGAATTATAACTCTCCCAGTAAGTTTTATCGCTAACCAGAGTAGTTGTATTAAGTAATCCTCCGGGAGGAACGACTACACGGGGCGGTGGATCAGCGTGCAATAACGCGACCGAGTATGGCTCCTTAGGGCTAGGTAGTCCGGGATAGCGACCGACGAGATAATGAGTCCAGTAATATTCGAGATCGGAAACGGGCACGTCGGAACAACGGCTGCTGATGCAGTAGGCAACACTTCGGAGGAAATTATCGTCGGTCGCGTAACAATCGGGGTCGGTCATGAACTTTCCCATTGGATGGTGTCCACCGCCCATGCTTCCAGGTTTCATAACCATAGAGCAGCTGAGCTGATACTGGCTTACACCGTCGTGACAGGCGTATGCACACGTGGGGTAGTACATAGATATGCCATGGCCGATGAAGCCATTCCCATGGAATCCTGCCGACGTCGCGGCTGCCGCCGACAGGATGATAGCGATAATACTCGGGATAATCCTCATGTTTCTAGCTTAAGGAGCATGTCTAGAATGAGATGGAAATTTGGTAGGTCCTGGATTTTATTAAGAATTGGGAAAGGATAATAGGATAGCGACTGAGGTAAATATCCATTCGCCTCACCTCCCCCTAGCCGGTGGGGAATAGTTGTGATCTAATACTGTTACTATTCCGTCTGTCATTGGACGGCAAGGAGCATGATCTGTATAACTTACATGGAACATACTCTAGCTCCCATGTGCAAAGATCACCTATTCACCTTGTAGCTATCTCCTTAATTGCCCCCCAGATATCCACTTGCCTATGTAGTAGTGAGACCTACACGCGCGACCACTTACTTACCTACCCACTTAGGTAGGTAAATAGCTACCGTGATCGTGTACGAGCTCGGTGACGGAGGCCATCTCCTGTCATAGCTCAATTTCTTCAACGTCCCAATTCGCCCAATACCAACTAATCAAGTGGCAGACCCGTTAGGAAGTTTCTGCAAACCCAATCTACGACCCACCACATAACCAATTAGTCTGACAAACATAAAGATTCTCGGCAAACATATCCAAGTAGCTACTTTGGGTACACAGTCGATAAAGATAAACAGTGATATCCATGGATAAGTTACCCCGCAAGATGTGAGAATGGGACAAACAGACTCGATTGTGTACAGTGAGAGCGGTAGTACCAGACTCGGTGGGTCTTAGTAACGTGTGAGCTTGTAAAACATCGATCCGTAATTATAGAGATGTACAACTATAGAATGGAGTCGGTTTCGAGTAACGTTGAAGAGAATGCGGTGGATCAACGCGGAGTGGGTATAGCGGCGTCGAGCAGTGATGTTGGCAATGTGACGGACCTGAACTTCACATCCTTAGTAAGGCCTCCGGCTCGGTTACACAGGATAAGCGCCGCAAGGGACGGCCGAAAGCAGCAAATCAGTCCGAAATTAATTAGGTAAGAACCCGTCACATCGATTAGGCGATGGCGAGATCCTAGGGATCGGTGCGCTTCATCTGATAATCGGCTTCCCGTCGTGGGTGCGACATTCTCTAGGAAGACTTGCTGGCATGATCTCGGTAGAATCACCGGAATACCTTGTTGGCGGCTCCGGTGCCATGTTCCCGGTTCTTAATCTCCCCTGGGAGTTTGCATTAGTTAGCGTGTTCTAGGAAGCAAACTTGAATAAATACATAAGTAGCATACTGATTCGGAATAGCCTTCAATTGAAAGACGAATAGGAAATGCATGTAAAGAAAAAAAAAGCAATGCTTCTAGAACGAGAACTTGGAATTAGAGAAGTGGCGTGAGAGCGAGGCTCGTATCAGGAGGCACCGCGATACAACCGAGGCAGCCATCATGTCGTCACTAAGAATCCGAATATTGATCCCGGAAAAAACCGAGATGACGAAGAAAATATGAATGGTAACATGATTCTACCGCTCGGCCCTTGTAAATTGTAAGGAGGATGGATGTATGTCAAAAAGGGGTAAGAGGAAACCCCTTAATGATAATGGAAATACAACCACTTACCTAATAGGACCATGGGTTATTAATCGCAGATAACCCCGTATTGACATTTCAATTACGACATTCCTGTTGCTTACAGGTTCAACCGCCTTCTCCACTGGATATTTGCATGCGAGTTGAGTATCAGGGCTCGGGTCGCCGCAATTCGGAACGGGAACCAGTAACATCGTCCAATGGGGTACATGAAGGCATGTATCATTAGAGCATGGTAAACGACATATTAGCTCAAAACCCGCCCGTTGATAGGCCGTGTACCACGTTGTAAACAGTGGAGTTTTCCGAGACCCATGTAATATGTAAATGGAATGCGCTCAACCCAAGGTTAGACAGAACAATCATCAAGACGCGTCGGAATTTAAAGTCCAAGATAGCAAGCAATATAAGCTTAATTCGTCCCGGACCTGGTGAAGGATGAGCAAGACATATAAGCGAAGTGGAAAGGAAGAGTAAAACTTACTGGTACCACCCAATTACCGCCAATTACCGTGAAATATGCTCTTCATCATTACCCACGCCATCGGAAATGCGAAACTTGCGCAAACCTGCTCGTAGCCAGGTGGTGCCATATCTTGGTGAGATCCGACCCCGGATTTTCACACTTTATAAGCAACGTCTGTAGCGGATTTAAGTCAATGTGACTGCTGTGCTTTGTAGTCAATTTCTTGAACCACTTTTCAGGTGTTTGAGGGCTTTCGACTGTATTAGCGTTCATCCCAAAGTGTCCAGCCGCTTTCACGAGTTTTTTCACGAGTTTTTTCACCCCCTCGAAATGGATAACATGGATATGACAATGGATACGTCGAATGAGTCGGCCAATATGGGTATGGGAGGGGTGGACGGTTCTCAAATGGTAATGACTTTCTTCGTCTCATCGACGACATCACTCTTTTCCAAGTCCTGGACGCCTAAAACCTCGGAACAATATGCCGGTACCTGTATATTCTTAATAACCCTCGCCGTCATTATGCGCGTCATGCTAGCGTTGAAACCGATCCTCGAAAAGTCACTATGGAATGCGACCGCTGGGCTAGATGGAGAGTTGATACCGGATGACGAGACATGCTGCCAGAAAGAAGACATAAGGGTCCAGTCAAGGGTGAAACGTGTTTACGGGGCTGTACGGAGAAGGTGGACCGCTTGGAGATTCAGGACTAGTTTGGGTAGAGCCATATTCGAACTCTTGTTGGCGTCGGTTGGATACCTGCTGTGAGCTCCCGTCCGATCTCAGGAGATCAATAGATCAACCTGTGACTATATGCATTGCCCCTCATCTAACCGGAATAATAGGATGCTTGCTGTTATGACGATGAACGTTGGATATTTCCTGGCTGTTTTAGGAGGACTCTTCTTGGGTACATTCATTGTTGGGGACTTGGCCGCTGATAATTCGTTATATCAAGACCATCACTGCTGATGATTAGGAGATGAAGCATGACCAATTTGGTCAACGACTGCGTTTGAATGCCCCCAGCAAGGCGCAAGGTCTGTCATCGGATCACGCTCAATGTATGAACGACATTTCTACGAGAATTTTGAAATATTCTCGCAACATGTCCTCACAGAGAGTACCTCTAGGCATCATGGTCAGCATATACAATCCATATCAAATCTGTATGCACCCCTTTGACGAACGTACCTGGGATACACGCTCTTCATAATTGGTTCATAATTATCACAGGGATGCCTAGCCGGGCGTCCTGTGTGTTATACCAATAAGGCTCCTAGTAGTACGGAAGAGTAGCTCAAGAATGGTGAGAGCTTCCAAGATGATGAGGGGTAAGAAGAAATGTTTTGTCAACACGTCATTTTCTATGAGGTGGCTTGACGCTGTGTAACTGAAAAGAACGACCTAAGGCAGAAGTCTGACATCATAATGAATACAAGATGCTCCACAACGCAGCTTCCGTTGCAATGTCCCTTCGTGCTACCGGTCCTGCCTTGGCTCACTGGTTGAAGGGAACGGGAAGCTACAGGACAGGTCGAGCTGGAAGCAACCTGACTACCGAAACGCTCCACTTTAGGCTTCAGAGGCATGGCAGAAAACGGAAGGAATCCTAGTTAAGATCTCCGGTTACACAGCTGGTAACCAATAGATAAGCTCGGAAATCTAACCCAACGCCTTATCGGCCATGTGGGCTACCTGCTTCGAGAGCGGCCCCTCCTTGCCTTAGCGCATTCGCTATCGTGGATGCTTTTTCTTCCTCTCTATTTGGCACATTTTCTTCGCTTCTTCCATTCATGCACTGATGAGGACAGGCTTTAACTCATACTTCATTAGCCCCCTTTGACTCATGATAATATTCAACTCATTTTAAGGCTTGCTTTGATTGACGAAAGCTGCCAGTCACACGGTCGTTTGTCACCCTAAGCTGTTCAATCGTTTATTTAATACCCCGCCATATCTCTCTATTCTCATTACTCCCCGTGGATTTACCTCTCATTGCCATAGTCGTACCCAATTGTTGAACCGTATACCTAGATCTCGAGCTTTCTGCAGGTGTGAGACCACGGAATGTCTTCCAACCCCGAGAACGGCAATAAGGAATTCCTTGGTAAGTACAGCGCGCACTAGTACATCATGTTGTCTCGGTTGAATTGAACGAATCACCTTTGCAGATCCTGGTCTTGCAGTTACCGCAAAGGTCTCGGAACCATGGACGGTGGATAAGGTGCTAGAGACGATCACTCCTGAAGCTCCTGCCCAAGGAACAAGCTCACCACTTCCGTTCTTCCACATCATTGAGCGTTTGAAGACCGGCAAACGGGAAGGATGGCGACGATTTGGGATCAACAGGTAAGATACCCGTTGGTGGGGGCAAATCGGGGGTCAATACTTACAATTCAAGCAGAGGCGAATCGATAGCCGACCACATGTATCGCATGTCCCTAATGACCTTCCTATGCCCACCATCGCTTGCGCCGAAGATCGATCTGAACAAATGTATGAAGATGTGTCTTGTTCACGACATGGCCGAATCGATAGTGGGAGATATCACACCGGTAGATGGTGTCCCAAAACCCGAGAAGAGCCGTCGCGAAGCCGAGACGATGGATTATATCTCCAAGAACCTGCTCGGTAAGGTATATGGCGGTCTGGCGGGACAAGAGATCCGAGCAATCTGGCAAGAGTACGAAGACTCTAAAACGTTGGATAGTCTATTCGTCCACGACTTGGATAAGATGGAACTATTGATGCAGATGGTGGAGTACGAAAAGCGGATGAACAAGAGCCTTGACCTCGGCGAGTTTGCGTACGTAGCGACCAAGGTAGTGCTGCCGGAGATCAAGGAGTGGGCGAAAGAGATCCTGAAAGAGCGCGATGAATTCTGGGGGGTAAAACCGCACGTACATGGCGAAGCCGGGGTGAATGGCGGTGTGAAAGAGACAACGCGCCAGGGTCAAGATGAATATTACTCCAAAGAAAAGGAGTAAAAGAGGGTATCATCAGGGAGCATACGGAAGGTTTCGTATCGATCGTCGAAAATATCGGTCGCTATTTGCTTCGTTGTCGGGTATAGAGAATATTATCATACATCATACAGGATGGGTACAACGAGAGACGAGGAGTCTGGGATGGGTCACATTAGTTAGAGAAGGAATTTATGGTTATGACTAATAATGACATATTATTACTATTACCTCCTTCCTTGTCTTTATTTCGTCGTATGAATTTGACAAAGAATGAAAGGGCGTCCGACAAGTAGCCTTTCTTAGAAAATAGAAGTTACTATTCATTTTCAGTTAAAGTTCAAGATATTATGATGTATCCATTCTGGTTTTACGTTTACGCCCCGCAATAGCCCCACATTAGCAGATCCAAGACCCTGGCGATTACCTGGTAAATACCTGTGCCTCTTACCTAAACCGGGATAGAGCACTGCACTGTGCGGGTTATTGACTTTTTACTGACAATCTAAGCATTTCTGACCGGGCAACGGGATCCACGATTCTCTCAACAACGGTCAACCGTGGACTTGGAATCAAAGTTTCGTTCGTTTACTATTTTCAGGGTCAAGGTGTCTAAGACCAGTGCTTCCATTCATCGACTCCAGATTTACACTTCCTCTAATCCGACCGCTTGGTTACAAGTTGTCGCACTGCCACGTCCTTATCGACATCTTTGCGTCATCCAAGCCAGCGGTGATCCGCTAAGGAAATAGGCGTCATCATCGCATCTCGGTCGCAAACTCATGATAGAATATTAACAGTATCACGCAATCAAATTCATTCAACGGAAAAGCACAGCAAACGCTTATCGTGAGATTTTTAATCCAGCCACCTAGGCAGACGCGGGCCACAAAGTGAGACAATAACCCCCAAAGCCGACAGCTAGAAGAGCTCCAGGGCTATTCTCATTGGTAATTGGTTCCCTTGCAGCGTCATCGCGCGGAGTGTTAGGAGGGTGTGTCCCGAGACCACGCGAATTCTGGGGAGAAGAGGCTTGTGATCATAAGCTTCACCCTCCCAAAACTTCAACCCACCCTCTTTTTACAATCTATACGTTCGATTTTATTTTATCTAATTTCATTGTATTTCTCTTCGTTCATCGCGTCCTTTGGACCGACGACGGTCGATTGATATTACTCAACAAAATACCATCGATTGCCTACGTGTTACATCGAAGTACGTATACCGCTATTCTGCGGACGAATCCTACAGCGAGACCAAGATACGCGAGCGACGACCCTCCTATTTCCTTTGAATAAGATACATATCCTTTTTCTCGGCGTTGCTATGGTGTAAAACAATCAGATTGTTCTCGACGCTTTAATCCCCTGTGCCTAACAACGGCTCTCAAAGAACTAGAATAATACAAAACAAACACCATCCCCATCCGACCCCATCTTTTTCGCCAATATGCCGTTCGAACCACAGTTAGTCATGCATGGTCATGGTCAGTTCTTCGAATCCGCCGCCCGCGGCGGTGCCTTGTCCGGTGTCCATCCGGGACTATTCCAACCTCCCGTATCATCACCCGCTTCGCATTCATCGTATATGGGGAAATCTACAGGAAGTGGATACTCGAATAACTCGACCCCTATCCACAAAGTGAAAAGGAAACGGCACGGACCCAAAGGGGTAACACCACCTGGGGATTGGGCTATGGCCACGAGCGATGCCGGATTGAGTAACGACGGTGTCCGCACGGATAGGTCCGAGGGAGGTCAGTTAACGGGAGAAGGGGAGAAACAATATGTTCTGGCTGGCCAGATGGAAACTCCAAATGGGGTAGCTCCCAGGGACATCACAACTGCGATGGAGGATAGTATCTATTCTGATGTCGATTATAGACGCGCATTAGGTTCCAAACGCAATCGTTCTGATATGGATATGAACAATACGGCTCCGTCGCCGACTCGGTCACAACAAAATGGTTGGGGTTCATTTGCTATCAACACCATCGGCGGAGTTGTTGGTAAGGTATTTCAATTTTGCAAATCTGGTGTTTTTAGAGGTTTTTATGCTGGAGGAGGGAAAGGATATGATATAAGGACATCACAAAGACCACAATCGAGCTCAAGTGGTCAGGTTTGGTGCAATGAGCACGACATTCCCACACTTCCAGACCTCGGCCCTAGAATGACCCCGGGCGCATTTCCCCAGTCGGACCCGTCGCCAACCCCTTACGAGCGAGGAACGCCCGAGTCGACACCACCCCCAGCGGCAAAGCGACGACAGATTACGGATAAGGACGAACTTCGTATAAATTGGGTTATGGTTCAGGAACCAGCAGATTCCTTAAAGCCGAGGCCGCAGAGTATGGCATCCCAAGCATCGTTAGGCCGTACTACTCCACAGGGTTATCCATCAATTACTCGTCGACGTATTAATAGGCCTATCAGCCGTATCAACTCGCCGAGTCTCGGCCGACGTCAGTCTACTAGATTAAGTCACGCCGGTTCCTCCGTATCCCAACGCGAGTCAGCCAGTTTTGCTTCTCCTCGAGTTCAGTCCCCAGCCCTACCACCCACTCCTAGCAGAATCCCTATTCCGAGTCGACCGCAAACCCCGGACCGAACGTCGCCTGTCCGCCTTTCGCAACAACCTTCCTTCATTCCCAGCCCTAGCGTCCACCAGAAGCGCAGCCATCGGAGAAACCATAGTACGGCATCTGCCGCGTCTGGTAGAGTAAACCGGCGGGATTCGGTACAGGAATTTGAGGATAACAGCCCCCGACTAGATGCCGAGGCAAAGAATTTAGCTGCTATAAGGATACAAGAGGAGATGGAGACAGATATTAGAATGAACGATTTCAATGCGAGGTTAAGAGATATGATTCGACAAGGAAAGGAGGCTTTGGGGACTACGATTGAGGTCGAGTCCTATGGAAATAGTGGGGATGTGGATCCCTGGGAGGACGATTGAAGAACGAAAGATTTAAAGGGTGGGAGATAGGTCATGAGGTTTTGTTGTGATGATGAAGTGGCTATGTGCCTAACGACTTCGCTCGGGGCCTCAAAAGGGGGCGTTTTTAATGATATTTTAATGATGTTCATGGTATGTTTTGAAGGCTATGATTCAATAGGGGCTTGATACCAACTTCTGTTTTCTTTTACTTTTGTTTTGTTGGAACTACGGCGACTATGCCTACTTAGATACAGCTACAGCTAGCTAAACGAACCGCTTGACCATTCGGTTGGAAGCGGACTATTTGTATAAAAAATTAATTGTTACAACACGCAGTTTCCATGATTGATATCGCGAACTCTTCACATTTTATCCTCGCTGAAGCATTAACATCTACCTCAGGTTACATTGGGCTGCGTCTTCTAGATAAGAATCTGTAGTTGTGTTTTCCTACGTATCTAGCTACCGCGCTATATCCCTCATTGGTGGTACCTTGCAGATTTGGTTGTTAAAAGATCGTGGCAAGGCGAGTTAGTGGTGAGCTCAATCAATCGTCCCCCCTTTTCGCGAAAAGTGGGCCACAATGCGAAGACACATACTGCAAACGCAGCATATTAGTAGTACAGTACAAGTATTATGATTATATATAAGGCCAATTAAGCCTATAATAACTTCTATATAGAAATACCTCAAGAACCTAAGTGAAAATGCACTGTCTTCGATGACTAACAGCACTACGCCAATGCGAAAACCAATTACATACCTAAGCGGAGAAATAACGACCTCATAACATAGAGACCCACTTTCTCGCGACATATACTAGTATTTCAACTGTTTGCCCTGTAAAATCACATGATTTATACAGTGGAAGTTGCTTCCTTCCCCTTAGAGACCATTAGCTACTGTGTTGCTAGTGGGCACTAGTAATGGAATCATGAAGGGTGCTTTTGTATTTATACGCGGGAGCACTCGTCCTCTTACACCAGCTTCTCTTCTCTCTCACCTTTCAACCTTTTCATCTTCCCACCTTTTTGATAATCGTCTCTTCGCAAAAGCATATACGACTGCGAAGTAAAACCGGAAACACCACCCGCGCCGATGATATACGACTTGTAAATCGTCACGTATATACCCCAATACCAAGAGCCACCGCCGAAACCATCACCGAAAAAAAACTACGAAAACTCAGCTACCATGGGCCAATGCTTCAGCGTCGACGCAAAGCATCCCCGCGAAGAATACCAGGCGACCCGGGTCCGAGTATTACAACGCCAAGCACCCGAAGAGCAACTCCGTCATCCAGTTGGACGTTGCCATACGAATTGCCCCTATCACCTCCAGGGCTTAAACTGCCCTCTCCACGGAAGTCCCACCTGGCGCCACCACCATGACTGTGGCCATGTTCACGATTGTAACCGTGGACGCGGTCCCCGCAATATCGCTGCACGCCGAGAAACCGTAGTGCAGGTTGATACATATCATGAGGACTATGAGGAATCTCGTTCTTCTAGCGAGTCTGAGGAGTATAATCCTTACCGGAAATATCGATCGCAGTTGGATAAGGGGGGTTGGTACCGTCATTACGATTAAGCCGGCGCCATTTCTGGATGAGACGGGTGGTATATAAGGCGGAACGGGTGATATTGGGTCGGAGTTGGAGGAGGATGAAGTTTGGATCCCTACAGGATGCTGAAGACGGGGAGGCCGGGGTATTGGGAGATTGCTGAATACCTAGATCTCTTAGGCGGTAATAACCCGACATGGTTATCGGAAGATGGGATCAATCGTTTAGACGCAACATTTTGGTGATCTAAACCGACTTGGGTTCCGTCTTGAATATAGGAGTTTGCCGTGAAAAATACATGGCTAGTGGAGATGAGATGAGGGCGTATATCCACAACTAAACATCATTTTCATACTATTAATTATACTATAAAGACATCTTAAGGTTCTTGACGTAAAAAGGTCGTGGTGCGACTCTATCCATCTTGATTTGATACCAACGCTGACCAACTAAGCAGTGTAAGTGGTTGCGTAGCCATCAGCACCGTCGCACTGACAATCTATTATCTTCTAAACAAAGCGTCATTATATAAAAGTGACTCTAGCGCTACGACACGTTGAAGAACCCAGGTCGGAGCCCGTTTCGTCATGGTCGCGCGTGGCTGTGTAACCTAAGTTGCAGTAGACATAAATGGCCCTCTCGTCACTCAGTTGTTGGTAACGGCTGTCCAGGGGCGTTCATTCTAAATACAGTGTCATATCAAAATGCTCTAATGATTTGATTCGGTAGCCGATTAGGGTACCTAATCAATTGCCAAGCACTACCAATAGTCATGCGTGAATAACACTGTCGTGTGTCATACAAGAATAGGGGCTAATAGTCTTCATAGACCACTTCCCAACCACCCCTTTTATAATCTCCTGAAATATATACCTTCTAGAAGCACCATCTATAATACACCCAACTAATAGTTAAGCTACCGCACACTTATTGGAACTTCAATTTCTAATAATATTGTACACCAAAACACATACATGATACCAGCGATAACCAACAATAACGCGAGGATGGGGGCGTGCTTCAGCGGAAACAGAGGCGGGGGCCACCGAACAAGGAGCCGCGAATCCGACGACGAGCATCGTCGAACACACCATCGCCATCACCACGGACACGGCCACCAGCACGGATCTCATTACCACCATCGTCGGCGCCGCCACCATACTACTCAACGGGCTCAACCGGAGCAACACGAACTACGACGGGTTCATCTAGCACCACCTCGTGCAGATAGCCGTATATCTGATTCCTCGCGCATCCATACCATTCATAGCTCCGAAGCATGATTTGCGGCGCTGGTGGGTGAGGGTTCGTCCGTGGGGGGTATGGGGGTGGAAATATGATGGACTTTAGGAGGGTTGAGTATCGGTTTAATGTACGATCGGTTTTCGCTGCCTTCGGAATAAGCTCTTTCTTCGGTCGTGGTGTCGCCATGTGGATCTGGAAAGTCGGAGAGTTAGCCCTATTTATATTTATTTGATGCTAATAGGTAGTTACTATACTGATCTGCATATTCGGTAGCCGGAGCCAACGTGGTCGTTCGGTTACATGCACGGGGTACGTAAGGTCGCGACTTCAGGAGCAGGACAGAGTGTGACACAACTGCTATAGCTACCCGCACACTTGTGCCGCACCGCTATGCTGCGTAGCCTGGCTGAAGTTAAGCATGTACATAATGGTGACTATCTACTCTTCTTTATTTAACAAACTACTGTTATATTTCAGGAGCCAATGAGATCCTCAGAATTGTCCTGCAGTTCTCGACTTTTTTCTTTCGCGTTCTTTTCCACGATATTTTATAATAATATAACCAATATTAGAAGGTTATACAAAATGAGCTCTATTTAGTTATATTAATTATTAGTATTTTTATGTCGTGTTAATGAAGATTAATTGGCTAGTCAATTAGAGGATAGCTAGCTGTGGCGTATACCTTCTGCTGGGTACCTAATAATATGCAAATCCTGTGACAGAATCGGATAGAATATTTCTCGACGATTGGCGCACGATAAGGGTGGCAAATTTGTAGATATACACCACCGCTTCCCGTCATCTTGGCAGAGTTGATTCAAGGTGTTCAAGGACGATGCTGGTGGTGCATTAGGACATTGATGGATTTGCAACAGGAACAGGATAATATAAATTTACCTGATTCCCTTCGAGCGCAGCCTCTAGATATTAATTATATAACTGGATCTGAGGTTGCGTTTGATTTCCAAAGTTTTGCGGATATGTTAAGATACAATACAGAAGCACAGATTCGTTGTACCATCAACGGCAGAGAACAAAAAGTCATCGCCTATCTCCATATAATACCGAGACCTGAAAACCATATCTCCAACTATACAACTACCTTCAATTATACGGCGGATAACACAAATTCCCATCAGACGTGGGAGTACATTACCAGCCGCCTAGAGGATTGCAAGAATCATAAGACATGCCGTCGTCGGCTTGACAGCAGCCCACCGTCAAGGTTAATCGAAATAAGAAAAAATAAGGAAAATGAAGAAATACGGGACAACAATTTGCGTTTCCGTCTCATCACCTCTTTTGAAAATGACGCCCAAATCGAATACGTTACACTAAGCCACAGATGGTTTAGAGAAACGAAGAAGCATAGGAAACACAAGGAAACTAAGAAACCTAGGAAACTCAAGAAACTCAGGGCGGCAAGGAAAGCTAGGCAGGCCCAGAAGAGTAATGGGAATTTGAAACCCACAACGAAGAATGAACGAGAGTTCAAAGCCAAGATTCCTCAGACGTATATGCCACAGAAATTCAAGGATGCTGCCATGGCCACGCTGAAATTAGGGAAGCAGTATTTATGGATAGATTCATTGGTAAGGAGTCCATATCCCATCCATGGAGGCGTAAATGCGGATTAACCGTACTAGTGTATTCTTCAAGATTCCACTGAAGACTGGGATCGGGAAAGTGGCGTGATGGATTCGATCTACTGGAATGGATATTGCAACCTTGCTGCAACATCCGCGACTAAAAGATCAGAAGGTCTTTTCTCCAAACGATGTTTGTCGCAGCTATCTCCACTCTGGACTCAGTTAGAAGGTATGGGACCTGCAATAGTGTTCAGCAAATCCGCCCAAAATAACTTTTATGAACTTGACTACGAAATGCTTAATAGGAGGGGTTGGGTGTGTCAAGAGCGCCTGTTATCGACTCGAAATATTAGTTTTGGCAAAGAACTGGTGTTCTTTGAATGTGCCGAGGAATTCAGCAACGAGCTAGTTAATAGTGACGACTATTACTTTACTATTTGGGGTCATGGGTTTCGTCGCCGTGATACCGATTTGCCTCTGTGGTCTTTGGCTTCCCTGCGAAAGATTCAGCCAACATCACTTGACGATGTTCATAACTTTTGGGTCACTATATTGAGCTTCTATACTAGAACTCATACAACAAAGTCGAGCGACAGACTGGTCGCGCTTTCGGGAATCGCAGCATTCTGTCACTCAGTATTTGGCACAGAATACTTGGCTGGCTTGTGGAAATCAACCATTACTCGAGGACTACTTTGGTATTGCTTTGGCGCTGGGTTTAAATGCTCGCTAGATTGTCGTGCACCTTCTTGGTCGTGGGCCTCGGTGGGCACCTGTGTTGAATACAAGCAGTATGCGAACCACACCGGACTTATAAGTGGTGTGGAATCGTATGAAGAGCTAGTGGCGGAGAGCAATCCATTTGGAGCTGTGCAGAACGCACGGATCGAACTTACGGGATCGCTCTTTCCTGTATTTCACGTAGAATGCTCTTCATGCAAGCCCTTGCGGGCAGAAGAACGTTTGCGGCTTCTCAATCAAGCTAGTGGGAGTTCGGCAAGCGAGTGGGAAGGGCCCTAAAATATACGGTAGGTGATTATGAATATGATGTTTACATGGATTATAATGGCCTTAATCGTAGCAATACGGGTGACTCAAATCTTTTGAGGCAGGCGGAATGCTTCCTTCTTCCGATAGCGCGTGCGGTCCCGGGTTGGATGAAGGAGGAGTTAGTTCAATTGCTCATACTAGCGGCCGTGACCCCCGGTAGCAACATCTATCGGCGGATTGGGTACATGAAAATGGCGAAGCCCTGGCATACGATTACACCCAAGTTTGATTTCGTTCGAGTGAGCATTGATCCTGAGAAAAATTGGGCATAATATATGCTGTCCTATATGGAAAAGGCATAGGAGGACTGTAAGGTCCCTTCATATGATGGCTATAGGCTAGAAAAGCATAACATTATTTTGGTATAGAATATTATTGGTTGATTTTGCATGGGAGAGAGTTACTTCGACGTTAGTTGTATATTTTACCTAGGTATAAATGTTATCCCACACGAAAACGCTCATTGGAAAATTTCCTTTTTGGGAACCAAGCACCGGCGCTGCACACTCTGGCACTGGTGCTAAGCACCTCTGCACAGGCTGCACTTCGTGCCTGGCCATTATTGCCTGCGCTGCATGCGCCACACCCACTTTAAGCAAGGGACTTGAAAACGGACCAAGGGGAAGTTTGTCTTTTTTTGGCCTCTCGGGGGGGGGGAGGTAGATATGCTCGACTAGCAGCTACAGAGGCGTTTCTTCTACACATTTCTATTAATACGGTGTCTTTCCGCACTTTTCTCTAGAATCTCTCCTCTGGTCTCTACATTGTACTGTTTCCAAATCTATCTAGCTCTGCCTAAGTTTTTTGACTAAAACATATCTCATACATCATGAGTTCTCTCAAGTCATCTCGCCAGAGAGCCACAGATCCAAGCGATATCATTTCTCGTACAATATAGAATGGGCTCCCTGAGCGGTCGACAATCGACCCTCACCCTGTCCAGAGACAGCTGAAGGGAAGGAGCCAAAAGTCATACGATCATGACTTTCAGATATGGAATGCGTGAGTCAGTATCCTACACTTCGTGGTCCTGCAAGAGTAACAACTAAGAAAAACAAAAAGTTACCTAAAAAAATACCCAGGATCAGACCCAACAGATATGCAAACCATGAAGCATTTCGTCGAAGCGGTGTGGCGCGGAACGAAGGGTGTTCTTGACAAAGAGAATGGGATGGCGACTCCTAGTTCTATAAGGAACAAAATACGCCGATTTTACGGTGCGTGGGAACGGGAGAATCACACTACCCTTCCCGCTGAAGTTAAAGATTCTTTGGCCCCGGTAAGTTGACCAATTTGCTCTATACTGTAGACATTGTGTATACTAATGAACAAATAAGTTTATCAAAGGGGAGCTGAAGGACAAAGTTGGCGCCAAAAGCCATCAAGCGAGATACGACATTTCTAACAATAAAGAATTACGTTCACATGCAGGAACTTCTTTGGTTCTCTGATCACCATGAATACATACACGACGGATATCGTGTAGATAACTCTAATCTGCTGGACACCCATTGCTTTACTTCGGCTCGGTTACAAGAAGTTTGTCAAGCTACGTACAAGGTATGAATTCTAGAAACGAAGATAAAAGAATTCCCCAGTTTTAACTTTTACTTGTAGGACATTGTAAGGGCTTGTGGCCCAATGAGGCTGAAACTCAAGATACAGCCTTAAGTGAGCTGGTTGTGACGAACCTATGCCTCAAAGAGGTATAGCCGTTGCTGGATTGACTAATCCGGGGTGTCTTGATTTGAAGGTAACAGTATCAATAGTAGGCCAAGTGACTAAGTAAGTTCTGTTCGTGCGAGAGGCTTGGAGTCCTCTCACTATACTCGAAAGAATAGTCTTAGATTGATAACTAAAGAGCGATGGAAAAAGATACATAGGGAATGTCTGTGGTTATATAGTTGTTCCTCCTTCCTTTCCTTAGAGTCTGTCACCACTGTGATCTGGTTGATCTGGTCCCAGATCATCCAGATCACCTCAGGTCACGTGGACAAGAAGAATCGCATCCCCCCGTAGTTCCTCCGTGATTGATCTGGTGCCTCCTTTTTCGGTTTCTCAATTGTTGCCTGATGCTGTTGGTTCGTGACATGCAGTTCTTCCAACCTCTTGATCCCAAAATTAAGAGGTATTTTGATGAACTGGAACCCTGGAGTGATAAAGATGGCCTTAATTAAAAGCCAGCCTCAAATCTTGATTTAAATTTAAATAGCCTAATAAAGGCAATATCGAACATGCGGCACGACCATGTCTGCTGACTTATCGTGGCGGTGCGCGGGTCCACTTAACCTTCCGGGTTCTGCCTACCCTGGTCGCCTCCTGTGCTGTAAACGCCTGCCCTCGGTTTTGTAGCGGGGCCGGACGACCATTTTCTTTGAAACGGAGCTGTCGAGGACCTGGATTATTTATTCGTGCCGTTCCGGATAGCATCCTGGGCCTTCTTCGTTCATGCCTCTCTTCCCTTTATCATTATATTCTTCCTATGATTGGCTATGATCTTAGCTTTGCTGCTGACGATCTGTACCAAGAAGGAAGCTGATGTGATGAGCTAGTTGGTCATCTTTCGGTATAAATTCCTTTTCTTTGGTCTCAACCGGTACGATGTCTAAGCACACTATATACTATAAGACTTGGCTCTTCAGCTATAAAATGTTGGCTTCCTTCTTGACTTTTCATTTATCTATCTTACTGAAGCCGAGCTAGTTATATCCAAATCTTTATGCATTTGATGGGATAAGCATACCATCTCTACCATTGAGATATGGTGGTTCTTGATTCATTCCCGGCATCTATGCCGGCTTCCTCTTCTCAAGAGGCAAGGAAGAAGGCGGCTTTTACTCATTTTGAGGAATATTCATCGCGTCCGATCGATGATAAGCCTTTTGTCGCAGAAGACATGTTCAAGGAGTGTAATTGCCTATGGTATATATGGATATAGTGAGCCCTTTCTGTCTTCTCCCATGTCTTCTAACTAGGAACGCTCGCTCATTACGGAATGCAGATTCTGCGATGACCTAGGAATCGACAGCCAAAATGCCTGGTTGACTTTTATGAAGCATCCGGAGACGAGTGAAGCTCAAGCGCCTTTCCGAGCATTCTTACGTACCTATGCCGAAACGTCGATACAGAGGCGCCCCATCCTTGATTCTAGCGAATACGAATCAAGGAGGATGGTGAGCTCGGCCTTCAGCCTGACAGAGGTCTGGCGGAGGCTTGTTGCTTCGGGCGAGCATCACGTCATGAGGCTTCTAAGAAGAGACTGCCCTTGTCAAAATGGGGTTAAGGCAATATATTGAGTAGCTATAATCTTTTTACGATCTGCTTGCCGTATCTTCCTTCCCTCCATCTCTCAGGGAGAAGCTACTCTTCTTAATGCTGTTTGACAGTAGTACATGATGTTCAGTACAGCTTCCTTTCTTGGATACGAGACAGCCAAGAGCTGTGTTGGTGCCTTATGTATATTACAGCGCTTACAGCGCTTCCTTTTGAGCCTATCATCTCTCATCCATACATGTGTTGGTGATGGCTTCCTATCAGGATGATACAGGTGTCATAACAGCCCTTCCCAAGCAGAAACCTGGCGATTACGATGGATCAGCAAGGATGAGAGTAGCAGAGAAGGCCCGGCATATCGTATCGTCGAAGTACGCAATCCACTTATCTCCTTTGTCATTCCCATCCAACCCCCCAGCTAATCTTCCTTTTCCTGGTAGTGGGTGTTCGTCGAGTTAGCTCCTGAGATCGAGCCGGAGACCGTCCCAACCTATGAGAAAACCGAAATGACAAGCACCGATGTCGATGTGGCTCTCCATACCCTATGGTCACGTTCCAATGACATACCCTGTAAGCCTATGACGAGGGTGTCGTTTCATGCCATGGTCCTCTTGGCTGCTATCGGAGGCTTCCGGCCTGGTACGCTGATGAACTTGACCTCTTCGCAATTTCAGGTTGCCGTTTTACATCATCCAGAGAATCCGGGGAGAACGAAGATTATTGTTATAATTGGTATCAGGAGGAACAAGATCAAGGAAACATCCAAGACGAGTTGCTTGCGTGCCGGCGGTTGGTATATTACGTTATTTACCTAGTCCTATCTCTCGTTGTATAGTAAGTTATATGTGTCATTGATGATGTGTCTAGGGTTAGTTTTTCCATCATGTTGTTATTAATTGGTTTATTCTGCCTGGTAAGTCTAGTTCTTGTCTGTGCCATTTAGGAGAATGTCTTCGATCTTAGCTTTGCAACGATTAACGAGATATTCGACCGGCCTAACTTGGAGTCCGTTAATTTCATCCCTTTGAAATGGAAGCAGAAATTTCACGGCCAGCCTATATTTCCTATGACGTATAAATCGTTCAATAAAGTATGGCATCGAACGCTCTTGGTTGCCGCAGCCACTCGCGACTTTATAGTCTCCGTGTTGGTTGGAGCTAGATTTGATGGTATGTTTCCCAAATTCCTTCCTATTTTTCTGCCCCCGCTCTACTTTCCATAGTTGGACAAGCCACGATGGGCATTATTAACTCAGGTTACTTCATTACTTTAGGGGCCCTATCTTCTGCTTTACAAAACCACATCCTGTTCCACACTACGAGCGTCTTCGAGTCGAGCTATCAGTCACATCGCGTCCGCGCTGATCTTATGTCCTTGGCATTTGGAAATGAGGCAGGACGAAATGAACAGCTTTTTGCTATACTCTGAGATATATCGATGAGTAAGGATGCAAATGCCCCTGTCGACATCACCGTGGAGGAGTGTCGCGAGTTTGAATGACGGAAAGACGTAGCAATGCTCCGCCACTACATCAACACTTCTTCTGACAGCAAAGAGAGGACCCGATTGCGTTCAAAGATAAATAATCTATTAAGGACGCTATCGCAGCTACAATTAGAAAAGAACAGAGCTAAATATTTCGAACGCGTCGATCATCTCCGAGCGGCAGCTCAACCCTCTCTCTTATTCTAACTATTACTATCTAAGCTTTTAAAGAGTCTTATCGAGTGTAAAGTCCTAGACTGCGATGTACACTCGCGTCTTTATATTTACACATTCCTAGGCTATTTGACAAATATACCTATTATGACTCATGGCAAGGGCGAAGTGGAAAAAGATAAGGAAAAGAAGAAAATAGGATATCAAATTACCAGCAATTCTCAGCAAATGCAAATTCGTTATCTTCTATATGGAATACCATACTACTCTCAGAACATCTTAACTAAATATTATAAGGTAAGACATACTAAGGCAACAACATTCAATTAGCCATTTCCATATCCCAAATATCTATGTCTAGAAAAGGGGGAGTTTATTGTTAAAAATCCTTACCACTGAAGTAAATCACGCAGAGAGAATCCATGGGAAGATATATATACTCAATTAGAACCCCTAATTGACATTGTCCTAGTTATTCTATATGATCTATAGCTCAAAATTGGTTACCAATGCCAAGCTTATCAGCCATATGAATTGTTACATTTAGTTGGACAAACAAGACTAGCCAATGTCATGCCGAGAATGTGCCCAGTTTATATCAATATATATGCCATTATGAAACGTATAGGAATGGCTTAAATATTATAAAACTTATTATATATCCTCGGCACTATTTTATATATTATATGGATATATATGTTCCACTCTTAATAGTCTTATATGTTATACTAATTTGGTGTATAGCATTGAATTTCAAATATTATTTCCCTTGCCTACTTACCAACAAGCAGAAAATTCGGAACCCAGAATAGTCAATGGGTTTGTCTCCTGGTATGTCCATTTAGTAATGGTCCATAGTGGATGAGGGTACATAGATATGGACTAAGATGTTATATTTAAGAATATACTAAACCATGAAATTGGCTGTCTCTCCCTTACCTAACTCTCCCAACGCAAATGGATTGTTACCTATAATGAATGATATGTTTTTGCCTCTTTATCAGCTGGCCTGCAATATCCTAGTAGATCTGATTGATCCATCCCTTCGGAATGATCAGCTTCTCCCGGAACCGATGGAAGGCATCATTGCAACTTTGGCTAGTCTGCTTAGCCCGACGAGCCAGAACATGCCAGTAACGATAGCAACCTAAGCTATGCGATTGACTGCATTCTTGAGAGATTGGGAAGGAACTTATTCCTTATTAAGTGGTCAGATGATGGTAGTTGTTGGTGGGTGCCTCGAGAGAACGTCTTGGACGACGAGCTTTTTCAAAGGTTTGAGGTGGAGTTTAAAGGATTCCACTTGGGTGTGAGGGTTCTAGGTACCTGTAGACGGAATGGAGGGATAGAGTATCGTGTAAGATGGATGGGCCGTCCAGACAGCGAGGACATGTGGGTTCCGGAGCGGCAGATGAGCCCCAATCTCATCAAAGAGCATAAGCCACGTACGAAAAAGGCAAAGAAAAGAAAGGCACGTTATTAAAGGCAGGGATGCTGTGGTAAAGTGTATATAATAGCTTGGTGTGATATCTTATATTTGTCGGTAAGCTCCTTAAAAAAATTAGGAGGATTTCTACTTACAAAGCCATCTAGTCCTTGGTCAAAACTTGTCATAATCCCTTACCTATCTTGGCTTGTAAGCAAGCATCTAAGTTCGCTTTGCTTCTTAATGTAGAAGGATGCTCTTTGCCTAGCATCCGCTCCCTCAGCTCCAGTGTCTGACGATGTATTTGCTCTGCCTCTTCGTACTTCCCTTGATTTTGAAGGACTCTTGCGAGGTTATTCATGCTGCCAAGTATGTCAGGATGCTCTCTGCCCAGTATCCGCTCCCTCAGCTCCAGTGTCTGTCGATGTATCTGTTCTGCTTCTTTGTATTTCCCCTGGCTATCAAGAACATTTGCGAGATTATTCATGCTGGCAAGTATGTCGGGATGCTTTCTGCCCAGTATCAGCTCCATCAGTTCCAGTGTCTGACGATATATTTGCTCTGCCTCTTTGTATTTCCCTTGGTTATTAAGAATAATTGCAAGGTTATTCATACTGGCAAATGTGGAGGGATGCTCTCTACCCAGCATCCGCTCCTTTAATTCCAATGTCTGACGATGTATTTGTTCTGTTTCTTTGTATTTCCTTTGGTTATTAAGAATAACTGCAAGGTTATTCATGCTGGCAAGTGTGTCGGGATGCTCTTTGCCTAGTATCCGTTTCCTTAGCTCCAATGTCTGACGATATATTTGCTCTGCCTCTTCGCATTTCCCTTGATCTTGAAAGACTCCTGCGAGATTATTCATGCTACTAAATATGTCGGGATGCTCTCTGCCCAGTATCCGCTCCATCAGTTCCAGTGTCTGACGATATATTTGTTCTGCCTCTTTGTATTTCCCCTGATTTTGAACGACTCTTGCGAGGTTATTCATGCTGGCAAGTGTGTCGGGATGCTCTCTGCCCAGTATCCGCTCCTTTAGTTCCAATGTTTGATAATGTATTTGCTCTGCCTCTTTGTATTTCCCTTGGTTATTAAGAACAACTGCGAGGTTATTCATGCTGGCAAGTGTGTCGGGATGCTCTCTGCCTAGTATCCGTTTCCTCAGTTCCAGTGTCTGACGATATATTTGCTCTGCCTCTTTATATTTCCCTTGGTTATTAAGAATAATTGCAAGGTTATTCATACTGCCAAGTATGTCGGGATGCTCTCTGCCCAGTATCCGCTCCGTCAGTTCCAGTGTCTGACGATATATTTGCTCTGCCTCTTCGTACTTCCCTTGATCTTGAAAGACTCCTGCGAGGTTATTCATGTTGGCAAATGTGTCGGGATGTTCTTTGCCTAGTATCCGTTTCCTCAGCTCCAATGTCTGACGATGTATTTGCTCTGCCTCTTCGTACTTCCCTTGATCTTGAAAGACTCCTGCGAGGTTATTCATGTTGGCAAATGTGTCGGGATGTTCTTTGCCTAGTATCCGTTTCCTCAGCTCCAATGTCTGACGATGTATTTGCTCTGCCTCTTCGTACTTCCCCTGATTTCGAAGGACTCCTGCGAGGTTATTCATGCTGCCAAGTGTAGAGGGATGCTCTTTGCCTAGCACCCGCTCCATCAGCTCCAGTGTCTGACGATGCATTTGCTCTGCCTCTTTGTATTTCCCCTGGCTATTAAGAACAAGTGCGAGGTTATTCATGCTAACAAGTGTGTCGGGATGCTCTCTGCCCAGTATCTGCTCCCTCAGTTCCAGTGTTTGACGATGTATTTGTTTTGTCTCTTCATATTTCCCCTGGCTATCAAGAACAAGTGCGAGGTTATTCATGCTGTCAAGTGTGTCGGGATGCTCTCTGCCCAGCATCCGCTCCCTCAGCTCCAGTGTCTGACGATGTATCTGCTCTGCCTCTTCATATTTCCCCTGGCTATCAAGAACAAGTGCGAGGTTATTCATGCTGTCAAGTGTGTCGGGATGCTCTCTGCCCAGTATCCGCTCCGTCAGCTCCAATGTCTGACGATGTATTTGTTTTGTCTCTTCGTACTTCCCTTGATTTCGAAGGACTCCTGCGAGGTTATTCATGCTGCCAAGTGTGTCGGGATGCTCTCTGCCCAGTATCCGTTCCCTCAGCTCCAGTGTCTGACGATGCATTTGCTCTGCCTCTTTGTATTTCCCCTGGCTATCAAGAACAAGTGCGAGGTTATTCATGCTGGCAAGTGTGGAGGGATGCTCTCTGCCCAGCATCCGCTCCCTCAGCTCCAGTGTCTGCCGGTACATCTGTTCTGCCTCGTTGTACTTTCCAAGCATGGAATAACTCCCCGCGATATTAAAAAGTAGATCAGTCTTTTTATCAGCAAACTTATTTCGAAGATATAATACCAACTGTCCGTGTGGGAGGTATCTCATCCAAATACTCCGGTTCTCGTGCATAGGAAATGGATACTTGTCGGTAAGGTGCTGAATTGCATCTATCGCCCATTTTTGCCACTCTCCATTTGTCTGCAGCCAATTGCGCATGGCTAGCCGAACGAGTCGATGGATATCAAACGAGTCGGGTTCTTTACGTTCTATAACAAAAGCGTATCCTTTCAGTATCCCTATCGCTTCATCGGATTCTAGCTCGTCCTCTCCTGGAGGGAGTAACGATGTTGGCACATCCTTCTCTGCGAGATAACATATAAATCTTAGATATCGTGTAGCGAGTGGATAATCTCGGGAAATATGGTTAAACGAGATCAACCAGGTTGTAGCTATTGGGTTATTTATGTTCTTATATCGATTACGGTCTTCGAAGTCCTGGCTGAGAAGCTTAACCATGGTTTTATCGCTTGACTGGCAATGCTGAAGATATTTCGAAGTTAACATGCCCGTCTTAGCCATGTAAGCTGATGCTTGCTTGATAGCCAGGGGAAGATTGGCGAGAAATCCCAACAGGTGTGTTATGCTCTCTGCGTCGCGTATCTGATCTTCCTTTAACCCGGCTCGTAGCAGATTCGTTGCTTCGTCATTGTTCATCTTAGTTACATTCATAATATCCTGTTGTGGGATGTCGAGCCTAACTGCAGCCTCGTGATTCCGCGTTGTGAAAAGGATGGAGCCGTTCCGATTGAATGGGAGATAGTCTGAAAGTGTCGCATCGGCAAATAACTTGAGATCATCGGCGTTATCGATGACCAAGAGCCAGCTGCCGGCGCTCTCGTGGCTAAGGGCAACCCTAACGAGCATCTTCACATCTGCCTTGTCATCTTCAATTCCTTTTACCCCAAGCTGGCGACCAATGTCACGATAGGCATTTTCAAAACTGGTGGCATCGACGGCAGGAACCCAGAAGACGGAGCAGTCGGGATGTTTGTGACGGACGCGATAGGCGGCCTCGAGGGCGATCTGGGTCTTGCCGATGCCTCCGAGGCCCTCAAGGGCGGTCCGCTGGCAGTCGTCCTGGATCGTGCTCGGGGGGATTCTGCTAAGGAGCTGTTGTAGGATGGATTCGCGTCCAACGAAGTTCTCGTTACGTCCGAATGGAACCATAAAGTGAGTCTCCTTTGTATCTGCGCCACTGTGAGAATGCGATGTTCTAAAAACCAACAGAAGTAAAACAATATTACCTTTCACTCGGCGTTTTAGGGTGTTTGGTGCCTCTTCCAGTATGGACTGGATGGCTTCTTTGACTTGTATGAAATCAGGGCAGTCCTTTCCCTCGAACTTGTTCATCATTACGTGAGCTTTGCCGAGACCCCGACGATGAAACCCATGGAGACAGGCCGAAGACTCCGTGACGAGCTGCAGATATTAGAATATACATTCCGTAGTGCGGTGGCTTGTAATCTTACTATCGATCCGTGTGACAACGTATCTAAAATCCGTGTTGGAAGGATCTTTTTTGCGATTTTGGTTTTCTTTGTTTCGAAGAAACACCAGATAGGCAATCGGATGGCATTGTCGTTAGCGATTTCGGCAAACTTCTGGACTCGCTCGCGAACGAAAGCATGGCGCTCCTCAAGATCCTTGATCAATTGACCCGACGCCTCTTTACCCATAATTCCCTTTATGACTACGAGCCACGATGCGGGACGAGCTGCGTCTGTTCCGGAGAATGGAGTGGCTAAGAAGACGATGCCGATGGTGGACTGAAGTATTTGGCGGTATTTGCTGCCCTCCTGGGCGGCCCGACAGATGGCCTACCGAGATTAGCTGGGGCCTTGTGTATCCGCAACATAGCATACCTCAGCTAGGACAAGTCCGCCAAAACAAGATGCGATGAAGATGATCGATCGACCCGAAGTACTATGTTCTACCGCTATAAGGCTGAGGAGATTGTCGGCGTGGCTCAGTAACGTTTGGACGGGCGCATTGTCGAAAACTTTCGCATCCCAGTCGTACGTGTAAATCCTGGCATCTGGGACGGCAGCCGGTAGCATATCGCTATCCTGCAGCCAGTTCACAATGCGGCTTCCGTCTTTCGTATCGAAAACCCATGTTCGCGGCGACTCGGTATCTAGGCCGTGGATTGCGATGATGCTGCCATAATAATCGCGGTTAGCGGGACTCGTCTTCGGTGGTGGGGAACGTACTCGACAGTGGTATTATCGGGAACGTCTTCGGCGGGGACAATCTTCCTAAGTCCTGAACGTGATCGTGTTTCTGTACCAGATGGCGATGGTGATCATCAGTGCGTTGCTAGCGTTAACGGGTGAATATGGGGCATACCATTGGGCCCCATTATGGGCGATTGCCACAGGTGCCGGTGTAGGGTGCGTATCGTGCCGATACACTAACAAGTTACGACGAAAGTGGGATGGGTTTAAAGAAGACTAGGAAGCTAAAATCGTGGGGCAAACTAGTAAACAAGCCTAGATAGTTCATTATATATCCAGCAACATAATGAATTTTACTGACACAGATCTAGGCTACGATTTAGCGCTTATCCGAAGCTATTACTAGCTAATTGGTTGATTGGGTATTGGCTAGCCTTGGAACACACATTGCAGCCAAAGAGGGGTAAAGACTACGATATAGGAAGATGTATAGGTACGTATCAGGAATCCTTTTTTCTTAAATTATCTTGCTTGAAAATGATATTTATTATAATTACTGAAGTAATTAATAAGATTAATAAACACTTATTAGGTAATTGATTATATTTGAATGTGAATCAGTAGATAAACGAGTAGTTTAAAGTCTTCCTGGATTATATTTAATATTGCGGAATCGTTTCTTTTTATACGCCATTGTCACCACGCAATTATATACAAAGATGGAACAAAACCAGAAGACGATCAGACCAGCCGCGGCGAAAGGACCTACGATGGAGAATGGAGGTACCTGCGCGTTGACTTAGTTCCACGTACGAATGCCACGCGGTGGACGGGACGACGTACCTGGATGCTTGGTGGCTCCATTCCAAGTTCCCCCCCCATCGATACGAGACCACGAAAAGCAGAAGCAACTTGTTGTGTTGTTTTTCCATCGTTGGCGACATGTTTGTACCTGTTATGACACTTGTATCATCCTGATAGGAAGCCATTACTAACATATGTATGGATGAAAGATGATAGGCTTAAAGGAAGCGTTGTAGGTGCTGTAATATATATAAGGCACCAACACAGCTCTTAGCAATCTCGTATCCAAGAAAGGAAGCTGTACTGAATATCATGTACTACTGTCAACAGCATAAAGAAGAGTAGCTTCTCCCTGAGAGATTGAGGGGAGGATACGGCACGCAGATCGTAAAAAGATTATAGTTACTCAATATATTTCCTTAACCCCATTTTGACAGTACCCGGATTCCATGAATTGATGGCTTATCGTGGCTAGATCAATAGCGAAGAATCGATATAAGCATATACCCACCGATGCTGCTGAGGAGCCGGTGAAAGTCAAGTGAATCTTCCTGAGCCCCTTCCCGCTCTACGAACCTAACCTCCCTCCCCCCGATCTAGCATCGTCGCTGTGCACGGTCTAGGCTCGAATGTAGTCTGGTCGTGGACTTGGCAGGACAAAAGTGGGCGACAACCGCCTGTGCACTGGCTGAAAGATCTCGAGATGCTTCCTGCCATCGTACCTAACGCGCGAATCATGGTCTACAGTTACGAGTCGAGGTGGCATGCAAATGCCCCCAAAACACGTCTTCATCTTTATGGAAAGGACCTTATAAATGCTCTGCATAACTTCTGTAATGATATACCCGACTATCCGATTATTTTTATCGGGCATAGTCTTGGTAGACTTATCATATAATATGTAAAATATATTCTAAGTTATACATCTCTGCTTTCTCATTAACTGCTTATTTAATAGGCACTATTATTTGCCGATGTAGATAAGAAGTTCAAATACTTACCGAAAAACATGGTTGGGTTTATCACATTAGGGTGTCCTGTTAAAGACACGAAGATGCAAAGCATCCCCTATATCGTCGCACGGTTCATGGTGTTGGCCAACTGTGACAAGGTGGGGTTATGGCTTGGCTAATAGTGCAGCGAATCGAATAATAATTCACAATGGTCTCGGGGGCCGTGCTGCGTACTATTCCCTCCATCCGTTGATGGCGGGAATCTCTTCTATTTATATACAAAGGATATCGGTACGTATCTTAGACGCCCGGCGTTTGCCATGATCCTGTTGACTATCCTTCAATCCATCTAACTGCAGATCTCCTTGGCCGCATTCCTATCGACAATTACAATGATATTATCCATAATATACACACCAAGCACCATTGCTCAGTCTTATTGGCACAAATATTATACATGCCTTCTATAAAGATGGTGGCGTCGGCGCCGTCTCATTTGTCACCATGCATGAGATCAAGGTAGTCCGCCAGGCGAATGAGGCTACTCATCTCAGCCTGAAGCGCACTGGTCGGATAAGCGATCCTCTGGAACAATGATATGACCCACTTAAATAGAGCGCGCAGTATCTTTCGGTCGATGAACCTGCTGAGGATATCGTTCTTGGAGCAGGCAGCCAGCACCAGGAGATTTTCACATTGACTAGATCGTTAGTATGAGTAGATTGAAAAGTGGGCATAGTATGATGACGTACGTCTGAGCCGTCCGTGGCAGGCCAAAGATTATTAGGTGCTGTTTATCCAATCCCCGAAAAGCCTGTATGCTCTCGAACAGTGCTTCGATGGCCAGTTTGACAAATGATATCGTGGTAGAGTCCATTATGCTGTCTGCATTAGAGGCTAGAATACTCCGGTAGAGACCAGGAGGGGTAGGTTTCCTTTCGAGCACAACTTCAAGAAAAGGAAGATAAAGAGCAACTTGTATGTCCCAGTACCTCGCGCGAAGGCAGGCGGATAACGCATCACTAGGCGGAGGGTCGCCGTCCTTCCATTGCGAACTTGGAGGCACCCACTTATCTCTGGAGTTCTTGAGTGCCCCTTGCAGCTCTATAATGGCGTCTTCTCGATTCGTGCATCTTGTATATTTCAATGGACTGTGCACAGATACCAGCTGCTTCCGAAGATACAGCTGAGCTACGTAACACCCTATGACAAGCTGGGAAACGCCTCGACTCGTGGCAAGCTCTAGGTTCGGATACGGCATCTTCGCTTCGTACTGTTGGAGGCCCGACGGAGGTATAGGCAATGTAACGCGAATATCACTAATTAAAAGACCAAGGTTAATAGCAAATGCAGTACGACATATCAAAGAACATCTACCTCTCTAATCCCAGGCATGTCCAAAAATTAATGATGAGTTGGTTATCCTCGGTCGACTCTCCAGCATATGAATTACCCATTGGAGAGAGAAGTAGTTTATTAAAGGTGCTATTGTAGTTAGTATACCCGTCTTAAATATAGGCAGTAGGATTGGGGTGCAGACCGTTGGACGATAGCTTGTATTCTCTGGCTTGCTAGAAAAATGTAGGACCAACTCTCCGGAAGGCGTCCTAGACTAACGTAGTACAAGCCAGCAAGGAGATGGATGCAGACGTGATTGCATACGTTCTGGTGCTGGCAGCGACCGCCCACCGCAAGCGTGAAATAGTCCAAAGAGTCCAAGTTGGGCATCCCACCTAGGTCTAGCACCTCTGAATGTGGATAGGGAATCTCGCGCATAGTAGCGCCTGGTAGAGAAGAATGTCGGCCTGCGCTTGCGTGTATGTCTCCATCCCTGTCTTCTTCCGGTGAAATCGGTGAGTTGGGTGTTGATTGAGAATGGTTATGAGATTGTGCTTTGGATTCCCCAGCAACATCGGAGATCTTGCCTCGGCGAAGACAGACGTCACCAAGAGCGAGGACGAGTAGAATAAGAGCGTCTTCCTCGGTCCGCAAGAGACGCTCGTGGTTCGGAATTGAAATGGAGGTATATCGCTCATCCATCACAAACGATCGCTTCCTCTTCTGGCCTGCCGATTAAGCCTCAAGAGGAGGGATAACCCGACTATAGATGTCTATATAAAATCGCTCGTATAGAAATTCCGCGACCATGATATCAAGCTCCGCAGGGACGATAAGGGGATAAAGGCTGAGAACATTGTCCTTGAAACTCCGTACGTATTTCCGTACCGTCTCCGGGTTCCACCGAGGATCCTGTTTAACATTAAGGTTACGCCCATGCCAATCGTTAGAAGGTGGCGGCGTCAAAGCAGAAGGTTGGCTCCATCCATCAATAAGGGAAACAGGGGATGCAACTAATAGATGGATCACCTCATTGGCGTCTCTCCGTGATGATATGCTCCAGTAGTCGACCCGGGAGGACGAATTACGCACCAATTCACGGACAGATGACCAATTCGAAACCGCATAACGGATAGGTATGGATAGTTCGTCTGCCAGGGCATCTTGCATGTTTTCCCGTATAACTTCTCCGATCTATTCGACAGAGGCGAATGCCCTAGAGTCAGGCTCTTCGTATAGTATGAGCCCTCTCACACATGCCAATATTTCTTTTTCCGTGTCCTCTAGTTTTGCTTGAAAGATCTCAGTTAATCTTTCCTCCAAAGAACAAATCGCATCGAGGATAATATCCTTTCTATTTCTATATTAGTTACAAACCATTCTTGACTAATTAAAGCTTACGGCTTTGCTGGCAGGTCTTGATAATAGCATTTCGCCTGCTTGTCCCTACAATTCTTGCATGGCCGTCCCTCGTCGCATTTCGCTTTCAGCTCCCTACAGAGATCGCAAGCCTGGTATGCAAGGTCAAAAGCAAATGCTTCGTGAATACGATCTTACCTGGGAAGCCCGCAGCGCTTTCCGTTTGGCAATTGTGACTGGGAGGCGCTGTTAGTCCATTTGGAATTTGGCCGCGTGAGAGCTCCAGACAGTGTACTCTATAGCATATCCATACCCGTTAGGATAGTCGAGAGCGATGAGAATAGGCGTGTTCAGTTTGAAAGTGATGAGGTTGGGACTCTGATGGTCATTAAGACATGGCCCCCATTGGTTATACTCCCTAGGACATCCTGTATCAGGCGAGTCAAATGTCCGCTTTTCTTCATATGGGTGCGCATATATCCGAAAGGCACACTGAGATTCGAATGAGAGCAGTCATGGATATGGAGCTAGGCGCACATTAGCCTAAGCTTAGGGCACGGCTACTGTGTAAAGCAGTTTACTACATATATTGTCAACCATCCCGAATTTAACAGAAGTTCCCTGTTTCTCACCTTTTAAATTAATATAAAGAAATGATACTGCAAGACCTGGACGTTTTCAGCTCGTGGAGGATGTAGCTGATACTACATATAATTATACCATTAAGCCAGAAGATTCGTGAAGACACGCGATGGCACACGAGATTTTTCCTTTGGTCCGGAGTTACTTCGGATTTAATCAGTACCCCGCATATTCTACACCAGCCCAACTAGGGATCACTTATCAGCAGGATATCGCCACGGAGTGCACCTGAAGGCGCAGCAAAGCATCATCATATCAAGTTTATGGCCGATGAAAGCCTAAAAATCATGCCCACTCTAGTCCAGTCAAGTCCCTTATGGACAAGTTACGGAGAACTCAACAACGAGGAAATCGAAGGACTTATCATCGAAAGTCAACATCTTACCGAGTTGCTACAAGCCGAGCTTAGGCTACGTGGTGCAGGCGTAGCAGAAGATTTTATCCAAGGACGTGACGTACGACGGAAAGCAGAAAATATCCAGAAGTATGGTTTGACCTCGTCTGATCGCGAGCTAATAGCGGACGCCAATCACCTCGGAATGGCTGTTATCAGGGGCGGCCTGAACTCCGCCAAACATGGCTTGACGCAATGGAAACATATCAGCTATACCAAGTTGATTTGGTTGGTGGCCAATGTCACAACGTCTGCGCATGCGCTCCTTCTCGTCATCGCTCTTGGAAAGAACAGACTGGAAAAGATTAACCTAATGGAGAGGTCGAGGCTTGTGTCTTTCATCAAGCAGCATGAAACCACACTTCTCTGCCCCTGTCTTGTGCCTGTCGCTCGTTTGCCGGTAGACTCCCTCGATAGTACGTGGCAGTAAGAAATCAATCAGCATAAATAGTAACCAGTTAACTATAGTGTCAGGTATAGCCACGTCGAGTCGCTTCTCTCATGAAAATCTTTGCGAAGACTAGGACCTATTGCTACGTACTTCTAAACCGCCCGCTTATCTTCCCTGTCTCCCAAGACATGATCCTTCAAAGCAAAGAAAATATTAGGCTATCAAAGACAGGAAGAACTTGAGAGACCTTGGCTGATTCCACTCTTGAACAGAAATTGCGGTCTCCTCTAAGCAGCCCTTGACCAGGAGACTACCTATATCTACTCAGTCCCTTTCAGGTTCTTGTCCGGAACGAAACCCGTCTGGACAACATATCTGTCCCTTTTCCCGATGAGTTGCATATGTATCTTCTCATTTAATATGTCGATGCAAACAAGTTAACCCAGATCCCGAATAAAGGATGGCGGAGCCCATGCAGACATGGATGATTAGTTGGATTAATCCAATCGAGGCTTTGGCATCCTATGCTTGCCACTTCTTGAGTTCCATTTGATTAGAGTTATCAAACGTGCTGCCTGCGAGCTTGAATTTGCGCGATACCCGTTATTCCGCGATCTCCAGATGTCATGCTGGTTGTAGTAAAGGACAAAGTAAGGATTCATCATAGGTATGGCTGCAGTCTACTCTAGCCATGTTCCAAATAAGAGCACGACCTGGTCAATGATTCTCGATCTAGTAGGTCAGAGCCAAATCCAATTCATGAAACATTAGCAGCACATACCACTAATAAGGGATGAACTGGCCTCCAATACAGGTCTTACTTTGATGCGGCATGTCTAGTTGGATTAGGCTCGATTATAAGTAGGTAGATATGTATTATCCTAGGTAGTTTGGTGAGCCACAGGGCTCGGCCTTCTGATAGAAACGCGAGTTCAGATAATTATATTGACAGACAATACTATACCGGGCTAGCCTATTGCTCTTACATTAGTTAGTGATGATAAACGCAAGGAATCTCGCAGAGTTTGCGCTACATTGCCTAAAGGCTCGATAGACTATCATACGGACTTTTACATGATCGAGAATCCCTAGTTCATGGTAATCTTTCTCCTCAAGTACAGGCTTTCCGAGTTCCAACCTCTCGATATGGATGCTACTGGGTACCATGTGCGATGACTTGGACTACCACTTTCTAATAGTGGCTAGGCTAACGACGCTTTCGAATAAACAATGTAATAATATTGCATTGGTGGCTGATTGCTGATTGCTGGTATGACATTAAGAACTGTTGGGATGATACCGCGTGTACCGAGATCAACGATTTCTTGAAGTCACTAGCCAAAGCACAAAGAATGACAAGGGAGTGAAAGATGTTAAAAATATGTCTTTTTTCCTCTCCTTTTCAATGTTACCCTTAAACCGCTGCACTCTTTTCAAGCTTGATTTCAAGTAATATCGCTAATATGACTATTCCTGGCTTTAACCATAGTCCTGGTTTATGAAAACGGTGATGATATACACTGTCATTGTATAGAGTCGCCAAGCTTTTGGGCGAGTATGGATTTAGTCTGCCTAATTGGGATCCCCGCGTTCTTAAGGCGTTTCGAGCCCTGGACGATGTTTTCAACGGCAAATATAAGGGATATTTACTCTCTAGACTAGCATATATCCAGCTGTTTTAGGTGTTTGATATGTTAGAAATCATTATAGCCTTGGAGAGTTGGCCTGAACTATGCTGCTTAAAACCCAGTTATACCTATATTAATAGGGTTATTGATATATATGAAGATGTGTAAGAGATGTAGCTTGATTTGTGGTCGCTTCGATGTTGAATGTATGAATAGAAACGATCATGTCGATGGTGGAAGTTTTTGCAAGGACTGTTGCCATTTATTTTTCTTATTTATTTGGATATGGCTGAGAAAGTTATATATGCCTGCATTTTATCTTTAGTTGTTCTCTTAATAATTAATTTTGAGTTATAGTAAAGGGTTTTCTGTAATGGATGATGATGCTATCAAAATCTTTGTTTTTAGTCTTTAAAAGGAAACATCTGTCCCGCTAGTTTGTACATGTATTTTCCTAGTGGGGGTGGTGTATAGAATGGCTAGTTTGGGCTATGCTGACCTGGAAAATAAGATGAAGCAGCTGAGGGGCCATATGGAGAAAATAATATATGGTAGTAATTAAGTTCTTCTATTTTTGTAACCTGTTGTTGTGGGACATACATTTTCGGATGCTTCTCGTTGTGAGAATGGGCTTCCATTTTTGTGACCTGTTATTGTGTAAGTCTTCCGAATTCATGGCCCGTCGCTGGGGGAATCTTCCGTTTTCGTAACTTGTTGTTGTGGGAGTCCCCTGGAGGTGCGGCCGCGGTGCTATCTTTAATATAGCCGAGCCTGTGTCCATAAACATGTTTTCGTGTATCGGCTTCTATATGCATTGCTTCCGTGTGCTCCCGTATCTTATGCTTGTGCCTCCATGCACCCATGTGCCTTGCTTCTCTTCCTTCTCTTCACTTGCCTCTATGCGAATGCCTCCATATGCTTATTTCCACACACTTGGTTTTATGTGTCTTACCTCTATATATCCTTGCCGCCGTGTACCCTACTTCAGTGGTAGCCGCCGAGCGCAAAGTTGAGTAACCAAAATTAAAATCGATTCCAGTCCGATATCTGCGCGAACCCGTTATAGTCAATTGGTTATCGAGGTATATGAATTTTCCGGGAAATGCAACCTTTTGGCCGTGGTGGCATCCAGCTATATTTGGCCGAATAATAAGATATTCTTGTAAGTATATAACACAATGCCAGCTTATCAATGGCAATACTAATACATAGAAGACCTGGAATCCTTAACGCGACCATAGGTCTGGTGACCACCTTGGTCGACATATACACCGTTAAAGACGGGACCTGGTCCGTGACAGCGATCGCCACTGTCGTACTCATAGGTGTCGTGTTAAGCGTCATGGCTGCTGGTTTCTCTGTATACACATTTCTTATTAGGGGGCTTTCTAATAAGGGATGACTACTACATACGCGAAAGAAGCGGTTCAAGCGACGACAGGCTAGCATTATAGGAGATATAGGAATAGCATGGGAAGAAGCATAATAGATAACGGCCAGTTTGTTTGCTTGGTCTTCCATATGTGTTTATCGCCTCATGGTATTGTAATTGGTACTGATTCTACATCCGCTGCCAATGAAGGGAACCCCGCGTTGTCGATCATTTTGGAGGGGCAAGGCGGCGCGTGTAGCGCTAGAAATCGGGGATAAGCCGCTTCCGTTGCCCTAGCACTAGCACCAACGCTAACCCTATTCTCCGTATTTATTCAGGACAAAGCCTGGTTCTCGCTAGTTCTCTAGCATTGTGTTGCGTCGTATCGTTCTCTCAAATCTCCAAATCCCATTCTTAATTAACCTCCTTATAGTTTACCCTGATCTACCATGGCAGATCAGGATCGGTCAGAAATCATCAGAAACAATCCCATCGGTAGCGGCCTCGAGGCTTTCCTTGCGTCGTTTAGTTCTCTCTGCGAGAGCAAAGACATCCCTTACTCGGGAGAGGCCTTTGATCAACTTGGCGATGAAGGTAGATATGTTGACTTCGATGTACGGCTTTCTCTAACTATTGTTTAGATCTCCAAAATATCGCTATCGAACTTCTCTCGGGGCTACAAGGCCTTCGGGTGTCTCCAATGTAGCTAGGTACTATCACCACGAGACTGTCCGTCTCCCCAACGGCGACGTCGATGATATCCAACACGGCATTCGAAAGGGATTGGACATTACGAAGGCCTCTAACTACCGGTCGCAACAACTGGATCTGCCGCGGGATTTGGGCACGCTTAGCATCTCGCAAGATAGCGTCACCGGTCAGAAGAGGTCATCTAGCCAAACCGGCGCGCCCCTACCATCAAGCAAGCGATCTCGCTCGGAGTCTCCGATAAAAGTTGACCCCAGCACGCTAACAAATCGTATCCATCGGCGTGTTCTTGTTAGTGACTATGGTCGGCCTATTTACAAGGCTAGCTCGCGCGTGGCCCTCCTTACTGCATTGGAAGACTGTATCGAGGGCCACGAGTCACTACTACGCAAAGCCGAGATCCTCCATAGAGATATATCAAAAAATAACCCCATAATCAACGAGAATAACAACAACCCTTCCCCGTATTCGTTCTTGATTGACCTGGATCTTGCTATTCCAGCTGATCGAAGAAACGCATCGGGCGCGAGGGGGAAAACCGGCACGAGGGCATTCATGGCGATCGGGGCGCTCCTAGGCGAGCAACATTCCTTCATGGACGACCTCGAGTCCTTTTTCTGGGTGCTGTTCTGGATATGCATTCATTACGATGGACCAGGGAAGGGCAAGACCGTGAAGCGGTTCGAGTTGTGGAACTACATCAACATTGAGGTACTAGCTGAACAGAAACTTGGCCTCGTGACGAAGGAGTCGCATTTTCTCCATGTAATCACTGAATACTGCCAGCCATACTACAAACCTTTGATACCTTGGGTCAATAGGTTGCGGAGGGTCGTGTTTGATAATAATGGGCGGGAAGATGAGACACTGTATTCCCGTATGCGGGATGTCCTCCGTAAAGCCCGGGAGGATCCTGATGTGATACATACTTAAGACATACGTATGCGTTGAATAAATTGCACCTAGATCTAATTCAACCGCCTATTTCCATGTGTGATAGGGATTAGCCAAGGCGACGCGACACGCTTATTATTTCTCTGATGATGCTAAATTCGGATAGGACAGGTGGAAACAGAAGGAGTGCGCTACATGCTTGGCGGGCCTCACTGCCTACTTACGTCCCAAAACTGGCAACCGAGGAACGAATGACTAAATACATAAGAAATAGCATATACTTATTCCCTCTTCTCTTATTCCTTCGGTGAACGTACACGGCCCCCATACATGCATGCCCCATCACGACCAAGGAGATCCACAAAGAGCACGTTACTCTTGGGTGTGTCAACAACAGACCCATGAACGGAACAATTTAAAGTGAAACTATTAATTGTCAGATATCCAAGAGAGCTGTCCCACACCGACCTCGCATAACTTACGTCAACACACAAATGTATCCCAGGGTATTTCGTTATCCTTCCACGACAGCATCTCTTCGTGGTTAGCTCTCCTCGACAGCCGAACCGACTCGGCAAGGTTCCGGTTATCATACAACATAACCGTCACGGTGTTCATGTCCTGCCCTCGCCGGTTGACCCGCGCAGCCGCCTGCTTCTCCACATCCATCGTTCTGGCCGGCTCCATCATGACGCAGTAGTTGGCTCGCTGGAGGTTTAACGCCGCTGCGCATATGGTATAGGTAGAGACGAGGATCTTGTTGGGAGAGGTCTCGTTGCAGGGCGAGTTGAGGTCCTCTATGATCTGACTCCTGCCGTACCCGCTATCGCTAGCGCCCGCTTCATGTTTCGTAGAGGCATTAATTAGCATCACCTTTACTTCCTTGTAGACATAGGCTAATTGCATGTAGGTGATAAATGCGGAACAGGGCGAATTGGCGAGGACGATCATATGGCGAATGTTTGTTCCGTCACGTGGGCCGGGGTCGTCTGCGGTTGGTACTTTGCTTCTGTACGAAATCATGTCGTCCACGAAGTCGCGGAGCTTGGTGAACTTGGCAGACTCTTGCGCAAGTTCCCAGCGACATCGCGAAAGTGAAGACATCTCAAATACCTTAACCATGGCTGCACGGCCCTGGGCCAGGTATGCCTTGCACGCCCGGGCCCCAAGCGGGTTGATAGTCCCGTGATGCAGGTCTTCGTCTTGGATCAGGTCTGCCTCTATCAGGCGAGCGAGGGCCGGATATACTCCTGCTCGCACAAGTCGCGTCCATGCGTGACCGGATCTTCCGCTCAGCCTAGCCCTCACATTGCTGCCTCTGAAGAGGTTTTTCTCGACGCTGCGTTCGGAGGGTTCTGGTCCTACTTGGCCGCCTTGCTCCCACTCTTGCTTTTGTTTTTGTAGGGTTAGTCTCACGTAGCTCCGCACCTCAGCTACCAGGCGTCTAAATGCATCCTGAGCCGCACCGTCTCTCATCGGGCAGTTGATGAACTCCACGATAATCTCCTGGCTCCCTTCGCCAATCTGCTTCCCTCTGAACTCATCCGCAGGACGACGAGCCATTAGCACCAGAGGAGCCAGCTCTTCCTCCAATGCGCTGAGCCTCCCTCGACGTATTTTAACCTCCTTTTTTGCTTTCGGGTCTTTTGCTCGGTCAAGTTTACCCAGCAGGTAGTTATAGTCGGCTTGCCTATCTTTGAAAACGCCCACATCGCTAATGCCACCGATCTTAGCCTCCAAGCCTTGCAGACGCCTGCTTTTTAGAATATGATCGATGACATTAGCAAGCTGGACGGGTCCGGCCATGGGAATTGACGCGGATACTGTGAAAGCCGACGGCTCCTTCCAGCCGCTGTCTCGAAGCTTGCCCAGAAGTCGAAAAGGATCGGTAGGGCTATCCGGCGAGCCGTTATACTGATGCGACTCGTCGAAAAAGACAAACGCAGTTCCCATAAGGTTCTCTCGGATCAGTTTCCCGTTTCTATCGGCGATGTTGGTTCTCGTTTGGTCGTACCTAGCATGAAGTTTCGTGGCGCCGTGACGACTGACAAGAATGAGCCTATTAGCTAAGCCGACCCGGCCCTTTACGAGCAACCGCATACTCACGTCCTCCTGCTGCACAGCAACCCCATGTGTATCTTTCACTTGATCCTCTCCGTGGTAGAGCCTTTCCTCTCTCTTGTAGTCTTCGTGCGCCACCGAGAGCTTCAAGCGGCTTGCTACAGGGTGCGCTGTGTCGATGACTTTGTCGTACTCGGCTACCCAACCGCGCATAGCGGTAGGCGGTACCACGCATACTGTCGGGAGCGTCGGCATCGTCGTCGCGATCTTGTACGCGTCGCCTGATCTGACGCAAGTACAGCTTGTCGGGTATGGCGAGGTCTGCTGGCTGGGACACTGGGTTTCATCCCCCGTCCGCTGCTCGGCCAGATGCGACCGACCCCCCGTCGTAGTGCCATCTTTCCAGAATCTACGTACTTCCTCGTGGTTCGCCTTGATCATGGCGAAAATGGCAAAGGTGGCGATGACCTCCACCGTTTTGCCGAGGCCCATCGCATCCCCTAAACAGCCGCCCTGGATGCCACGCAGAGGCTGTTGCGTCAACATCCACCATACGGCGTGTAATTGGTAAGCGAGGATCTCTACGCTGAAACCGGGCGGCTGTAGCTTCGTCGTAGATTCGGGACATCGAAAGAGTCGACATAGACGGCTCCAGTCGCCATCGTTGATATGTCGGTTCGCATACCGGCCGCCGAATTCGTTGCTTGTAGCCTCATCGCTACCACATATATTATCCACAGACTCGTCGTCCAGGGCCAGCTCATCTAGGCGATTCTCTACCTCTTCCTCCTCTTCCTTTTTCTTATCATCATCAGAAATCTCAATAATTTCCCTGCGGGAACGCTTGCTGTTGGGGGACTGCGTGTCGTTCGTGGAATGTCTCCGCTTTCTACCATGCAAATTGGTACTGTCAGCGGCTGATGCAGGAGTGGTAGGGTGGGATGCGTTGTCAGTGAGGCCTAGTGCATCGCTTGGGCCAATGTCTCCGTGTCTCGTATCGGCTTTCGATGCGGGGTCCGCGAGGGTTCGCGGTGGTGTTGCGTCGTTAATGTCGCTGTCTGCCTCTTCTTCTTCGGGATCCTGGATAGGGTCAATAACATTCTGGATAGGAATGAATTAATATAAGATACCATACGGTAGGGTGCATTTTACCTACTTGAGAAGCACGGCTGGTGCTAACGGAGGATCCTGATCGCAGCAGAAGTCCCGGTACTGGCGCCAAGGGTCTGTCCAGAGACGGCAGTATCGTGGTGCCCGTCTGGATGCTAATGATCAATAGCTCCAGGTCGTGCTTGGAACACACGTTCCAATCTTGGCTGAATACGAGAGGCTCGGTCGATGGTAGGCGGATGCTGGCCCGTAAAAACTCCCTGATTCCTTTATAATCGTAGTGGCTCGAGACTCGGATGGCAGCAGCGTTCCCGGCGTCATTCACGAAGGAGTTCAGCGTGAAGTCGACCGATCGGTTTCCATGGCGCACGCGCACCACTACGTGGTCAAGATTCGGTGGATGGTGATGTTGAGCTTCCATGATAACCATGTTACGAAAGCTGGTTATTTGGCAATAGAAAGAGCAGTGTTAGACTGCGAGAAATGAAGGATTAGAGTGAGTGAGTGACGGAAATAGAATCAGATAGAGGCGGAGAAGTGTTACCTTAAGTATGAGAGATTCACAACAGAAAACCCCGCAAGCCACCAGGCACCATTTGCCGTAGCAAGCCATGGTGGGATGAAAACATTACCAAAACGTCGACAGCACAGGCGTGGATAGTATTTATCTGTACAAACCACGGGCAACACCGCGCACGCCAGATTGCGCCTAACCATACTTGACAGCAATCCGAGAGCCATGGCAAGAGAAGGGACTTTGGAAAAGCGAGAAATCGTATCATTTTGATAACGTGCCGTAGCAGAAGCGCAAAAACTGCTATATGTTGTATTCCCACGATGGTATCTTGCAAGGGGAGAAAAGCGGCGTCCGTCTCATAGTTGATAAGATAGGCACCATTTGGCTGAGGGAGGGCCTGTGCGCAAGAACGAGCTAATGCAGATTATATGAAAGCGTCAGATGAGGTCATCCTTATTTATCAATTCTTTATTGGCTGATTTATATAAATTTGGCCAGTCTTGTGTGACGAACCTATATCTGGGTACCGATATAGTCCTTGTGAAACTGGGGATCTGGTTTTGAAGGTAATAGTGTTTATAAGAGATTAAGTAAAAGTAATTAAGAATACTATTTGTCTAAAATCCTTTCACCCCTTTCGGATAGTGAAACTATAGATTGATAGCTAAAGAACTGAAAAAAAGAAAAAAGACTAAATATATGGGGAAAAGGTTGAGTTTTCTTTATAGATTAAATTGCTTTTCTAAGTGGTGTGTTACAAGCCTACAATTCGGGGAGCTATTATTGTTGGTAGGTACGTACGTAATGAAGCAAAGAAAGAATAACAATAAACGAAATAGTAGGGGTGAGACGATGTATATTAAATTATCTAAGGAAGAAAGACCTATCTATAGAAGTAGGCAAGTAAGGTAGCCTATTTAAAGGAGATTGTGATGACTAAAATAGGTCACGTGTTCTTCACCATGCAACCATCAATTATAGTTTGTATGCGATCTAGGGTTCTTGATTTTAGGTAAACAATAATCATAAGAATCAAATAAGAATACATTCTCTATTTATAAGAAAAGTTTAAAATCTTCTCATTATTGGTAATTATAATCTTAAATTGATAACTAAGGTACTGTAATAAATATTTGGATATATTGTCACAAACCACACGCGCTTACAGGGATGCAAGACCTCGGAGGAAACCTTTTTCCTCTCCGAGGTGGGGCAGCGACAGCAGGAACACGTGACACGTGACATGGATGAGTATGGATGAGGATATCCAGTCTCATCTAAGAAGTGTAGTAAAGATGAATATGGATAAGGGTATCCAGCCTCATCCATAAGGGAAACAACAGGAAGGAACACCTATATAGTCACCGCATTTTCCCATGTATCTAGTCACTCCTTTATAGCTCTTTAGTTATCAATCTAAGACTATCCTTTCGAGTATAGTGAGAGGACTCCATGCCTCTCTGACGAACAGAATCATTTATTACTTGACCTGCAACCAGTATTATTACCTTAAAATCAAGACCCCCGAATCATCCGATTCAGTAACGTCTATACCAGTCCAAGATATAGGTTCATCACATATTAAGGGTCACTAAGCCTCTTATAAAGAGGCAAGCGACGGATTGCGACAGCCACTGAAATCATTCACTCGGGAAGGACGCTGATACTCACACGCTGGACCAGTCATATTTCTTATATGGGTGCAGCATATGCACTATGGCCAACTGAACCTTCCTGTTCTCCGTCTTGAATAATTAGCATTACATATCATGGACAAGTTGATTATTTCGTCTGAACCTATTCCAGAAGAAGTTACTCAAGAAGAAGCAGAAGAAGTCATGTATCGGCAACCAGTTGAAACATTTATAGAGACCACGAGACAGGCTTGGGTTAAGACAGTAGAGAAGTATGCCCCTACATTCTTGTCTGATTCGGTGTACACTAGCTGACCTCGTAGATACCGCGGCCTCGAAGTGTTACAAACCACCCATGAGGGACCCTTGTCGGATCACGAGGGATGGAGCATAGGCAACCTATCATGGTTAAATTCCGGATTGATGTGCTAAGATGTAATATATCGCAACACATCGCAGCATATCGCAACACATTGCAACACATCGCAACATATCGCAACACATTACAATATATCACAACATATTACAATAAACCTTAGGGTGGGAGGGAAGGAAGGAGCAATTATATAACCACAGATATTTCTTATGTATCTAGTCACTCTTTCCATAACTCTTTAATTATTAATCTAAGATTATTCTTTTGAGTATAATGAAAGGACTCTAAGCCTCTCTGACGAACAGAACATATTTAACTACTTAACCTATTATTAATATTGTTATCTTTAAATTAAGAAAACCCCGGATTAGCTAATCCAGCAACAACTATACCTCTCTGAGGCATAGGTTCATCACATTTTGATAACTCCTTGATTAATATCAGTACTAGGTTAAGAAGTGGTATGAGCCATCTATAGGATATCCCTTTACCATCATTAGTCGAACTTTCTTTTGTTTTATTAACCTTTGAAGATAGAATAGAAAACCTCCACATCTTCCAAGAATTACCTTTCGAGGGATATTACGATTGGATGTGGAATGAATTGATAGACCCTAACCTAGAAAGTGAAGAAAAATCAGATAAAAAGGAACTCCAGAATGAGGACTTAGGTAATTTATAATAGTCCAATTCATCACTGTCCAGAATACCTACACCTGTTTATATCACTTAGGACCTGCCACCAATAAAAGAGGTATTCCAATTCATTGACAAAATGGTGCCTCCTAAGACATGCTTGTAAGTCCCGGAGTCGGAAATGCAGGAGGAAATTAATGTTAGAATAGGAGGAGATAACCAGGAAGAAGAAAAGGCCCCTGACTGGCAAGCCAAAACAATGGCTACCCTTAGGGAGATTAAAAGGCTTAAAAAGGAATTGACCTTGAAAGAGGCCAGATTAGGAAAGGCCCCTGAGGGATCCCCATTGGGAATCTCTTAGTAACCGGTACCCCTTGGACCTCCAGACGATGACAACGATAACGATGGAAAGGATAGGAAGAAAGAAGGAAGCAGAGATCCCCAACCAAAAAGGGAAAGAATAGTAACCCCTTTCCCACTCATTAAAGGATATAAACCAACAGACCCGCTAATCTACAATAGAACTTCAGATATTGAGGACTAGCTTACACACACAAAACTCTATCTATCTTTTTATAAGGAAAACCTACCACAGGAGGAACAACAGGTGCTTGCTATTACTCAGTTCTTAAATAGAACTACCCTCACATGGTTTTAACCTATTCTGGAAAATCATTTCAACATCACCAAGGAAGAATCAAAAGAGTCTCAATATGTCTTCAAGCTATATGAACATTTTGAAAACAAAATACAGATGATGTTTAACAAACCACTCAAGAAAGAGAAAACACGGAAGACCATCTGTTACCTCAGACAAAAGAGGCGAGCTACACTCTACATGACAGAATTCAAGCAACTTACAGCTATAGGGCAATTACCTGAAGATACACAATTCAACTACCTTTATAAAGAAATGACTACCTAGATAAAAGATAAACTCTCCAAAAAGGAACGACCTACCACCATTAACAAATATATGACCAGGGTAATTCTTTACGATAATAGGTTATATAAAAGATATAATAAAAAAAAGAAAGGCTCCAAAATAACAAAAAATCAGGGAAAAAGGGAACCTACCAAGACTCAGAGCCTAAATACAATCAATAACAATAAGAAACCCAAGAAGGACTTAAGCAAGGTCAAATGCTACAATTGCCAGGAAATGGGATACTACAAAAGCCAATACAAGAAACCCAAGAAACAACCACAAGTCCCAGAAGGAAGATTAGCTAATATAATAACGACAACATTAGGATCCTTAACCTTGGGAATACTCAATATTCTCGAAGAAAAAGAAGAATAGGAAAATCCATCACCGGACTATAACAAAGCCACCTAATAAATAAAAATGGAAAGTTTCATAGACCAAATGAATTAATTATGGAATCTTAGTGCAATAAGCATAAGGGACTCCGAGGAGGAAGAAACAAGTATCTCTTCGGAAGAATCCAGCTCTTCTTCGAATGAACAAAGGCCATTATGGGACATGGATTAGAACATGGAAGGAAAAGTAGAAGGAGAAGTAATATTTTCAGTACAGGTTAACAACCAAAATATCTTTACCATACTACTACCAGATGAAAGTGTTGTTCTGACACATTTTGATGGAACGCAACTACACCAGTAGGTAATATAGGACCAATGGAATTCTAATGATAAAGGAGGATGGAATTGAACCCCTAAACTGGAATTGGTATACCACGCATGGTTAATTAAGTGAATAAACTATTATTATTATAATCTTAGTAATCCAATGGACCCAAAATATATGTCTAAAAGTGATGAAGTATAGACCCGAAAATGCAGGAGATGAAATTACGGGAGAGCCTGTAAAAATATTGTTAGAAGAATATTTAAAGGATAAGGAATATTGGAATTATTTACCTTGAAAATATTTGAAGATTTGGATTATAAGGGGGTAATTAGAAATGGATGAGACCGGGAATTTATGTGACGATGTTATAGGAATATATATAGGGTTTCCCATGCAGTACTTTATAAAGAAAAATAAGGCAAAATTACCTTAATTAAACCTGTTTGTGGATATCTGAAATAAGTGGCCTAGTATTTAAATACTGTCCTGGGTGGATATTACAAATAGATATTACTACAATATAAAGAAATGATTGACCAGTTTTAAAGGGAAATATAACATTTAGAAAGTAAGATTGTGGTTTTTTAAGGAAGAACCGAACAATTAGTAAATCTGTTACAAGGAATGATCAATATGATTAATAAATAGCAGGATATGGTGGAAAAACTGTTAAAGATCTTATAGATGATATTAAACAAGGTTAAGCCAGCATGTTCAATAAGAATAGCCAAGGGACCCCATTTAATTGTAAAGATGATATGGAAAGAATATGAATTTAATGCCCTGATTAATTTAGGATGTGTAGTTAATTTGATCTATCTAAGATTGGTTAACATATATGGAATACTGTATCAAAAAAAGAAGATGTCTTACTAAGTTAGTAATATTGATGGAAGCCTTATTACCTATGATGGAGGAAAAGTTAAGAGAGAAATTGCAATTCTCTCTGTCTTGATCTAAGGATACCAAGAGTTGGTATCTTTTAATCTTGTTGACATAAACTATGAATTAGTTTTGGGGAAGATGTGGCTCAGAGTTAGTAACCCAAGAATTGACTAGGTATAGGATTGACTTTATTGGGATAAGTTAGAAAAAGATTTAGCCCCTGAGCATCAGAAAGAGGCTGACTTAAGTAAATTGAAATAGCAATTACAGCAAATGTAAATAGGCAATTTCACAAAGGAACATTCCGTATCTCTATGCTTTATGATATGATATATGGATACCAAAGAATTAAACAATTAAAAACAAATCAAAATCAAAGAAAAATATGTAAAAATATTTCCAAAGTTATTTCAGGATAATCTAGATATGGATATAGGTGTATTGGAACATAGTTGATATGACCATAAAATAATATTAAAGGAAGGGGAATATCCAAAATTACACCAAGTTTATAGATTAAGCCAAAATGAATCTGAAGCCTTATGCGTTATATTCCAAGATAAGGAGGCAAGAGGGTTTATATGAAAATCAAAATCATCAGTAGGATACCCAGTTTTCTTAGTATCTAAGAAGAATAAGGATGGGATATTTAAGTTAAATAAGGAAGGAGAAGTAGTATGGAGGGATATTTATGATTACCAACAATTGAATAAGATCATGGTTAAAGATGGGCATCCTTTATTATATATTAAGAATCTAAAAAAAAAAATAGGTGATGATGAATGATTTATATCATTAAATCTGAAATTCATTTTCAACCTTATATAAATTGCTAAAGGAGACAAGTGGAAGACAGCTATCAGAACACTGCACGGTCATTTTGAATGCCTGGTAATACCATTTAGACTTACAAATACACCAGCCACCTTTTAACAAATGATCCAGGATGTTCTACAACAATTCCTTAGAAAGAACACTTTCGTATATTTAGATGATATTCTAATCCATTTAAGAACCAGAAAACAATATGAAAAAAATATACACGAGGTATTTAAAGCCCTAGGAAAAACTAAACTTCTTGTAAACCTAGATAAAAGTGATTTCTTTGTCTAAAAATTTGATTACCTTGGATATATAATCTTTCTAGGAAAAATTAAAATCCAGAAATCCAAAATATCTATAATAAGGGAATGGCTAACCCCAGAAACTATTATGGAAATACAAGCCTTCCACAATTTCTGCAATTATAGCAGAGCCTTAATTAAGGACTTCGGGAAAATCATAGAACCAATAATGGCTATAATATGTGTTAAAAATCTAAAGGATTTTAAATGGATATAAGAAACAGAAAAAACATTCCAAGAAATAAAAAAAATTATAATAAAGGATCTAGTAATGAGGTTACCTAACCCAAACAAGAGGAAACGATTACATATTGATGCCTCAAATGGAGCAATGGGAGCAACATTGGAGCAACTGGAAGATAATGGAAAATAACACCTAATTACCTATTTTTCCAAAACCTTTAAAGGATCAGAAATAAGATATAAAATATATGATCAAGAATTAATGGTTATTTACCAAGTATTGAAGGAGTGGAAACCATGGGTATTAAGAATTGCTAAACCTTTGGAGATTTATTTGGATTACCGTAATCTCAAGTCTCTCATGACTACTAAGGTTCTTAATAATAGATAATCATGGTAGGTAGATGATCTTACACATTTTAACTTTAAGATTCACTATATTAAAGGAAAAGAAAATATTCAGACAGATATTCTCAATAGACCAAAGGGTCTTAGTACTAAAGAGGTCAGAGAAGAAAAGGTAATATTCCAGGAAATATCTAACGGTACCCTAGTATTATCGGCAATATATCTAATCAAACCATAACATAAATAGGAACAAAGGATTAAGAAAAAAGTCTTACAAATTAAGGATACTCTACTAATATAGGATTTTATCATTAAAGATATGATATCATACAATGGGAAAACCTACATACCGTCAATATTACAGGAAGAATTCATACAAGAGGTACACGAACATCCTTTACATAAACACTTGGGAATCTTTAAGACAGTTACACAACTATAGGAAGTATATAACTTCCCAGGAATCAGGGGAATAATCAAAAAGATCATCTTAAACTGTAACATCTATAATAAGGTTAAGGGAGTTAGACATAAACTATATAGGTTTCTATAACCCATTGACATTCCAAATAAACTATGGGATACTATTACATAGGACTTTATCATCAAGCTACCCAAATTACAACATCCGGTAACCAAAGAAGAATATAATGACATATAGGTTATCACCAATAAACTTACAAAATACAGGTACTTTATGCCATTTAAGGAAACCTATACAACTAAAGATTTAGCTTTTAAATTTGTCGAAAAGGTCTTTAACAGACACAGGCTACCAAAGAAGATTATTTCAAATAGAGATAAACTCTTTACCTTAAAATTTTAGGTTGGCCTAATAAAGAGACTAGGGATTAAACAGAAGTTTTTTACAACAACTTACCTTTAGACTAATAGCCAAACGAAGCAACTAAATTAGATACTAGAATAATATCTACAGAATTACATTAATTATGAATAGGATAACTAGGTAGAACTCTTACCACTCATTATATCCTTATATAATACTTCAGTCAACAATACCACTGGGATATTACCATAGGAAGCACTATATGGATGATAAGTAAATGTAGAACAAGAACCATTAACAAACAAGGTTGCCCCAGAATTGGAAACAATACCACCTAGAACAAAAACATTTGCTATTAGAACCCTGATACTGCAAGCTAAGCTCAAATAACGCCTCAAATTTCTATAACATAAAATGATAACATACTACAACAAAAAGAGAATTAAAGGACCAATTCTATGTAAAGGAGATAAGGTCTATCTCTTATGAGATAAGCAATACTCTACATTAAAAACACCTCAAATTCAAACCAAGAGACCAAGCAAAAAATTAGATTTTAAGAAACTAGGACCCTTCTTAATTAAGGAGGCCTTTTCAAGAACAAATTATCAACTACAATTACCAACAAATATAAAATTAAGAACCAATATATTTTATATTACTATATTTAAATCAGTACCTGGGGATACCAAACTTAAAGGAAATGTCGAACTAGAGGAGGACCCAGAAGAATATAACATTGAAGCCATTTGTGATTCTAGGATTACTAATGGTCAGATCAAGTACTTTATCAAATAGCTTGACTATTCGGAGGAGAATAATACCTAGGAATCACAGAAACATCTTATAAGTAATGGGATCTAAAAGTTAATTAAGGGTTTTTACTGTTAGAACCCTGACCAACCAAAGCCCATGCGGCCACAGTCGATAATGATATCAGGCCAAGATCAAAATTTACCCCAGACAAGGAGGAAGGGAAGGCCAAAGAAGAAGCCTTAGAGGTAGGAACGCCATGTCCCTGTTTGACTCAGACCTATTCCTCGACAATACAAGCCCATTCCTCTGCCAGGCAGGCCTATTCTTCCTCAGTATCCTACTCCTCACCAAATTTTAACAACTCTAGACCACGCCTTTTTAACAAATCCTCCTGGCGACGAAATCACTGCAACTTGCTGATCTTCTCTGCCATCTTTTCTTGTAGACAGACCAGTTCATCCTCTGCATCCTTACATTCCTGCTCTAGACAAGTATGGGCCCAGGAAACATGGTCAAGAGTATTTATCTCCAGGACGTCACAGCGTTTTCGATTCCAACGAATACAGTGGTTACAGACTCCAAAACCAGTAGACAAAAAGCAATCTTCTTCGGAAGCATCACAGTTGGAACAAAGAAGGATGGGTTGACCATGAGTTTCAATATAATCGACGTGAGTATGGTGTTTCTACCATTAATTAGAACAAACACTTGACTTTTATACCTTCCCAGATATGGTTTCTATGCAATGAACATAGAAATAAAGGAGGAAGAAGATGCATACCTTTTTTTATCTTTAAGGGCAAAGATTCAGAGGGGAGGGGTATAATGTTACAAACCACCCATAAGGGACCCTTATCAGATTATGAGGGATGGAGCATAGGCAACCTATCACAGTTAAACTCCGGATTAATATGCTAAGATGTAACATATCACAACATATCGCAACATATCGCAACACATCACAACACATCGCAACACATCGCAACATATTGCAACACATTGTAGCACATCGCAACAAACCTCAGGGTGGAAGGAAAGGAAGGAGTAACTATATAACCACGGATATTTCCTATATATCTAATCACTCTTTCCATAGCTCTTTAATTATCAATCTAAGACTATTCTTTCAAATATAGTGAGAAGACTCCAAGCCTCTCTGACAAACAGAACATACTTAACCATTTAACCTACTATTGATATTGTTACCTTCAAATCAAGAAAACCCCGGATTAGCCAATCCAGCAACGACTATACCTCTCTGAGGCATAGGTTCGTCACACGAAGATCGAATCATTGAAGCAGGGAAGGCCGCCACCAACGGCAATCTTAGAGCAGATTGAACAAGAATTAAACACATTAATCAACAGGTTTTCCAAGCCACCAACAAACATACCTAATCCAGCCTAACATGATTCGGCAGCTAGCTAACATTGATTCCCCGGTAATCGATCCGCAATCGCCCCTTTAAATAAGACTTTGATTTCACAAATTCTTTTCTCCTATTACGTCCATCAACACTCTGCCACCATTAGACCTACCAAGCAAAGTAATCATCAACTTGACATGTCATCCACCCTCCTGCAAGCTGGCACACCTAACAAGCCAGGAAAGCCCCTAAAGATGATAAGCACCGCTAATCAGCCAACCACAACGTCGACCGGCCACTCGTCCGCAAAGACAACGTGGCAACCCGAAACCCTATCGCCTTCGTCTACGAATCTGAATTGGAACCACGAACCAAGAACGGCGAGTGAGGAATTGCTTCAATTCCGTCGTAACGATGCCACTGGTATTGAATCCGGCGTTAGAGCACTAGGAAAGCTGTACCGCAAGCACCCAGAGTACAGTCTTGCGAGGGACATCATTGAGTGGACTCTCTTCCTCGAGGACCTAATGGCAAGTCTCTTATCGACAATCACCTCGTCCGAGACACTAATCGATGTAGAACTCCGAGCCGGAGACACAGGATCGATTCCTTCAGCATCTGATTCAAGTTACCACTTTGCTTGACTACGACGATAACGACGAGCACTACCTCACCGAACTTACGATCGACAAGCTAATAAATCGATGGAGAAATAATATAAAACAGCGGCAAGAAGAACAAGCTGATCAGGAGGGATGCCTTCATCAGCTTGCACTGGCTGGCAAGGTTTTTGAAGCCGCCGGGGCCCGTCGTGATGTCCTTTAGAGGCTGGTTGCCTTCCCATCCGTCTCCCATTGCTAGTAAGCAGGTCTCTTTCAGGAGAGTTGGGAAGGGTGTTGACTGTGTGTCTGCTATCTTGACCGACCTGTCTTATCTACAGGTGATAGAGTTCGAGATTTACAAGAGAAGGATGCATGCAGATATACCGTCGCTTGGCGAGAAAGAGAACGACATTTGGCCGTTCTTTTGTTGGCGATTTCAGTTTGAGCTATCCCCGGCGCTTATCGAATATCTGGGATCGACTAAAGGACGACAGAAATTACTGGAGAAGTCAAGAGAAGGCCTGCAGAAGGAACATGATGTCGTGCGATGCACTCTATTTATTAACTATGCTGTGGGTATTTCTAAGCCTGAAGTGAGCCTAGTCTGATATTGTATCTATGCGGGTCTTTACTCTAGACCTTCTTGTAATCTCGATGCTGTTCCCTAATCGCACATTTCCAAGTCGGCGAAGCACGTATTCATATAGTATTCCACTTGATGACCTGATAATGGTACCTGCGGAAGCACCTGGATTCGGCTGCCAAGTAGAGCAGGAGGCTGAACCAGTTTGAGCTGGTCGAATGGCTAGCTGTAAAAGCGCGGAGTAGCGCTGTAGATATGGTCAGGCCCAACTGGGACTACTCACCAACACCCAACTTCCTGCGCATCCCAGATTACGTTTAGTACCTTTACTATGACCTAAGCACATTTGCTACATCTTCGCTCCCCTATATCATCGAATCGGAGTAAGTGCATAGTGTCGCGTAGGGCTCCCATTCCGGTAACTAGCTGGACGAGGGTATCTAGTACGCACTTCGCTCCTGAATTGAGGCCATGATTTTCCGAGCGGAGCTGTAATAGCAAGCGGTCACTTCGTGCCGGCATCAGCACCAACACCAGCACCAGCATCAGTACCACGTAATCATTTCCTGCCTTCCATTTATCCAAGGTCATGATTTCTTCCCCCACCAACTTACAACCTTCCGCCTCCATCCTACAGCAACTTTCTATTCCGCAGACTAGCTGTTGTTTTCGAATTTCGAAATTAATTGTCCCACAAACCCGGCAGCAATGGAGGACGAGACCCAGAAAAAATCCCATCGTTATATTGCGCTTCACCCATCCCCTAGTGATCTCTTTTTACTTTTCCGTCTCGTACGCCATCGCGGCGTGTCTTCCAAGTCCACCTTCTACCTCCTCTGTCTACACCTCGCTTCTTTTTTCCTCGACGGTATCTTTATGATCGTTGAGATCGTCTTATGGCGATGCTGGCCGTCGGAGTATGCTGCTGCCGGTTTACTGTTTTGCATCCTCATATTTGGTATCCAGCTACGAACATTGAGCAGGGATTCTTACGTGGCGCGCTATCCTTTCTACGGCTCGTGGGCAATTGCGTTCCTTTACGACCTCGCGAGCGCTGTGTCACTATTTGTCACCGGGAATGCTGCCTCGAGTCGTAGCCCACCTCTACCGAGCCATACACCGTCCTCTCTCCTTCAATTAAAGGCTTGCATCGCGATAGTCCGATACGTGATTATCCTAGGTCCTATCCTTACCCCCTTCGTTCGTAAGAGTAGCGATAGAGACTTCGATGACGAACAGGCACCCCTCCTTTCCACCACAGATGCTGGATCGCCACACGACGACGAGAACTTCTTGAACAGAGCAAAGAGGTTCTCCATTCTATACCCCTACCTCTGGCCCGTCAGGGACCGTATGTTGTACCTCCGAATCGGGCTGACGGGTCTCTGTCTATTACTGAACGTTGGGGTTGTTTTCCTGTCGGGCCGTCAGTTTGGCGTCGTAGTGGATTCCCTCGATGGAAGTTCGGGGAAGAACCCGTGGATTCAGATGGCTCTTCTCTTTCTTTATCAATACTTGCTGTCGCCCGCTGGCATCAGTTTAGTAAGAGGAAGAGCTTGGAAGTCAGTAGAGCGCTCATCGAGGGGCGAGTATACATAGGGGTGGATGTTACGGAGGAATTACGCAATATAAGGTTCCTTCACGAATAATGCAGCAGATAAAAACGAAATACAAGCGCTCTCGCCACTATATCGTCTATAACTAGTAAACTAAACCTTTTACCACTGGTTCCGCGAGGTGTAGCGATCCCCTGGCGAGCAAACCAACCTTAAGAGACCAGATCTGGGACTTAGGTGAGGAATTATATATATATCCCTTCTAGGCCTATTTTCCGGCTTATTCTCCTTGCTGCCCTCTATCCTCCTTTGTGGCTATGCATACCCAACCGTTACTTTCCTTCTCCAATTTTTCCGTCATCTTGGCCGAAGCCCAAAGCCTATCTACCAGAGCAGGTCTAGAACGGCTTGAGAAAAGGTTGGCGAGTGAAAGTGCAGACAATTGCGTACCTGTCGCGACCGTTCACTTAGATATTTCCATTTCCAATCCTGTGCTCGAGGTCGTCGTAGAGATCCAGATCCAGAACGGCCCTAGCTCGAGCCTCGGAACCAGCGAGGCGGCCGCACTTAATACCCTTCGTTCGGGGAGCGGCTCCAGATTAGCCGACAAGGGAGTCTAGGAGGATAAGCCCTTGACTACTTCTTACACAGCACACGCAATACACCCCAAAGTTACGTTATATTACACATCATTTTACTAAATATTATTAATCTTCTTACCATAAACATATCTTATTTTTGAAAATGCTCCCTTTCTATTATTTTTATCCGAGCAACAGCACCCTTAAATAAAATAACGCCAGCTACGATCGAGGTGTCCAAGAAGCACTCCGTAAATAATCTATAAATAAATAAAGAGAGTAATCTATAATTAGCATAACTCCTTGTGAAAGTTTCACAAACGACAAAAGATGGGCTCGAAATGGAGGAGCAGCCGTACGGATAACTTGAGGGCCAAGTTTAGAACTTGTGTCGGAAAGGGGATATGTTTCAGGACAAGTTATTTTTAATATATTTATATTTATATTCAGGAAAGAAATTAGCTTTTTAAATTGCGGTACCATATTATCCTTAACGGTGCTATGCGTAGGTACAAATTGATATGAAGGACCTAGATCCGGAACGGAATATCCATTTCGGGGCCAACAGGTGCGTAAAAAACATCAAGATCCTATTTTAGGGCCAGATAAATAAGTCATAAGTTTAGAATTTTTTAATATAGAGAGGATGGCTTACGAGCCGGCTATTACTAGACGGTTGTATAGGGTATGTTCTTCGATATGGCTCCCATTCGATAAAGCAACCGAGAATGTCGATTGGCTAGAGAGCAGTACAGGAAAAAATTATTTAGGCATATTGGTGAGTACTTATGCGATCATTGGGGCCCTTACTTCCCTAATAGTTTTCAGCTTAAACACTAGGAATTACAGTCGAGCCCGCTGAAGTTCACTTGGTGCCCCGTACTCGTGATCCATACGCCTGGAACATCCTTCCGGAAAAGAATGAGGTACTCGCAAAAATATTTGCCAAAAACCTAAGCGAACATTCTATTAGCGCCTACCGAATGATCTGCGAAGAGGTCGGTAATTCCTTTGAGGCGGTAGGCAAGACCATGCCGTCTTCTTTGACGGCTATAGATAATATCACTACGGTACCGGACTTCAGATTCTAGACGCCTTATATGAGCCCCTTCTAATTGCCCCAGGTTTCGCAGCATATAAGCTTCGGTACTATCATCGGTCAACTCAAGGAAGAAAACGTTAGTCTTTCTGCCGAACTGAGCAAATAGATAAATAAAACAGAAAAAGAATCAGCACAGCGACAACTTGCGGCTAATGAGGTAGACCGCTTGCTACGGCGCCAGCAAGAGTACGAAGACGAAGCTCGGCGTCGCATGGATGTTGCTACTCGCTTATTCCAGGGTAGCCTGACGAAATCCATGGTCCAGCTAGATCAGATAATTCCTATGTTGGTGGATCTTAAAAGGGATATAAGTGTTACTTCAGCAGAAATAAGTACCGAATTAAACGGGCATATAATTTATTAAAAGACATTATTTTACCTGCACTATGCTTTATTTTAACTTAATATTGGATCGCCTGTATGTTGGCTCGTAACAATAAAGTCTTCTCGTTCTAATTTCATCTTGCCCGAAAAAAGGACCTGCATACCTTTCGTTTAAGTAATGGGTTTGTCACTTCTCTTGACCTTTTTTTCGTCATCATTTTGTTCTTATTAAAATGTGCTTCGTTTCCCTATTGACGATGTTACGCCTCTCGAACTGTTACCGAACCTCCATCAAATTGCCTTAAGAGATCCCTAAGATGGAGGTCTTAGAATGATACGTGGTTACCTGTGGAAATATTGTAGTCTTATCCATTATTACTTATATTGGCTTCCTTATCGCCATCACTCTTCATACCTACACAAGGCCATGCCTCCACAGATATCTTGTTTACCCGCGGCTTCTTCGGTCCCTTGGCAGTTCCGACAGAACTACTACCCTTCATCTTCTAGTCCTCCTGGCTTTTCTACTAGCCAACGTTCTCGCCCTGTCCCTTGACGTAGGCGACCTATCCAGGTTTATTCGTAGGTCCGGACTTATGTCTATTATTAATCTAATACCGCTGTTCCTAGGAGGTTGCATGAATGTTATAGCAGATTGCTGCGGGATTAGCCTGAGGACGTATGCGAGAATACATCGATCGCTCGGTCGGGTCGCGATCCTCGAAGGCTTGATCCACGTCGCGGTTGCTATATTAAACCATCTACCAAACTTAGAGCACGTGGCGGACAGGGCAGCCCTCGCGGTAAGTATCCTTAAGCAGACGAGATGGAAGACACTTACAGTCTCAGGCGACGGCTATCTTCTTAGTTATCCTATTCTCCGGTCTTCTATGGCAGCGCTGGTACGAGGCATTTTTCTATCTACATTTTCTCCTCGGCTCGGGTGCCGTTGCCGTCATCTATCTCCATAGTCCCGCCCCTCTCTTCGCATTGCCGACGCGCTACTTATTTACCGCTGTCTGTCTTCAAATCGCTTCCGGGATGTTACGCTGTTCCCACATCCTCTACCAAAACGTTCGATATCGTCGCCCCCTAGGTCGGGCATCCATACGGACAATTAAGTTCTGGCATCCTCCTACACGAAGTCGGTCGGATGACGCGGCCAGCCTTTGCGAAACGGATCTCCCCGTGCCAGATGTTGTCCACGTACATGTCCGACTTCCCAGGAAGTGGAAGCCTCGCGCGGGTCAGTATATCTACCTCTCCGTGCCTGGTGCGAGTCGTACCTCTTTTGCGTAGCTACATCCGTTTTACGTTGCTTGGCGGCATCGGGACCGCGGCAACGACTATGCCGTCCTCATCGTCCAGAAGCAGGGGGGCTTCAGCAGACGCCTATTCTCACGCCGTGGTAATGATGTAGACAGCGCTTCGGATATGATGGCACTGGTAGAGGGCCTGTACGGAAAGGAGCTCCGCCTCGATCTATACGGCACCATGCTTCTGTTCGCGACAGGTATAGGGATAGCAAGCCAGCTACCCTACGTCGAGCACCTGCTGACGGGATACCAAAATTGCGAGGTTAAAACCCAAAGGATAGCGCTGTTCTGGGAAGTCGAGTCCGAAAGTAAGTATTGCGACGCGGGAGATAGTGGCTAGGCTGAGTACTTTTTTTTTGGCTAAGCGGCATATTAGTCTAGATAGCTTGGGTTGCGGATAGAATGTAAATGCTATTGAAAAGTGATACCGATTGGGTTCGTTTTTCTTTGCCGGATACCTTTAAACACGAACGGCTAAGCTTGGTTTAGGTCTTTGATATCTGTATTTTTATCTTGGGAGATTTCCTATCGCTGGTAGAAACAAGCCGAGGAGATTTCAAAAAGCTTGGCGAGCGTATCAGTATTAGATACGACGCTTTACTTGTGAAAAAAGTCCTTCACTAAGAGCTACAACAGTGGAAAGGACAAACTGTAATATCCTATATGTCTTATAAAATAACACCTGCTTGTTCTCGAGTTGCTTATGGTATAATAGTTTGCACGAATGTCAAAACGAGCGGCAGAATCTGCGAAGTGGTTCGGAATATGGCCGACGATAACATCTCCGTTAAGGTGTTGGATTTTCAGCCTCCTAATAACGCCTGTTGGGCGAAAAGCATTATAACTATATAAAATGTGGTTATCTTGGACCTGGTTACGTATTATGGATAACCGAATTAGTTAGTTGAGATATCCTTATGTGATAAATCTATATTTCGGTAGATCTAAGTACTGTCGCAACTTCTTAGGTTTTGATTTTAAGATAGATAATAATCGCAGGATTTAAGTGGATAAATAGTTCTAAGGGTTCGTAATTAGATTGATAGAGGCGTTTTGAGAAAAAGGAGACTTCCAGATTCTCTAAGAAGAGTGCAAACTGTACGTTAGTAATATTTTCTAATATACTTAATCTTTTAATTAGATACGGCTAATATAATTTTATTTCTTTCTTATTCTACCTTTTTAGTTAGCTGTTATTAAATTATGCCACAAAAAGAGGTCCTAAATCTAAGCGTATAAACTTACGACCTGGTGCGAAGAGTAATATCCGATGTAAATCAAGAAATCGCCTTACGAAATAGTATCGACCTCTTTACCCAAAATTTGTTTTACCCACGCGCCGCCGGTCGTGATCGATAACATCGACAGGGTCGCGGTAGGTGCCAAGACTTCGAACGCG